TTATAATAAGAACTAGCGCTAAAAATACGTTTATTAATTCTCCATACACGTAGGGCCTACACATATTGCCTCTTTTCCCCCCTGCGTCATGGCAAATGCGCAAGTTCAATGTGAGTTTATGCAAGTTCAACAAAAGCCGAATCCGATTTCATCAGCTCGATACTTCCTTTGAGCATACACTGATCGTACAGCTAACCGTATAACCGTCGCAGACACAAACGATATACCCTCACATCAAATATATCATCAACTAAATACTGATATTATTTTCATTCATTGTCATGACAACTTCCAGAAAATTTGACATTAAAGAGGGAATGTCCGTGCCCTTCAACAAATTCAATTTTTTTTCGTCCGAACGGATTTTCAACTTTGATTTTAATTTCGACAACAAAACCGAACAACCTTTTGCCCCTGAAATTTTCATGTATGAAACCCTTTAAACATGCGCCGATTTTGATTGCTTTTGCGCACAATGGGATCCGAACTGCGAGTAGAGTGGATCCCCAACCTCGTCCCCAGTGCTTACTTTATTTCCAGCCTCGTTTCCAATAGTAAGCCCTGGATAGGAAACTTTCTTCCTGTATTCTGATTCGATACCGCAATTTGCTAGTAATGGATTTATAATATCGTGTAGTTGGTGTTGTTATTTCCAACGTGGATTACGTTTTTACGATCATTGTAATTTTAACGCCCACGCCTTCTAAAAAATACTCTTTTCCTTTCCAATTTGCTCATCGTGTTTTCGTAACTCACAGCGCGACAAATTGATTGTGTTTTTACCCCAGACACCGCATACCAAAACAAACGCTAACGTAACGTACAGGCAGGCACCAGACTATTCCTCATTTGCATATTGTGCAAACATTTTGCACATGCAAATTTACCAACACCAGGGTGACAGAGCAGGTAGTGGCGGGCGCGTACTGCTCGACACCCTGGGGACGAGGTTGAGTGGATCTCAGTCTCTCCGTTATCGATTCTGATAGTATATAGGCAGTGAAGTGTTTATAAACGCGAATCTAAGAGGGCGCTATGCAGCACAGCAGGGAAGATTTCAGCTGCACAAGTATGGGGTAAGAGCATGTACGGTGCATCTTGTCTCCAACTTCGAAAGGAGGACTTTCAAGTTGTTTCGGATGCAACCATGATTTTAAGAGCTCCCTGAAATTCGTTTTAAAACATAAGGGGATTGCGAGCAATCACACCATTTTTAATATATACATATAATTCTGAAATAATTATTGTTCCAAATCTCACAAATGTATTTTCAATTGAGCCACAACGGCTATTCAAAAAATCTTGTCGGGGGGGGGGGGGGCACGGGCGAGGGAGGGCGTGGTGGAGGTCACGAGCCTCGAGTGGGTGGGGACCACTATTGAAAAAATCCCGCTCTTTAAACTTAGTTCAAGCATCCTCTCTGTATATTTCTGGATCCACCACTATTCTCCCTGATTCGGGTCGATTTTTTAGCTCTTTCTCAGTCGTGTGCGTTTACTTTACAAACTTTGTACAGAGAATACTGACGTGTCAAATGCGAGCCATCAATCAACTGTAATAAGCCTTTATGTTGTTACTATTTCATGGTGTTATAATATATCGCAGTTCGATTTGTAGACTATGAAAGATTCCCATATCTGGCCATCACTTGTCACCCTGTGCACAAAGCCTATGAGATTGGTCTAAACATTTCTAATCGTTTTCTCAGTAAATACTGTATCGGACAGTTTCTGTAGCACTTTTGTTGTGGCTTTTGTTTCTAGCCGCCGCCGGAGGGCTCCGACGGCGCATTGTCGACACGTTGGGCCACAGGTGCGCTGACCTGGTTTTGGGTTTGGCTAGCACGCTCCGGAAATAGGCTCTATAAATAGGTTGGGGTAGTATTGTTCACTTATATGCTGGGAATCGATCAGTTGCAGTTCTGATGGCGGTGCGGCGAGTTGCCAGCAGAGTCCGGTTGGCAAAATAAATTAGATCTTCCTACAGAGTTTGAAATCCCGTCCGTGTGTGTCCCCTTTTCTTGCGTATTGCTCACTTGGCGGACAAGCGCCCACTAGGTTCCCGCTACAAAACTTCAGTATTTTCCCTTCTAAATATGACTTTTTGAGACATATTTCCGATGGCTGATTGGTCACTGAAGAGAACATTTAGTGGTGGCCAGATATGGGAATCTTTCCATACTATTTGTCAACGTTGCTTCACAACTTGAGAGGAAGGAACCAATCGTACTCGACTCAGACAACCAGATGTACCCTGTGTCTTTACTGCAACATCATTTCACCCATTACAACATATTCTTTTAGAAGAACAAAAAGTACCCTCTAAGAACAAAAAGTACCCTCTCCAAAAACAATCAACTCCCTCCAAAAAAAAAATCATAAAAATATATACACAATCATAAGTTTTAATTTAAAACGTTTTTACAAGAATATAAAATGATTGCACTGAACTTTCTTCAGACCCTTGTTGACAGGGACATGGAAGAGGAACGACTCTTCTTAATTTCTTTCTGCATTCAAAATCGGTAAATTAAAAATGCAGTTAGTGTTCTGCCAAACACCAAAGTAAGTAAATTGCAAGAACTCCGATCACTTTCAAAATGTTCTCAACGATGGAAACTATTTTCTCGAGGACTTACATGTTGTAACATTATTGACAATTTCCATATTTTGTGACAACGCATCCACCCTTTCAAAACCAGCCCCTACTCGCCGGATTTTAAAACAAAATTAATACATAATCATTATTTTACCCTCATGTCTAATGAAGTTATATCATAACAAACACCGACTTTTACTTGTAACAATAATGCAGCCAAACTCTTCCACAAATTTCAATTCAAATGGAGGCCCAAAGTAATGGTCTAAATATGTTCATATAGTAGTGAAAGTAGAGGAACTCTATGTTTCGTCAAGGCACATAGGGCCATTTGAATTGTGTGCAACGGGCACATTTTCTTCTAACACCTTCGATGATTGTTTTCTTCCGAATGATACCATTTCAGGCGGAATAATTTCACAGGGTATTTGGTACCAGCCCTATCTTCACTTTCAGCATGGACTTTTCTCGTTATATCGGTAGGTTCATGTAGGTACATGTAATTTTCAAATGTCCCTTTGAGTACTTTATTGTCCCTTATAAAACACGTGCCATTTTGTTGGCAAATGGGATGTTGTGGTCACGTGATGCTAACTTTCAGCAAATGGTTATCTCTTGAAATATGAATAGTTTAATGGTGTTCACATTAATTTGGTGTTGACTTAAACATTCTTAAATGTTTGGGTTGCCCGGCTGCCATGGTCTTTAGAACATTACAAGTTTGAGAAAGAACTACATTATTTTGTACATAAATATGATAGGTGTACATCAAATGGGAATATTACATTTCGTTACTGAAAAATATGTATTATAACCCGGCAGGTTGTTATGATCAAAGGCACATACACTGAGAGATGAAGTTACACTGGAACTGATGTATTTTGCTGTGGTGATTGCTCTCTGTCTGTTCTCAAGAATCTACTGAGTTTCTAAGATCTCACAGGTTTTCTTGCCTTAATATAAGGAATTGTTGACGAACTTTTGAATAAAGTATTGAATGTGTGTGGTCCACTTGGGTCTAGGGGTAGCCTGGGGGTTTGGCAAAATAACTATTAATATGGAAAACCGATTCCTTATAAGTCCTTGGTCTGCTGCAATGTGCCTTTAAGTTCCAGTCAAGCATATAATCCAGCCACCAAGGCATTGTTGTTAAACTAACCATTGCTTTTTGCTCGTATCCACCGCCCAAAATAGGGCGCAGGGCAGGGCTCATGATCTCCGTCACAAAATGTTCTGAAGGAAGCACAAGCGCGCCAAGCATTGTGGGGGTATAACTGCCGCATCCAATGCACGTACATTTTCTATGCGCACATGTCATGCGCAGGCGGAAAGCTTGACCTGTGTTATTGTTCAATTCAATGAGGCTCGAAGAAATTACATATGTCATACATCCGGAAGAAATTAGCCCTTCCCAGCGCCCTATTTGGGTGGTGGGTACGAGCGAAGCATGTGTCTCACTACTACTATAATGAAAGTGGTGCACGTTTTGCTTCAGTGGTCGACCATAACGAGGAAGACAGTTTTGGTGATTTTCAAATCGTACAGCTGCTAATAATATCAAATATGAATATAATGTACAAATATAGCTTACAAAGCATTATTTAGTTTTCATATCGTACAGCTGCTGTTAAAACTTTACGTATGAATATAAAACGTATGTAGCTTACAGAATATAAAACTATAGCAACATTTATATTTCCAAACCCATAGCAACTCACAATAGATATTAGATGGTAATCGTAATGGCGCTCTCCACAAGATATACCGTTATCAACTCGTGAGAGTAATACAGTAAAAGAAGAAAAAAAATGTTCCATTTCTGTGTTTGTAAATGTTGGCTTTTCAGTTGCAGGATATGCAACGGTTTCTTACCAGCTACATTTGAATATATAATGTGCGCTTCTCTACAGAAGCAATGCAGTTGGGTCGAAAGCAACCAAGTTCCCATGACAAAGCACACATGTAAACAAAACTGACGTCAGTTGGCAAGCTTGAGTCCATGGACAACTGAGTTCCCGGGTGGACCCTTGCCATGATGCGAATCAAACGAATGGAAGTATGGACCGCGAGATGTCCAGAGATTCGTAATGTTTCATGTTTGCAACGACGGTAGACGCGATTCATAGTGGAGATGCAGAAGAAAAATAAAGCAGATGGACGCCTTTATAACTGGCCTTCATTGATCCACACATGGCAGAAATCGTCTGTAACTTGGTCCAAATATACACGAATACATGGAGACAGATGTATCCACCTCATGCAACCGTTTTCAATGTCTCAATCTCAATCTTTACTGCAAAAAGTCCGGACCCTCGTCAGACACACCTCAAAGCAGAGATTGGCCACCGACTGTCAATCAGTGTGGCAGTGATATAGGACCTTGTGTTTTGGGGATGACATAGTCAGAGGAGAGGATTTCAGCGAGAAGTAAAGTATTTTTTTTATTAAAGCACATAATAATAAAACTTTGTAGAGTGCATATATAATACAAGAAAAAATCCCACGCTAATTTTTACCGATAGGTCAACTTTTATTGGAATAATTATTATTATCAGTCAAAGGTTGGCAGACCTTCAATCATGAGAATGGATTGTTGGGTTGGAAGCCAGCCATCCCCATTTACAGTACTGTTACAAGAAAAAATCCCACGCTAATTTTTACCGATAGGTCAACTTTTATTGGAATAATTATTATTATCAGTCAAAGGTTGGCAGACCTTCAATCATGAGAATGGATTGTTGGGTTGGAAGCCAGCCATCCCCATTTACAGTACTGTTATCACATTAAACACCCAACACTGTCGATGCAGTGTATTATCGGGATGGATTGAGGTATACGCGAATGAAGAGTTCGATTTCATTGTTTGTAAATGACCGAGAAAACTCTTCCTCATGGTCTCCAGGTACTCTGCTGAATTGGATTTACAAATTACCTGCCACACAGATCGTAATAAAGTGCGCACCCACTGTTTCTTGGGTATCCCAAGCTTCGATCTTGGGCCTAAATCTCTCTGCCTTTTGGTGGAATCGTGTCAGGCTGGATTACATGCCGACGACACATTCTCTTCTAGCGGATCGCATCTTCGGAGTGAAAACGCAAGTGAATTATATGAAGATCAAATTGTTTTGTGGCTCAACTCCTTTAGGACTTGGCTACTTAGCCCCATCCATACCTTAGCTTCACGAATGTTTATGTTGAATTCAATTCAACCAACTCAGTGTCACTCTTACGTTACAACAGTCACAGGTTCCACAAATCACAGAAAAGGCTAAGGCAATGTCTTGTCGCAGTGGATATATGCTATCGATGTTTCGAAATGTCTTATAACCATCTTTCATTGTCCAAGTTTGCAAACGTGTGCGATGGTTTATGGACTTTGCTTCCGTCGTGTGAAATCTGCACTCTCTACACGTCCTCTGATCGTTAATGATGGGTTGTGGTAGAAATGCCAGTTTCCAAACTTTATCTGTGCATGACCTTCTCCAACATGATTGATTTTGCGCAGTTCCGTCAGAAGTGACCCATATACAATCATATAACAAACAATCATTCACCTAAATCTCACTGAACTAGACATGTGGATTTTCAGATCGGAGGGATCAACAAGCCTGGGCATTTCAGGCCAATTCGCTCAGGCCGTGAGCTTCAAACGCATTTTTTTTTCTGTACTGCTACAATATCTGCGGAATATACACACAAAATACATCACATGCACCACGCTACCATGACGCACAGACAGAGTGTAGACCTTTTCAAGTTATCACGGTGCACCATTATAATAAAAAAAAGAGTCCACATCATTCCGTTCTCAGCTATTCACAAGCCACAAGCCACTCTGGTGAATACATACACCAGCAGACATCGACGTCCATTCAAGGGACCAGGAAATGGTAACGCCAATTTAAACGTCTTTCACAAAAGTGCACACATCGGTTTCCAACATGTGACAGAGATTGCGAGAGACAATCTTGCTGATCAGGTCTGCATTAGACCCTGTGTTGGCAAGCTTTAGACACTTCAGCTTTGGCAAGCGCCGCAGATGGAGAGTGAGATCCTTCATTGCCTCTGGACTCAGGACATTCTCAGTGAGATCGAGCTGAAGCAGACTGTTGGGCATGACACAAATCAAATCCTTGATGTCGTCATCACCCAAGTTGCAGTTACGAAGCAAAAGCTGCTTCAGGGCTAAGGTAAAGAGGTTACTTAACCACCTCACCTTACCGTGCATGTTGATGTTACTCAACACGAGGTAGAACAAGCTGCACCCCTTCAGTGCACCAACCAGACACTTGATATCATAGAGGGATCGGCCGAAGTTGGACCCTTTCAAGTTCAGGCCAAACTCACCACACATCTTGGACACACGGTTGATACAGCCGGAGAGAAATACCACGTCACACGGAATGTGATCAGGAATCCAGAGGGCCAGAACTAGCCTATCCACTTTGTCAACTGCTAACGTTTGCTCCAACTGTGTAAGATGCCCCCTCCATCCTTCAGATATGCTATACTTACACACGATCTGTTTGATTGACTTCATGTTGCCGCTTTGCAGACATTTCCCCAAAAGCTGGAGGTCGTCGCAGGAGGACACTACGATGCGCATCTGGTTTATGCTCACTGGTGAGCGAACGTATTCAAGACAGTAAGCGAATGCCTTCAGATCCTCTGAAGTCTCACACTCAACATCTGTCTGTGGATGTAGTTTGCTAGCCAACTCCTTTGAGCCCGACTCAAGCAGCAACAAACGTACCAATCTGCACAGCCTAACCTTGTCACCGCGAATCTTCTGCACGTGTTCCACGATAAGTCTTGCAGCTTTCGGTGATCTACCACAACAAAAGCGAAACAGATACTCTAGGCCGAACACATTTTCAGCCACAACATCCTTCAGATACCCTTTGAAGCCGTCCTCATCAACATCCAACAGATTTACCATGACGTGCGCTGCACAGTACTCCTGGACCGACTTGTGAACAAATATCACCACCCGCCTCACTTCCAAGCCGCTTGTGCATCTCTCCTCTATCAAGAAACCAAATCGGAGAGCATCCTCATAGACCTGACCACATTCATTGAACTCGTCACGGGTGAAAATCAATGTCCCTCCATTCGGACGGAAAAGCCCATTCAGGGCAACCTTGCCCAACCCGTTGAGGATTGAAATAAGCTGAACCCCATGGTCCCTTTGGTCTTTCGTACTTGGATTCCTGACGAGGACCCTGGCAACCTGGCTGTAAAGATCAGATAATCTGTCAGACACTGATCCAGGATTCTCCTGAATTATACACAGAATTAGTGAGATGATAGGAATCTGTGCTATGCTTCTCAGAGATGGAGATGTGGTCAACTGAGCAATCAACGCCTCTCTCTTTTCGACGTCATCCTTGAAGAAGTTGACAATGAACTCGTTGCAGTTCTGTTGGCTGAATCCCCTCGTTTGAACGACATCGTAGTGTGGATACGCACTAAGAACATGATCGACCATATGGGGTCGTGTTGTCACCAAGACACAGCTCCTGACCAATACCCTGTTCTCTAGCACATCTTTGATGCTCAACAGACCTTTGGAAGACTGGAGGACCTTCAGGGGTATCTCGTCTAAACCATCTAACAGAAACGCAATATGTTCCTCGTACTTATCAATCACCTCCTTCAAACGCAGTGGTGTCACTGTTGTGTTTCTGGGCAGGATCTGCTTTAACATTGCATCAATGAGACATCCCGTCTCCACCATTTGGTTCAACCTCAATGGGACCACTATCTTGAAGTTGGCAAGCGGCAAGGCCGAGTTGAAGGTCAAGTCATTTGCAACTTTCTTCAACAGAGTGGTTTTGCCACAACCAGCCCCTCCCGAAAGGAGGATTCGATTGTTCCGTACCTCCCCATTACCCATTAACCTGATAAACTCCTCCAATGTTATGGGTTTCATCGTTTCTAACGCATCCAACCGTATTTCACCCCCTGACATGTTAAGAGGTCGGCCAGGCATTCCTTTTCTGGCATCTACCGACATAAGTTCTGGTTGGATAAAAAACTCCTTCATACCCACTTTTCTCGACTGCACCAGCGGATGCAATGGAATGCTACTGGCGGTTAACTTGGTGAAGTATGTCACCTCCTTCTGAACAGTCTTCAAAGAATTTGCAATGTCGTCGCTAATGATTCCTAAAAACAGAGGTCAAAAGAAGAATTTAATTTCATTAAGAGTGTAAACTCCAGCAGATGGTGTTGGACTTACCAATCTTCATGTTTTTTTTGCACAAGAGTTTGTATGGGTATAGCAAACCCTATGGCAGATTCGCTATCCATTGGAGATGTCGAGCAGTCATGAAAACATTCCCCAAGAAACACGACATGCCGAGTCAGTGCTGTGTCAGTGTCGTGTCAGTGTTAATGCCAGCCTTAATCCAATATTGTGTTTTATTGAGGCAATGGGAGATGACAAAATATACTTCGACCTATAACAGTATAAGACGTGTTTGTGTACATCTTTACAACTCCCTCCCAGCTTCACTAAATACAAAGTTAATTCCAAAATGCATCAATCCGTTAATTTATAGAAGTGAAAAATCTGCTCGGTTATGAAACTTTAAGGAATAAAATTAATGCTGCAGCTGTCGTCTCTCTCAAGTGTATTATCAAATTGTGTGTTGTAATAGGTTCCGGCGAATTTCCTAATTTTTCTAATCAGTTTCATTATCAGCCATTCAATTTCGCGTGAGTTTTGCACATGTGGTTAAATTGGGGTTTCGTTTTCCTTCTTGGTTCATTCAATTTCATTTTAAGGAAGCCAGGAGTTTGCTGTAAATGTTCGTTTTCGTTTTCGGGCAGCCTATTTCGTTTTGGTGCATTCACGACTTAACTCGTAGCAGTCTTAAATTAAGTCTTTGCAACCTTTTGACGGTTGATGCATTCAAATTAGCGAACATCTGTGCGCTTATATTAAACGTATAATCATGCTTTTTGTTTCTTATTCGTTTTTGGGCAATCGCTTTCATCGTTTGGTCATTTAAATTAGTAACCTTCTTTAATCTATTTTCCTTCGAGGTTCATTCCCCCCCCCCAAAAAAATATTGATGACTGTAAAATTTACAATGTTACAAATTAACCGATTTGTAACATTATGGACATGTATGTTTGGCAATAGTTGTACCATCAGGAACACTGCTCTTGCGTTATTTCTTAAATGTTTTTTGCGTATGTCTGACCGAACGCTTACCGTATTCAAAGGGCCCATAAAAAGTAAGTTTTCAATGCAAACCTTGAAAATACATCTTTGTGTCACATTTACACCTTATTTGCAAGTCTTATTTTCCATTTTGAGGGGTGTTTTTGGTGCCTTCCCTGTTTTTATGCTAACGCAAAGTTTCAAATTCATTAGAAACCCTTTAATGCCATTCCGGGCATGATTAATGTTACATGGCTATTTTAGCACAAAAAGTTGCTAGAATTTTGGATATTTTGTTGTCAGAAATCTTTTATTTTTGGTGATTCTATGATGTGTCTGTACAAGGCAGTAAGCCAATGAGCAACCCTTTCCCCAAAATGTTTTCAATTAGCAAATTTTGGATGAATAATTTGAAAGAAAAAAACCTAAACTGAACAGTGTTTTCCTAAAATGACATCACAGTCACAACGCGCTCATACGTAGTCCGGAAAAGCATGGAAACTTTTAAATGTTTAAAGAAGTGCACTTTTGCAATAAGATTAAACAACAAAATGTTGTCAAATGTGTAGTTTCCTTACAGTAGTAAAGAGTTGCACAAAAAAATCCTGAGAAAAATTCATTGCACATACCCTTTAATTAAGAAAGAAAGGTCATCAAATATGATTTTAATACACTAAGGAATAGAGACACGTAAAAGATGTTTGACAAATTGTGAAATATGTTGAGTACCTTGCACCTCCCTGGAAAGATCCACTCGACCAATCTCCTCCAAGGCCCGAAGCAGTATCCTGCAAGCGTCGTCGGATGAAGACTGTCTCCTGCGCCAGGCAACGAGCATGGCGAAGATTTGGTTATCCGTCCGACGGTCGTTGTCGTTCTTAAATGTGAAGATTTCTCCCGAGCTGAAGCCAAGAACGGTAGCCAAACGCTCCCATTCGGAGCCAAGGTGCTGGGCGATTATGCGCAGTTTCAAATCGCCGACTCCTTAAAAGAAAGATAAAAAAATCCAGTAGCCTATCCCTTTTGGCGACTCAAAACCAACAGCAAGCTACATATATATGTCAATAAGACTAGAACATTTGACATGACCCCAAACACCCCACCACGAAAAAAAGTTTGGAGTTTAAATGGGTACAAAACTTTGTGACCCAATTTTGTCCGGCAAGTTGTCTTAAGGAGGCACTTTCATTCACGGTGATAAAATCAGCAGATTTTTGTGTCATTGCGATTGGCTAGGTTTTTGTAACTGTCACAAGTTTAACATTTTTGTAACTGTATGTTGTATCTTCAATCAAGTATTCATTAGTGACCAAATTTCATGTGCGGGGAAATTCAACATCAGTCATAAAATCAGGCCACCAAGAATAAAATCATAAAAATTTCGTGATTCATTCATTCATAAACTCGACAGCATCGTGTATGATTGTCTCTTGGCTGACATGTACGCATTTGAGCGAGGAAAGACATGTTTCTATTTTCAAATTCATTAACTGTAGTATGGAACGTGGATGAACAATCGACGCGTTTCCGTTATGAGTAGGTCATCCTGTATGAAGGTGCTGGCTTGCTTTACCTATTACTCATTAAAAACGTATATAGAAATGAAAATTCCCAGACAAAAATTATACATGGGTAGAAAGCTGGACTGTACAGCTACAACATGCAAATATTTCGATTTTTCCCCTGTTGTTCAGTATACAAATTCAAAAATATTTCGTGCCTAATGTTTTTCTCTTCACAAAGCGACAAGCTTTAAATATACTTTATGTTTCAAATTGCCAATAATCATACACTAAGCCGGTAATGAAAGAATAAATGAAAAATAAATAAATCTTACGAGATTCAGTTCTTTCGAGTACTGCATGCTCAGGATTGGTTTCATTTTGTGTCTCTTCCCCTGTGTAACCAAGGCGAGGTAGAATTATTTCAGTTCATTAAACATTTATAAGATGCTTGGAGTAAAGTCTTTCAAAAATAAAATATACAGGGGATGACAACTATAGTCCCTGTATCTTCATACAAAATGATTAACTGAAAAGAATTCAAAACCAGTGACTTCACTTGGATTATACAGATTTTCATAAGTGACAAAATTTCATGTGCAAAGATGCTCCATATCAGTCGCAAAATAAGGCCATGAAGAGAAACAAAACAATATTAAAACGTACGAGATTCATTCCTCATCTGTACAGCACCGTCGATGTTTGTTGTGCCTTCGGTGGCTTCCGCACCTGTATGCGGATAAATTATAAGTAGTTTTTTTCTCCAATAGTAGGCCTATATTTCACATTTTTTCATGGTTATAAACCAACAACCGCCGAGACCAAACTCAATACAACAGTGGATTTTTGTGTAAATTTCAGTTTTGGATACCATAGAAATTAGTCGTGGATACCATTTAAGTAATCAGGTGTTTGATGTACTGCATATGAAATGCATGCCGGTTGCCTAGATTTCTGCAACTGTCACTTTTTCATTTTGCATTTCAGAATTGTCTTGCATTGATATTCAGCATGCAAATTCAAAGCAAAATTCTAACGTTATGTTTTTCTCTTCACAAATCGACAAGCTTAAAGGATTCATGCAATGAGTTTTTCTCAGCAACATATTTTGTGCAAGTTTCTACCGGTGTGAAAACTATTGGTCATCCATTTTTGGTTAATTTTACTGAAAAGTGCACTTCTTTAGATATTTGAAATCGCCTAAACTTTTCCAGACAACTGATGGCGCTGTTGTTGTGATGTCATTCCAGGAAGACACTGTTAAGTTTATGTGTTTTTGTTAAAATTGTGAGCCCAATAATTTGCTCACTGGAACATTAATTGTAAGAAAAGTTTGCTCATTAGCTTACTGCCATGTGCGAACTCATGCAGCTAATCACCAAAGAAAAGAAACTTTACAACAGGAAAGTATTCAAAGTTATGACATCTTTTGGTGCAGAGAGAGCTGTAACATTGAGTTGTCTGCATGAAATGACATCACAATTTGCTCATGAATATGGGAATTTGCATTAGCATAAAAACCCAAAAGGCACCAAAGTAACCTTCAAAATGCAAAGATGAAAATTTAAAAGAGGGTTACATGAGATACAAAGGTGCACTTTAAAGGTTTAGATTAAAAATACACGGGCCCTTTAAAAGTAAAAAAGAAATTGTCAATAATCTAACACCAAGCTGGTAATGAAAGAAAATACATTAATGGGTAGTACACAAAATATGAAAATGAAACATTTTAACTTACGAGATGAAGCTCCTCCAAGTTCTACATTCTCAGGGTTAGTTTCATTGTTTGTCTCTTCGTCTGTGTAAACAAGTAGAAAAGTAGAACGTATTCATGTCTGTTCTCATGGCAATAAACAACCTCCGAGAACAAACTCAATACAGCAGTGGATTTATGTGTCAATTTTAGTTTTGGATACCACAAAAATTAGTCATGGGTATGATATAAGTAATTTTAACCGGTTATAAAATTAACCGGTTATGGACATAATGTTTGGATTATGGTATCAGATACTTTCTGTTGACAAATGTTGCTGCCTCCCTTTAAATGTTTGACTTAAAAAATGCACATCAAAAATACACTGACTTCTTGGATTATACAGTTATTCATACGTGACCAAAATGTGCAAAGATGCTCCATTTCAGTCACACAATAGGGCCGCGAAGAAAAGCAAAACAATATTAAAACTTACCAGATTCATTCCTCAACTGTACAGCGCCATCGAGGTCTTGGAGGGCTACTGCACCTGTAAAAAGTTTAAATAGTATTGTATTTCAAATAGTGAGGAGAGTGTAAAATCGCCAAACACATGTTCATTCACGCGAACTCAAGAATGTAGGTCTTAATTGTGAACAAAATCTCGTTAAATATCTTTCAAGAGAAACAAATTATATCACTATTTTTAAAACAAATTAACCCAGGGCTATGTTCAAATGTAGACCACGTCATACTTGTTAACACCATTGCTTGTTGTGGTCACGTGACGCCGACTCTCACCAGGAAATGGAACCCATCAATTCTACACCGCATACATCACTTGAAGAAATGGCTGGGTTCAAAAAAGTTTGTTTTAAAATATTGGAAAACATGGCTGCTTTGCATGTCAGCAATCAACAGCCATGACTCCACAGGTAAAATGGTATGTACATAATTAACATGATCTTTATCATCCGAGACGTGAGGTTGGCGCGATACTTTTCTTCGCCCTCCACCTCGTACCTCTGTGATCCTGGTTCAAATCCACCCGCACGTTGTGATCCTAACTCTCATTTAGGCTTCCGAGTAAAAGTGCCAGTGCACTGGCAGTGCACAGTTTGAGAATCCATTGCTTTCAAAATACCGAAACGGAAAGAAAATATGGTACAAAAAGCTCATCACAAAAATTTTATCACCTCCGCCACACTGACCTATGCGTTATAACAACCATCTGGTGGTGCTTACATAGTATCCAGCAGAAGCAGAAGCAGAATCAAAGATGATCTTTTCCTGTTTTAAAAGCTTATAAGAGGCAGCATTTTTTGAGCTTTGTTCATAAAAGATCTTCCATACTCCATTATGTCAAGTCCAATCCATCCTCCAGTTACTCAATTATGCATTTTGAAAACAAAGTAAATAAATAACTTTTCGCTATAACCTCGCTGTTCTTACCTAACTCCGCTGATGAACAAGGGTCTCCATCATCTTCGTCCCTCTCACTGATAATTCCTGTGTGAAAATAAAACATGAATTCATTGGCGCAAACTTTCATTCATTGTGCGAAGATGTTTACAGCCGTGTTAGTATAACACTTTACATTTTAAGTATGGCATAAGCTTTCGCAGCTGCTTCATAAGCAATGAGAGACAACCTAAGTCAGAGTTAATATACTGTCTGGAGGAAGAGTTCAAACAAAAGCTGATGGTGTATTCAGGTTGAGTTTATCCATTTACTGTGATAAAGTCAGAGTCCCAATTCAGACCTTGTTGAATGTAGTTTCATGTATATCATTGGCAATTTAGAAAGCAGCTTGTACATGTGGGGGAAATTCTGTTGATAGAAACTACTCTCTTTGAGAAATATGATTCAAGGCCACTATAAATACAACACAATCCAAACAAAGTATCTGTCGATTAAGCATCCACGCATCTGTATGAATTTTGAAGGGAGATTAAAAAAATGATGGTATAAGGAGAAGAATACTGATTGGGAAAGGTTGCAATTAATCACCTCTCTAGTTTGCGTGCTTAGTTCATCTGGCACATTATCGGCAATGTGCACCTCACGTCTAAATGATCAGATGCAGACATGTTCAGCTCGTGAAAAAACACAGGACAAGCCTTAAGGAGATATTGGCCCAATTTCATGGCTCTGATTACCGTTAGCGAAAAAACCTGCTAGCAGAAAATTGGGCCCATTTTTTTGTGCTAAAATATGGCGAGCATTATGGTGACATTTATTCCCATCAACGACACCGTTAAGGGCGTTTAAAGATACCTTGAAATGCATTTTAAGATATCTCGAAAAATTATTTTCCGATATCTTGAAATACCTCTAAATACCTTACTCTCTAAAAAAAGAGAAAAACATTTATAGAGCTAGACTATCCATCTTGGACTATCCGGCTTGCAGCAAGCAAGAAGCAACGTGCACGCATCAACTTATAGTATATGGAAACTAGCATAATAAATTATAGGCTTTCATTAAAAATTATACATTCTGTAATTACCCATTTCCATTGAAGGCTCATCCTGATGATTATTCCTTCGTTGACCTGTTATGATAAAACATTTCATGGAACATTTTGAGAAAATGCCATCATTAGTAATAGTAAATCCGAATTTCAACTTCAATTCCTGCAGGACTAATTTTGTTATATATTTCGTTGCCAATTAAAAAGTTAATAATAGCTATCTTTGTGGATATAAGTAACACAATTAAACATCAGTGCATTTTATACAGTCTTATTTTCTACCACAGTGTGATTAAGATGAAAGGAAGTTGTGTTTGGTATTCATACCTTTAATCCGGAGTGATATGCAGTGAACCCCACAACCTTTGAAAAGCAAAGCAAAGAAAAACACACTTGTTTTACTAGCACATCCCATCAAGACCTCCCAGAAGTATCAACAAGAGATTTATAAGCGAATATAAGCAGGTGCATTTTCTAACCAACCTCACCATTTCTCAATCAATAATGACAATTGCAACACATTTATCAATCGAAATGTAATGTGCATTCATTCACGCAAAGCAGGCCTACCCTTGCGAGCTGAGATCCATTTTGAAATGTTTGATTTTACTTCAATTTTACTTGATCTGCAATCAATCTATCTTATTTTTAAGTCCATTCAGCCCTATGCACGGTTATACAGGGGTCCCTTTCTCGCAAATGAGTTCAAATTCTTGTAAAATACTCTTGTTACAGATACATTCAGGCAATTTTCGAATCACAAGGCTGCATGAGGGGAAATACTGTATTATCTACGTGTGTGACAGCCATAGTTGCAGTATGCAGTACTTTGTTTCAGGACTGACGACCTTCTCCTTTCGGATTATTCTTTGCGATGAACATTAAAGAAGGAGAGATGCAAAATACATATCTGTCTACTGTCTCCTTGAGAATTTTTTTCTTCAATTTCCTTTTCTATCCAATCTTTATGCAGCCCAAATTTTGAGTGAACCTTGTAAGGCCATTGTGATGGCCGACTCTCATAAAAAAAGGAGTGAAATAATTAACAGAATTGGGAGAAACAATTTACTCTTGTGGACATCATAGACCTAATTGGGAAATAGACCTAAAAGGGAAATTTCTTAAAACAAGCTAAAGGATGCATAGCAGTAGAGGGTCAAAGTTGCAAGTAATTTCTATATGCTTACCCAAGACAACAACAGACACAAGCACAGATGCTCCCAAAATATAGTATATGAATGCGCTCGCCGGTTGTGTGGATGGAGTTGTTCGTGTGTTCGCACTCGTTGCGGTCTGTCTAGTTGGTAATGCGCTAGAAGCCGTTGATTTACCTGGCGATTCTGGTGTGGCTGAAGTTGTTGGATTCTTTTTTGTTGAAGGGCTTTCAGACGTCGATGTTCCCGAGGTTGCTTGTGTGTTTATAGTGATTTGGGTGTTTGTAGTTATTACTTCGCTTGTAGCAGTTGGTTGGACTGTAGTTGCCTGTGCGGTTGTAGTGCTTGGGTTCACTTGAGCTGTTGATGAGACTTCGGTAGTTGCTGCGCCTGAAGTGGTTTGGCCCTCTGTAACAGCTGACATGCTTGCAGACGTTGATGTGTCTGGCGATGCTGCTGTGGCTGTGGTTGTTGAATTCCTTTTAGCTGTTAATTGGCTTTCTGTAGTTGGCAGTGTGTTTGTAGTGGTTGGGTTCTCTCGAACTGTCGAGCCTTCGATAGTTGATGCGTCTTTAGTGGATGGGTTCCCTGTAGAGGTTGATGTTCTTGTAGTTCTTGGTGGGCCTAAGGTTGGTCGTGTGGCTGTAGTTTGGGTCTCTGGATCTGTTGAGGAGTTTGTATTCCTTGGTGGGTCTGAAGTTGTTTGTGTTACTTGGATCTCTTGTGTTAACGCCTCGGTAGTCCTTGCACGTGTAGTTGATTGCGTTGCTGTGGTTATTAGTTCATCTGTAGTTGCTGATGGGCTAGTTGATGCTCTTGTAGTTGATGGCGAGTTTGCTGGTTTTGTTGTTACAACATTTGACTCCGTCTTTCTTGTTGACGAGAATGCTAAAGGTTTTGAATCACCTAGGCAAAAACATTGTACACTTTATAGAGTGTTTTAGTTACCTAAAGTCGATCTTATCTTTGGATTATACAGAGTAGATTATGAATCCTGATCCCAATTACAAGCAGAGGGAAAAACATCCTTCAATAATTGAATGTGACATGCATGCACAGGACCCAAAATAGTTAATTCCATATTTCCTTAAAGCCTATGCTCGTTCGAATTCATATGAGGAAGGCTGTTTTTGTTATCTTTTCGAGTTTGGTAAACAAAGATTGGGTGGAAAGAAATGTGTTATTTCCATTACAAACAAATGTTGAAATGTGCGTGTACACGAGTCATAAGATTATGCAGCTTAGCTGTTGGTATGAACACTGTAGTAGGTATTGCTCCGCTATTAACTATAGCTGCTCTCCTTTATTTTTTACGTGCTCCTTGCAATATACATGCTAAACAAAGTGGCCTCATGTTTTTTCACTATACAGTTTGAATGGCAGTTACTATTACTTGTCTATAATTATTGACAGAACAGAAAGCCGTCTTGTGACATGGTATAGGATAAACGACCAATGACTAGAAGATTGTTTGCCTTTTGATCGACTGACTGACCAACAGACCGACACACCGACACCAGCAACCAATCAAACAGCTGGAAGCAATTATTTTTTTATGCAACCAAATGTGGTCAAAACCATAATGCGCATACGTGAAACATATCAACTAAATATGTCGTCTGATTCGGAATAAGTTTTTATAGCTTATATTCCGCGATGGTCAACGTTGTCTCGCTGTGGCTGGTGCGTTAAATCACTGATCTGACTGCTGGAGGTGCTTAGTTCAATGTTTTGGAGCCAATTTTACATTTTCACTTTTTCCGCCACAAGTGAAGTTTGTCTCCTATAGTCATGCTTAATCAACTCATGATGATCAATAACATGAAATTCAGCCTTTGTCCGCATTCATGTCTCTGGAGGAGGAAGTTAACTCCGAGAACCCTTCCGTTACCAACTGACCAGGCGCATTATGCTTGACTATACTTGGTTGCATAAAAAAAATAATTGCCAGGGGGATGACCAAATAACCAACCAAACGAGGAAACTGCGACCTTTTTAATAAAAGTCGGTACTTACAAGGAATAGCTGGAATGACTTACCTTCGGAAGGCTGCTGTCCTGAGGTTGTTCTAAGAAGCACAACGAAAACCAGAAGGAAAAAGATGAAAGTTGTCCGTAACGAAACGGCAGCCATCTCGCCTCATCAGTCACGCCTCATCAGTCACAGATTTCTGAGTCGGGGCAAAAACAGATTGGAGAGGAGAATCATTAGAATTGTCGAGATCATTTCAAGCCGGTTTTGTTAACCACAGTAAAAAAATACTAAGATAAACTCACCCTTAATTGGTGAGACTGTTGCAGACAGGTGCACTGAAAAATTGCCTTGGTTAATTTAACCCAAGAAAGGGTGAAAACTGCAACTACCCAAATTTGGGTTTGTTCTTTACCCCATTGATTCAACCAGAACGTGTGATCATACATGACTACAGCTTTTGGTTGAATTAACAGAATTTATAACCCAAACAATTGGTTATTGAACAACCCAAGTTTTGGTAGTTCCAGTTTTCACCCTTTCTTGGGTTAAATTAACCCAGGCATTTTTTTCAGTGTGAAAGAAATAAGACAAAGAAGGTTTTCGTTCACTCTTATTCTATACGGGTTAGTTTAAAACAAGTGTGAGTGCACAATTAGCTCTGGCCGTCTTGCATGAAAGTCTTGCATGAAATCTATCAAAATGCACCATGCCAGAGCTTAAAAATGCGACGCCCAAAAATGCGACGCCGATGGCACATTTGGAACACCGTACTTTAGATGTATACATAGATTTATAGCGATTTGTGATAAATACCACTTGACTAAAACATTTCTGCACATATTTTGCCTCCATTTACCAGTTTTTTTATAAACATCTTTCCGAGTTTTTTTACAAACAATTTTTGTAGTTCAGTACTTCATTTATTTTGATTGCTTTTTTTGAAAAATTAAAATTTGGTAGTTTAAGTTTATGGGAAATTTAGGGGGGTTATTTCGGTCATTTTCGAGGAATGGGCATATGCAAAAAAAAAAAAAAAAAAAAAAACGCGCATGCGTATCGATCGAAACAAAAGCGGTGTTCCGAAAACCGTCAGCAATAATGTATTAACGACGGCATGGCATTTTGGTCAGTTAGTCAATTATTTTTGGTCAATTAGTCAATTATTTTTGGTCAATTAGTCAATTATTTTTGGTCAATTATTTCGGGCAATTTTCGGGGACAGACACCCACACCGACAGCCTGTCCTGACAGACCGACAGACCGACCGACCGACCGACCAAGAACCAAGAGATAAAAATAACTTTACTAGGCTATATGTCGTGTTGCATCACCAAGTATTGAAGAATTGGCACCAAACTTCATTATTTTGTTTTTGATCGATAGCCAAAGTGATTTCTCACAGGCTGTGTACACATAACAATACGTAGATGAGAGGTATAATGAAGAAGCCTAATTGTTTGTGTTCATACCCAAATGAACAGGTAATTTAAAGGTGAAATATATCAGCCCTGCCATTTTTTTGGGCAGACAAAGGTCTTTTTTTATTAAAAGATTTCCAATACCCCTATCTCCCCCCTTTTTTATTTAAAGGGCATCTGCAATGCCACCAAAAGGGTTTTGTTTTGGCCACAAAGAGAGTCTCCTCACGAGCCGACTTGTGTCGTGGGAACCAGCCTACCCCGGTAGAACGGATCATTGTCGGACCGTAGGCAATTCGAAATTTGAAAAGTAATGATTCAATAACTGAACACGGACGTATTTTTTTGTTCAGAATGAAACTGGAAAAGAGCACGGGGAGTGTAAGGGGAACCTTTAATCCATATTTTTATACGTAAAACCCAGTGTCCTTGACATATCACGCCAGAAAAAAATTCCTGAAGTCAAGCGCAACGCCAGACTGATCCTTTTGTTGCAGAAGTGCTATATTTACCCAGTGCCGGATTTTGAGAGTTGCTACAATTTATGAATAATTTGGACGCCAATACTGCTCACCAGTTTCCGTAAATATTTTTTTTGGGTCTGTTTTATGTTGAAAATGCCATCAGAAATAACCACTGAATCTCATGACAGCAGGTTTTCCCCAATTTTGGACCTTGAGTGCATGGTGTCTGGGATCGGTACCCCTAACTAGGCCCCATGTCACACTCTCTCAATACGCTGCTCGGGATACACTCAGCTGAATAACAATAACTATTATGTTAGGGAATTGTTAAGCGTAGGCCTAATCCCGTTCAAGGTCTCGGCGACAAAACCTCGGCAGTGAAATCACAAAAGAGCATTCCTGCCTTTTAAAAACATGACATTGCTCGCGGGAGTATGACCTCTCATGTGAATGTTTTTCCCAAAAACATTTACAGGCTTAAAGCGTCGACATGGAATGTGAATGTTTTTTTTCCTCAAATACATCTACAGGCTTAAGGCATCGACATGGAACGCAAATGGATTACATGCATATTTTCATTTTTAATTAATCGCAGAGAGCGGATCATGAACGAATTGCACAGTAATGGAATATGACGAGAACAAAAAAATTGTGAAAATCAAAGTATTTGGAGAAATCCGGGCCGACCAAAATTGACATTGCAGGTTTGTTTCTCCTCACGAATTTTCAACTAGAATTTCCATTTTGATGGAAAAATGTGTTTGTTTGATTATTTGGCTTTGTGGGGGTGAGTTTGTGTTACATACCCTATGTGGACTTGTGAACAAAAGAGGTCCACATAATGCAGGTTGTGTTAACCTTATGTGAACTAAGCCGTGTCCACATAAGGTTTTGCCCTTTCTGGAAAACAGGTTTAGAGGCATTTTTGGGTTAGGTTTATGCGTAGCAGAATGAAGAGAAACACTATAGGGAATCATAGAAAAAAAATTGGGTTAAAAGAGTTTTCACAGTTTAAGTAAAGTTATTTTTGGTACCGAGTTTTCTTAACTACACGAAAACAAAGCTATGTCCACACAAGGTACGTAACGTAAGTCTGGGTGTACGTAAATGGGAATTTCTGAAATTTATGGCAATCATTAAGTAAAATACTGAAAGTGAAATGGAGAACCAAGATGTCTTTTAACGTTTTTAAGTTGAAAGTGTGAAAAACGCTAATACACTAGGCGTCTATATACAAAACGACTTGAAATGGGATACACAGATATCGAAAACGTGCAAACGGTAAGCTTCATATGCTATGTCTTCTTAAGCGGCATTGTGTACCACGTCAGGATTTTTTAACCATATATATGGGATATCACATTAAGTATATATATGGGATATCAGACCTCTTACTGAATATGCAGCACCAGTCTGGAGTGGAGCCCTGACTCAATACCAGAAAGAACGCATTGAGAATCCAGAAACTGACCACTGATCTCTATAATAGAGATCAGTGGAACTAACGCGCCCCGCTTGGAACTGCCTACACAACTAATCCTCCCCTGCTGCTCGCTTCAATCGTTTAGTTGGAAGACCGCACAGAATCACTTCATGTTTCATGAAGGGAATAAAATGTGTGTTTGGGAGGTATTATTGCACTCTGTTTAAGACCGGTTCAAGTCTGGGAGACCTGGAAACGTCAACGCCGGAAGTCAAAGGTCTTCAATGAAATTCTTTTTTACTCATCTCCATTTCCCCCTCAGCTTTACTTCAAGCTATTATTTCGAATGTTGCATCTGATTGAATAGCAGCACTACACGAATTTCGTCCGTGTTTTCTTCACCAATTAACCCTCAATAAATTTACTTCATGAAACTTACTTCATATATATGGCATTCAAATCCAGTTCTTCCAATCACCGCACTTCCATAGAGACTTCATGTATGTAGTACATGTCCCTCTTGCTGCACAGTGAATCTCCATCTTCCGATTAAAAAAAACCACCCAAAACTGCTGATATATCCTCCTTAGCACATATCCAAATCATTTACAGGAGGCAGACAACCAACAATATAGCCCGTGTATGGAAACAGGAAATAACGAGGCTCGCCTGGTGAGAAGCAGACGTCAGACAGAGCTGACACCAACGCTGTCCCGTAGGCCAACCATATCACAACTGGGGGACTGAGCCTGCAAAATGGGTATCAGTACCCTGCAACTGTACAGCGGTCTTTCTGTGTTGAAAGTGAACCCTTGCATAAGATTGCGTCATTGTCAGAATATCTTCCGGAGATTTCCAAAAGTAAATTGGAAAGTAAACGCCCTTAATTTGTTTCCATGTATACACACTGTTTTCAGCAAATGGTCGGGATTTTGACGAGGAAATGATTTCACTTTGACGCAAACTGAGACGTAAATCACACAGGACCTAGTTTTCACCCGAGAAGCTCCGCTTAGAAAAGGCAGGTGTACTTTGCTTATGAATAGAAAAGGGAAGTTCAGTGAACATATCACAATGCCATGGGCCTTGTTTGGTACACCATACGACAAATGGTAGACTGAAAACTCCTGGTTCACATTGTGTCAAATTGTTAGTGCCCGCAAAAACTAAATTGAGCTAAGTTCATACATTGCACAACAATGTTTTGCCTATAGGTTTAACAGTTAAATACTCACTTTCGTATCGCGGGGGAAAAACATCAACAAAGGTTGTTTTCTCAGTTCCACATCAAATACATTTTTATCCGTTGACCCCCGACATTTCAACATGTGAATGAAATCATACGCCGTTGTACAGTACAATTACAAAGCTTTCATTAAATTCTCGGAATATGATGGTTCCCCTCACGACCTATTGGTCACACTAGCAAAGTGCACTTCGTTAGTATACATACCCGCTGCTTAAGTAAATATCTTGCGGAAACCGTAGAGCTAATTCAACCAGTCATTTTTTCCGTCAGCTAGAGTCTAAATTCCCTATCATTTTTGTTACATTTTTGCACGTCTATTTTCGTTGTCATCTGCGCCAAGCAAGTCCTACCCTGGCGAAACCCAATGCATATCTTTCCTATTTTGACCTCGTGATGTTAATTACTCATGAACACATCCAAATAATGGACTGACATAATTTCTGACCAATCAGATCGCTCTTTACAAAAGCTGACCCAGAATTGACTTCCTACCAAATACAATGGCACTGCGATGCGCTGCCCTGGAAAGCACTCCTCTATTGGCTAACAAAGTTGACTTTGTAATACCACACCTCAATATTCAGTGCCAAGGAAAACGTCACAATTACGCAGAGAATCTTATTGGCTGACGGTGAGTGTCAAAATAGGGGAAATATTTGGGGGAATTGTGCCTTTGATTATACAAGCATGGCATTTGGCACACAGTCGGAGTATGTCTTATGGGAGGTATTTGGCTATATGTTCACCGCAGATTTGTCATTGGAAAAAAATAAAGGTTTTCATACCTTTCAAAACGGCTGCCATTGCTTGTTATTCTACCCTATATATTATTCAAAGGACATACCTGCGAGGGCCCTTTACAGCTAAATATAAGTTTCTAATGACATACTCTGACTGTGTGCCAAATGTCATGCTTGTATCATCAAATGTACAATCCCATCACTCTATTGTAATCATACGGTTTAATCGTTGATGAGTTTTAAGTTCATTCAGTAAACCTCGCAAATAATAGGTTTTTAGTGTCGAGGAATTTGATGTGAATGTCAAAAAGATGGTGTCCGGAAATTGGGCACACAAAACAGGTACAGAAGGTGCCCTGATGCACTTCAGGAAATGAAGGAAAGTTCCTAAGCTAGTCTACATTAAATTATTTAACTCCATTTTATCCAATAAAACATGATCAACAAGCATATGAGGTTGTCAGAAATATTTTCTAGTTTGGAGCGCACTTTTAAAGGTTTGACATTTTTTTTGGGGGTAATTTTTTTCGAGTTTTAAATTTTTTTAACTTGCAGGTATGTCCGGACTTTCACTGCCTGTATAATTAAGGGTTAGTCATTTGCACAAGGAAAGCACCAGCCATCAGCGAAGAAAAATCAATGTGCGCCACCATAGGCAAACAAGTATATAAGTTGGGAAATCAATCTAATAATATTTTATTATTTTTTACCGAGGTAATATCAGTTACCCCTTTTTCTTCCATCGTTTATCAGCATGGCGAATTGTGGCTTGCATTTTGTGAGAGGTCCGTGAAAATTGGGAGGCCCTATCCCAGTTCCGGGCCCGATGGGCCCGTGCGTTAATCCGTCACTGATGGTAGAGCTAAAGTTGTAATAAATCTCACACAAAAAGATAGGCTTTTTCTGTGGCAGCAGACGGAACACTGCTAATGTTGCTCCACAAATGTTGCATCTGACAAAACAGCAGCACTACACGGGTTCAGTTGTCTGCAAAACCAAGCATTTCGTCCATTTTTTCCTCCAACCCTCAATAAATTTACTTCATGTAACTTACCGAATTGCATGGCATTCAAATCCAGTTTTGTCAATCACCGCACTTCCATAAAGACTTCATGTCTGTAGTTCCTCTTGCTGCACAGTGAATCTCCATCTTCCGATTAAAAAAAAAACTGTTGATAGGCCTATATCCTCCTTAGCACATATCCAAGTCATTCACAGGAGACAGACAACAAAATATTTAGCTCGTAACGGCTTTAGCATGCAACAGGAAATAACGAGGTTCGGCTGGTGACCAGCTGACAAAGCTCACACCCACGCTGTCCCATAAGATCACGGTACAACTGGGGAGGCTAAATAAAGCCTGCCTGCAAACTGGGTCTCAGTACCCCGCAACTGTACCGCGGTGTTTCTGTGTTGAACCCTTGTACATGTTGTAAGATCACGTCATTCATTGTAAGAAATAGCTATTTCCAGGGATTTCCAACAGTAAACAACCGAGTCACGCCCTTAATTTTGTTCATGTATAAACATAACAATATTTCAAAAGAAAAAGGTCTGGATTGTGACGAGGAAGTGATTTCACTTGACGCAAATGTCTGTGAAATGGCTTGAATGTTAATCCTCGGGAAAATGGCACATTGTTTTGAACATGGCTTGGTTAAAACGAGAAATGCATGATAAACAATAAAATCCAGTTTTGAAACCAACCCGACTTGTTTTTGGGGTTCTTTTTTATGCACTCGTGTCTTCTTCTTGAATACTTATTCGCATGCACACCATGCCTACTGGTTTGACATGAAAGTGAACCAACTGAAATGTTGCATCATTCAAAATCTCATGACGTGGCGATCGGTGATGGATGACCCTGGAAATGTAAACAAGGTATCATTGAAAGGCATAGAGATTACGCTTTCAGATTATACCAGTTTAATAGCCAGTAAACATTTAGTCTGTCCATAGAGGTTCTTCAAAGTTGGGTTTCCTTTTTATTGAAACACCCTGTACATGAAACCTAAAAGTAGAGGGTGCTTGACAGGCATGAAATAATAGTCTCGGCGAAATTCGCTATAGCATAGACTTGCGTGTACCATTGATAACTGAAACCAAAAGCAACCCTTTCAAAAACAAATTTGTATCAAATATCTACTCTGCCATTTTTTGACGTTGCACACAATACACATTGGCCTAGTAGCATGCCAACTGCATGTCTATGTCTAACGACAAAGGGGAAATTGGCAAAGGTCATGTTTACCCTCTGAAATCGAATAGAGACCTCAATTTTGAGAACAGTGAAAACAGGAACTAGATGTGCAAAACATGGCTCGTGGCTTTTGTTCAATGTGGCCTGACTCTTATTTTCACAGGGTAGCCCTGTATTGTTGCTGCCCTTAAAGGGTTCCCTTGGTTTACAAAAAGAATTAAAAGGTATACTTTTTACACCAGAAAAGGGACTTTAAAATTGACAAGATCTAAACCAATCAGGAGCTAGGGGTCATGAATTCCTCCTCTGAACTGTATGAATACAATGAGGAATCCATATTAATTAATTTTCTCTTTCATAGTGCATTTCTTTCAACATCCGGCTTATCAGGCCTGAACGTGTCTTGTGATCTTACTGAGAACTCATACGGTTGTTACTATACAATTCTGCAACCTCGTTCGCAAAGGTCAACTTTAAAGGGGTATTACGGCCTGAAATTCCCGAAAATGTCATTTTTTTTAATAAGTGATTGATCACCACTCTCTGTTTTTTTTTTTAATGTGCATGTACCCCTATATTAACCTTGTATGATGATGCCCCTTTTCATTGCATCTGAGGAAGTATATACACGTAAGCTCTGAAAGCTTATGCACAATTTCAATCTAGTTAGTCATTTAAAGTGCTACCTTACGTCTATATATTTGATTTTTCCTGACTAACACGGCTGCCTGTAATACCCCTTTAACATCGAGACAACAGTAGCCAATGCATAACTCACCCCTTGTATTCTGGCTCGATCGCGCTATAATGACAAATAATGGTGTATTAACTTTCATTGTGAATTATCCTCCTCAACAACTATTTTCCCTTTTCATCTATCTTATTATCATATTCAATGAAATAAAATTAATTATTTTGAATGGGTTAGATTATCACATTGGAACTTTGAATAGTTTTATGTGTTTTTCGGATCTGACAACAAGCAGAGAGCTTTAACTGATACCTTCGCATTTAAACGGAACAACGATTGAACTGCAAAATTGGTACAAACATCTATCCTGATGCATGTGCATACAATGCCGTTATCATGTATTTAATTACAAGCGACGTGGGGGCGCGCTATATCGGCACGTGAACAAAACATTTAAAAACCACTTGTGAACATTTTACCAAATTCTCTCCACTTGTTTGGACAAGGCCCATACAATAAAGAAATAGGCCTACTTTGCTAACTTTCATAATGATAACGTCATCACACCGGATGTCGGGTGACAGTGATACGTCGGTCCTTTGCTCATATACATTTGCGTTATTTTTCATTCTTTCACTTCATCCAGCAAACCTGTCTAAACTACATCAGTATTTATTGTGCACATTTTAACTGATGACGTCAACAAACCGGAGGTAAAATGTGAAGAAAATGTGTTTTGAAATCCGTCGATCCCTAAAGGATGCATTCGTTCAAATTAATAAATGCAAAAAAAAAAAAAAATAATTGAATTCATACTATTCCCGTTTTTTGTGCTTAGGCCTAAGCATGTTTGCAGCTGAGTTACAGAGTGCCAAATAAAAATAGTTCTGAGCTTAAGACAAACGCAAACCTCTAGTTTACATTTCAATGGAGGTCATCTGCATTTTTCATTTGCATGGACAGTAATTTTATGGAAAATTAAGCGGTGCATGTACGCAGGTTGTCCTACAATCAATAACAATAATTGGCAGGTCTCTCGTCTCCATGTCAACCAATCCCAACTGATCCTTGCTGAGCGAATCGTTAAAGGTGACTCATCAGCGTTCCAATAGTCATGCAAAATCCTGGAAAATGCTGGAGTGTAAATCTTTCATGGAAAGTCATGCGAAAGTCGTGGAATTTTGTTAAATTGACAAGGAGTCATGGAATATTGATATTCGTAGACAAAAGTCGTGAATACGTCATGTGATCTTGCAACGCCTGTGCGTGACTATGCGTAATATACGGCTAATGACCGGCTTCCAGTCAACATTTCCATTTGTTTTTCTTCCTCTTTTTGCATAACACTTGTTGCATGTTCAATGCACCATTGCAATACTTCAGTGTGAAACTTGACATTGAAACGGTCATGGTTTCCCTCACCCCCAGTGTGATGAATGGCATTGTATTGTTAACTCCCGAAATGCCTAAAATAGGATAGGACCTGGTCATGCAAAGCCCTTATTACCAGGTATGTCCTGGAAAGTCATGGAGTTCCATTTCAATATTTCTGGGGGGAGCCCTGACTCGTGGATCTCGTGATCCCGAAATAGCGGGCCATTTAGATTTCAAAATGTCTACTAAGGTTTTTTTATATTAACAAATTGTGAGTCAACTAATCGATCCCAAAAAGTCATACAGATAGGGGAAAATGTAAACAATCATGTTAGACGACCTTTGTTTACATATGACTGGTAAGGCTTTATACCGTGCCTTTTCTATACATTATTTGAAAGGTAAACACAGCCGCCAAAGAATAATTAAATGGTACAATGATACGCATATAATAATGCACACAATCTGATGAAAAGTAGCCAGGGGATCGCACCATTTGTCACTGCAGTGAGAAACCACCTGAGAATGAGATATTCAAGTTCAAATTAACTGCATGTCAGACATTTTCCCGGTAGCAGGCTACGCCAAGCACACGCATATTGAAGAAAAGATATTGCTTTGCACTGCGGCAAAACCGCTCAAGTTTTGAGGACCAATTTGTTGTACTTACCTTACTTCCTTTCTACACTTTCAAAACGCTGGTTAAAATTTTGTTGGTTAAAAAAGTTGGTTAAAATTTTAACCAACGTTGTGTAAAATTGTCCAATTTTGCCCAACGTTTGCCCAACTTGGGCATATTGTGCCCATTGTTGGTTATTTTTTTAACCAACCGTTGGGCTGTTCACCTGTTAAGCAACAGTTGGTTAAAAGTAGTCAATTTACCCAAACGATGGTTACAATCGGGTACATTTAACCAGAATTGGGTGAAAGGACTACTTTTAACCAACTGTTGCTTAACAGGTGAACAGCCAAACGGTTGGTTAAAAAAATAGCCAACGTTGGGCAAAATATGCTTTACGTTGGGCAAACGTTGGGCAAAATTGGACAATTTTACATATCGTTGGTTAAAATTATAACCAATTTTATTAACCAACAAAATTTTAACCAGCGTTTTGAGAGTGGATAATACTTCCTAACCCCTTACTTCCTCCTCACCACTATAATCGTATGTTTTGGAGTAATAGCTATTTTCACGGTGCATTTCAGGATGGTGTGTTCCTTTAATACATGAATTTCACGATCCAATTCTTACATTTACGTTGACCGCGACTAGACTCGGCAAAATAATTGCATGGCTCGTTTCAAGACCCTTTTGAAAAAAAAATCAATTCTATCAGCGAATGCGCAACAAATCTGGCAACAACGCGACCTGAAGCACCTCCTGCGTGAAAGTGTACGTATAAAATGTAATCCAGTCATTGAATGGTGTCAGTGACGATAATCTATGTAAACACAGTTTTAATTTTAAATGAGAAATTTACAACAATATAGCGATAAAACAATAATAAAGTATTGGGGGCACTATAAGGTGTTGGAGACAGAACTGTGTTGTGGTTTTCGATTATGTAATGGATTAAGACACGCAAAAAAGAGATTTTATATTCTGAAGAAAAAAAATCATCACCGTGAAAATAGACACTTTGCATTGTTTTGTGGCCATATTTGGGTTGAGAGCTCTTATTACACAGGGGATACCACGAGAAAACGCCTAATTAGCAACTCGATGAAGAAACAAAATCATCATCAAAGTTGACTCCCAAAAAATACACATAAAATCTCTATAAGAGCAAACCGAAGCATCTGAATATGCAGAAAAACATGAAAGAAAAAAGTAGCTATATCTATTTCTCTGTCATAAATATCGTATTTATGTCGTCATGACAAGTGAATATCGTATTTATGTCGCCATGACAACCCCCCCTCCCCGAAAACAACCGATCCCACGCAAATGTAGGGCCGCCGATGTTTTGTTATATACCAAATTGCTTCCGAGTTACTCCTGCGTTAAGGCCTTTCATAATTGACACTTAACTCGGAGTAAAGGGCCGCACATCTGTTACGCTCCACTGGTCATTCGTTTTCTCATCAGCACTGTCATTCTTGCGTCTAAGTAGCTTCACGAAATATTTAGGCGAGATGAGCAGAAACTGCAACGGTGGAGCGAAGAAAAAGAAAACATTAAAAAAACCCCAAATATTCGTGCGCATTAACATTCAGTATTAACTTTTGTTCGTTGGGCTCTTTTAATAGTCGTTCGGTTTATTTGTATGGCTCTTCTGTCTTTTTTTTTGGATCGTGGGGAGTTGTGGGTGACAATGTTACACTAAATTGCTTCCGAGTTACTCCTGCGTTAAGGCCTTTCATAATTGACACTAAACTCGGAGTAAAGGGCCACACATCTGTTACGCTCCACTGGTCATTCGGTTTTTTCATCAGCACTGCCATTCTTGCGTATAAGTAGCTTCACGAAATATTTATGCGAGATGAGAAGAAACTGCAATGGTGGAGCGAAGAAAAAGAAAACATAAAAAAGCCCCAAATATTCGTGCACAATAACATTCAGTATTAACTTTTGTTCGTTGGGCTCTTTTAATAGTCGTTCGGTTTATTTGTATGGCTCTCTTGTCTCTTTTTTTTTGGATTGTGGGGGGTGGGTGACCGATCTCATTTGGTTCCGTCGCCATTTTACCTGGATGTCTGTAATTGTTACCTATTTCACTTTACGTGGGCACGACTTCCACAAAAACCGGTCACTGTATTCAAATTGTCACAGGAAACCGGAATGAAGTTCTTGGAGTACCAAACGAGTATAATATATATATTTTTCTCCCATTGGTGCTCGAATCGAGTGTAAAGTGCTTACACAATATGTAAATGATGAATGACTCTTGAGCATTAAGCAATATATATTTTTAATACAATCGTCTCACTCCATGGCAGCAGGTCAATATTCTGATATCTTACATCCGTACAGCGAGGCGGTCATATAATAATACTGGCCTCGACATCATTACATTCGCGCATGCGCAAACTGTGGCCGACTTGCGTTGTAACACGATAGCGCAATAACAGCTCATATAGACCTAGGACACAGAGCTCTTTGGACAACTACAGTGCGTCCATCATGCCAGTTGCTTAAATGACATTTAGCAGGACTCCTGTCCCTTTTCGTGATCCTTTGGATTTGCATACAAGTCTTCGAAGACGTGTTTCAAATGCTCGGACTCGGAGATAGCTGTTGGACTCAGATGCTGCTCTTAGTCATTTTCTTTTGTAAGTGTTTTTTTTATTATCTTGTGGGATGTTATACAGTGTAGAGGCACAGAGAAAGTGACCTGGAACAATTATTGTCTTCTCTTAAAAAGCAATTACATTTGATAAACCGGTATAGCATGTATTACACGAGCATGTTCTTCCTTTCATGTGATTTTTCCCCACCGAAATCGATCCATGCGCTATCAGAAGTAATTCATGTTTCACTGAAAGAACCGATTTTTACAGCTGTTCGTGGAATTCTGAATGCTTTGAAGCTATTCAGCTGAGTGAGAGCCAAAGATTACACACAGGCTCTGACATACAAGTGAGATTTTAATAATTTGAGTCAAGTTTGAAACGTTTTATTTTCCGATATCTCGTGGCACCTTAGACTGGTTCCCGCTCCCAATGGGGACCAGGGGCTTGTTCCATGAGCCCATTGATCTATGTATGGAGATCAATGCATAAGCCATTGATTGGTTCACCTTAGAGCGAGCGCAGTATGATTTTTTAGGAAAAATAATGCAGTTTACAGCCTTGCGCCTGGAGGACATTTATTCACATGGCTTTCAAAAAACGGACTCTTACCATAACCAGTAGGCAAATCGCCAAAGTGTCTATACACGAAGGCAATTTTCAAGCATTTGAACTACATATAGGTTTCAAATAATGAAAAACAATGCCCCTCGCTTTATTGATATAGTTGCCAGAGACACTTTCGACGTTCCGTGTTCTTCTGGTGTGCCTGTGCAGTGTTGCAGTCCAGTACTTTTCCACGGGTACGAGTACGAGAACGAGTACGAGAAGTTTCCCTGAGTACGAGTATGAGTACTTTGTCATGAGTACTACTTTACTATGAGTACGAGTACGTGTACAAGTACATTTCCATTGGTAAACGTATTCCCTAGTACTTTTCGCACATTAAAAACCAAAAGTTCATGAACGAAACAAATGATCACAGGTGAACCCTTTATTAAACCAAACAACTTTACACAATTGGACAACTTAATTCAACCCTGAAGTGTAGCCTCGTGCATTGCAGAGTAAAACTGGAACAAGTGGGAGCCGCGGGAACAGTTTGATATTTTTCACTTTAAGACAAGTATGACTGCAGTCGTGCATTCGATAGCAAATGTTTCAGGACAAGAGTGAGATTAGATTCAAATAGATATTGTTTAATAATGGTTGGTGCTCTCTAATAGTTTATGATTTCAATGAGTCCTTAATTTTTCCCAACAAGCTATTAAATGTTTTTATCTTGTAAGAGCCAATCACCGTGTAGGTTGTATATTGTATTCAGCATGGAGCTACATGTATATTGGCTATGCACTGTCTACAGATGAGAAAATCATGTGTGCTGAACTATAGCCTTCATTCAAGTCATTTTCCCACCATTTTTTTTTATACAATGTATTTTACATAGTATGAGTACAAGTGCTTTTCCATGAGTACGAAGAGGAGTACAAGTTTGAGTCGAGTACTTTGCGATGAGTAAGAGAACCAATACGAATACAGGCATTTTTTCTTACGAGTACTAGTTCGAGTACATTTCCATGAGTACGAGTACAAGTACGGAAAAAGGACTCGAGTGCGAGTACGAGTACTAGTACTATACTTTTCACTGTGCACTTCTGAATACCGAATAGTGACACATAATACATGTATACAAATAATAGAATACATGTACGTGTAAAAACATGTCCTACTTTTGATCCTAAATAACTGTGCTGTTCATGCCAATGGAATTAAACCAAAATTCCCCACCATGTAAACAAGACATGACACATTTTATGGAGCGATTTTCATCAGCTTTGTGCAAGAGGGCAAGATTTAAACGCCATACGGACAAAAAACACCCACTTTCAGAATATGCCACGTTCGACTCGGCGTTCTCCAATGTCGATAAAGCGCTCAGAGACAGTGGCCGAAAGCTCTGATGTAATGCACAACTCCTCGATCGTTTGGTGCAACACACGAGGTGTGCAATGACATCAGGGGTTTCCCGTCGCTAGTTCCGGCGACCTCGGAGTTTTCAAAAAAGTCCACAAATTCAATGAAATTTACCAGGCGCGAACGGGTTCAGCAATCCTAGTATCCTCCATTGAACCCCGTGTGTTTGGGTCTGTTTTGAATTCCATGGTTGCTAGGCCCACGCTGGGCCAGGAATGTGGGGAAAATAGGGTTACTGTGCGGAACCGCCGACCACAGAACTATTCAGCGGCATGCCCTGATGTGATTCACAAATTTCAGGGGTATGTTTGTGTTTGTTTGTTTGATGATTTTTTTTGTGTTTTTTAAGCATTTACATATAACGGTGAAGGATTTTCCTGTAGTGACTGCGTCGATCAAGGACACGGAAATTGCGAGGCATGACCACTATATTAGATCTGTTGACATCGCTCGTTTTCAATAAATGAAGTCTTCAAAGACTGTCGTTTTATTTACTTTTAATAGAAGAGATTAGGTTTAAAAGTGTTTCAAAGTTATTAGGGGTATTTAAAAACATCTTTACTTCTGTTTTACAGGTAACAGTATATCGACCATCTTTATCATTGAGCAAGAAAACAAAATATAAATGAAGCTTACCCAAAAATAATGTACATGTAACATGCTAAATACAATTGAACAGTACAAAATAACCAGATCAGAAGTCCAGGCTAGAAAGCATTAGTACATTGTACCTACGTCACATCACATGGTTGAGACGTCTTACCAATGGAGATCAATGGACGTCACACAGTTGAACGGACATGACACTCCTGCCACAACGCGACATAACTTGATGGTCACAAAACGTGTCAGATATTCTAACAAGTATTATGTGTGGCAGCGAAGGATAACTTTAAGTACACTTCATGCTCGCTTAAATACCAAGAAGAGTTAAAGAAACTACCGAATGTGTCCTTCAAATGAATTGTGGAAATCATAATTTTTTTCGTAAGTTCAGTACGGCTTCATATTTTATTATTATTATTTATGACTGGCCATAAGTGTTCCAAGTGCTATTTAAGTACACAAACTTATTCATAGCAACTCTCTTTGCAGGCTGCTCTTACATGAGTTACACCGAAAAATCGCTCAGTACTATTCTAAATGTCGATACTGGAATAAGAAATGCATGTATAGGTGATACAAACACTGCTTTTACTTGAAGCTGTAAAGTTACATTTTAAGCTGTATTTTCGAATCATGCCAATTACAAAATGAAAACGATAACAGAACCTAGAATAAGGGTACGTGAGAGTCAGACACAAAGATTTCTCTGGGCCTATACCCCTTCATAAGGAATCAAGTTAGTTCTACATTAACAGCTGTAGTCTGTCACGCAAGAGTACGACTAAATATGTTACCGCTTTGGGTTTTTTCTGGCAGTGTATTTGGAGTGGTCGGACGTCACGGCCAATGTGTGCTACCTGGGACAATTGCCGGATCCATCTCATCCGGGTAAACTCCGTTGGGTGATGCCGACTAACAAGCGCAGAGACCAGTGCTCGTGTACAAGCCTTCTGCCTGCTGGTATATTGAAAGCACCGAGTGGACCTCATCGTCCGTACTACGTCGACCGGCCACTGTTCACGAACGATAAGGAAAAGATCTCGGACTTGTTCGACTGTGGAGGTAGGAATAACTGATCTTACGGGGTCCGCTCGATAGTTCGAAGGTTTAATAGTCAGAAGGTTTGTTGGTCCGAAGGCTCGATTGTCCGAACACACACATTCCCATACCCGGGAGGGGGGGGGGGGTATTAGTCCGATATGAAATAAGTTTCGTTAATCCGAGCATTTGTTGCCATAGTCCGAGGGTTCGTTATTCCGAAGGTTCGATAATCCGAAGGTTCATTAGTCCAAAGTGAAAACAAAGTTCAATAGTCCGAAGGTTCATTAGGCCGAAAGCACATGCCACTATAGGTTTAATAGCTAGTATGCTGTCAATTCGGACTGTTCAACCTTATTGTCGATTCGGAGTATCGAACTTTATCGTCTATTCGGACTATCAAACCTTCGGATTATTTAACCTTGCTCTATTTTCGAACTAATGAACACTTCGAACCTTTGGACTAACGAACCTTTGGTCTATCGAACCTTCGGTCAAACGAATCTTGGGATTAAAGCTATAGTCCATCATTTGCAGCCATCCGAAAAGTAACTGGCGTAATTACTGTTGAAAAACAAACTTGGTTGAAAGGTGGTAAGGGAACTAAACTCCCTGTAGCCTTGGTCAATGCTCTCGGTGTTATTCGCCCGCACGCGGTCAATCGTCGGCATATATCCTCACGCGCTATGCACATGCATGTAAAAATACAGCGCGAACAGCGACCTCACGCAGCCACTATTTTTATGCAAATCAGTTGGAGACGATGCATGTAACTTTTGATTTGAAATTGAGATCTTAGAATGCTGCTTTTCTCGGAATGTACAGCTGAAGCTTAGCTGAAACTTCATCAGGTTAGTTGCTCAGTATCCTTCATTAGATTTTGAACACTTTTGTTGCTTCAAACAAACAAAATGCACTAATTACAAATGATGGACTATAGCTTTAACGAACCTTTGGACTATCGAACCTTCGGACTATCGAGCGGTAACCGATCGTACACGTACACCAAAGAAATACTTTTTTTGATAAACATTAATGGGTATTAACAATTTTATAAATCGTTTTAGTTAGACTATCTCGTGATGGCACCTGATGTATCCAGAGTACCATGAATATAAGTTGGTATATCGTACCAGCTCACTTTAATTTGCTGGTCCCAGAGGGTCAGCCTACTAGTGTCCAATCTAATGAGTGACTGACTGATTGACTGACTCCCCGACTGACTGACCCCCCGCAGACTGACTAACTGACCGACTCCCCCACACCCCCGATTGACTGACTGACTCCCCGCAGACTGACTGACTTCCCGACTGACTGACTCCCCCACCGACTGACTCCCCGACTCCCCGACTGACTCCCCGACTCCCCGACCGACTCCCCGACCGACTGACTGACTGACTGACTGTCACATGTTACTGATAGGCTGGAGATTTTTGGACGCTTGTGATTTATGTGCCCTGCTCGTTTATAATTTCAGCGTCGGTTTGAAAGTCATTTCTGTTCAGCAAGAGAGAGTTGCAAAATGGAGATCCAACCTTGTTTGCTTTTGCCTGCTAGTACCCGCTTCAAGCTCCCCATAAGTAACACAGGCATTTTATGCAGGTTGTTTGGGTTTTGGTCACCTCAAAATGGTCGAAGAGTTTCCGGGAGGTTTAAGCTTTTCCTTTATTCCGTCTTTTATACTTTGTTTCATATTAAATATTCTCCAACTTTACAGAGTAATATATTTTTTCAATCCACGTTAAGAGTTATCAAACAAAGACGGATCACACTGTTATTTTTTATTTATTGTTATTTTATATTTAGAGGAGTTTTCTATCATCGGTAAGCCCGCCGAACAAAGTTCAACATACCGTGCCAGGACTGCAGCAAAGGCTGTTGACGGTAATGTCGACACACAGACTAACGGGAACTGTGCGCATACCGGCGGCCCAGGTAAATGTAGTCTTTGTTATAATGATGTGCAAACCCGACCCGAAACCGAAATCGACCCGACCCGAAACCGACTTCGGGTCGGGTCAGGTCGGTTTGTCCATCTTTTAAGTCGTGTCGGGTCGGTTTCGGTTTTGCATTTTCATTTTCGGGTCGGGTCGGCTTAGCCATCTTTTGAAAAAACCGAAATAAACCGAAATAAACCGAAACAGTTGAGAAATTTAGGTGATGCAATATTATTGACAGTCAATGTGACCGCAGCCCTAGTGTGGTGTGGCCAACGAGCGCACTATCAAGTTCCCACGGTATTAATTTCTCCAGTCGGATGGGACTGACGAAATATATACATTGTAACAGTTTTCATGATACCGCGTGATGATACCATGCGTTTGTTCAATAAGCGGAGTTACTCTCGATCAGCCCACTGAGTATGACAGAGAGAGACGATGGTTTTGCAAAAGAATTCATGCCACGTGGTCAAGGGCAGGCACAAACAAGTGATCACTTTGTCCAAGCAAGGTATTCTTTTTTTCGGTTTTTTTTCGGGTCGGTTCGGGTCGGTTTTACCTTATTTTTTGTCAGGTTGGGTCGGGTCGGTTTGAGGGAGTTCAGATCGGTTTCGGTTCGGATTCGGTTTATATCTCTAATGTTTCGGGTCGGTTTGGCCTGGTCAACCCGACCCGATGCACATCATTACTTTGTTACAACTTTCTTACTTTGATGAAAAGCATTCTCAGTCAGTCACAACCTCGTTCCCAGTGTGTCGTGCACTACGCTCCCATCAAAGGGGTGATAAAGGCCTGATGTCGAACTCAGAGATTTTTTTCTCCTCTTTTTTGATAAAAATGAATCAAGGATCCTTCCTCAAGCCGTACAAGCGGTTTGGGGGAAAATTGCAAAATCTTGCTTCTTCAAAGGGTGCATATACCAGTAAATAGGCCCGAAATTGCCTACGCCGGAGAAATCACGATTTGCATGCCTTCATATACTCCGGTATTACAGCACTTTGATTTGAAGGCTGGAAGCCGTGCACATGAGACAGTACAAGACAAAAGACATAAGAAAACTTTATTAACCTCCAGATGAAGAAACTACAATGATCGCAAAGCTTATAAAAAGGGAAGAACACTGAATACAAAATACATCGTAGTATAGTGCTTGAAATGCTAAGTTTTGTCAACGAGATTTCGGGCATATTGACGGAATAATGCTTGCGATAATAGCCTACACATGACTGGTAATTATAATAATAATAATTATTATAATAACGGGTTCTTATAAAGCGGTTTTAACTAAGATCAAAGCGCTTTACATTATTATTACTCCTGATCATTGGGCCAATGAAACATTCCAAATACCATCTCAGCTCCCTGGGGAGTATACAGCTCGATGCTGCCCGTTAGGCGCAAGGAAGCTAGAATCAATCACAATTACCATCTCTGCCTAGGAACCCATTTACTCCTGGGTGGAGAGAAGCAATGAGTGACAGAGTGTGCCTTGCCCAAGGACACACGCACCATAACCCCAGGCTGGACTCGAACCCACAACCTGCAGAATTACCCACAGACCACGAATTCAATGCCCCAGACTACGAGGCCCGGCAAAGCAAAATAACCATTCGTGTATGTCTTACTAATATTATTTGGGCAGACGCTAAAGCAGAATACCAGCCCTGGTGGAGAGTTGATCTTGAAGGGGAGCACTGCATCACTCAAGTCAGTATCCTCAACCGTGGCCACTGCTGCAGTAAGTCACTTTTCTTAGAGATACTCATAACCTGAGCGGATCATTTGCTGTCCTTGCATTAAGTTTTTACTTGAAGCAACAAAATTGTTCAAAATCCCATGTAGGGTCACGGTACCTAAGGTTCCGACGTACCTTTAAAAATATTTTTATCATATTTTGAATAAAGTGACTTTTTACACGTTTACACGTAGTGAATGGATAAAGTTGCGGATTGCTCAGTTTGAGAATGACTTGAAAAGACAAAACCGCTCAGTTGGTAGAGCACCGGAGCGGTTATCCGGAGGTCGCGGGTTCAAGGCCCGATCCAGTCAATTTCTGCGATCAACTTTTCAACGGTAAAATCGACTTTTAGAGCGTTACAGCCTACAAGTGTTACGAATCTGCTGAAGCTACAGATATGGCAAAATAAGTCATTGTTAAGACTGCGCTGAAAAAAACCCCAGACGTATTTCGACAATTTAATAGGCTTAACTGGTTTCCCCTTATAAACCCCCCCCCCCCCACTATATTACTCAGTCTTGTCACTATGTTAGAACAACTTCCAATTGGTCTCCAAAAAAAAAAAAAAAACTGAAAAAAGACCACGATTTCAAAATGTCTTTTTTCTTTTCGTGGGTTACGTACAGGTGAGCGTACTACTCATGCGGTAGTCCGGGCCGGTCCGAGTACCAACGTCACCAACAACCCTACGTGTGGATCACCGGTGACAGCCGAGCAAGCAGCGCCACCGGGCGGCCTGATCGAGATGGCATGTGAGCCACCGTTGAGGGCGCGCTACGTGAGCGTTGACATACCAGTTGTTACTATCTTGAACTTTTGTGAGGTGACAGTCAAGGAACTTCCCCTGTCTAAATGCCCATGAATTAATCGTGTAAACTGGAGAAAACCATGCAAAGCATTGATGGTGTGTTAAAATTTTACTTTTCAACGTGGAAAATAAATAATTTGCAATATTTTAAACTGACAACGATATTCCGACATGAGGGTAAAAGCCATTTTCCATTCATTAAATATATCAAAAAACTCAACCATTATTTTGTACACCTGATCAATTAATCAGTGCAGAACTATCTTGACGTTTCATACTACCAAGTATCTTTTTTTGGCGATGAAAGGGAACTAAGTCCCCTTTTTAAATGCATTTTGGAATAAGAATTCTGGTGTAGCCTGATAATAATGAGGCTCTTCGAGAGTTGCTCTAGAAACGAGCGATTAAAAACATATAAATACCCAATGAGTTAGGACCTCATATGAAAACAAACTAACTCAGCATTAAGGTTACCTGATGCCACCACAAATATCTTGACAATTCAAGAGCTTCAAGACTCAAGCCAACCTTTCCTAAACATAACAGGTGAACTGAAAGGCAATAACAATCGACAAAAAAAACCCCCGAATAGTTTCAAAGTAACGTCTATTTAAGTACGAAGATGTAATAATGTCAAAGACCTATAGACAATACTCAGACAGTGTAGGGCACACTGAGTGCTGAAAAACCTGCAAAACGAAATCAGGCCATCTTTACTCACTCTTTATTTTAGCCAGTAAAATTCTCCAAAATTTTCAGTGGGTAAACACGTAGACAAGGTCCTCAGTATTAAATCACCAACCAAGTTTGAAGTCTCTTTTCAATTTTGAAAGCAAAGTAGACAATACATGTACTATGGGCAAAAGATAAGGAAGCATTTTTATTCTTAACACAGCCAAGGGTAGTTCGAAAATTAGGGTCTCTCAATACTGCGTATGAGAGTCCCAAAACGTAAGGTATTAAAAACATACAATACAAGAAATAGACTGGCACCTGAAACAACCAGTCCAAAAAACCTTCAATGCTGCATCAATCAACTGTACCAAGAGAAACATCTGGCATGTCTGGTACTGGTCTCTAAATCTACTCCTTTCTCCAAAGTCATCAGCTACCAGACTAATAAAGATGTCATCTTTTCAAACAGTTGGACCGTGGTTGGACATGTACCAGTCTAGTCTTTGGCCTCAAATTGAAATCACTTGACTTCCCTCTAGGTGCAAAATATTGAAAATGAGAAAAGTCTCCTTTAATAATTGACTTGAGACTTCAAACTTTAATAGTTGGCTGAGGTCCTTGTCTTTGAGTCATGAACATTTTGGAGAATTTTGTGTACAAAGGTTATTGAAAGTCGAGAACATTTTGTAAGTATTTCCTAACAAAATTGGAAATGTTTTTCAGTCCCAGATTTATGTCTTATCATTATTTTTGCAATGACTGACCATCATCGAGATGATATATGAAGAAAAAAAGCAGCGTCAGGTTGGCAACATATTCTTTCCTTTTGTCAGCCAAAGAGTGAGTAACGTTGGCCTAATTTCGATTGGCATGCATGTTTTTGAGCTCTCAATGTCGCGGTCTGAGCCAAGGGAAACGATTGTCAATCTAAACTCACCGAAGTCTTTGAAGTCTTCATGTCTTTGAAGCTCCTTGAAGGCTTCCATTCCAAGAGTCTGCGGGCGAGGCCGATAAAACGGAGATGTGCCCCATGTACCGTCGGTATCCACCAGCCCCGGCTCGCTCGTGGTAGCGCCATATTGTGTGTATGTGAACTTGTGTCATCTCGGATGGGGCACTTATCCCAATATCATCATGCTGCAACGTCTGCAGTTTATTTCGTCGTCCGCTCTGCTGGTCGGCTGTGAAATGAAGCTCGCCCAATCTTCTCTTTTATAGTCTCTTGGTCTGTCTATAGTAGCCGGGGAGGGGTGGAACTCCTACAAGGGTGTTTGAAGGGTTGTTAAAGAGGTGTCGTATAAAAGGGAAAACCATGTCAGCATGTTACTGCTTCTCCATAACCTGAATAGTCAGGAAATTGCTGCCATGTTAGCTGAAAATATCCTGATGCGGATCGATCTCTGCTTATAAGCTGCCATCCTTGGACAGGTTTGCTCCCAGAAACATGAATGCAGCTTCTGACCTCCTCTAGGTTCCAATACCACTTATGTAGATGTCAGCACTTTTGTCATTCATTCTGCTAACGATAAGCTCGGTTAGTTTTCTGTGCTGACTGCCATGCCACAAACTCCTGCCTTGTCCACATGTCAATTGGCAAGGTCTTGTATTTCACCAGTGCTGCTGAACATTTATTGGGTCTATATGCCATCGGCGGAGCGTATGATGTTGCAGATTGGAAGTATGAGAGAAGTATGGTGGAAGTATCACGGCAGACACTCTCAAATGAACACATCTTGAAGAAGGTCCAGTATTCACTCGGCTAGTCCCACAAATAATAGTATAGCCTCCACAGATACGTCGTTGAACCCTGAATGCGAAGGCTCTTGTCCACATGAACCTATACGGGTCCTTCACCACACAATACATTTCGTCTGTCTAAATGTTCAGCTAGGAATGCCCTGGCTTCGTGCCAAGAATTTCTAGTCCTGCATAACAAAAGAAAGATACAATGTTTATATTGTTTCGCTTGGTCTATTCTTTAGCTCATGCAACTCAGATGCAGGGCGACAACCGCAAAGCTGGGTGTCAGTAAATGCCAAAAGTACATGGTACAGTATATAAAAGTTCAGCAAAAGAACATGTAAAAGAGCTAGTGTATTAAAAGAAAACATGTATAGCTTATTAGTTCATGGCGCTGATTAGTGAGGCAGTTCGCGAAACCATACATTTATGTTTATATTTAGAACTATTTAAATAGCATGCCACGCATGAACGATGTAAATACTAAAATAGTCCGCTGTAGCATGAATTAGGTTTCTATGAAATACGGACTCGTTCGTAGTATTGCGCATGCGTAAGCATGATAATTAGGAGAGCGACCGGTCACGTTAGAGGGTTTATCCTATAATCGGGCAACGGAGTCCGATTTTCATAGGAGTCCGATTTTCGTGTGACACATGCAGTCACCCTTTTAAATACTGTCTTGTATGAGAATCTCTATCTATTTGGGTCACAAATAAATCATGTTGTTTTAGAAAGCATCCGGATCTTAAGTTCTTGTTTTATGTGTGTATAATGTGTAAATAGTTTAATCAACTGGATTATTATCAAATTTCTCATCCTTGTAATGATTCTTTCAAGGTAACATTTCAATTTATGAACTTTTTAAGTAAGATATATGTATCGAATCGAGAAGGATAGACGTCAAGACGTGATTCATATTTAATATGATAATGATAAAACGGAGGGACAAATTCCATTTATTGTAAGCATATTGTATGTAGACCAGGTCACTGCAGTTTACCAAAATAACCTGATAAATGTGACACCGAATTTCAGTCAATCAAATCTACTATTTCATTATTTCTTACTAAAACTACAGGAAAAAGACAATGAGATGGTTGTGCTTTGCCCGTCTGCTACTAACAGGAATATGATGTCACCAGTGACGTGATCTTTATAATCACAATAACATTGCAAATTAACTCTGACCGATAAAGTAATGATGCATGTTGTTTCAAACTAAGCTAGCAAATATAATTTTATCGAACATGTAGAAGAATACTTAAATAAAGCGAAAGCACATTTCATGCGAATCTCGCATTCGTTTTAGTCATTCTATTAGAATGTCTCGATCACAATATATTTTTTTAAAGCTAAACAATTCAAAGGAATTATTTACTACTATTTATTTTTTGAATTCTGTTGAACCTTCTGACCTTAATCATATTCATTGGGTTTGTGGTTCATGTGCATGTTTGGGTAAAATCTTTGAAATCTTATCAAGTGGACAACCACCTGATGTAATATTTTTTTCTAAATCTTATGAAATAAAATATCTAAATAATTGGAAATGCTTATGTAGCATCCAAGGTATTAATTTTGTTTATAGACATTCCCTTTAATAAGTCATAGTCAGCTCTGAAATGTCCCATTTTCTTGTGAGATTGCTTTCAAGAATGTACTTGTTTTTGTCATTCCCCGATCGGTTTAAAAACTGAAAATTCACCGCAGCCATTAATGGTAAAATGTAGCATCAATTGTTTTCTTAAATGCACGTAGGCCAACCACTTAGAATGTTTCTATCAGCAAAAAAGTCTATCCGCCATCCTGGAAAATCGGCCATCTTAGGTAAAAAAGGGCCGCTTCCATCCTGTTTTTCCACCAAAATTCCCGGACCAGAAACTAATATTTGTACTTGGCCTGATAGGCAACATTGCAAGACCACAATTCGCACGTAATCGTGCCTTTAACGCCTCGGAGCCCCCATAATATGGGGACCGGTAGCTATAGATTTCATGTAAAGCCTTTGATTGGATCATCTCTGCGCTTGCGCAGTAGGCCACGTTATATTTTTGAATGTGATGTTTCCATTCTTATACTTGCGAATGGATGACTCATCTGATGCATAAACAACGAAGGCAATTTTCAAGCATTTCAACTGCATGTTTCAACTGCGCTTAAATTCAGGGGCGGGAATCAGACCTATGCTAATTTACATACGCCTGGCCCACCAGCGCGCTGGTGGGGCCGCTGCAGCGGCCCCTACATTCGATTCGAAGTCGGAAGGACAATGGAGGGACCGGGAACCAGTCTACGGTTTCAGCGGATTTCAACACTCGGGGAATTCCCGTTGTACGCAATAATAACCATGTTACTTTGCGTTTCGTTTCACATTCGGCCAAACTGAGTTCATTTGTAACGGGTCCTCCGTCCATCGTACACGTATGTTAATCAGTCTTACTTAAGTATAACCATTTAGACCAACGGCAACAGTCCCTTTAGCTTTGGGAGCCATTGGCATTAGGTCCAATGGCTTCATTTAACCAGCAACAGAAAACATCTGTTTACGTTCGCGCTCCCCCATTCGGATCTGATGCTCAGCGGTCCGCCTTCTGTGACAAATTGTGGATCTATTTCCAGAAGAAACGAGTGAGTAACGACAGCGACGTACAGGATGTGTGTGTCCTGTCCTCTGACGATGAGGCACTATGGCTGAAGGTTACGTTCAACGAACCGTCTGGTGAGTTGAATTTCTTGCTCAGAATCGTTCGTGAGGATAGCCTATACTGTAATAAGATTGTCAAAAAAACCCATTTTGTTTCCAAACCGTAGGCAGCATTTTTATGTGCTTCCTTGTCGGCCAAAATTTCCTTCACAAATGTAAAGGAAATAGGGAACCACTGATTTTTTTTAACATGTTGATTAATAATTAATCCAAACAAAATTTCAAACTTCTCAATTGTATTCTGGCAAAACATTTTACAGAGGTATGGATCGGTATATTTAATCAGGCACAGCCCCATTTATTTATACGGACAGACCGCGGAAATACTTGTACTGCATAATGATGATGTACATGTAGTTTCAACACGTCAAGCTTGTACATTGAATCTATTAAACAAATTGGACAAGATTTCTGCCGTTATATTAGCCTGCTCAGAACACTACAGCGCATTATCTGGTAATTAATGAGTCGTGACGGTGACATTTGAGTTTGAAATAATTGAATATCTAGGCCTGTAGGTCTGTTGTTTTGTTGATTTGTGGGCCTAACAATACTTGAAATCTCTTCATTTTTTGCTCAGTTTAATGATATTATGTCACATGTCTTAGTTCAGCCCCTGAACAATCGGCCCCCGAATAAATATATAGGCCTAAGGTTATGCTGTACTTATGCATAGGGAGATTCCTGAGTTGCGTGACAGTGGGAATTCCAAAACTGCGCAATGTACAAATTTCCCCATTGAGCTAAAAGGGGAATGTGAACTTTGCACCTGACTCCGGAGATGAACTATAGTGCAGAGGCGGAAATTTCTGAGCGCGTGCAAATGATATAGCTTATTGTATTATTCATAATATATATTTTTTCGTACCAAAGATTGATACAACTTAGTGTTTGTATTGTTTCGGGCGATGACAGCACAATCTTTGAACTAAAACATGTGTGACTAGATTGACAGCAAGCACTCCACTGGCCTACCCGGTACATTCGCGCGGTAATTACATGAAAACAGCAATATTAAAGGCATAGTTGTAGGAAGGTTCATATTAATTTTTTTTTTATGATTTAAATTTCCAACTGATATCACTTCGTACAAGGGAGTCCAAACTCTCTTGAAAATGCTCCTTAAGCAAAAGTCTTAATGTGGTGTTTTGTTGTTGCATGTTTCGTCCTTCATTTTGTCATTTTAAATGTGGAAAAAATTAATGTTTTGTATGTACACAACACACATATATTGTCGTATACAAACTTTGGCACTCGCGTACATAAAATTCGGATTAAAAACGTGATCTGTTACACGGTACTCTCTTGTGACGTGCACAGTAGGGAACAAAATATTGAACACGTCTCCACAGGGCAATTTCTATGTTAATATGTGTCTCCACAAGGTTATCACGAAATGGATATGTGAATTTTACTCAAAATCTAGGAATTCCCAAGGTGTGTTGATCCGTCGATTGGAGTATTTTATGTAGGGATATTAAGTCCAAATTTCAGTCCATCAAATTCATTCTGGTTAAAAACGGAGCATTTTGAAAGTACACTTTCAACCTCGAAATTTTAGTACACGAGAACAAAGAAATTACTCCACAAGGACATACATTTCAGTATGTGTGTTTTTGTCATTCCCCCCCTTTAACAGTTTTACTTTGTTAGTCGTGGTCTTCGAAGGAGTTTAAGTCGGTGTGCAAGCATTACATTCACTGTATGGACTTCCGAAGAAAAGATGTCCACATAGTTTTCAGATACGTTGTGTGGACTTGCCCACGTCCACACAAGGTATCCCCTCTCTGGAAAACAGGTTTAAAGGAATTCGTCGCAAAATGAAGGAAAACACGCAGGGGAGTCATAGTAAAAACTTTGTCTTGAAAGAGTTTTTACAGTGTGAGAAAAAATAAGATTTTGTTCACAGGAAAACTTCACTACACGAAAACAAAAGGAATGTCCACTCGTTCGACCTGATACAAGGTACCCTGTGGAGACAAGTGTACAGTACTAGGTAACAAAAGACTATACCTCTTCACAGGACAATTTCTAGGTGAATACGTCTCCATAAGAATGTTGATTTTACTCCAAAACTAGGATTTTCCAAGGTGTATTGATGCATAGCAAATTGAAGTATCTTATGTAGGGGATATTAAGTCTGAATTTCAGCCCAGGAAATTAATTTTTAAACTAGATTTTCACCTTTTAAAATTTTAGTACACGAGAACAAAGAAATGACTCCACAAGGATACACATTTCAGTATACGTGTGTTTGTGTGATTTGTTATTTTCCTCAGGCGTTGACGCCGCTTTAGCTACAGAGAACCACGAGCTGACCATCGAGCACGAAACTATTCCTCTTCACGTTCAGTCATTTTTCCCGAGTCCAGGGTTCACAGCACCACCCGAATCGGATTCCGATATTGAGGTTATAAATTGGGTGGGTATCTTTCGTAATTTATAGCAGCCGGGGCTATAGACAATTGGGTATTAATGTTTTTGTTGTTGGTTTAATTGACTTTCTGTCTTTAATAGGTGTTTGTTTTTAATAATTAAGTTACATTTCGCAGGTTCAGATTATTAGCAATAAAAAGTATTACTTAGTAAATTTGTGTTATAGTGTTTTTTCTGACGACGGTTTGCCACATTTCTGCTTTTAATAAGTTACATTACGCGAGTTTTCTACACAGATATTGTTATAGTCTTTGTGTTATAACTTACACATTTTGAACGGTTTTGAAAGCAGGACAAATTACACATACAGGACGATGAATCTGGAGCAAGTGCGGGCGAGGCTTGGCGTGCCGAGGGTAGACCTGGTCGCTCCCCGTCATCTCGGCACGAGGGCAACCCTTTTGATAGGGCAGCCGACTGGAAGTCGCATCATGCCGGCTCCCATGAAACAGCGACCTATACACCTCTTGAAGCTGAAGACTACGTTCCTACTTGTTTAGCGTATTCTCAGGCGCATTCACCTATGCCACCAGTTACTGCGCCTCCATCTACGACACCTGCGATGGCGCAATCATTTGCAGCTTCTCAACTGATATCAGGCATACCTTCAATGGCATCCCCTGCTGTGCCTTCGACTGCACCTAGTGTACCTCCCCCAGTGACCTTTACAACGCATCCTAACTCATTATCTACCAATAAAATGGTATGTGTTACTACAAAGTTTCCAAAAGCAAAATATAAAAAAAGGCTTTGTCGTGAGGGCCGTCATTTTGTTGTAGTGCGATTTTTATGTAGCTTCGAGCAATGTAATAATGATTTACTGAGAATTACCTGAAAAGAGAAGCTTTCAACAGCTTTTGATAAATTACTTCATGCATCTCATTGAATTCAGTTAAAAGGAATACTTGCCGTTCGCGTAGATTTGCGTGTTTATCCATTTGAAAAATTCGACATTAATTTGCACAAGCCCATGTAAAGCTTTAGGAAAAGTAGGCCTACTTAAAAAGTATAACATGGCCACAGACATAGTATAGTGTACAGAAGCTATACTATTCGTTTCCATGCACTTATTGTATTCTATGCAGGTTGCTTCAGCTGTGTGGGATTATCAGACTCCTATGAATGAGATCTTGAGTTCCTCCCAACAGAAAACCCAAAGTCAAGGTGTATCACAGACGTCCAACCTTGGTGCCAGCTACAACACCAACGCCGGCCCCGACTCACAGTTAAGTTTTACACCAAGTCATCAAACACCAAGCACAGTGGCAAGTATTTGGAGTATGACCCCGGTAGCTGCTGATGTTGAGCAGGGGCTTTGGTCTGATTTTGTTCCCAGCAACCCCTGGCGCTACCCAACTACCCAACCTCCACCAGGCTTCCGGTACCCAACTGCAGGTCTGGGTAGAGGCTTCTCTCCGAGAGGTAGTACTGGCCCACAACACTACCGCATGGCTAGTATCCAACCCTCTCAAATACGCGGATTCCCCCTCGTACTTCCAACCCAGTTTGATAAGTCCGAGGCTCCTGGCCTTCTTGATGGCAACTCCGCAAGGGACAAGACTGCACCTTCCGCTCGTCAGATGGGTCTACGTGATAGGGTTCCAGGCACCGCTGTTCGTACAACTGCTACCAGTGAAGAAACCTCCGTTCCCGTAGAAGAGGAGGAGAAACAGGTATGTATATTATGCCACATAGTAGTGTGTGAAACCCTCCATGTCAGATTGAAATTTTACTGATCGTTTGTGCTTGTTGACTTCTAGGGTGACAAAGGCGAGGAAAAGGAGGGGGTTCAGTTAGTTGAAGTGACCGGTTTCAAATCCACCACATCGGAAGATATGCTGCAGATGTATTTTGAGAGTCCACGAAGATCTAAAGGCGGCGAAATAGAAACGTGGGAGATGGACGCCAAAACCAGAACCATCCGAATTAAATACAGCGACCCATCAGGTATACCCTGTTCTTGTATCCATGTTTTCCTTGTTTGTGTGTGCCCTCAATGATATATGTCTTCAACGATAAACGTTTCAAAGTATTTGTATATTAACGCAAATGTTATCGATGGGGAAGTTGCTGATATATGTACTTTTTTGTTCGTATTCTTCTGCATTCACCTGGTCACCTGGCAGAGTCACAGAGAAGCTCATATTGTCTATGTTAAACAACTGTTAGCCAGATCTTTCGATAAGGCAGATTTTCGTGATAAAGAACAAATGTATAGACTGATTGGGCACTCGCATCTGTCGAGAAACAGTAACATGTAATACCCAAGTTGTTACCATTTGCACTACGATTCGTTCCTCATTTTAGTCTGTAATAAGATAACGTCTAAAAGTAAACCATTATCTGTTGCCTTCCGACAGATATAAATATATCATGATACATGACTTTCTAAGGGGTTGTTTGCGCATGCACCTTGTGAAGTGACTGTCTCAGAGAAGTGGTTCTGAAAAAGAGCTGCTTAACTCCACATTTCGGTCAGTAGGCCTCTACTCCAATCATCACAATGAGTTTCTTCTGCCGAGATGTTGAGTTGCTCCAAAATGCAGTCAACTTCACAATGCCTTCGGTGTATCTGAAAATAAAAGCTCATAATTTTTAGGTGAACTCTCTACCAGGCAATCCTCATATATCTCTTTTAAAGTGACTTGATCGTCAGTGCTGGGCTTTTAATATGTTTTATTCGTAGTTGCAAGAGCAGTGGCGGAGAAAACTCACAAATTGGAAGACCTAAATTTGAAGGTGCGGCTAGTTTTAGAGGCAGAAGAGGAGGAGAAACAGGTATGTAAATTTGTGAAATAGTGAAGTGTTTGAAACCCTCACTTGAGATTGAAATTGCCCTCTTTTTGTATTAAAGTAGACCGTCGGGCAGGGCTGAATAGATCACTGTTCACAATAGTAGGATAAAGCGTTGGATCTCCGCCCTATAAACAGAACATCTTTAAATAAAAAAAAAAAATTATGATCATTGAAGAGTCTTTGTGACAAAATCATTTTGTATTCCAAATAATTATGAACAGTGAATTTGAGTGTACTAGGTGTGATTCCTTTAAATGATGCATGCATGCCAACATGATGAAAGTATTGTTGCTGCCGTCACGTTGTAGAACTCCATACTGCTTTGGTACAAAAGGAGAAACGTGTACATCAGGTTGAATTACATTTTTAAAGACCAATCCTCCACGAATTGCTACTAGCATTTCACTTACGTAGCCGAACACTAACCTGCCAATATCCTTTTCGGGCCGAAAGTTCCGCATCATTTTGTTGTCAAAGGGGAAATGTTTTGTCTCGAAAAAGCCCTTCAGAGCTAACACGCAAACAATATAGCCTTATGTCATGAATGTTTTTTTTTTAAATGCAGCGTACAAATCAATTAACCATGTCTGTGATCGTCTGTGTTTGTTGACTCCTAGGACGACCACGGTGAGGAAGAGGAGGGGGCTCAGTTAGTTGAAGTGACCGGTTTCAAATCCACCACACCGGAAGATATGCTGCAGATGTATTTTGAGAGTCCACGAAGATCTAAAGGCGGCGAAATAGAAACGTGGGAGATGAACGCCAAAACCAGGACCATCCGAATTAAATACAGCGACCCATCAGGTATACCCTGTTCTTGTATCCACGTTTTCCTTGTGTGTGTGTGTGCCCTCAATGATATCTGTCTTCAGCGATAAACGTTTCAAAGTATTTGTATATTACCGGAAATGTTATCGATGGGGAAGTTGCTGATATATGTTCTTTTTTTGTTCGTATTCTTCTGCATTCACTTGGTCACTTGGCAAAGTCATAGAGGAGCTCATATTGTCTATGTTAAACAACTGTTAGCCAGGTCTTTCGATAAGGCAGATTTTCTTGATGAAGAACAAATGTATAGACTGATTGGGCACTTGCAGCTGTCGGGAAACAGTATCACCCGACTTGTTACCATTTGCACTACGATTCGTTCCTCATTTAGTCTGTCGATAGATAACGTCTGACAGCAAACCATTATCTGTAAGTGACTGTCTCAGAGAAGTGGTTCTGAAAAAGAGCTGCTTAACTCCACGTTATGGTCAGTAGGCCTCTACTCCAATCATCACAATGAGTTTCTTCTGCCGAGACGTTGAGTTGCTTCAAAAACGCAGTCAACTTCATAATGCCTTCGGTGTATCTAATATAAAAGCTCATTATTGAACTCTCTACCTGGCAAATCCTGATATATCTCTTTTAAAGTGACTTGATCGTCAGTGCTGGGCTTTTGATATGTTTTATTCGTAGTTGCAAGAGCAGTGGCGGAGAAAACTCACAAATTGGAAGGCCTAAATTTGAAGGTGCGGCTGATTTTAGAGGCAGAAGAGGAGGAGAAACAGGTATGTAAATTTGTGAAATAGTGAAGTGTGTGAAACCCTGCATTGAGATTGAAATTGCCCTCTTTTTGTATTAAAGTAGACCGTCGGGTAGGGCAGAAAAGATCACTGTTCACAGTAGTAGGATAAAGCGTTGGATCTCCGCCCTATAAACAGAACATCTTTAAATAAAATGAAACATCCTGATCATTGAAAGTCTTTGTGCAAATCGACAACTAATAATTGTTATATTACAAGTCAGGATACAAACCAGTACTGAGTTCTGCATCATTTTGTGTTACAAATAATTATGACCTGTGAATTTGAGCAAGTGTGATTCCCTTAAATTATGCATGCATGTCAACATGGTGAAAGTATTTTTGCTGCCGCCACAATGCAGAACTCATACTGTTTTGGTACAAAAGGAGAAACGGATACATCAGGTTGAATTAAATTTTTAAAGGCCAATCCTCCACGAATTGCTCCTAGCAATTAACTTACGAAGCAGAAAACAGTATCTTGGCAATATCCTTTTCTGACCACAAGTTCTGCAACATTTTGTTGTCAAAGGGGAAATGTTTTGTCTCGAAAAAATACTTACAGAGCAAACACGCAAACTATAAAGCCTCATGTCGTAAATGTTTTTACTTTTTAATGCAGAGTATATCTTAATTAACCATCGCTGTGATCGTTTGTGCATGTTGACTCCTAGGATGACCAAGCCGAGGAAGATGAGGGGGTTCATTTAGTTGAAGTGACCGGTTTGAAATCCACCACATCGGAGGAAATGCTGCGGCTGTATTTTGAGAATCCTCGTAAATCTAAAGGCGGCAAAATAGTAACGTGGGAGATGGACACCAGAACAAAGACCATCCGAATTAAATACAGCGACCCATCAGGTATACATACCTTGGTCTTGTATGCAAGTATAGACTAATTGAGGACTTGCAGCTGTCAGGAAACAGTAACATGTATTATCCGAGTTGTTTGTTCCTCATTTTAGTCTTATAAGATAACGTCTAAAGTAAACCATTATCTGTTGCCTTCCGACAGATAAAAATAAATCATGACACATGACTTTCTAAGGGGCTGTTTGCGAATGCACCTTGTGAAGTGACTGTCTCTGAGAGGAGAAGTGGTTCTCAAATAGAGCTGCATAACTTCACGTTCCGGTCAGTATACTCCATTCACCAGAAGATTGGTCTGACGCTGTAGAGCATGCTGGCTGAGACGTTGAGTTGCTCCAAAATAAAATGCAGTCACTTCACAATGACTTTGGTGTATCTGAACATACAGTCACTTCACAAAGGTGAACTCTCTACCTGGCAAATCCTCATATATCTCTTTTAAAGAGACTTGATCGTCAATACTGGACTTTTGATATGGTGTTTTATTCCTAGTTGCAAGAGCAGTGACGGAAAAAACTCACAAACTGAAAGGTGTAAATTTGAAGGTGCGGCTGATTTTGGATACAGAAGAGGAAAAACAGGTTTGTATATTTACGCAACATTGTAGTGTCTGAAACCCTCCATTTAGATTGAAAGTTTCTTTTTTTTTCTTTTTTCTTTTTTAAAGTAGACCGTCGAGCAGGCCTGAAAAAATCATACTGTATGTAGACTAGAGCGTTGGATCTCCGCCCCGTAAACAGAACATCTTTACAAAAAATATAAGACATCATGATCCTCGGAAAAATCTGCTACTAATTGCAATATCGCAAGTCAGGATGCAAACCAGTAGTTCTACGTCATATTGTATTCCCAATAATTATGTCCTGTGAATTTGAGTACTTAGTGTGATTCCTTTAAATGATGCATGCATGCCAACATGATGAAGTATTGTTGCTGCCGTCACGTTGCAGAACTCCATACTGCTTTGGTACAAAAGAAGAAACGTGTACATCAGGTTGAATTACATTTTTAAAGGCCAATCCTCCACGAATTGCTCCTAGCAATTCACTTACGAAGCCGAACAATAACCTGCCAATATCGTTTTCGGGCCGAAAGTTCCGCATCATTTTGTTGTCAAAGGGAAAATGTTTTGTCTCGAAGAAGCCCTTCAGAGCTAGCACGAAACAATACAGCCTTATGTCGTTATAGATTTTTTTGAATGCAGTGTACAAATTAATTAACCATGTCTGTGATCGTCTGTGTTTGTTGACTCCTAGGATGACCAAAGCGGGGAAGAGGAGGGGGTTCAGTTAGTTGAAGTGACCGGTTTCAAACCCACGACATCGGAGGAAATGCTGCAGATGTATTTTGAGAGTCGTAAATCTAAAGGCGGTGAAATAGAAACGTGGGAGATGGACGCCAAAACCGGGGCCATCCGAATTGAATACAGCGACCCATCAGGTATACCGCGTTCTTGTATCCGCGCTTTCCTTGTTTGATGTGTGTCCTCAATGATAAATGTCCTCAACGTTAAATGTTTCAAAATATGTATATATGTATATATATTCAAAAATGTATATTAACGGAAATGTTATCGATGGGGAAGTTGGCGATATATGTATTATTTTTTTTGCATTCTTTTGCATTCACATGGTCACTTGGCAAGTCATAGAGGGAAAGGAGCTATACAGGGCGAGTCACACAAAAAAAGGAAACCAAAATGTCAGGACACATTTTTTATAGAAGTTCTGCATGTAGCTCTTTTAAAATCTAGGATATGAAAGCCCAATTAATAAGCTTTAGTTTAGTACAAGAATTATTCAAATCGCTCATGTACTTTTTAAGTTACTGAATTTTGAACACACACAACACTTTGAAGTTATCTGTCCACGGATCAGAAAATGGTAAGGTTATTTCTGCCAACGGAAACAATTCACACACATGTATATAATCCCTTTGGATAAGTTTTTTGTCTCCGTCAAGATTGGGAAAGGTTACCAGTTTTTCTCTTCAGCCAACATTTTTGTCTGGGTATTGACCACATTCAGTACAAGTTTCACTGATATTGAGCCATGCATGCAAAGGATACCGGCCTTTCTTTGTGACTACCCAAATACCCGAAAACACTATCAACACAATGTTTCCTATTAGGGGGTATTTAAATTTATCTAATGGCGCAAACAAGAACCTGAACAAGGGGAGCCAAGATCTCCAGATCTTATCTTATGACTTTTTTTCTTTGGGGTTTTACCTCAAGAAACGGGTGTACCGCATTGTGCCAAACACCCTGCAGGAACTTGACCATTTAACAAATTACTGTTGAAACCTAAGCTCTCAGAAGAACACGGATGGTCCGCAGAGTTATTGCAGACATGAGCACACGGGCACAACTGTGCATTGATCTGAATGACATACAGGTGGAGGGTCGATCAGCAGGAGAGTTAAAATGTGAACCTTACCTGTAATTCAGTTACAAGTTCAGTAAATTTGCATTTAACTGATGTCATGTTCTGTAATTCATTTCCTACATTGTCCTGACACCCATTGTTGACAGTGGAAGGCCTATTCTGAACATTGTGTCTGTAATGTTTTGGGGGTACAGTTTATTTATTTATTTATTTATTTCTTATTCAGCGGAATCCACTGGTCTCCTATGGGTTCCAGCATACAGTTACAAAGAAAGGCCTGTATTCTTTTCATGCATGGCTGAATATTAGTGAAACTTTCATTGATTGTGTTAAATTCCCAGACCAACTGTTAGCTGACGAGAAGAACTGGTAACCTTTCCCGTTTCGTGGGAGACAAAAACTTATCGAAAGGGACATTTTTGACTCACCCTGTACAAACAGTTGCTTCACAATGCTTTTTTGGTGTATCTGAAAAAAAAGTTGATTATTTTTTAGGTGAACCTCTACCACGCAAACCTCATGTCAGTTTTTAAGTGACTTGATCGTAATACTGGGCTTGTGATCTGATGTTTTCTTCATAGTTGCAAGAGCAGTGACGGGGAAAACCCACAAGCTCGAAGGCGTAAATCTGACGGTGAGCCTGATTGTCAAGAGAAAACCCCGCCCTCGTCCGGTCAAGAAGCGATGCTTGTTTCTCAGAGGGATCCCCGACGGGTGCAATGCAGAGCATGTGGAGCTTTACATTGAGAATTGCTCTGGCATGGATGAGCCAATTGTTCAGTACGGGGAGAATCCCGGAACAGCATTGTGTACATTCAAACAAGACATCCCAGGTAACAGATGGTAGTGTCATTACCAGTAATAGAGTACGATGTTATAATAACCATTGTACAAGTCTAAATTATTATCAATCAGATGGTAGTTTTCCAAGTTTACACAAAAATAAAAATAAAATTTCAGGCTCAAAGTTTTAAAAGTTTTAAACCAAATTGTTAACTAATCTGTATTTTCATCTCTCACCAGAAAAAAACCCATCGACGTCGATTTCAATTTGTTGCATGGCTATTGCTGCGTCAATTCGATTCAAATGATTGTTATGCTTTTACAAATCTGTGTTTATAAATAGTTTAAGTTACTTATGGAGCGTGAATAAACATGCCATCCAAGCGTCCTTATTCCATTTGAAATTTTGCAGTTATAACATTACTTAAGTTGTGTTGATGTTATTCTACGTCTTTGATTGTTACATAGACTTACAAAAAGTCATACGGAAGATTCGCTCAAAGAAGCTACAAAAAGCCCAGGTGACAGCTGAAGTGATGCACGAGTCTGACTGTATCCTGGTGCAAGGTTTGTTTGTATTAACGGTTCTCAACCTTTCCTACATGTTTGTTTAAAAGCATGGGTCTATATTAACTCGAATCGAGTTCAATCACTCTCAAAACGCTGGTTAAATTTTTTTTGGTTAAAAAGGTTGGTTAAAATTATAACCAACGTTGTGTAAAATTGTCCAATTTTGCCCAACGTTTGCCCAACGTTGGTTATTTTTTTAACCAACCATTGGGCTGTTCACCTGTTAAGCAACAATTAGTTAAAAGTAGTCAATTTACCCAACGATGGTTAAAAGCGGGTAAATCAACCAGTATTGGGTAAAAAAGACAACTTTTAACCAACTGTTGCTTATCAGGTGAACAGCCCAACGGTTGGTTAAAAAACCCCCAGCGTTTGGGCGAACGTTGGGCAAAATTGGACAATATTTTGCACAACGTTAGTTAAAATTTTAACCAACTTTTTTTTAACCAACAACATTTTAACCAGCGTTTTTAGAGTGTATATGTCGAAGTTAAGATGTTTTATTTTCAAACAAAAAATGAGGTACTTTGATTTGAACGATTCATAATTTTTTTTCAGGATTGACAAACAAAACGTCTTTGGAGTTAATCGAGCTGTATTTTGACAACAAAAAGAAGAGTGGTGGCGGCGGTGTGAGAGAAGTACTGCCAGGAAGTGCAGAGGACCAGGCAATTGTGTTCTTTGAAGACTGGAGAGGTGTGGAAAAGCTTAGCACATTATTACTTCCATTTGCCTGCAAAAAAAAAAGATTTTCACTTTTTTATAACGGCATTTTGATTTCATGATAATCAAAATGGGGCAAAATGTGCGAAAAGGCCTACATAATTATATTGTCAAGCCTATAAACACCAAGCAAGTGACTGTCAGTTTATGCGTTAAACTTTAAAAATATTAAAATTTTCAAAATGGTACTTGCATTCCATGCTGATTTCTCAGATAAGGGAACTCTGAAATGTTTTCTTTTCGTAGTTGTTGCTGATGTATTGTCCAAGAAAGGACCTCACAAGGTGGGCAGCATTGAAGTGTCGGTTGAAGAATACCATGACTGCTTGGGAAGACTGAGTGAATTAGATGTTCCATCGCCACACACCCCTAAGCCAATATCTATGCAGGTACCTCAGGACATAATGGAATTCATCTTTGGAGCAAAGGGCAAACACACAAAGAAGAAGCTGGTTGAAGAGTTGAAGAAGGTGAGAGCCCTCCTACGCTGGCCCGATGGCGACAAGAAGACGGCCGCTAGACTCGAACCCCTAGAGGAGGACGGGCAGCCTCAGTCTTCTTGGCTCAACTGGTCTCAATTCTGCAACGAGGTTTTGACAGGCTTTTTGAATAGATGCAAATCAAATGCAGTTAATGTCCCGAGTCCGTTGTGGAAAGAAGCAAGTGCCAAACTGGCAAAGATCAATGCCACTCAGATCTGCTCAGTCCTGGATGATCAGACTCACTCAGTACAACTAGTGGGGGAGCAACAAGATGTAGACGCAGTAGCAGCTGACATCCTGGTTGTCATTAAGGAGTTGCAAGCAAAGGCTGCTAGTGATGCACAGCAAACAAAGGAGGAGATTGCCATGCCACCAGATAAGCTTAAGCTTTTCACCCAGTGCGGTATTCGCCGTAAAATGGAAAAGATGTTCCCAGACCTGAAAATCACTATCTCGCCTTTTCAAGGGCAAATGGGGCTAATCGTGGAAGGAACGAAGAAGAAAGTCGTGGAGGCAGAATTATGGATGAGAAGACAAATGGATGAACTGAACAGTGTGGAGTTTAAAACTGGGATGGGCAAAACGGCGTTCATTCGCGATGTTTCCGACAAAATTCACGAGATATTAGGGTCAAAGGATATCAACGCTGCTTGCAACATTTCTCCAGAAGGCAAGATCAAGATATATGGGTCCAGCAAAAATGATACATCTCTGGCTAAAATGTATATTGATCAGGAAATAGAAGAGGATGTGATTCGCATCAATGGGCCTGCCGTGATAGCTGTTCTGAAAAGCCAAGATGGAACACGGCTAGTTGCAGGCATCAACAAAAAGAAATTTGTTAAGGCTGACATCAACTATCAGTCAGGTAGGAAAACAGTAATGAGTACTCCAACGATATATTTATATATAAATAATGTTTCATTAAGTCAATGATTTAATTCGCCCTATATTATTATGATTTTGTCTTTAATTGTGCTTGTTCTGCAGGAAATATAGAGCTTGCTGGATTCCGGAACGAGTTGAAAGAAACCAAGCAGCACATTCTGGCATTTCTGAAGGATACTGTCAAAGGGAAGGGTACCATCCGCACTAAAAGAAGCAAAGTTCGTCTGATCACCTCGTTCCACGGCCAGGAACTGATGGGTTTTACAGCCAAACACCAGAGAGACCACGTCATCATTCAGCCACAAATGAGCGGACGCAACGTGGGGTTTCTTGTCGAGGGAAACGCAGAAGGTCTGGATGCTGCCAGTCAGTTCGTAAGCCAGCTTGTGGCTAGAATCAAGGAGAAACCATATCCTGTCTCAAAGATTGGCATGGTTCAGCTTTTCCGTGAAACTAAAGGAAAGAAGTTTCTGGAATCCGTCGAGAAGGAGCTCGAGTGTGTGATCGACGTGATTGGAGAAAACGAAAACGATGACGAGGATGTGGAAGGTGCAGAAGGTGCTACCGCAAGTCCACTTCAGTCCGGAGCCACAGAGGTGCTTTGTAGAGTCACTCTTCGTGGTGGCTGCACTTTGAGGGTGTGCAAAGGAGACTTGACTAAGCAGAAGGTTGATTGTATTGTAAATGCTGCAAACGTGGATCTGAAACACATTGGAGGATTAGCAGCTGCTATCCTTCAAGCTGGTAAGCTGAAGAATTTCAATTTGTCATTTTAAGCAACTTTATGTATCTTATGAAATGGGGAGGATTTGCTGTGAAAGGGGATTTTCAAGGGGGAGTGATCAAACATTAACAAAAGACTCAACATTGTTATTCATGTTGGCTCTCCTACGTTACATATCAGTCCTTAAAAAAATGTTTGAACGAAAAACCTTTGAGACGTACGAGTTCCAGTCTTAGATGTTTGTGCTGATCCCAGGATTCGTTTGGACGTGTATTTTATGCACACCTTGCTTTTTTTCTGATGATTTATTTAAGGCGGGCAAATAATTCAGACAGAGAGTGATCAGATACTGAAGAAGAAGGGTCGGAAGTTATATGAAGCAGAGCCCGTTTGCACTTCTAGTGGCAGCCTACCCTGCAAGAAAGTCATCCACATTGCTGGACCACGGTGGCCGTTTTGGAAAAGAACCACGCCGATGCTGGACGACCAACCCATCACCCACGAAGAGCATCTCCTCTTTGACGGCGTCGCCAAATGCCTTCAGCTGGCAAATAAGCTGAAGTTGCAGTCCATCGCCATCCCTGCCATCAGCACGGGCGTGTACGGCTTTCCCCCGAAGCTTGCCGCCGTCCAGATTGTGAACGCGGTGGTCGAGTTTAGCCAAAAAGTGCCCGACACCAGTCTGACGGAGATAAGTTTGACCAACCACGACCAAGCAACTTGTGATGTGATGAAACAAGTCACAATGGATCAGTTGGGACATCTTTTGGAGGAGGAACCTTCTCTCGATGTTACAGCAGGTAATAATGCCACATAATCCCACAAGAAATTTAGACTTTAAATAAAATACCTAAAACTCAGAACTCGTCAACATCGGGCTCGATGGCTTAGCTTCGAGAGCACCGGTACGATATAAGTTCAAATCTCGCTCTATCAATTTGCCTTTTCTTCTCAAATCGAATATTGTCTTGTACGCCGAATTAAAAGAAAATCAAGTTGTTGACTGGTCTCTTTCAGATTATACGAGTTTCGCTATTGTGCGCTTCATTTCAATATGGAATACTCTTAAGTGTTTGTGACCAATTTCCGGTTGTCTGCCACTGCTTGTCCTCAAGTTTGACACCATGTTACTGTATTGTTTTACATACCATTCTTTTTTTTCTTTTGTTGCACCAACAACTCGACAGGTGCGCCTGGAGTCTGGATGCCTGATGATGAACCGGCTATAGTACCGCCAACATTTACTTCTTCTGGGCCAAACATCCTGACAACAAATGAAGGCGTTAACATTACCCTGAAGAAAGGGAGCATCACTGAGGAAAAAGTACAAGCCAGATGGGGAACGAGCCCTGCATTTAAAACATTAGTCCTTATATTAACCATCAAATAAATGTCTATGCAGTCTAAAACTTCTTTTCATCTGGAGTTTCATTGGATTTAGTAACCCCTGGGAAATCGCTTCCTCCATTACTATGAGGCCAACGTTAATGGACTTGTCATGTGGCATCTATCTACAAGTTATAGAAGCCTTTCTATTGATGTTTAAAATTTGGTTTGAAGTATTTAGCCTACTCTTGCATTTTATATTCAATTAATATTCAATTTACAATTAACTGTTTTTTTCTGTAAACTTTTTGTCAGGCTGATGTTATTGTGAATACATCTAGCAATGACTTGAAGCTGAGTGTCGGCTTGGTGTCACAGGCAATACTGCAAGCTGCAGGGCCTGCTCTCCAGCAAGAATGTGACACGGCGATTGCAGCTCGTGGCAAGGTACCCTCGGGTTCCTTCGTAGAAACCGGGGCAGCCGCTATGACCAACTGCAAAAAAATCTTTCACTGCGTCATCGACCGATATAACTCGAACACGTCCGAAAAGGTGAGGCCAAAGAAAAGAAAAACAATTTAGCTGAACTCATACCTATCATTGCAGTGGCGATGCCCAAAATTGTTGCCTGTTAATTGAAAACAGGCAACTTCACTGGGAGGTATACACATTTCTCAGTGGCTTTTGGTATCATATTCATCTTGGCCTGTCCCGTCGTAAACGACGATGAGTTCGACGTCTTTCACAATCGTCAGTGTAGGTCTGTGAAGAGACTGAATGCCCAGAGTGGATAGTGAGCGCCAGGAGGAGCGACCCAGTGCAACAGTCTCCCAGGTATCATGCGGAATGTCAAAGGCAAACAAGTCTCGCTTTAAGAAACGTATGGTATAGTGCTGCAATATATCGACTTGTTGCACATATACTTTGTATGTATCTTGCATATTAGACTATTGTAGACTAATGGAGCTTTTGTTCTCGTTCCAGACTTTGGGTGCCCTTGTCGAAAATTTAGTGGAACGTGCCGAAATCATAGAAGTGTTTTCCCTAGCAATACCAGCCCTGGGCACGGGCAACCTGGGTTACCCAGCTGACGTCACTGCTCGGGTCATGTACGAAGCTGTGGCAGCATTCAGCAGCAAGCATCCCAACGGTGTTCTGAAGGACATTCGATTCGTGGTGTACGACAAGGACATGAAAACTATTAAGGTAAACTGTATTGACCTTCATCATCAACTGACCCACATTTGATTAAAGAAGCAGTTGTGCATGTTTTGAAGACATTGTGCATGTAGGACTTTTCGATTACATGTGTTTTTAGTAAGTTATTGTTTAAGAACTTACACTGATTTCGAGAAACATTTAGATACCCAACAAATCCTTTTCCATACAACAGGGCTTCGAGGATGAAATCAAACGCCTGACAACAGTGGCTTCTGGAGGAACTGCACCAGCTATCACTCAAAGGAAATTGAGAAAATCAATCTCGACATCAGCTGGTAAATCTTGGAAGCTGCCAATTTCGAAACAATTCTATTTTGTAACAATTTAAGAAATGTTGTCAAGACCGAACATAGACACCCCTGGCCAGATATTGCTGAAAAGATTGTTCTTCCATAAATTTATTTGCATCCCTTATTATTTATGAAGTCAAAGGTGCCCTTAAGCTTACATCTTTGTTGTTAGATGAAGCTGTATTCATCTCCAATATGATAAGTTGACTAGGCAGATATTTTTTTGGGGTTGAAAGTATGTGACTACATTTATCTTTGAAGCTTTCCTAATCACTTTGTTTGGATGAACCTAAGTTCACCAATTACTGCGATGTCAAGATGGAGACGTGGCCCCGATTGTTGTGCAATAGCCCTTTTGTTATACTGTCATTTATTGATACACTGAGGTCATATTTATTTCATTCCATTTCGATTTTAGCCTCGGACCGGCACTCGTACTCACAGATAAAGAAAGACACGGCCGGAACGTTGCAGGCCAAAATCGGTCCAGTGTGTCTGCAGATCTGCCAGGGGGATCTCGTGAAAGAAACAAGCAGTGCCATCGTGAACAGCGTGGGAGAGAAGTTGGATCTGCAAGGTTTGTTAGTAAACAAACATTATTCATTTCGAATGAAGCACCGTATTAATTGATGCAATGGCAGACAAACAGCAATGGCAGACAAATAACATTGCATTAGAAACGAGAGGAATCAGCACATAGGCCTATAGACCATGCTACCGTTGACGTCATACTCGTGGGCAAACGACAGTAAACTTTAATTAGCATCATTTACACGTTATTTTACCCCCGTTAGACACGTAATGTCGCGGCTTTTACATCGATCACATTTCAAGAGATATATACATATGCAGTGCAGAAGACAACAGTGTGCTGTAAGTTGCTATTACGTGACCCCAGCATCCAATTTGTAAACAAGTATGTCATGGGTTTAACATGCAATAACATTTGATAGTGGACTTCACCGCAGTCAGAAAACAAAAGCTGCTCATACTACTAGGGCACCAAAAGGTTTGTTGCACATTGTAGACTTGTGCAACAATCACGATTTTCAACCGAATTCTTAATATGTCTTTTTGTTTTGTTTGATTGTGCCAAAGTTGACCCTGTTCTGCTTTTTAAAATTGTATTGCATATGTTGACAGGTCCTGTGTCTGGCGCACTCCTGGCTAAGGGTGGAAATAAAATTAAGAAGGAATGCGATGCTCTCCGTAAAAAGGGTAAATAATTATTCAATTTGTTTAAGATCTGTTTGGTATTTTGTTATTTGTACAACATTTTTGCGTATATGCACACAATAAGACTCCTGCTTATTAATAAAAGCAGACGTTTTAAGGAAACGTTTAAGATACACCACGAATAGATTTAACGTTCACGTTTAGCTGTCACGTTCTTGACAACTCTTTATGTCAATTGAAGCGATTTTCTTATTTTATATTGAAATATCAAACATATCAGTCTAAGTCGTTGAGTATTGTTACTTTTTTCTTTTTCCCCCCAAAAGATGCAACGCAGTCGGTTTATGTCACAAAGGCTGGGAAATTGCAATGCGACTTCATTTTTCATGTTGTCACGCCCAAGACCCCCGAGGAGATTAAGATTATCGTAACTAAGACTCTCCAGGAAGCAGAAGGAAAACAAGTCAAATCCATCTCCTTCCCCGCGCTTGGAACAGGTATACACTCATTAACCTCCAGCCCTCCAAGTAATTGTCTCAAAATATTGATCACAGATGATGCATTTTTTTGTGTCCTGCACGAAAACAACACCTTGCTGTGAATTTACATGAGGCGACACACACCGTTGCAAATTTGGTTTGTTCAATTCATAACATTAAAATAATGAAGTATTTAGATAAGCATTCGAAGGAGATAACTGCTGAATTTCTACATTGGATGTTTGAAAATGTTATACAGTACAATTATCGAAAAATAATGTGTTTCGACCTTTTCTGTATTTGCCTAAATATCCACATATCATCATTTCCAATTATTCAGGCCCACAGGCACGACAAGCAGTTGGTCCTTCGGCCAGCGCCATGCTGGCCGCCATTGGAGAGTTTGTATGTCGAGAGAAGCCTCGTCACCTGCTCTTCGTTCGCCTTGTCATCTTCAAACCAGAAATGCTCCCTGACTTCGAGACTGCATTGAGACAGGAAGAGGGTCGCTCGTACAAGAAACAAGCTAGCTTGTTCTCCAGGGGCTTAGGTGAAAACAAACGTGTATTACAATTATCCGTGTGACATGCCTGGGGTGAAGGTGAGGTCACGCGAGACAATTTTCACAGATAATCTAGAGGCAACTGAATGCACTGGACAAAAAAAACCATATGAATTCCCAAAGTTTACGGCAATTCCACAGAAAATTACAGTGAACTAAAACTTAGAGCAAATTGCCCTGAATTGGCCTTTTAAACATGTCGTGACTCCTGAAAATATTACAATCTCTTTGCACGCCCTTTTCAGGCAATATTTTGCCATCTTAACTCATTGAAGTGAAGGCAAATCCGTTCTTTATTTATTATTATCTGTTGGAATCCATAAGGCTTAGCAAAATCGTTCCTACTTGGGGCCGCTGCTGATGACACGTCCGACGATGAGTCCCAACGAGAAACGATCCTCCTTCACATCTGCGCCATGGATGACGTCATCATACAGAGAGCAACAGACAAGATCGATAGATATCAAGACGAGGAGTTCACATCGGAGGTAGGATTTCGAGGACCTCCGCGTCCTTGCTCTGTATGTAACGACGAGTAGCGGGCTATGGTTCTGGTGTTATGGAGTTGATCACAATACAATGACAGTTATTACAGTGACTTGTTATTGACTAGTAACTGTGACGATTTCACGTAATTTGCGATACTCCAAGTATAACTTAGAAATACAACACTCGGTTGTCCACCACTGATAATTGATGCATGCCTTGAACCATGGTGGGAAGGGGTTGTCTTCTATCTCCATACCTGAACGTAAACTTGCAAAGGAAAACAGAAAAAAAAATCACATCATCATTTAAGAAAAAGACTTGCTTTGTTGTTAAAAAACAAAATCAATGTTGACTGATGTGAAATGGTACATGCCCTTTTGAACACCCGAGGGGCGCATAGCACCAGAGGCGAAGCCGACGGGACTGTGCAGTACTGTACTGTACTGTGTGGTACTGAACTGTAGGGGATTTTGATGTGAAAATCACAAAAAACAAAGTTAACAAACAGCAGTAAGCGCAACAATCATGACAATCGACCGTCATGCATGTCGCGTGCTCGAAACAGATGATCGTCCGCTACTCCCACCCATGTGTGAAAACATGTTGAAAATAGCCTGTGCACCAACAATACAAGCGTTTTCACACCGTACGATAGCACACTCCGTGATATACCACAGGAAGTGTGCATTGACTGAAAATACAGTATTCAAGACAGAGGTATAACAATCTCATTGGTATTTCTAAGTTTGCGTGTAATTACTGGTTATCACTCATCTGATTATCTTCAAAGCATTTAGCACTCAATGAACAGCTGTAAATTTGTTTTATTAGTTAAACATCTATAAATTAATAACATGGATCAATTAAGTAATTAATTTCATCACACGAGTGGAAGAATATGCTAGCTTCATAATGTGCTTCATTGGTGTATCAAAATTAATTATTTTTTATGGGAAAAACATTTAATCCAGGTCACTTTTCTTTTCGATTCGCCCTGTATTGCAGATCATTGAAGTGGACATGTTCACAAAGGCTATGGTTTAGAATAGGGCTGCAAAAGAAATGTTGACGTTTGGTTTTCATTTTTTATGCGTTTTTCCTATCTAGGATATGCCAGATTCCCTTGGAATGATTGCAAAAATGACGGAAGAGCACCATGCTGAACTCCGAAACATTGAACGGAAGAACAATGTATGTTGTTGGTTTCTTTTCAAAATCAGACTGCAAAAATATCAAAATGTTTAATATGAGCCTTAACGTGGCCTTAACTTCACATTATGCGAGTGCTTCACTGTACGCGCGCCGCATATGCAAGTTAAAGATGTTACTTGGATATTTCCAAGTTTAGAAGTGAAAGATGGGAAGTGGTTACTTGTTGAGTCAATGATGTTTTCTTTGTTGACTATTATTTCTTTCAACCGTCCCTTCCATTTCGACCTATTTTCTCAATATTGTTGATAACTACCTCTATTATGGCTGGTGGCTCATCAAAGTTTGTTTTATTCTCACAGGTGCTAATAGAAGTTTCAAAAGGTCATGCCAAGTTCTTCCGTGTGCAGGGCCTTACAATCAATGTGAAAGAAGCGAGATTCAGCATCCAGGAGTTGTTCACGAGAATGCAGGTCCAGGAGACCAAAAAACAACATAGTGAGCATTTGACGAAAGAAGTGAGTTGTTTCAGCAGATTATAGTTAACTGACATTTCGTCCCCTCTGTGTGTCAAGTCTGCGATGAAACAAAAAAATCAGATGATACAACATGCGCTACTCATTATTTTAATGATAATTTTTTTCCAAGATCTGTCTCTCTATATCAACGTTTACTCTTGCCTATTCTGTGTCTACACATGTATATTCGAATGGGATTTTTTATTCTGGGACAAATGAGGAATCATGCTCATGCAGGGTGACATTGAATATAACAAAGTTGGCCTCATTACCAAATGGGCTTTCCTTGAAACGATTGTTCTTTGATACTATTGTGAAGGTACAAATGTAATATGTTTGACGAAGATTATAAAAGAGCAACGAACAAAATCAAGCTAGAAATGGCTTCATATGCCACATCCTCACAGGTGCAGTGGAAGTACAGCACACCGACTGGTGTGGAAGACTACGAAGCCGAGATTAATGTTATCATAGAGGACGCCTACCAAAGGAAACAGCCGTCGGTTTTCCTCGATCTGGAAGAAGGGCGGGTTACCATTGACTTCAGTAAAATGCAGGAACTGTCAAGGGCTGGTGCTCTCAGCGTAAATCGTGTTGACCTTCAGCAAGGTAAAATGTAACGAGCATGCATTGAAACAAAAGACAAGACATAACATATATTGCCTAATAAATTTTACCTGCACACGGATTAAGTAAATCCCAATTTGGTGGACGGATGATGCATTTCTTATAAGGCCTTCCGATTGAAAAATCTAGTGGCTGAAATCGCTTTACACTCAGTGTCTGGCTTTCCCTTAATGTAAACTCTTACAATCAAATATGCATGTATGTACACATATACATTTTTTCAAACATAATAGGCCAACAACTTGGGGGTTAGTATCAAATGAGGGGAATAATACTCATTGTGATTTCTTAGTATGGCATGCACCCATGTAGTTGGAAAATATGTGATAGCATTGCAGCTGCTGCAGCGGTGGCAGCTTTTTGGGTGCTATTACTGAAAAATAAAATTGCGGCCCTACCATACTTGTTATCACATATAATTAATCCAGTAACAAGCATATTGGCGGCCATTTTGAAAACAAAAACCAATAAAAATGATCACACTGAAAAACTGCCACCGCCCACTGCAAAGCTATTTCTACATGTATAGATGTGCATACCTTGCCAAAACCGCTATGAGCATTGCTCCTTTCTGTCATTTGATAACGGTGGCCCAATTTTTGGACCGAAGCTGAAAGCCTTTAACTACCAGACATTGCTTGCTTTGGAGTCACATTAGAGCATCAATTCTGACAATACAGGCATTGATTGACGTGCTCATTGAGTTACAAAATGTATTACATAATGCCATGTAATTCATAAAACAGTACAATATAGGCTTACCTTGTATAATAGGTTAAGGAAATTGTTCACAATATAAGACTTTCAATTTACCCTTGTTTTCAAACTCATGCTTTTTTCAGCTGCTAAATTTGAGACACCGAGCAACTGGATACCCATGAAAAAGGGCGAGCACTTCCAGCTAGTGAAACTAGCTGCAGGAACCCAGGAATACACGGATGTCGAAACACGATTCCGATCTTCCATGGGTACCCAGGCCCCCATCAGCCAAATCGACGAGGTAACATTTTGTAATCCATATAATAAGCAACACAGAATTGTCAGGATCACCACACAAATGACTAGCGTAGGATTATCTGCAATTACTCAGAAAACGTACCTACCGATTTGAAGACAAAAATGCTGCACAAAGTGAAGATATGATTGGTACCAATCCTTAGTCTATTTGAAAGGGTGAAGAGTTAAGAGAAGCGCCTGATGTGAAAGGGAGAAGTTAACTAAAAGTGGAATTGTACTTAACCAGATGTTTTTCACTGCCATATTATATTCAAAATCTACTGTTTCAAATTTCAGCTGACAAAATTTTCTTACGTGCGTTAGAAACATAATCCTCTTGATTTTAGATACTACGAATCCAGAACCAAGATCTGATGATGCAGTATCATGCCCGTAAGACAGTGCTAGAGGCTCGTCTTGGCCGTACAGACATCGTACAAGACCCAGACAAGACCCCCCAAAAAATGCATATGTGATTGTTTCTCTTTTCTCAGAAGTGAGCTGAACTGCAACGGTTAAGTTGTTAATTGCAACGTTTTAAGCATTTTTGTTGCTTCAAACGAAAAAAGGCCCTCAAAAAGCAAATGATTCAACGTACCTATAAGGAAAGATAAAAACAATTGAACAGTTCTTTTCAAGTCCACTATCTCCATCTAGTCACTATCTCCATCCAGTGTGTCCGAAGCATCGAGCCCCTATTCAGTACTACAATTTCATTCTCCGTGATTGGTCTTTGATTTCAGATACTACGAATCCAGAACCAAGGCCAGATGATGCAGTATCATGCCCGTAAGGCAGCGCTAGAGGCTCGTCTTGGTCGTACCGACATTGAGGAGACGTTGTACCATGGAACCGATGAGCAAACGTGTGACCAGATCAACAAGTTTGGATTCAACCGCAGCTTTTGCGGTAAAAATGGTAAGATAAGAATAGTCGAGGGCGTTGTACCTAGGTTCAATTTCTTTGTTGCAATTCTTATAACTTTCTGGTAAGTTCAAAATTCCACATTTTATTTATAATTATGCTGAGCATTTTTGGATCTCACGCCCTTTACACTGATATTTCACCCTTGATCCTATAAGAATCCGAACCCTGATGTAACGAGAGTACACGTTTCAGGAAAAGTATCAAGACTAACACGTTTGTCATGACACTACGCCTAACCATTAGTCCTGGGAGATTACCAAAAAAAGCCACCATGCTAGAGTTGTATTAATCTTAAAAATGTCCTATCCCGGATTTTGTATTTTTTTCTCAGCAACTGTGCACGGCAACGGGACCTATTTCGCGGCCGAAGCTAGCTTCTCGGCTAGATCCATCTACGCTAAACCGAACGCCAGCAACACAAAGCACATCTACGCCACCAAAGTCCTTGTGGGAGATTTCACCACTGGTGCCCAGGGTATGGTGGTGCCCCCGAATAAACCCAACAACCCAGATCAGCTATACGACAGCGTGGTGGACAACGTGGGCAAGCCCAGCATATACGTCATCTTTCACGATGCCCAGGCTTATCCAGAACACCTCATCAAATACAAGTAGATAAAGCATAACAGCTGCCAGAAAGTCTTTTGCAATTTCGATAGAATTAAGAGTAGAAATCTATACGATTGGTAGCAGCAGCGTATCAGTCCTTACGGGTGCAGACCAGCAAATCGACTCCAATAGACCTCAGTGATAATTACGCCTTTCCACCGAAAACTATTACAAATACTGGTATTTGAGACACCCATCAAATTAAAGCTCTTTTTATCATCTTTCAATTTCTGTTCAATATTTTTTTCCCAATTATCCGACGACTTTTGGAAAAGTTCCATCCAAAGATGATTAACCCGAAAATTAGTCCTGTGGGCCATCGCCATTTTGACAAAATAATGCCCGCGCTATTGCAAAATAGAGCAATTTTTGGTCCCGATTTCATGCGCATTTTACAGAAATACAAGCTCACAACTTTCTGTACGGCTTCAACTTATCTGTGTTTTTGCAAACCGTCATTTTCATGGCCCACAAAATGCTCTAACAGCAAAGAATTTGAGAGCATACAATTTGTGATTTGGCCCGCGTAGTCAATTCTGGGCCTATAATTAACATGTTTAAAAGTGATGACGCCATAGCAACGACTGTCCAAAACATATGACATTAGAACAGGACTGTACCGGTACTGGTAGTCTAAGGATTACTACTCGTAAATGCATTTAAATTTGAACGTTAGGTTACCTTGAAGATAAAGGTTAAACAAAAGGGGGAAAATTAACCAAAAATGTATATCAAGTTAAAATATGTCTGCTCACTAAATACGAAGGCAGTGCCTTATTCTGGTTGAGGAGAGATGTTGTAAAATATTCAATTTAAGGCCATTGTATTCCAGATGACGACATCATTATGTCACTGTGACTTAACATGTGTTTGCTGCACGCATGATTGTCAGTGCTACTGGCCCTTGAACATTTCATGAGTGTCTCGTACGTGCGAGTCGGAATCTTGTTATTGCTTGATTTTGACCATCCGTTGAACCCGGCGGAAGGAAGGGTCTCAAAAAATCTTAAGTTTAATTGATAATCATTGTCTGTGTATTTGATGATATTTTCACGTTGATATGTTAGTACTAAAGTGCCAATAATATTTAAAGGAAATTTGCCTACAACGTAAACAACCTTTATTATCGGTGACTGTTTCAACGGCCTTTGGATTAAAAAGAAAATGATTTCCAGTGTCCTAGTTATTTTGCTTTTAGCATTATGTGTACTCAGAATATAAGGATTTAATTTGCCGATTATCCTGACGTATAGTAGATATAGTCCAGTATAGTTTGGTGTAAACATAATCTTACTTGAACATTTAACTCTGAACAGCGCACTTTGAGAAAATTATCATTACAGTTCTCATCTTATTTTCAAAACATTATTCATTGGTTAAAGGTAGGTCTGTACTTAGTTAATATTGTACTGAAATCGTTTTGGTGAGATCGAATTATATGTTTGGTGCTTCAAGTTGACTTAAAATTGACATTCGATGATTTGCCAATAAGGTTTAGGCCAAAATTGTTAACTACAAAAGAGCACCTATTTTAAATAGTTTAGTAATATTTTTGATTGTTTTGTAAATACTTCTATTGTGAACTACTATTTTAAGTATCCTTCAACATATTCGTTGAAACATTCTTTGCTTCTTTAGAAAATGAATCAGTTTTTGGAAGAATTATTTTATATAAATGTGCTTATAATTGTACATTATACTGAAATTAATTATGATTATAATGGAGCTATCAGCTGCATCCAGCCGTGTGTCTTTTCATGCGTTTCCCCTACCGTATGCTGTCTACCTGTTATTCAAGAAACTTGCATTGTAGAGTAGTAGGCTTTTTTATGGGCGAAATTTAAATATATAAATATAAATCACTTACTATTGCTGTAATTTTTAGAAATGGATGGATTTGGGGGTTAGTATTATATAGCAGATATTGTTACACTGACCTGTTCAAAGTTTTGTGTTCATAGATATTGAAAAAAAAAAACAAGATAAAAATACTGTTCTTGTAGTCTGGCTTCCTGACCCTACTTCAGACGGGGCAATTTGTAGACGTCGGTGAACTGTCAAGTCAGGGAAACAGACTAGCTGGCTTGCACCCTGTCATGGATTTGTAAACCGATTCCAGACAAAAATGTTGACTAACTCAATTTGCTAAATTTGGGGCAGCATTTGAAGAAAACAAATCAGGTAATTCCAAAGATGGTCGGTCGACCATCGTTGGAAATTGTTACCAAAGTTTCACAGGATGTTTGAAACTATTATTCACTAACAGTCAAGTAAGGTTTTTCATCATAATAGTGTTGTATTTTGATACATGTAGTATGTTACCTTTAACAAGTCATTGATTTTTCTTTCGGTTTATTGTAATCATTTTTAACCAATTACATTAACATTACTAAAATGTTCTCGAGTTTTGTATTTCTCAAAGAGATATCTGATTATTAACAATGAACGCATCTTGCTTTGAGAGGTCTCAATTTACATGATTATCTTACTCAAACAACCTGATCAAAATAAATGACTTTCCAACTAAGTAAACGAAATGTTTACAGACCAAACATTTTCACCAACACCAACTCCTTTCATTACCTGAAGGTAAAATGTCTTATTAAAATTATTCCGTTTTTGACCTGAAATTAACTGGCATTGTTTTACTTAGGAGGTTGACAAAAATATTTCGCAACCTTTGGTTACTGCCAAGAAAAAAAAATTATAGTATAGCAACAAAGAATATTTTTTTTTTACATTGCGATGCACTAATTGTAAAAGGCGCTTTGATTAAACACAATAGTGTGTTCAAACATAAATATATAGTCAAAAAGTAAACAAAAAAGCACTGATGTGAAAATGTATTTTATTAGTTTGGATCAAAGTTAATAGGATCTTGGAGCAGCTGCTGCTGCTGCTTTTTTCCCGCAATTTTGCGAAAAAAATCACATTAACAAGATTATAGGCACTACTGACATTCCATGGACCATGGGCCTTTCCCCATCGTTATGCTTTTGTATCAAGGGGCGGAATCAGACCTGTGTTAATTTACATACGCCTGCCCGCTATAGCGCTCCCTGCAGTCGAATTCTGAAGGACAGTGGAGGGACCGGGAACCAGTCTACGCTTTCAGCAGATTTCAACACTCGGGGAATTTCCGTTGTACCCAAAATAACCAATCCGGTTCGTTAGTAAAAACGTCATACAAGCACACACACCACTGGTTACCAGCGCCCATTGGATAAACACTCGAGTTGCATCAGCTTCCAGTGGTTCCAATTTTACTTAAAGGGAATGTACATCACTGGCTTTTGCTGTAATTTTCAGAAACGAACTATTTTGGGGATAGTATAATAGATCAAATATTGTTACACTGACATGTTTGAAGTTTTGCGTTCGAAAATGCTGGAATAAACCCAGAAAAACAAAAATGTTCAAGTAGTCTGGTTCGCTGACTCCACTAAAATGAAATGGATCAAAAATGCTGGAAAACTATAAGGTAAGGGAACCAGTCTAGCTGGCCTGGACCGGTTCATGAACATGGAACCAATAGTAAACAACATTTGGACTGGAAAAAAAAACAATTGTAAATATGGAGCAGTAGTTGAAAAATAGTTGGAAATGTATACAAAAATACATTTTTCTTGAAAATTGCTTCACACTAGGTGACATAATTTTACAGGATGCCTAAGACTGTCATTTACCAACATCCTAGTAAGGTATTTCGTAACAACTCGGTAGTTTTATTTTTCAATGTTTGCAAATGTTGTATTTTCCCTTTAATGGCCAGTGGGCGTGGTTTAAACTGAACTGACATCATATGACGAACCGGATTATTATCGGCCAAACTGCGTACATTTTTTGTAATGTCTTCCGTCAACTGTAAATGTATGCGTATGTTATTCAGTCTGTAACCGTTTGTACCAACGGTACCTTGTTGATTAGCTTCCGGACCATTAATGGCTTCATTAAAACAACCCCAGAAAACATCCGTTTACGTTCGCGCTCCCCCAATCGGATCTGATGCTCAGCAGTCATTCCGTGACAAAGTGTGGATCTATTTCCAGAAGAAACAAGTGAGCAAGGACAGCGACGTAGAGGATGTGTGTGTCCTGTCCTCTGACGATGAGGCACTATGGCTGAAGGTTACGTTCAACGAGCCGTCTGGTGAGTTGAATTTCTTGTTCAGTTTAATTCTTGAGGATTATGATCTACACTTTAAGATTGTAAAACAAAAATTAAACATTTTTGTTTCAAAATCTTACAGTGTATGGGCTACATTTTGTGTGTGTTTGCTTTGTGTGCAAAAACGTCCACTTTCTGAAATGCAAACAAAATCTGAAAGTGGAATCATTTAATTTGTTTTCGTTTGATATGTTTACTAATTTATTAAATTATTATGTAACTAAATCGCACACTTCGGAGTTATATTGTGTCAAAATATTTTACTGACGTAGGCCTATGGGTCACTAAATCAGGGAGCATGCACATCCCCAGTATACAGATAGATCACGGAAATACAATATACATGCACTGCATAATGATGTATTTTCATCGTTTAGCCTGTATATTGAATCCAACAGAAAAGGATTTGTTTTACTCTAATGGACGAGATTGCGGCTGTATTATCTATAAGCCTGCTCAGACCACTACAGCGCATCTGCTTATTTATGTCTCAGGGGGACATGGACATTTGCGTTTCAAAATGCGCCTGTTGTTTTGTTGACTTATGGGCCTCACAATATTTTTAATTTCTTCAACTTTTGGCTCAGTTTAATGATATAATGTCGCATATTTTAGTCTAGTCCCTGAACAGTAGGCCCCTGAATAAATTTATCGGGGTTGTGCAGAGGGAGATTTTCTGAACTGCGTGACGATGGGAATTCCCACAGTGCGCATTATGAAAATTTCCCCATTGAGCTAAAATGGGCAAGGTGAACTTTGCACCCATAACTGCGGAAATTACTAATGGCCGCCCAAGCGTTGCAACTGCATATGCCAAGCGTACAAATGCTATTGTGTTTTATCTAAACAGGTATTCTTTTGCCCGGAGATCGCTAAAATGTAATGTTTGATATTGATTGGTACCCAGTTCTGGGTCTGAGAAAACAAATACACAAATAATGCATACACACTTTATGAAAAAAATATGTCAATGAAAAACAACCGTTGTTTACATTGGGCACGGTGCAGCGGGTTTTGTCCTGCCTATACGTATTTCAAGCATGCCATCGATGTTTGTTCAATCTGTGAACACTGGCACGGCATAATGCTGGGCGATCATAGCACAAAACTATGTAACTCTTTGAACTGAAACATGTGTGAATAAATTTACAAACAGCGCTCCAAGTCTCCAACGGCAGTGTACTTAATGTATTCGCTGTAATTACATAAAATAGCAGTATTTAAGGTTTGTGAACGTTCCTATTTCCAATTTTTAACAATTTTCCCAACTGATATAATTCCATGGTAAACGAATATTCTAGTTTAAGGGGGTTGCCATTGGGAGTAGGCACGTTTGGATCGGTTTGGGGTCAAAAGGTCAAATGTCAAGGTCACCATGGTGAGTTAAAGGTTAATGATTTCCGGATAATTTCAGTTTACAAATGGATTTTGGTGTCCAACTTTGGTAGGGAGTTGCCATTTGGTGCAGGCAAGCTGGGATTTTTGGGGGTCAAATGGTCAAAGGTCAAAGTCACAGTGGTGAGTTAAAGGTTAATGGTTTCTGGACAACTTGACTCCGGCTGAGGGGCAACAGTAACGCTGTTTTTTGATATGTGAATAGTTTTCATTTTCTGAAATATCACTTTAATACCTCGTTACCTCCGTGGACGAAAAATGTTAAAAAGTTGTGTTTGCGTGTAAAATTCCTTAACTGAAAAAGTACTTGAGTGATAAAAGAAGTTTACTAATGGCCTTTCATATCCTAGACCCTGATCACGCACAATGCAGAACTTCTTAAAAAAATATTAAATAGGGCTTGCCATTTCCATTGTTTTTTTTTTTTACTTAATCTGTATTGCCAAATACAAACATGAACACTCAATTACATACAATTCGGATTTGAAACCGTGTTGTCATTTTCCTTTTCCTTTTGAAACTCTCGTGTTATTTTCTTTTCTTATACTTCTTTCGCGAGTCGTGGTTCTCCGGTTGTGTTAAATCATTTGTTTGTATGTTTTGTTGTTTTTCACAGGCGTTGAGGCCGTATTAGCTACAAAGTACCACGAGCTGATTTCCGAGCACGAAACCATTCCTCTTCATGTTCAGTCATTCTTCCCGAGTCCAGGCTTCACAGCACCGCCCGTCGAATCGGATTCCGGTAGTGAGATTCTAAATTTGGTGGGTATCATTGGTAGTTTATAGCAGCCAGAATTATAAACAATTCGGTTATAAACATATGAGGATTATTAACATATGAGGATTGTTTGATTGAATAATTGAATATATAAATATTCATGATGATTGAACTAAAGCAAGCGGTGTAGCTATACTTTTGAAGCATACCAACTATTGTTGCAAATCCTATTTAAAAACCTAAGCTGAAGACAATAGTTCTTGTTTTGCTCAGCATTTGTCACAATCGCATCATATAACGAAGCAATCGAACTGATAAAATGGGAGACAATTTTAAGAAATACAGAAAGACATTAAAACTCAATTAAGACACAGAACCAACCAAAAAGGTCCCCAGGTCCCATGTAAAATGACACGTTATTTGCTTCCCTTTACCGTCCCAATAATATGCTGAAAAAGAATAAATGCACTTGCTGTTCGCGTAGAGTTTGCGTATTTATCCATTTTGCAAAAAAGTCGACACGAAGTTTTACAATCCCATAGGACCTATAGGTCATTGCGTGCCAATTCAACACGATTTTTTTTCACCCGACCCTCACAGATTGAAACGATATTTGGTGTGATGATTGGCCTATATGAGAAACCCACAGAAACGATTTTTTTTTGTAATTTGGCAAGTTAGCTTTTGAGATACAGGTCAACGCAATTTTGTCTAATTAGCATGACCTCCGAAATATAAATACTTGTATCTCAAAAACTGAAGCACCTCCAAAGCCAAGTTGAACGTCATATTACTGCTCTTTGAATTGCCTCCATTTCATAAAGTTAAATCAAAATCGTAGCATGAAGCGCAGAAAAAATGACCTTTGATCTTGTATTACGAAAATAAATCCGCTTCAAATTTCGGATTTTTTTCCAGATGATGGTTTAATAATTATGTAACAAACAATCTTTAAACATTTTGTGATGGGGCTCTTAAAGTCTTTAAGTTATGATTTTGTAAAGAGAGCATGTCCAGGAAAAATCGTTAATTGCGTATAATTAAACATGTATATATCAATGTATGTTCATGTTGTGTGACTACGGAGGTGGGGCTGGGAGGGTATGGGTGTGTACGGTTTTTTCCCAACAACAATATAATTGTTGTTGAATGGGAAAATGTTTGTCTCGAAAAGACCTTAAGGAGCTAGCACTATAACAGTATAGCCTTATGTCGTAATTGTATTAATGTTGTAGAAGGTGTTTTATTAAATGCAGTGTACTATCTCTGTGATCGTTTGCGCTTGTTGACTCCAAGGATGTTCAATGCAAGGAAGATGAGGGGGTTCAGTTAGTTGAAGTGACCGGTTTCAAACCCACAACATCGGAGGAAATGCTGCGGCTGTATTTTGAGAATCCTCGTAAATCTAAAGGCGACGAAATAGAAACGTGGGAGATGGACACCAGAACAAAGACCATCCGAATTAAATACAGCGACCCATCAGGTATACTTTTTTGTATGCATGTTTTCATTGTTTGAAGTGTATCCTCAATGATAAACATTTATAAAAATGCATAATAACGATCTTGGACAGGGAAGTTGGGGGTAAGTTTATTTTTCTTTTATTCATGTTCTTTCGATCAAGCAGATTTGCGTGATAAAGAACTAATGTAGACTGTTGATAAGTTGTAGACTGGTTCCCAAATGCCTTGACCCACGGAGATGACCTTAGCATACCTTGTTCAAATATCCCTCCCAATAAATGAAATTCTTTGCTAATTTTGCACTTGCAGCTGTCAGGAAACGGTTACATATTTTACCCGAGTTGTTACCATTGGCGCTACGATTTTACCACAGGTCCTATTTTTTAAAAGTCATTCCTCATTTAGTCTGCTATAAGATAACGTCGAAGCTATACCATTATCTGTTGTCTTCCGACATTAAATAAATCAAATATGAATGACTCCACGTTTGGGTTAGTATACGCCAATCTTCACAGGAGTTTCTTCTGACGGTGCAGAACATGCTAACCGAGACGTTGAGAGTTGTTTAAAAAACAGGCATTCTGTGTATCTGAACAAACAGTCATTTCACAATATCTCTTTAAAGTGACTTGATTGTACATATTGGGCGTTTGATATGATGCTTTCTTCGTAGTTGCAAGAGCAGTGACGGAGAAAACTCACAAGCTCGAAGGCGTACAACTGACGGTGAGCCTGTTTGTCAAGAGAAAAACCCGCCCTCGTCCAGTCAAGAAGCGATGCTTGGTTCTCAGAGGGATCCCGGATGGGTGCCCCTCGGAGCATGTGGAGCTTTATATTGAGAATTGCTCTGGCATGGATGAGCCAATTGTCAAGTACGGAGAGAAACCCGGAACAGCATTGTGTACATTCAAACAAGACATCCCAGGTAATTGGTAGTGTCATTACCAGTAGGCCACGTGGAGTGTCATAACCAGTAAGTCACGTGCGATGTTAAAATAAACACGTTCATTTATTATCAATCAGGTGGCAAATTATTCAAATTTACACGAAAGGCAAAATACAAGTTCAGGCTCAAACCGATTTTTATTTTGATTTTAGAAATCGTAGAACAGTTCCATTGCTGATTAATCACTAGTTTCTTCCCTCACCAAAAATTTTGACGTCGATTTGAATTTTCACTTGGTTATTGCTGCGTCAGTTTGAATGGAATTGATTGTTATGATTGTACAAATTCTTGTCTATGGGTCATTCCATGTCAGACCAACGCACTTTTTTACCTCATGTCTTCCGATTTTAATAAAAATTGCTGTGCTTGTAGGTCCTAATGAGCAATGAATACACACCAATTTTTAGCCCGATCCGACCTACCATGTGGTCAGGGCAGAAGCCACAAAAAAATGGCATTTTTAGAGTAAAATACCACCCTTTTGGTATAAATATGTCAAAACTATGGCAATTTTCATCCAATATATGTGAATTTGGTTTTAAAATAATGAGGATTGCATGCTCAAATCACTTCTTTTGTCAAAATTAAATTTTGTGAAAAGTAGGTCACATGACCTTTAATATGCTATCGTGACCTTTGACCCATTTTTTGTAATAATGTATCATTCCAAAAATCAACGAAATAAAAATAACTTGCTAGAGCATGTCTTCCTCTATCAGAATCTACTAAAAATCAGTTGGGGTCTTCCAAATTTACAACTTTATGACTATTTTTGTACAGTTGGTAGGTTACAAATGAGTCAATTTATAGACTTTACATAAGAAATTCACCAACACAACTTACTATTCTGTTTCTAAAGTTACTAAAATATATCTTGGTTTGTGAATTTCTCATTCTGAGGGCTGATGAGGTCTAACCAGACTCATAGTGTAAATTATCAGCAGTGGCGCACCCAGGATTTGGCTTTTGGTGGGGGGGGGGGGGGGGCGGGGGGTCATAAATCGTTTTTTGTTCAAATTTCTGTAAAAGATTGGACCAACAAAAACTAGAATAAAATCAAACAAACAAATTGAGGGTGGGTTCAAGGCCCCCCCCCTCCTGGGTGCCACTGATAATTAGTTATCCCACGAGCGCGCTTGGAATATGAAATAATGCAATGCTGCTGTGACCCATATGCCACTCGATGCACTACATAATTCCGTGTTCCACGAGCGCAAGTGGGATTTATAACCAATTTATCTTCAAGCAAACTTGATATCAAATGCGTACACGCAGTGAAGATGTACGTGCATACATGTAGTGTTTTGGTCCGTTCTGCAGGAAATAACACAACATATGTACACGTACATTTTTAATATCTGGGGTGCAATATAGCTGTGCAATATTATATAAAATCACACAGTTGTTGCTATAGATGGACTAATCAGGGTCTAGGATTCAAGTTTGCTTGAAGATAATACTTAATATTACAATCAAAGTTACCTTTACTCATTCATCACTGTGCTTCTTGAACTTAAATGACTCTCACAGACTTGGCATTTTGTTCCTTTGAGGTGAATTTCACCTGGACGTGAGTCCGCTGTACTGGGTGAAGGCCTGGTTACTGTTAGTGGTTAGCACACTCCGAGTCCAAATATTCTGATTAGACAGTTTCTTTGGAATCAGAAGGTGGAATTTTGTTTTTCCTGGCTTTGTACTTTATACATAAAAATCTAGATTAATTTGAGTAACTTTAGAAACAGAATAGTAAGTTGTGTTGGTGAATTTCTTATGTAAAGTCTATAAATTGACTCATTTGTAACCTACTAACTGTACAAAAATAGTCATAAAGTTGTAAATTTTGAAGACCCCAACTGATTTTTAGTAGATTCTGATAGAGGAAGACATGCTCTAGCAAGTTATTTTTATTTCGTTGATTTTCAGAATGATACATTATTACAAAAATTGGGTCAAAGGTCACGATAGCATATTAAAGGTCACGTGACCTACTTTTCACAAAATTTAATTTTGACAAAAGAAGTGATTTGAGCATGCAATCCTCATTATTTTAAAACCAAATTCACATATATTGGATGAAAATTGCCATAGTTTTGACATATTTATACCAAAAGGGTGGTATTTTACTCTAAAAATGCCATTTTTTTGTGGCTTCTGCCCTGACCACATGGTAGGTCGGATCGGGCTAAAAATTGGTGTGTATTCATTGCTCATTAGGACCTACAAGCACAGCAATTTTTATTAAAATCGGAAGACATGAGGTAAAAAAGTGCGTTGGTCTGACATGGAATGACCCCTATAGGTGTTATGATTTTACAAATCCTAGCCTATTAATCTCGTTAAAACCCGCGACATCAACTCCGAGTGCCATCTGAGCATCCCTATTTGTATTTCACACTTTGCAGCTATAAAATATATTAATTCATGTCGATGTTATTACCACATGTCTCTGATTGTTACATAGACTTACAGAAAGTCATACAGAAGATTTGCTCAAAGAAGCTACAGAAAGCCCAGGTGACAGCGGAAGTGGTGAACGAGTCTGACTGTATGCTGGTGCAAGGTTTGTTTACATTTACTGTTCTCATTCTTTCCTATGCTATTTAAAAGTATGGGTCTATATTAACTCGAGTCGAGTTGAATGTAAGTCGAAGCTGATATTTTGTGTGTGTTACTTTGAAACAAGTACTTTGATACTTTTAATTAAAAGGTTCATGTTCTTTCAGGATTGACAGACAGAGTGTCTTTGGAGTTCATCGAGTTGTATTTTGACAACAAAAAGAAGAGTGGTGGCGGCGGTGTGAGAGAAGTATTGCCAGGAAGTGCAGAGGACCAGGCAATTGTGTACTTTGAGGATTGGAAAGGTATGGGAATACTTAGCACATTATTAATTCCATTTGCCTGCAAATCAAAAGGATTTTCAAAATTGTAATCATTATTTAACTTCATGATAAGGACTGTGATCTTTGGGGCAATTAGTGTGAAAAAGTCGAATATTGTTGGGCTTATAAACACAAACAAGTGAATGAGTTTGCGTTGAACTTGTTCAAATGCTAAAAATACTACAATAATTCCATGTTGATTTCTCAGATAAGTGGACTCTGAAAATATTTTCTTTTCGTAGTTATTGCTGACGTGTTGTCCAAGAAAGGAAATCACAAGGTGGGCAACGCTGAAGTGTCGGTCGAAGAATACCATGACTGCTTGGGAAGACTGAGTGAATTAGATGTTCCAACGCCACACATCCCTAAGCCAATATCCATGCAGGTACCTCAGCAAATCATGGAATTCATCTTTGGAGCAAAGGGCAAACACACAAAGAAGAAGCTGGTTGTAGTGTTGAAGAACGTGAAAGCCCTCTTACGTTGGCCTGATGGCGACAAGAAGACGGCCGCTAGACTCGAACCCCTTGAGGAGGACGGGAAGCCTCAGTTTTCCTGGCTCAACTGGTCTCAATTGTGCGACGAGGTTTTTACAGGCTTTCTAAAGGGATGCAGAGCAACTGAGATTCAGGTCCCGAGTCCGTTGTGGAAAGAAGCAAGTGCCAATCTGGCGAAGATCAATGCCACTCAGATCTGCTCAGTCGTCCCGGATGATCAGACTCATTCGGTACAACTAGTGGGGGAGCAACAAGACGTAGACACAGCGGCAGCAGACATCATGGTTCTCATCAAGGAGTTGCAAGCAAAGGCTGACAGTGATGCTCAGCTAACAAAGGAGGAGATCGCCATGACACCAAATAAGCTGACGCTTTTCACCCAGTGCGGTATCCGCCGTAAAATGGAACAGATGTTCCCAAACCTGAAAATCACTATCGCGCCTTTTCAAGGGCAGATGGGGCTAGTCCTTGAAGGAACGAGGAAGAAAGTCGTGGAAGCAGAGTTATGGATGAGAAGACAAATGGATGGACTGAACAGTGTGGAGTTTAAAACGGGGAGGGGCAAAACGGCGTTCATTCGCGATGTTTCCGACAAAATTCACGAGATATTAGGGTCAAAGGATATCAACGCTGCGTGCAACATTTCTGCAGATGGCAAGATCAAGATATATGGGTCCAGCAAAAATGATACATCTCAGGCTAAAATGTATATTGATCTGGAAATAGAAGAGGATGTGATCCGTATCAATGGGCCTGCTGTGATAGCTGTTCTGAAAAGTCAAGATGGAACCCAGCTAGTCGCAGGCATCAACACAAATAAATTTGCCAAGGCTGACATCAATTATCAGTCGGGTAGGAACAAAAGTAAAGAGTACTCCAATTATTTTGTTGAAATTATGTTTTATTATGTTAATGCTTTTATCCGCCCTATATTATTATGATTTTGTCTTTAATTATGTTTGTTCTGCAGAAAATATAGAGCTCGCTGGATTCCGGAACGAGTTGAAAGAAATTAAGCAGCACATTCTAACATTCCTGAAGGATACTGTCAAGGTACAGGGTACTATCCGCACTAACCGAAGCAAAGTTCGTATGATCAACACATATAACGGCCAGGAACTGACGAGTTTTACGGCCAAACACCAGAGAGACCACGTCATCATCCAGCCACAAATGAGCGGACGCAACGTGGGCTTTCATGTCGAGGGAAACGAAGAAGGCCTGGAAGCTGCCAGGCAGTTTGTCAGCCAGCTTTTGGTTAGAATCAAGGAGAAACCATATCCCGTCACAAAGATCGGCATGGTTCAGCTCTTCCGTGAAACTAAAGGAAAGAAGTTTCTGGAATCCGTTGAGGAGGAGCTTGAGTGTGTGATCGACGTGATTGGAGAAAACGAAAACGATGACGAGGATGTGGAAGGTGCTACCGCAAGTCCACCCCTGACTGAAGCCACAGAGGTGCTATGTAGAGTCACAATTCGCGATGGCTGCACCTTGAGGGTGTGCAAAGGGGACTTGACTAAACAGAAGGTTGATTGCATAGTAAATGCTACAAACGTGGATCTGAAACAAATTAGGGGATTAGCAGCGGCTATCCTAAAGGCTGGTGAGTTGAAATATTTACTGAAACCTAATTGAAAAGTTTCAATTTGTCATTTTCATTTTAAAAAAGAGAGTAATTTGAGGTCAATTTGAATCATTTGATGTGAAAAGGGATCTTCAAAAAGGGTGTGATCAAACATTAAGAAAGACCCAAACATTGTTATTTGTGTTAGCTCTCCTACTTTACATACAAGACCTTAAGAATGTTTTTAACGAAAAACCTATGAGACGTATGAGTTCGAGTCTGAGATGTTTGTGCTGACCCCAAGATTCGTTTGGACATGCATTGATTTATGAATACAGTGTCTTTTTCTGCTGTTTTATTTAAGGCGGACAAATAATTCAGACCGAGTGTGATGAGATACTGAAGAAGAAGGGTCGGAAGTTATATGAAGCAGAGCCCATTTGCACTTCTAGTGGCAGCCTACCCTGCAAGAAAGTCATTCACGTTGCTGGACCACGGTGGCCGTCTTGGAAAACAACCACGCCGATGCTGGACGACCAACCCACCCATGAAGAACATCTCCTCTTTGAAAGCGTCTTCTGTTGCCTTCGACTGGCAAATCAGCTTAAGATGCAGTCCATCGCCATCCCTGCCATCAGCACGGATGTGAACGGATTCCCCAGGAAGCTTGCCGCGATCCAGATTGTGGACGCGGTGGTTGGGTTTAGCCAAAAAGTGCCCGACACGAGTCTGACGGAGATACGTCTGACCAACCACGACCAGCAGACCTGTGATGTGATGAAACAAGTCACAATGGATCAGTTGGGACATCTTTTGGAAAATGAACCTTCCCTCGATGCCACAGCAGGTAATAATGTTAAAAAACCTCAGGAGTTTTAGACTTTGAATAACAGACCTCAAACTCAGAACTTCGTCAACATAGGGCTCCATGGCTTAACTTTGAGAGCACCGGTACAGTGTAAGTTCAAATTCCGCTTGTTCTTCTTATCGTGTCCACACACAGGCTAAACACGTTTCAGCCATAACTGAACGCATTGATTAGCACTACTATTATATATTGTGAAGTCTTCACTGGCAGCTAGCTGTGAACGGTTGCTTCAGTTGAGGGCAGATTAGCAAATATTTCATAATCTGTGGTTCAGTACCACATTCACATGTTACATCTTCGCTGTCCCGATCTCCACCTGTAAAGGGTCAACTAGAGCGTCCTGTACCAGTCCTTAAGTCTGTTCATGCATTCCCACTCTATAAGGGTAACCTGCTTATAGAGCAAGTACCCTCGCAGCAGCCACGCGGTGATACAATTCTCCACATTTTCCAAATATGGGCATTATTTTTCAATGGGCCAATTAGGCCAAGCTTCTGTGTAATCCTCACCCCTACTATACACCACAAGCCTTTAGACTCCCATTGGCCAGACCCTAGCCACTCCGGAGTAAGGAGTGTTGAAAGACAGAAGTCAAGATGGCGCCTAATGCCTTTCTGCAGTAATTGGAGATCTTAATGGCCAACCCTCAAGTGCCGCCGATCCCTTTGTGTCAACCCCTCGTGCCGCCCAGAGCTCAGACAGGTTCTAAACAATCCCTGGCCATGTGAATGACCTATATCTTGTGCATGTACAGGCATGCCAGGGTTATTGACCTGTAAGCATATGTGGTGATAAAATTATCCACGTGGATCCGCCGCGTAAATCATTTGGGCTTGATCCACTTAAAGTTGCCTTTTAAAACATATCGTGACCCCTCGATATAACGTATTGCAATCTCATTGCATGCCCTTCGAAGACAGTGTTTTGCCATCTTACTCATCGAAGTGAAAACAAATCACATTTATTATACTATATTGGAATCCATAAGATTGGGCGAAAACTGTTCTACCTGGGGCCGCTGCTGAGGACACGTCCCACGATGAGTCCCAACGAGAAACGATCCGGCTTCACATCTGCGCCATGGATGACGTCACCATACGGAGAGCAAGAGACAAGATCGATAGATATCAAGCCGAGGCGTTCACATCGGAGGTAGAATTTCAAAGACCGTTGCGTCTTTTCTCTTTTGTAACATTAGGCCAAAAAAGGTCTCCGGTTTCTGGTATGGAGCTTGCCAAAAAAGTGGTGCGGCGACGATACGTTTTGGCGTGTGTGATGTAATTTTTAAGTGTAATATTTAAGTATTGAAAGTCTGAAACAAAAAAAATAGCAAAATTTAAAAGGTAAAGCAACAGGAATAAATCACGTCCCGAACTGTTATTTCAAAGGTGGTCAAGTAAGGGTTATATATTCATTCAACATTCATGTACACTGGATGCATTTACATCAGAGATCCAGCATGCACTGGAATTATATTTTACGTCCGTGACCTCACACTTCCGGTTGTGTGTCCACGACTTCCGTGACAGACAGAACAGGACACCTGTACTTTTTACAGTATATTTTAGTATACAAATATAACATGGTTTGAGGGTGGACAGTCGATATTCGCTCCCCGAGGTATTGGAAGTTGACAAACTAGTTCCCGAGGCGAAGCCGAGGGAGCTAGTTTGTCAACTTCCAATACCGAGGGGAGCTAATATCGGCTATCTACCCGAAATAAACCATGTTATATTTGTTTTACAATACCTTAGGCTTATACATATTCAGCGCCGATTGGTGTATGAGGTATAGTAATATAGGATGTCGTAAATGTATTAATGTTGAAGAAGATGATTTGTGTATGCAAATACAAATTAACTAAACATCTCAATGATCGTCTGTGCTTGTTTATTATTTTTTTTAGGATGACCAAGGCGAGGAAGATGAGGGGGTTCACTTAGTTGAAGTGACCGGTTTCAAATCCACCACATCGGAGGAAATGCTGCGGCTGTATTTTGAGAGTCCTCGTAAATCTAAAGGTGGCGAAATAGAAACGTGGGAGATGGACACCAAAACCGGGACCATCGGAATTAAATACAGTGACCCATCAGGTATACATTCTATGCGCGTTGTCCTTGTTTGAATTGTATGTTCAATAATAAACTTTTCAAAAGATTTGCATATTAACAGAGAGGTTTTTGATGGAGAAGTTGGGGATAAGTTTACTTCTTTCGTTCATATTCTCTTGATAAGGCAGATTTTCGTAATAAAGAACTAATGGAGAATATTCATAACATGGAGACTGGTTACCAATTGCCCTGACCCACAGAGATAGCCTATAGGCATACCTTGTTCAGATATCCCTCCCAGTAAATGAAATTCTTTGCTAATTTGGGCACATGCAGCTGTCAGGAACCAGTAACATGTATTTTAACCGAGTTGTAACCATTGGCGCTACGATTGTACTATGAGTCATTCCTCATCTAGTCTATTTTAAGATAACGTCGAAAACCAAACCATTATCCAAACATTTATAAATTAATCAAATATGAATGTCTTGCTAAGGGGTTGTGTGCGGACGCACCATGTGCAGTGACTGTTTCTGAAAGGAAAAGTGGGTCTAAAAAAGAGCTGCATAACTCCACGTTTCCAAAAACCACATTTCCAAATACCACATTCACTTCACAATGTCTTCGGTGTATCTGAAGAAACAGACACTTCCCAATGCCTTTGGTGTATCTGAAAAAAAGTTTATAATTGTTTAGATCAGCGCTCTATCAGCCAAAACCTTCTGTCTGTTTTGAAGTGACTTGATCGTCAATACTGGGCTTATGATAGGATGTTTTATTCGTAGTTGCAAGAGCAGTGACGGAGAGAACTCACAAACTCGAAGGCGTACAACTGACGTTGAGACTGATTGTCAAGAGAAAACCCCGCCCTCGTCCAGTGAAGAAGCGATGTTTGTTTCTCAGAGGGATCCCGGATAGGTGCCCTTCACAGCAGATAGAGCTTTACCTTGAGAATTGCTCTGACATGGATGAGCCAAGAGTTGAGTACGGGGAAAAACCTGGAACAGCATTGTGTACATTCACACAAGACATCCAAGGTAATTGGTAGTGTCATTACCAGTAGGCCTACGTAACTATGATGTTCAATAAACACGTTCATTTATTACCAATAATTAGGGTGCCACGAAAGGCAAAATACAAGTTCGAGCTCAAACGGTTTTTTTTTATCGTAGAACATCCAATTGTTGAAAAAATATCGACGTTGATTTAAATTTTCACTTGGTTATTGCTGTGTCAGTTTGAAAGAAATTGATTGCTATGATTTTACAAATCCTTGTCTAAAGAGTCAACACCGAGTGCCATCATGATCTGAGCATCCTTATTTCCATTTGACACTTTGCAGCTACAAAATATATTAATTCGTGTCCATGTTATTACCACATGTTTTTCTTTTGATTGTTACATAGACTTGCGGAAAGTCATACGGAAGATTTGCTCAAAGAAGCTACAGGGGTCCCAGGTGACAGCGGAAGTGGTACACGAGTGTGATTGCATCCTTGTGCAAGGTTGGTTTGTTTTCTTACAAGTAATTTAAAGCATGGGCCTATATTAACTCAAACAAGTTAAATATAGCTTGAAGATGAGATCTTGCGTTTTTGATTTCCAAACCAAAAATGAGGTACATTTAATTGAATGATTCATGTTCTTTCAGGATTGACAGACGGAGTGTCTTTGGAGTTCATCGAGTTGTATTTTGACAACAAAAAGAAGAGTGGTGGCGGCGGTGTGCGAGAAGTATTGCCAGGAAATGCAGAGGACCAGGCAATTGTGTACTTTGAGGACTGGAAAGGTATCGGGAAACCTAGCACATACAAATGATTTTCAAAATGTTAAACATCATTTTTATCATGATAAGGACTGTGTTCTTTAGAGGCAATTTGTGTGAAAAGGCCTCCTAATATTGTCGGGCTTATAAACACAAACAAGTGAATGTCAGTGTGAGTTTGCGTTAAACTCATTGAAATGTTCAAAATACAACATATACTTGAATCCAATGTTGATTTCTCAGATAAGTGGACTCTGAAAATGTTTTCTTTTCGTAGTTATTGCTGATGTATTGTCCAAGAAAGGACCTCACAAGGTGGGCAACGCTGAAGTGTCGGTTGAAGAGTACAATGACTGCTTGGGACGACTGAGTGAATTAGATGTTCCAACGCCACACACCCCTAAGCCAATATCTATGCAGGTACATCAGGACATCATGGAATTCATCTTTGGAGTGAAGGGCAAACACACAAAGAAGAAGTTGGTGGAAGAGTTGAAGAAGGTAAAAGCCCTCCTACGCTGGCCCGATGGTGATAAGAAGACGGCCGCTAGACTCGAACCCCTAGAGGGGGACGGGCAGCCGCAGTCTTCTTGGCTCAACTGGTCTCAATTGTGCAACGAGGTTTTGACAGGCTTTCTGAATAGATGCAAATCAACTGCAGTTTATGTCCCAAGTCCGTTGTGGAAAGAAGCAAGTGTCAAACTGACAAAGATCAATGCCACTCAGATCTGCTCAGTCCTGGATGACCAGACTCACTCCGTAGAACTGGTGGGGGAGAAACAAGATGTAAACGCAGTAGCAGCTGACATCCTGGTTGTCATTAAAGAGTTGCAAGCAAAGGCTGATAGTGATGCACAGCAAACAAAGGAGACGATCGTCATGACAACAAACAGGCTTAAGCTTTTCACCCAGTGTGGTATTCGCCGTAAAATGGAAAAGATGTTTCCAGACCTGAAAATCACTATCCCGACAATTCAAGGGCAAATGGGGTTAATCGTAGAAGGAACGAGGAAGAAAGTCGTGGAAGCAGAGTTATGGATGAGAAGACAAATGGATGGACTAAACAGTGTGGAGCTTAAAACTGGGACGGGCAAAACGGCGTTCATTCGCGATGTCTCCGACAAAATTCACGAGATATTAGGGTCGAAGGATATCAACGCTGCGTGCAGCATGTCTGCAGATGGCAAGATCAAGATATATGGGTCCAGCAAAAAGGATACATCTCTGGCTAAAATGTATATTGAACAGGAAATAGAAGAAGATGTGATCCGTATCAATGGTCCTGCTGTGATAGCTGTTTTGAAAAGCCAAGATGGAATCCAGTTAGTCACAGGCATCAACGAAAAGAAAGTTGTCAAGGCTGACATCAATTATCAGTCAGGTAGGAAAAAAAGTACTGAGTACTGAGTACACCAACTATATATATATATATATATATATATATCCAATGAAATCGTCTTCTATCACAATTCACAGTGCTCGATACATCTCTGTAGAGCTATAAACATGCAATAAATTCAGAATATTCTCTTTCTGAACAGACTGTTTCGTACCATAAGGCACTCATCAGCAGAATGACGAAAAATAGAATACAAGTAGCATCTTACCTTATTTCGAATCAAGCGCGCGCACGCGTTACGCGCGTTACGTCATTGAAGTTAGTACGCGTTTACGTCACTGAAGTAAGAACACATCTGTCTCGATGCCTGCACTTGGAGACGATTTCGCTTCTCTTATTCAGTGTACCTAGATCTGGCCTACATATGATTATGTACTTCTCTGCTATACACAAATTGCATCTCTTGTTTACGTTAGAGTATGGCAGTGCTTTCAGAACAATGTCCCATTTGATTTCATAGTCTTTCCCTTCGTCCTTTAAGTCCCATATATGTTTACTTAGCTCTGTTTGCGCCCTCTTGCTCTCGGATCTGAATGACTGCTTGTGGTTCGCCAGTCTCGCCTATATATATATATATATATATATATATATACATCTGTCTCGATGCCTGCACTTGGAGACGATTTCGCTTCTCTTATTCAGTGTACCTAGATCTGGCCTACATATGATTATGTACTTCTCTGCTATACACAAATTGCATCTCTTGTTTACGTTAGAGTATGGCAGTGCTTTCAGAACAATGTCCCATTTGATTTTATAGTCTTTCCCTTCGTCCTTTAAGTCCCATATATGTTTACTTAGCTCTGTTTGCGCCCTCTTGCTCTCGGATCTGAATGACTGCTTGTGGTTCGCCAGTCTCGCCTTGAAGGTTGTGGACGTCAGCCCGACGTATGCCTCCTATGAAATCCTATGAAATCCTATGAAATCCAATGAAATCGTCTTCTATCACAATTCACAGTGCTCGATACATCTCTGTAGAGCTATATATATATATATATATATATATAAACATATATATATATAAAATGTTTTATTAAGCCAATGCTTTAATTTGCCCTATATTATTATGATTTTGTCTTTAATTGTGCTTGTTCTGCAGGAAATATAGAGCTTGTTGGATTCCAGAACGAGTTAAAAGAAACCAAGCAGCACATTCTGGCATTCCTGAATGATACTGTCAGAGTAAAGGGTAAAGAGTTGTTCACGAGAATGCAGGTCAAGGAGACCAAAAAACAACATAGTGAGCATTTGTGGAAAGAAGTGAGTTGTTTCAGCAGATTATAGTTAACTGAATATTCTTCACCTCTGTGCCAAGTCTGCCATGAAAATTTGAATCGCCTGATGCAACATGCGCTATACTTATTATTTTAATCATTATCCCCCCCCCCAGATCTTTCTTCCTTTATCAACGATTGCTCTAGCCTATTGTGTCTATACATGTACATGTATATTCGGATGGGATTCTCTCTACTTGGACAAATTAGGACTCATGCTCATGTACATTGTATATAACAAAGTTGGCCTCATTAGCAAAATAGACTGTTCTTGAAACGATTGTTCTTGATACTATTGTGAATGTAAACGAATGTAACATGTTTGAGGAAAATTTATAGAATGAGCAACGAACAAAATCAAGCTAGAAATGGCTTCATATGCCACATCTTCACAGGTGCAGTGGAAGTACAGCACACCGACTGGTGAGGAAGACTACCAAGCCGAGATAAATGTCATCATAGAGGACGCCTACCAAAGTAAACAGCCGTCGGTTGTCCTCCATCTGGTAGACGGGCGGGTTACCATAGACTTCCGTAAAATGGAGGAACGGTCAAGGGCCGGTGCTTTCAGCGTAAATCGTGTTGACCTTCAGCACGGTAAAATGTAACGAGCATGCATTGAAACTAAAGACAAGACATAACATATATTGCCTAATAAATTTACCTGCACACGGATTAAGTAAATCCCTGTTTGGTGGACGGATGATGCATTTCTTATTAGGCCTTCCGATTGAAAAATCGAGTGGCTGAAATCGCTTTACACTCAGTGTCTGGCTTTCCCTTAATGTAAACTCTTACAATCACATATGCATGTATGTACACATATACATTTTTTCAAACATAATAGGCTAACAACCTGGGGGTCAGTATCAAATGAGGGGAATAATACTCATTGTGATTTCTTGGTATGGCATGCACCCATGTAGTTGGAAAATATGTGAAAGCATTGCAGCGGTGGCAGCTTGTTGGGTGCTATTTAAAAAAAAAAAAAATGCGGCCCTACCATGCTTGTTATCACATATAATTAATCCAATAACAAGCATATTGGCGGTCATTTTGAAAATAAGAACAATAAAAAGATCACACTGAAAAAACTGCCACCGCACACTGCAAAGCTATCACCCATTTTCCATCTCTATAGATGTGCATACCTTGCCAAAACCGCTATGAGCATTGCTCCTTTCTATCATTTGATACCAGTGGCCCAATTTTTGGACCGAAGCTAAAACTACCAGACATTGCTTGCTTTGGATTCACATTGGAGCATCAATTCTGACAATACAGGCATTGATTGACGTGCTCATTGAGTTACAAAATGTATTACATAATGCCATATAATTCATAAAACAATACAATATAGGCCTACCTTGTTTAAATGGTTTAGGACATTTTTCACAATAAAAGACTTTCAATTTACCCTTGTTTTCAAACTCGTGCATGTTTCAGTTCCTAAATTCCAGGTACCGAGCAGCTGGATACCCATGAAACCAGGCAAGCACTTCCAGCTAATGAAACTAGCTGCAGGAACCCAGGAATACACGGATGTCGAAACACGATTCCGATCTTCCATGGGTACCACGGCCCCCATCAGCCAAATCGACGAGGTAACTGTTTGCTTTTCGTTATCCACATAATTAACAAGACTAAATTGTCAGAGTGACCACATAGTGCTTGTTATAAATGACTAACGTATAGGATCACTTGCAATGATCAAGAATTTAGGAAAACTAACCACCGATTTAAAACTGAAACGTTGCTCAAAGTGAAGATAGGAATGTTTACAAATACCATGTGAAACTGGTCCGCTTGAAACGGTATAGAAAACTAACGTTTAAGTTGGTTTCAAAATAGGATACCAGACGGCACAATTTTTGCCCGCGTTAGAAACAGAATCTGAGAACGTGATCTCTGTTTGTTCAAAAAGTACAATATCCACGGAGCTGAACTGCAACAAGTTAGTTATGCAAATCACAGAAAAAGCAAATGGTCCTATATGTACCAATAAAGAAAGATATAAAATCGAACAGTTCTTTTCAAGGTCACTATCCCCGTTTAGTTTTGGAATGTAATAATAACGGCTGTACAAAACAACTGAGTACAATTCAACATTTACTAAACTTTTCCTTTTCACATTAGTAGCTTCTCTAAGCTCCTACTGATATTTTAATAGTAGAAGGTCCTCTTGACGGCTTTTCAATATACATCGGTTCCCCTGTTGAGGCGTGTGAACGGAGACTTGGCTTCTATAGTCTCCTTACACTTTTAACACTCTAGCAATCAAAAGGTGTACAATTCAGAGTTACAAAAGTAGGTGTTTTTGTAACACTTGACATTTTTGTGGAATTCATCCTATGATTTGGTTTCCTTCAAGGGAAATATTAATTATATTCTCCTGAATAGGCGAGTCTCATCTTTTTATAACTTTTCTGTATTTTTCGGCTCCTCTGGACGTTTTTTTTGGTAGCCATTTACCTTGTCTGAGTAGCTTTCAGCCTATTGATTTAAAAAAAAATGCAATTCGCTAAGGCCCGTTTACCACTTCCATTCACTGAGTGTGCACAATAAATATGGAACTTAGCCCATCACATCAGACTGAAATTCCAGATGAGCAACTAATGGTGGGGTCGGCTATTTCGCACCTATCGACCGCAAAGATCATTGGTGTCGGGCTGCTTTGGATATGAGTATGTCCGAAGCATGCAGGCCCCATTCAGTACAATGTCCTTCTTTGTGATTGCTCTTGGATTTCAGATATTAAGAATCCAGAATACAGATATAATGATGCAGTATCAGGCCCGTAAGGCAGCGCTAGAGGCTCGTCTTGGTCGTACAGACATTGAGGAGACGTTGTACCATGGAACCGACGAGCAAACGTGTGACAAGATCAACAAGTATGGATTTAACCGCAGCTTCAGTGGTAAAAAGGGTAAGATTACAAATTGTTGAGGGCGCTGCATGGTTGAGTTTGTTTGTTTCAATTTTTTAAAACGTTCTCGTAAGTTTAAATTCCACATTTTACTTTTAAATCTTGGAGCACATACCCTTTACACTGAGATTTCACTCGTGATCTTAGGACCCTTATCCGTGATGTACCCATGTCACGAAAAGCATCAAGACTTACACGTTTGTTATGACACGAATGCCTCACCATAAATCCTGGGAGATTACAAAATAATACTCAACTAAGAGAATGGTTCTGAAAAGAACCAGAGGTATAAACGGTATAAAGAGTTTATACCTCTGGTTCTCAACTAAGAGAACCATTCTCTTAGTTGAGAATTATTCGCACATGGTGTTTCCGCAAACCTTTCATTATTTAGTATCCCCACCATGCAAAGCCTCAAATCTTATTTACAAAATAATAAACCACAGTGCTAGAGTTGCATAAATCCTTCATCGTCCTATCCCGGATTTTGCATTTGTTTTTTAGCAACCGTTTACGGCAACGGGACCTATTTCGCGGCCGAAGCTAGCTTCTCGGCCAGATCCATCTTCGCTAAACCGAACGCCAACAACACAAAGCACATCTACGCCGCCAAAGTCCTAGTGGGAGATTTCACCACTGGTGCCCAGAGTATGGTGGTGCCCCCGAATAAACCCAACAACCCAGATCAGCTATACGACAGCGTGGTGGACAACGTGGGCACGCCCAGCATATACGTCATCTTTCACGATGCCCAGGCTTATCCAGAACACCTCATCAAATACAAGTAAATGAAGCATATAACAGCCGCCAGAAAGTCTTTTGCAATTTCCATAGAATTAGGAATTGAAATCTCTTCGATTGGTGGCAGCAGCGTATTAGTCCTTACGGGTGCAGACCTGCAAATCGACTCCCATAGACCTACGCATACTTTCGAAAGTTATTACAAATACTCACAACTCTCAGATGTTTGAGACACCCATAAAATTAAAGTTTATGTCATATTGTTTGTTTGACAAGTTCTTTTAGCACTTAAAGCAGGACTGTTCTTATCAGAACAAAAAAACTACTAAGCGAAGTTGATAATTAGCAGTATATCTTCTAAGCAGTAGTTATTACCACATGGTGTTACCGCAAACCGAAACGATATTGTTTCCTTTTATTCAAATTTGGTGAATTATCTCATATCTTTTGGGAGAAAATTACATCCAAAGATGATCATCCCGAAAACAAGTCCTGTGGCCCATCGCCATTTTGACAAAATAATGCCTGCGCTCCATTGCAAAAAAAGAGAACAATTAAAGGGCCCAAATTCATAGAAATACAAGCTCACACCTCTGTGCACGGCTTTTTTTATATAAACATTCAAGTTCATGGCCCAGAAAATTCCCAAATTTGCAATGAAATTGAGGGCATACAAATTGTAATTTGGCCCGCGTAGGCAATTCTGGGTCTATTTACAGGTCTACGCCATTACCAGATCCTCTTATATTTAGTTGGTACAGGGCGCCCTTACGAGTTCATGAGTGAAAGCATCACGTAAAATTTTGTCAAACTTCTAAACGTTATTCACTTACATGTACCATTGGCAAGGTGTGGTGTATGTTAAAAACTAAGACCATGTTCTTACCGTACAGCGTCCGGTTAGGTGACGTCATCACTGAGTAACCGCTCAGATATATATATTCCCACTGAATAATTATTCAGATACAAATATGTAATTTAACAGCAGCATGTCGCAAGAAGGCGCTGTTATAAGTGATGACGCCATAAAAACCATTGTTCAAAACATGTCTCTAAAGAAAAGGAAAGCAGTCTTAGGAATACCACTACTCTGCTCATAAAAAAAGAAGGTATTAACGCATCATTTCGTCAGCGTTTTCACAAAGGGACGAATATACGTCCAAAGTCATTTTTTCCCCGATATTCTTTTTATCGGGCGAAATCTTGGCGAAAATCCACAGCATATAACGAACCTTTTGGTGAAGTTTTTTGGTCAAAATCGGGTTTATGTCAATGAAATCATGACAATCAATGTATGGAAAATTGCACTTGAATCGTATTTAAAGTTTTCACGATCAGACACATTCTAAGTTTATCATGTTGTTCTATAGAACAAAAACAACGCGCGTGTAGGCGTTTGAGTTTTTAAGAAGAGACGTATTGAATTTGCCCAGAAACAAAACGCGCGTTTTCACGAAGAGACAAAAATGTCAGCGCGTAATGGGTATGGGCCAATTTGCCCTGCAAAAACAACGCGCGTGTGGCATTTTAGGTTTTCACGAAGAGACGACTCTCTATGGAGATTAATTACTTCGCTTACTCCAAAAGTAATTGTTCTATTATTCTGTAATTGGTACATTTTTTTAATTTAAGAACTCAGCTTACTATCTGTATAAAAAAATAGTCAACATATGCCCTAAAAATTGGCGAAATCGGCATTTCCAAAAGTGACCAACTTTTTTCTGAGAACCACTGTTCTCAAGTTTTTCTGAGAACCACTGTTCAACACCCCGTAGCCAAATTCGTTCCTTCGTGAAAACGCTGACACTCTGATTGAGGAGAGATGTTGTAAACTATTTAAGTTTGGGCCACCGTATTCCAGATGACGACATCATTACGTCACTTTGACTTAAAATTTTGTTTGCAGCATGATTGTCTGTCGACTGACATTTGAAAAGTTCATGAGGGTCGCGTGAGTGCAAGTCTGAATTTTGTGATTGCTTGACTTTGACCATCCGATGACCATGGAAGGAAGGAAGGAAAAACGAAAAAAAAATAACATCTTTATTTTAATTGATAATCATTGTCTGTGTATTTGATGATATTTTCATGTAATATGATAGTATTAAAGTGGCAATAATATTTAAATGACATTTGCTTAACCATTATTATCAGTGACTGCTTCAATGGACTTTGAATTAAGAAGAACATGATTTCCAGTGTCCTAGTTATTTTGTGTTTAGCATTTTTATACTCAGTATATAGGGATTTAATTTGCAAATTATCCTAATGTATGGTAGATAGTCGATTATAATTACATGCAAACATTAATCGTGTTTGAACTATGAACTCTTCCAAAGCAATAATCAGTACCTTTGAGCATGTTATCAATACAGTTCTTATTCCATTTTTTAAACATTATTCCTGGGTTAAGGGTAGGCCTTTAGTGTTGTTTTTAAATGTGGGATCGAATGGTATGTGCTTCATGTTGACTTTAAATTTACATTCAATGATTTGCAAAAATGGTCTAGGCCAAAATTGTTAACCACAATAGAGGACCGATTTTGAATAATTGGATTGGTTTCGTAAATACTTCTATTGTATAAGAGTAAAGTGTGCGCAAAATGTGACAGGTACTTTAAATTTACTTAAAAGTATTCTTCAAAATATTCGTTGAAAGCATCTTTGTTTCGTTTGACAATGAATCGGTTTTTGTAGCAATTAATTTGATTAATTATGATATACAGTACAGTATGCTTATATGAATTATGAATACATGTCATATAAACAGAGCTATCAGTTGTAGTCAGCCGTGTGTCTTCTCATGCTCATTATGTTTATTATTAAAAAAAGGTAAATAAAGTTGATGAGAAATTATGAGAGCCATTATTTAATCTTTAGATATCAGTTAAACAAATGACATGTAGTTTGAGATATATTTCAGATATATGATTATGTAATAAAACCGGAGTAGGTAAAACAATTAGGTACTCAAGGCGCTGGAAATTATGTCTATTATTAAAGAAAGGTAAATAAAGTTTATGAAAATATGACACCCATTATGCAATCTTTAGATATCAGTTAAACAAATAACATGTATTTTGAGATGAATTTCTAAGCAAATTTTATTTCGAAGTGGTTGTGTGAAATCGGAGATGGTATGCATGAGACTTCAGTACGTATAAGCATAAAATTAATAAGCGAGTTTCAGTGCTCGGCCATTCCAAATTTGTTCACCAAAAACATGTCTGCTGTTTTCTGTTTCTTATTGGTATTCTTTCACATTGGGTAGATATAGAAATGAAAATAATTTTCTGACAAAGGAACGAGAGTGAAAGTTGTGATTAATACTTTAACAGCCGTCGAAAGTGTTTTTGGGCAGCTAGGAAAAAACAGGATGCTAAACGGGAACAAGAGGACGTATATCGCGTTTTGGAAATTACTCAATTGTACTTACATCCCCATTAGAAAAAGAATTCTGTTAAATGTATACCGTTTAGAATGCTTCGGTGAAATTAAGACAGACGTTTACAAGAATATGGACTAATTATGCCACCACCATATGAAATGTGACACTGTCCCTAAACGGGGAAGGTTGTCTACAAAAAGTGGTTATGCAAAATGTAAATCTACACGCGAATATTTCATTTACTGGAAAAGGTGAAAATAATTTGACTCTCTTTGGTCTTTGGTTTTAAGCCTCCCGCCTTTTTTTTATAAAAAGGCGCCCCCAAAAATGAAAAATTTGCATCCGTTATTTTACATTAGCATACAATCATAGTTTGAACATTGTACTTAAGGTCATGGACTATGATACAGAGCCTCGATTGTAGGCAATCGTGCCTTACACCTCGGTTTAGACTTCAACACAGTACTTTGGGAATTCCCGTTGTACACAATAACCAAATATTAGTTTGCAGTGCGTTTCATATTCGGCATATAAATACAGGTGTTCAGTCAACTAGTGTGGTCTTGCTGTACATAATGTCACCATAACCGTTTTGCTGACCGTGTAACCGTTTAGTGCCTTCACGACAGTCCCTTTACAACTGGACACATTAAAGGCTATTATGGCTGCATTTAACCAGCCACAGAAAACATCTGTATTCGTTCGCGCTCCCCCAATCGGATCTGATGCGCAGCAGTCCGCATTCCGTGACACATTATGGATCTATTTCCAGAAGAAACGAGTGAGCAACGACAGCGACGTACAGGATGTGTGTGTCCTGTCCTCTGACGATGAGGCACTATGGCTGAAGGTTACTTTCAACGGGCCGTCTGGTGAGTTGAATTTCTTGCCATAAGTTGAATTAGCGACAATGACCTCCTCTTTTGAATTCGATGTGCAACTGCGTCATGTAGTAGCCCACAAATATTTCCGCAGTGTATCTGTGTGAAGATTTCAAAAGAAGAGGTCATTGTCACCACCATGGTTTATTATAAAAACGGATTAGAATTGCGCCATTGCTTAGAACACTGCAGCCCATCTGGATAAATAATACGTCGTGGGAAATAGACATTATTTTAGTTGCACAATTTATGGAATGTTTTTTTCTGTTAATTTCTGGGGCCTAACAATAATTGAGGCCTAACAATAATTGAAACCTCTCCAAGCTTTTGCTCAGTTAAATATTTGTGCATATCTAGTCCAGCCCCTAAACAGTATGGCCCCTGAATTAAATTATAAGGGTTATGTACAGAGAAATATTTTGTGAGTCGCGTGATAGTGGGAATTCCCAAAATCGCAATGTGAAAATTCCCCCATTGAGTTATTGGGTATGTGAACTTTGCACCCGACTCCGGAGATAAGCTAGTGCAGACGGAGGCTGAATTTACTAATTACCAACAAGGTATCACAAAGTGTTCTTTCAGCAAAACGAAAACAATTCACATAGGGATGTTTGTGATTTTTTTTTCGTTTTGCTGAAAGAACACTTACCTTTTTTGTGATCCGTCGACAGAAATTTAAAACGGTGTTTGTGTTCAAAACTTGAAAAGTCGAGTGATTTGAATGATTCTTGTACTCAAACAAAGCCTATTAATTTGGCTTTAGTATCCTTCCTTTTGAAAGCGCTTCATGCAGAACTTCATTAAACAAATGGTCATGCCTTTTGGGTTTCCTTTTCTTTACTCACCCTGTATATCAGTAAACAAATTATTTAAACGTACACGGTACTTCCGGTTTGTTGACGTCATCAGTTAAAATGTTCAAGCTACATATTCATTTAGTTCAGACAGGATAAACGTTCATCATGCAGTGAACAGAACCTCTGAAAATATTGAAATTACAATTATTATGTGTGTGTATCAACAACACATAACTTTCGGTTTGATGTCTTCAAATATTTGGAAGCCCAATGTCAACATTGGACAGGGTAAAAAAAAACAGTACGAACACAGTCATTGGACACGGATCAAATGACGAATTTAAATGTAAAGGAAAGAAAACTGATCAATTTTGAATTTTCCCGAAAAAAAATCCGGTCTGATGACGTCACGATTCGCAAAGTTCTTTGAGGTTGTACGAAGAATATAAGGGCAATTTTGTAAAATTGTAACGAATGGTATTTAAATTCAAAAGTTTTATTTATCTTTTGACGTACCGCTAGAGGGCATCCTTTTGGGTAATGACGTCTTCATGCCAATCTTTGTTTGACATTCCTCACTAATTATTTGCATAAATTATATAACTAGAGTAATGCTTCGGTTTTTAAGCACCACTCGGGAAGAGACTCGATTTATGTTCAAAGTTACAAGTTCATTTCCAGGAAAAAAAGAAGAAACTAGAGGTTAGCGTTTCTTGAGTTACAAACGCAGAGTGATCGGGCAGACATCTGTTTCATTAAAGACAGCCCACTTAAGTTATGAATATTTTTATCTTGGAACAAAGGATCAAGAAACCTCTCAGTACAGCACGGTGGTGCAACGCAACGCACGACATAATGGGAGACGTATATAAGCACACACACTGCAAAATGGAAAGGGTGACGTGACGGAACGACGCGACACCTGAGTGTGTACAGAAACAATGGAGAATGCGTGGCGGCACAACAGTTGAGCCGTTGCGTCGCATGTATTGGCGTCGCATGTTGAAAAGGCGACACGATGTGTCGTAAATAGTTAACCATACAATTTGTCCCATAGGTTTTAAACACGTTTTCATTGTACAAGCCACCTTCGGAACTGTTTTTTTTTCAATACGATCAAATTTGAACTTTGCATAGTTATTAACCATCATCTGAAGATGGGTCAATGCGACGTCATCAGGGGTCACGTGACGTCAATTTTAAGGTTCATTTTTACAGTCCTGTAACTATTTTACAGTGACCGCAATGCGATTCTGGTATAATTACAAACCAAGATTTCCGCCAAAACCATCACTGACTACGGATCAACAACATCTTTCAACATCAGTAAACACAGCAGGATTCTGGAGTCTTAGCACGCCAAGTTTCCCGCAACAATCACTGACACAATGGAATGAACAACCTGATCCGCGCCAACACTGAGTCACGTGTTAGACGTTGAGACCATACGGTTGAACAGTCCGAAGACGCTCCATCCACAAAGGAGCTAAGACTTACCCGACTTCGGAACCGGGATGATATTAATAAAAATGCACCACTGATCTGGTATTTCCCCATTCTCATATAACTTGTTGACAACGTCGAGTACGAGGTCGTCGATGGGGACATACTTCAGGACCTCTGGGACGACACTATCCTCCCCATAGCACTTCCCAGCCTTGTACACCCCCTTTTGCCTTGATATACTCCTCGTGGTTGAATGGACCATCCACCATGTCCAGGTCCTTGAACACTTGTTCCACCTCCACCTGAGCATCCAACACCTCTGGTTCAGCACCACGAAGGTTTTGAAGTGGTTGTACCATGCCTCAACCTGTCGCTCATCGGTATCTCCCTTGATCTGAGAGGGATAAGGAGACTTTCTACCAGTAATCTCGTTGATCAGCTTTCAGCTCATCGCGTGCATTTGGTCGACTAGGACCTTCTTGTTTGTAGTCTGCTACAAGATATCTGTAGGCCATCCGATGAGGCTTTCGCCCACCTCTTCGCCTTGGGAACCTTGTCCATGCAGACCTCCGCGGCTCTTCGTTTGCTTTCACAAACTGGTCATAGCGGTCGGTTGAAGATTCCCGCTCCTCCGTCAATACCTGGAGCCGATTGTGAGCTTCTATGGTGTACCTCTCCTGTAGGTTCATGTTTCCCTTGAGCTTTCCCCATTTGTACTTCACCCTTCTCGTGACTGCCTTTCTCAGTGCTTGGAGGCTGAGACGCACCTTCGTCACCACAACTCTATGATCTGATCCTACCGTAGCGAAGATAATGTGGGCGCAAGAGATAATTATGCTGTTACGCCATTTCCTCCTGGTCACGATTTCGACCCTGCTGGTGACAGCCACGTTTACAGCCTTCCCTCTCGCTTTTCTAACAGCGTGTTGTTGGCAAGAAGAGAGTAGTTCTCTATCGGTTCCAGCAGACGCACCCCTTCATCAATCGTGACTTGATGAAAAGTGAAAGGAACGTCTCTCTGACCCAGGCGAGCATTGTAGTCTCCAAGGATGGCAAGGAAGTGATGCTTGGGAACAGCCTCTACCGCTCGTCTTACATCATCACAGAACTTCCTCTTCTTCTCTTCGAGTGCTAAGAGAGTTAGCGCTTAGGCCACTACGGTGGAGAGGACTGGATTGATTTTGAACATGCAGTGATTACTCTACAACGATTAGCAACCTCTGTGCCTCTCTATACTCAGCATGTGCCCAACCCAACCAGTTGCCGCCTGAGCTTCGTTTCTCCAAGCCGAAGCCGTGACAAGGTTGTAAAACTCAATCATGTTGGTAACCACGATTTCTCTTATTCCATCAGCAAGCACCCTCCTGTTCTCCTGGATCCAAGACAGGGCCACTCTGTGTCTCCTCATCCTATGCACTAGCTCCTTGACCCTCTAATTGTCCTCCCTGATTTGTTTACACATTCATGGTGGCATTGAGTCCAGCTCCTCTTACATCTTAGTAGCGCGTCGGTTCTCCGGCACCCGTCAGCTGCTCCCCTTCCCAAGGCATCTTGTTCCTTGGGGTTTGATGGAGCACCATCACGATGTTCACAAGATGAGCGTGCACGAATCCCCTCGACTCCGGCCCTGGCAGTATACGATTCTTCATCGGATTTACGATCATGATTGGGCTTTTTATTTGCGAAAGTAGTGCTCGGGTGGTCGCAACTCCTCTCCTGTGACGGGTGGTTTGAGATAAGAGTTTTCCTTCTCTTACGAGGGCTGCCTTGCCAGGTTTATGAGCCCCTCCTGCCCAGGTTTGGAATCCAAGTGGGATCCCAGGACTATTTGACCCATATCCCCGGGCAGTGGTTGACATGGCACCAGGGCGTGTCCACATGCCGGTGAGCCTGAACACCATGTCTCTTGGGCCAACTGCTGCCCCAAGATCTCCCACAGTTCAGCCTGGGATCGCAAGATGCCAAGTTACCGTGTGCTGCCACGAGGACTGCAGGTATCTTGATGTTGGAGAGGCTATATGTACTGGCAGGGGAAGCGTTACGCACTCGGCTCCCCTTTTGACCACAAATGGGGCTAGTCAGCGGCAGCAGCGTAAGATAGAAAGTGGGGTGTGCAAAATTAACTACGACTACACTATTGCACTAGACGCCTCATACACACCATGTGAGGAGCACTATATAACAAACTTTTGCCCACTTTCACACTAACATCATGTTCATTGCCCTCATTTTCCTTATCCAATTGTTTTCCTCAGCCTTCCCTATTTTCACCCCCTTTTGCCAATTTATACTAATGCCACTTTCATGACTACTCTATTTTTCCCCCGGCATCCTTCCTTCCTTTAACCCCTTCTGTTCCTTTACCAGCACAATCCTCTGTTTCATTATCCCATTTGATCGCCACCCACTGGTTTGCTGACACTGGTTTGTTGGAATGTTTCTCATTCCAACCCTGCATGTTTGTGTGTTCCCTACATGTTGTATTTTGTTCCTCTGTCATTTGCCTCTAAAGAAGTCCTTGCTAAGACCCCTTTTACACAGGGCAGCGACCTTTGGGACTCATAAAACTGGCCAGGTCGCTGTTTATAGAGGCTCATAGGAGGCCGAATGGTTGCCTAGGTCGTTCAAAGGTGGTACACAGGATGTTCAGTCATCGCTATGGATGCCATGGTCGTCGTACAGATTTGAACATGTTTAAAACAGTCGCACAAAGATCGCCGAGGAGGCTGGTTGCTCAAAGGTGGCTCAAATGAGACAGAAGGCAGGCACAAGCATTGCCGTGATTGCAGAATGGATGCACAATGGTCGGCCTATGGTCGCCACGTAATAGATCCGTTCAGTTGCAAATTTAAAGGGCCTGTCACATTATATGCGCTCTCATAGGAGACCTTACGGCGACCATTTCTTTCCATAAATTTAACAATCGCAGCGAGGACGCAACAAAGTGACAACTTTCTGTCTCAAAGAAGCTCAAGCTACCTTCATACTGTGCTCTTCCCGCGCCTACGATGCGTTCAACTCGCTCTTTATGCGCCCCTGTCAAGCCAAATTACTCGATCTAGTCGCTGCCGCTGCGCTGTCACTGCGCCCACACTACGCTCTGCTCACTGTTGATACGTCCTAGTAGCATGCGTCGCGCTCTCTATTCGACCAAAATACGCTCATGTGACGTCACTTGCACTGCATAAATACCACGACAAAACGGTCAATACAAAGTCCAGTTTAAAAAAATTATTCTACAAGTTCATCGCAGTCGAGTTACTTTCTCATGAAGACTACGTCGACTGCCTTGCGCCTAAGCTGTCTCAATGCCATTTCAATGTCGCACGATTCACGCTCGCACAGCGCCCGAGTTGCGTCATTACGGCGCCCTGGCCAGAGCGCAGAGGTGTTGCTCATCAGAGACCATTAAGACCCTCTGGCGCCCATCTGGCGACCTATGTAGCTGTCGCTGCGATCTAGAAGTTGTTGTTGCGCCCTAGCTATTTTTCAAGGACGCAGTGAGAGCGCATATAAGATCGCAGACAGTGTGACAGGGCCTTTACCGACAATCTGGGCGATGCTTCTGCCTCCCTTGTGCCTCCTTTGGCCGACCAATAGCGTGCATTGAACGATGACTGTGGCGACCGCTGTGCCTCCATTCTGCGACCACGGCAACCCTTGAGCCACCATGGCCGTAGGTTGCACAGGGGAGGCAGGCAAGTGGCTCAGTAAACGCACAGGTCGGCGCTCGAAGCTCGACATAAAAATGCCCGAAAATTGCAGTTTCGGTGGTTCAAGGGAGGCACAAGGATCGCTGGAGCAGTTACATAGAAACATGATTATCTGGGCTTAGGCGACCATAGAGCGTCCTGACCATTTTTTGGTCGCTCATAGTTTGTACAAAGGTCGCAGCCCTGTGTAAAGGGGGCTTAAGGATGAAATATTAGGCCGCTTTAATTTGTTTATATTCTTTTTCATGAATTGTTAATCTGATGGGGTAAATACCTTATATTAGCATAAAGCAACATTCGAAGATAAGTGAGTTGCATTATTATAACCGTGCGGTAAGTTTATTGTTCTCATGTTATGGCATTACGAATATTTAATGAGGCAACATTGTAGCCATATTATCTCAACAATACGACGATTCCAGTTCTTTACACAATACATTATCTTGATCTGAAAATGTGCCTTCTGGAATTTAAGGGTCACGACCCTTACTTTCTGTGTTACCAAAGTGTTAATTATAGACTCCGATTATTATCTCTCACTAATTATCACTCTGTTGGGGTTAATACCTTATGAGCATGAAGTGTCATTCAAAGATAAATAGTTTTTTTATGAAGATTACCGTATTTAGCCTTGTATTCTAATGTTATTAAGTCAGGAATAAGTCGGCAATTTCGTGGTCATCTTCTCTCAGTAATATGATAAGGTATGAATGCCAAGTCTTTGCATATTGCATTATAGTGTGTTTAAGGTGTGCCTCCTTAAATGTCAAGGTCATTTGACCCTTATTTCCGGTGTAACAGGAAGTGCAATTTTAAAAAGTTACAGTTTTTTTGACAAATCATAAAATCATTCTGTACCATCCAATAGACAATCAAAATATTATGGGAACAATCAAAATATTATGGGAGTTGTTCAGTTACAACCACAATCTCTAGTGAACCATTAAAAAGGTATATTTTTGTCTGGAGATCGCTCAAATTTAGATTTTGATATTGATTGCTTACCAGCTCTGGGTCAGAGAAAAAAAATCCACATAGTGCCCTTACACTTTATGGAGATAATGTTCATTGTGAACCCCATTTGTTTACATTCGGCTCGGCAGCGAGTTTTGTCCTACCTGTACATTTTTCCAGGAGTGAATGAAGCCATGGAATTTCTTCGCGCAGTAATTACATGCAAACATCAATATTGATTATTGAAAGTATGGTTATGTGAAGGTTCACATTCCAATTTTTAATGATCTTTCCAACTAATATCATATCGCGGTAAGCGCGTTTTCGAGTCGAGGATGGTGCGTGCTCTCTTGAAAGTGTCCTTAAACAAAAGTCATTATACATTTTTTTTGGGCGGCATGTTTTTATTTTCACATGATGAATGTGAAACAGAGTAATGTTTTTGTATTTACACACCCACTGATATTGTCGAACACAAGCAGTGATACTCACTTACATAAATTTCGGATTTAATTTTCCCCCTCCTTTTGAAATTTTTTATTATTATACTTCCTTTGGGAGTCGTGATTTTGGATGATTTCAACTATTGTTTGTGTGTTTTGTTATTTTTCACAGGCGTTAATGCCGTTTTAGCTAAAGAACACCACGAGCTGATTTGGGGGAAAGAAACTCTTCCTCTTCAAGTTCAGTCGTTCTTCCCAGGTTCAGGGTTCGCAGCACCACCCGTAGAATCTGATTTAGATATTGAGATTCTAAATTGGGTGGGTATTAATCGTAGTGTATAGCAGCCCGAATTATAGACACTTCGGTATCAATGTTTTTGTTATTGGTTTAATCGGCTTTCCGTTTTTAATAGGTTATTGTTTTTAAGTTACATTCCGCAGGTCCAGATTATTAGCAGTAAAATATATTATTTAGTAATTTTTTGTAATAGTGCTGTTTCTGTCAACGGTTTGCGGACTTTCTGTTTTTAATGAGTTATCAGTTTCATGATGAGTTACATTTCGCAAGTTTCTACACAGATATTGGTCAGACTCTGTGTGAAAACTTACACATTTTGAACGGTTTTGAAAGCAGGACACATTACACATACAGGACGATGAATTTGGCGCAAGTACAGGCGGGGCTTGGCGTGCTGAAAGTATATCTGATCGCTCCCTATCATCTCGGCACGAGGGCAACCCCTTTGGCAGGTCAGCCGGCTGGAGGTCGCATCAGGCCAGCTGCTATGAGAAATCGACACATACACCTCATCACGCTCGAGACCCCTTTGAGCCATGTTTAGCGAATTCTCCAGCACCTTCACCCATGGCGCCTGTTACTGCGTCTCCATCTACGGCACCTTTGAAGGCTCCTGGCCATCTTGATGGAAACTCCGCAAGGGACAAGAGTGCACCTTCTGCTCTTCAGATGGGTCTACGTGAAAGGGTTCCAGGCACCGCTGTTCGTACAACTCTTACCCGTGAACACAAACCCGTTCCCGCAGAAGAGGAGGGGAAACGGGTATGTATAACTGTGCTACATTGTAGTGTGTGAAACCCTCCATTTTAGATTGAAGTTGTACATTTTGAAAGTAGACCGTCGGGCAGGCCTGAAAAGATCGTGCTGTTGGATAAAGCGTTGTATCTCCGCCCTATATAACAGAAAATCTTTCTAAAAAAATGAACATCATGATCCTCTAAAAGTCTTTGTGCAAATCAACGACTAATTACAATATCACAAGTCAGGAAGTAAAGCTGTAGTTCTACGTCATTTTGTATTACCATTAAATATGACCTGTGAATTTGAGTATGATGTCATTCCTGAAGAAAGTTTTGTTGCTGCCGTGGCGTTGCAGAACTCCATACTGTTTTGGTACAGAAGGAGAAGGGTATACATCACAACAGGTTGAATGGCATTTTAAAGGCCAATCCTCCACGAATTCCTCCTAGGAATTAATCTGCAAAGCCAGACAATAACTTGGCAATATCCTCCTTCGGACCACAACATTTATTGTCAAAGGGGAAATGTTGTGTTTCGAAAAAAAGCCTTTCAGAGCTAGCACGCAAACATTAAGCCTATGACGTAAATGTATTATTAATGTTGTCGAAATGTTTTTGCATGCAGTGTACAAATTAATTAATCATCTCTGTGATCGTTTGTGCTTGATGACTCCTAGGATAACCAAGGCCAGGAAGAGGAGTGCGTTCATATAGTTGAAGTGACCAGTTTCAAATCCACAACATCGGAGGAAATGCTGCGGCTGTATTTTGAGAGTCCGCGTAAATCTAAAGGCGGTGAAATAGAAACGTGGGAGATGGACGCCGAAACCGGGACCATCCGAATTAAATACAGCAACCCATCAGGTATACCCTTGTATGCGCGTTGTCCTTGTTTGATGTGTGTCCTAAATGGTGACTGACCTCACGGGTGTCGCTACAGGGGGGTGGTGGTAAGGGGGTCTCCCATTAGTCAATATACACAATCATGGTGTTGTCGGCAAAATAGAAAATGAAGAATGGAGAAGGAAGGGGAAAGGAAGAGGAATGAAGAAAAAATGGAGAATGTAAATAATAAACACCGCTGCTCAAAACCCTGCCAAGCTAAAATCAGGTTCTGCAACCCATGGCAAAAGATTGTAGACATTCTGTCATGTCGGCTTGAGCTGCCGCACGAGGCGCTTTATATACGGCGGTTGACAGCTACAGCTGTGCAAAACACACGCACGTGCTCGCTCGCAGGCAGTTACGAATTGAGCTGATTCTTAGCGACGACTCAAAATCATGGATCAAGCTAAAAAAAGGGCAAATCTCGAATGACAGTCAAGAAACAGTTTTGATGTGATGTTTGTGATGTAATATATCAAACTTTGATGACCCATCTCCATCTCCTTAAGGAAATGCCTCAGATTGCACCAAAGAGCGTCAACAATCCACAATTTTCCCGGGGCCCTTTAGCGGGCCCCGGACCCAACGCACTCGGCGCTTTACGCTCCGTGCTCGCCGCATATATAAAATGTCACTTTAGGATTTAAAGACCCCCAGTCTGGGTTCAGGGAACGGGCCTGATCACGGTATGCGGACACGTACTGAGCGTGTGCACGCTGTTTTGCGACGAGTAAATGTCGAAAACTTTTCAATATAATGATAGGGCTAGATTTTGACGATCATTTACTTTTGAAGTTGAATTTATCCCACTGAAAAATTAAATACATTCAAAGTAATCAACATAATAATTAACCATTCATATATTTGTGGAAAAAGTTAGAAATGACGTTAAAAGGATCATTTTGGGCGGAAAATATGAACTACGCACATTTTGCGTGACGGTCCGTCTGCAAAATTCATGATGGCACCCCCGCCCCATTCAAAATGGTCTAGGACGCCCATGACTGTCCTCAACGATAAACGTTACAAACGTTTGTATATTAACGAAAATGTTATAGATGGGGAAGTTGAGGAAACATTCACTAGGTTTTTTTCTTCATATTCCTCTGCATTCACCTGGTCACTTGGCAAAGTCATAGAGGGAAATGAGCTTTATATATTGTCTATGTTAAACAACTGTTAGCCGGATATTTTGATCAAGCAGATTTGTTTGATTAAGATCTAAATGTAGACTGCTTCCTAATTGCTTTGACCCACTGAGATGGCCTAGGCATGCCAGGTTCAGATATATATCTCTCATTAAATGAAATTCTTTGCTATATTAGGCAATTGCAGCTGTCTGGAAACAGTTACATTGTATTACCCAAGTTGTTACCAATTCAGGCAAAACCTAATGTCTGTTTTTAAGTGACTTGATCGTCAACACTGGGCTTATGATATGATGTTTTATCCGTAGTTGCAAGAGCGGTGGCGGGGAAAACTCACAAGCTCGGAGGCGTAAAACTGTCGGTGAGCCTGTTTGTCAAGAGAAAAACCCGCCCTCGTCCAGTCAAGAAGCAATGCTTGGTTCTCAGAGGGATCCCGGATGGGTGCCCTATGGAGCATGTGGAGCTTTACCTGGAGAACTGCTCTGGTATGGATGAGCCAATTGTCAAGTACGGGGAGAAACCTGGAACAGCATTGTGTACATTTGCACAAGACATCCCAGGTAATTAGTGTCATTACCATGATAACCATATACAGGGTGTCTCACAAAAACCGAACCCTTTCAGATCGGGTAAATATTTTTTGAGTTATGGCCAACTCAAAATAAGTGCCGATATTTCATTCTGTCCACAGTCTCGATTGTCATTAATTTTTGTAAGGAACGTAAGGGAATTGGGGTGGGGGTAGTTTTGCTTTCTTTAATTTTTCAATCTCCATTTATTTTGCTGATTTTATGTTTAATTTTTTTCCAACAATGTACATGTATTCCTTTGGAAGTAATGGTAGTCCTGAAAAGAACTGTTTGATTAACTTCTTAGATGTTTACTTTGCTGCTTTGCCTCTGCCCTCTACTTGGTATCCTTTTTTGTTTTAGAAATTCAAGTTTCGGCCCTTGTTCTTATTGCAGCAGTCAAAATATCAGTTGCCGTGGACAAAATGAAAAAGCGGTGCTTGTTTTGAATTGGTCATAACTCAATAAATATTTACCTGATTGGGAAGATGTTTACGTTGTTGAAAAGCTGTATGTATATATGCGATGTATTTTTTTAAACTGTGAAAAAGAGGACGTCAAAAAGAGGGAGATACTCTGTACTTTTTTTAATCCATGTATTATTAATAAGGTGGTAATTAATTGTTCAAGTTTACACAAAAGACAAGATACAATTTCAGGCTCAAACCGGTGGGTTTGTTTTAATTGAAATTGATGACTACTAACCAAAAAAAGATCGAAGTCGATTTGAATCTGTCACATGGTTAATTCTACGTCAGTTTGAATGAAATTGATTGGTACGCGTTTGAAATCCTGTTTATATGTTACGCTATCATATACCATCCATGCATCCGTATTTCCATTTCACATTTTGCAGCAATTGTGTCGACGTTAGTTTCACATGTATGTCTTTGACTGTTACACAGACTTGCAGAAAGTCATACGGAAGGTTTGCTCAAAGAAGCTACAGAAAGCCCGGGTGACAGCTGAAGTGGTGCACGAGTCTGACTGTATCCTGGTGCAAGGTTTGTTTGTATTAACGGTTCTCAACCTTTCCTACGTGTTATTTAAAAGCATGGGTCTATCTTAACTCGAATCGAATTCAATATATTCGAAACTGAGATCTTGTGTGTTTTATATCAAAACAAAAATTAGGTACTGTTAATTAAACGATTCATGTTTTTTTTCCAGGATTGACAGACAAAATGTCTTTGGAGTTTATCGAGCTGTATTTTGACAACAAAAAGAAGAGTGGTGGCGGTGGTGTGAGAGAAGTATTGATAGGAAGTGCAGAAGACCAGGCAATTGTGTACTTTGAGGACTGGAAAGGTATGAAGAAACTTAGCATAATTTCACTTCCATTTGCTTGCAAATAAAAAAAACTTTCCAAATTTGTCAACAGCATTTTAATTTCATGATAATCACTGTACTCTTTTGGGGCAATTTGTGCGAAAAGGCCTCCCAAAATTATCGGGCCTATAAACACCAAACAAGTGACTGTCAGTATATGCGGTTTGCGTTATGTCTTTTAAGTTTTCAAAATGCTGCTTGAATTCCTTGCCGGTTTTTTAAAGGGGAGTCTGAAATATTTTCTGTTCGTAGTTGTTGCTGATGTATTGTCCAAGAAAGGACCTCACAAGGTGGGCAGCGCTGAAGTGTCGGTTGAAGAATACCATGACTGCTTGGGACGACTGAGTGAATTAGATGTTCCAACGCCACACACCCCTAAGCCAATATCTGTGCAGGTACCTCAGGACATCATGGAATTCATCTTTGGAGCGAAGGGCAAACACACAAAAAAGAAGTTGGTGGTAGAGTTGAAGCAGGTAAGAGCCCTCCTACACTGGCCCGATGGTGACAAGAAAACGGCCGCCAGACTCGAACCCATACCGGAGGACGGACAGCGTCAGTATTCTTGGCTTAACTGGTCTCAACGGTGCGACGAGGTTTTGACAGGCTTTCTGAATAGATGCAAATCAACTGCAGTTGATGTCCCGAGTTCGTTGTGGAAGGAAGCAAGTACCAAACTGGCAAAGGTCAAGGCCACTCATATCTGCTCAGACCTGGATGACCAGACTCACTCCGTACAACTGGTGGGGGAGCAACAAGATGTAAACGCAGCGGCAGCTGACATCATGGTTCTCATCAAGGAGTTGCAAGCAAAGGCTGATAGTGATGCCCAGCCAACAAAGGAGGAGATCGTCATGCCACCAAATGAGCTTAAGATTTTCACACAATGCGGTATTCACCGTAAGATGGAACAGATGTTCCCAGACCTGAAAATCACCATCGCATCTTTTCAAGGGCAAATGGGGCTGATCCTGGAAGGAACGAGGAAGAATGTCGTGGAAGCAGAGTTATGGATGAGGAGACAAATGGATGGACTGAACAGAATGGAGTTTCAGACGGGAAGAGGCAAAACGGCGATCATTCGCGATGTTTCCGACAAAATACACGAGATATTTAGGTCAAAGGATATCAACGTTGCTTGCACCATTTCTGCAGATGGCAAAATCATGATATATGGGTCCAGCGAAAAGGATACATCTCAGGCAAAAATGTATATTGATCAGGAAATAGAAGAGGATGTGATCCGTATCAACGGGCCTGCTGTGATAGCTGTTCTGAAAAGCCAAGATGGAAGCCAGTTAGTCGCAGGCATCAACAAAAATGTATTTGTCAAGGCTGACATCAATTATCATTCGGGTAAGAAAAAAGTATTGAGTACTCCAATTACTTTTAGAATTTATGTTTTATTACGTGAATGCTTTAATTTGCCCTATATTATTACTATTTTGTCTTTTGCTGTGCTTGTTCTGCAGGAAATATAGAGCTCGCTGGATTCCGACACGAGTTGAAAGGAACCAAAAAGCACATTCTGGCATTCTTGAAGGATACTGTCAAAGTAAAGGGTACCATCCGCACTAACAGAAGCAAGGTTCGTATGATCAACACATATAACGGCCAGGAACTGACTGATTTTATGGCCAAACACCAGAGAGACCAAGTCATCATCCAGCCACAAATGAGTGGACACAACGTGGGGTTTCTTGTCGAGGGAAACGAAGAAGGCATGGATGCTGCCAGTCAGTTCATCAGCCAGCTTGTGGCTGGAATCAAGGAGAAACCATATCCTGTCTCAAAGATCGCGATGGTTCAGCTCTTCCGTGAAACCGAAGGAAAGAAGTTTCTCGAATCCATCGAGAGGGAGCTCGAGTGTGTGATCGACGTGATTGGAGAAAATGAAAACGACGACGAGCAATCAGAAGGTGCTACCGAAAGTCCATCTTAGACTAACATCGAACAGGCATATTTCTAGTTTCCTAGCTGTCTTTTTGATTTTACCGCAACTCATGCGGAAAAGCATATGTTTTGGTTCTGATTTTGTTCTTCCTTTTAGGATTTTCCGCATAAATGTTCAAAAAAAAGAGAACGAAAAATACCCCGCTTTGCACGTCATTGCACCTGGTAGCGAAATTTTGACTTAGCCAACACGTGACACGCGTACGAAAGTCGCATTTCCACCCGGAAGAACTATTCCAAATTACAAAAGCGGGTGTCATCAGGATTCAGAGAAGTCTACTTCACGTCCAAAAACTCATTTTGAAATATTCGAGCACCTCAGACACTGGGCTAATATGAACACAATTAGGGGCCCTTGAAAATGCACCTTTGTGTCCAACTTAACCTTATTTTCAACTTTCATATTTCCGTCTTCAAGTTTGTTTTGGTGCCTTTTTTTAATACTAATTCGAATTTTCATATTGAGCAAAAGTGTGATGTTATTCCAGGCAAAAACCTCAATGTTGCAATTAGTTTGTGGGCAAAAAATTGCCAGAATGTTTAATAAATCACCGTCGTGAACTTTCGGTTCTTTAGTGATTCGTTGTTGTGTCAGTAAGCCAATGAGCAAACTTTTCTGCCAAATGTTTTCAATGAGCAAATATTTGGATTCACAATTTCAAACAAACAAAAAACCTAATATGAACAGTGTCTTCTTGGAAAGACATCACGGCAACATCGCCCTCAGTTTTCCGGAAAAGCATGAACATTGTTTTAATGTTTAAAGAAGTGCACTTGCAGTAAAATTAACCAAAAAGAGATGTCAATTAGTTTTCCTACACTTAAGAGGATTAGAAAGTTGTTCCAAATATGTTCCTAAGAAATACTCACTTCATGGGCCCTTTAATGCAGAAATCCTAAACTACATGTTACCCTATATTTCCCTATTTTTCATGCCTCGATTTTTCAGCCAACCGACTTGGCACTGTTTAAAATCCGACCCACTTACAACTTGGCACACTGGCAGAACACCAACAAAAGACATACCACGAAGCATGACGTCACAATGACGGCATTGCTGGTCACGTGAGACGGCTGTAACGTTGCATTCCTTGCAGGCCAAAATCTCCTGAATTGCGCGTCCGATTGGGTTGAATGTTTGCACGTACCTATACCGTGATGTGTTATTGGCATTTAAGGTAATGTTATATGATGACATTATCGCATGATTTTACAGTATATGGATATTTAAAATTTTGATATGCATTGCCGTTTCTCTCGAACGCAGTACGCTATATTCAAAATTATTTTTATTACGTTTGTAAGGACATACATACGTGCACAAAAAAGTGATAAATGTGTGACGTCATGATTACGTCATCACAAATATTATTTTTCAAATGACATACAAACCAAAGTCGGATCGTCACGAAACTCGGCAGACACTAAGATGTTGTCATTATAATATAATTTATGTCATGATCAAGTCATCGGCTGATGTTTAACGAATTTTGAATTTTACATTTGTTTTTATGCTTCGGAAATTTTACAGTGTTTTTAATCGGATCAAGCCTAAACATGACACGAACGTAGACCGCTTTACATATGCTAACGTTGTCAAGTGTCGTCGTGATGACGTCATAATATGTCGTATATCTACAGAAATACGGACCACATTGGCTTACAACTTTGTAGGTAAATAGTCGGGCACCAGTTAAACATCAACAATGGAGTGACGTCATGATAACGTTATCAGGTGATTTTATACGGATTTCTAATTTTTTCTAATGTTCACTTTGGAGCCAGGAATCAGACAAAGAAAAAAATGTGTAACCGAAAAGAGGATCTGAATTAAAAAAAAAAGGTAATAGGAAACAAAATCGTAATTGCCAACCCGGGACTCGAACTACGGACCTTTTGCATGCCAAGCGAATGTCATGCCGGGGATGTGCTATAAGTAACATTTTGAGTGATGTCATGATGACGTCATCATGGGTCACTAGACGTCATCTTACATTGCATATTTTAAAATCGTATATCTAGAGAACTGTCATTCCGATTGTTTTTAAACTTATATAGGTAAACATTGAAGTGACGTCATGACGACGTCATCATAGGTCATATGACATCATCTTAAATGTTCATATGTTATGGCACTACATTTAGGGAACTACTAAACATATTGCTTTGTGACTTGGACGTGTTATAGGTGAAAATAGATGAGACGTCATGATGACGTCAGTATAAGTCATGTGACGTCATCTTAAAGGTATATATTTCAAAGTCATATGAAGAACTACAAGTCTTGCAGCAACAGCTGATAAGTTATTGAACTTTGTTCGTACATGGAATTGATCAGTTACCTGACTGCTCAGACGCTCATAAAAAAATCATAATAGACATTTATAGGCCTCTATCTTTTTTCCCAGACTCCTTCTCAATAGTTTTGTACACGTTTTTCTTCCACCCTTCCACTTTGGCACTTACGGTTTGCGAAGGTGTTTAGTCGTGACTTCGCGACGTCATCACATGTCATCTGACGTTACATGAAAGGTCTATTTATCTATAAAAAAAAATAGGTCCTATTTGTTTGCTACTTGAAATTTATCTATCTAGGATGTGTTATAGGTGAAAATTTAACTGAAGTAATGATGACATCATCACATGTCATGTGACGTCACATTAAAGGGGCATTTTTCTAAGGCCTATATATTTATAGAGCTGTAGGTCCGATTTAGTTGTAGCTAGGTATGAACCTAAGCTGGGACTATGTGTTATAGATCATATTTAAAAAAAAAAGACATCATGATGACGTTATCACATGTCGCAGAGTCATATCAAAGAGCCGAAACAGCTGTGTTTGTCCAATGTGACAAACATATTTCTAGTTTAACTGACCATTGTGCTTTCCTTTGTTGAAACAACAACTCAACAGGTGCACGTGGAATCTGGGGGCCTGATGATGAACCTGTTGCAGTACCAACAAAATTTACCTATTTTGGGCCAAACATCGTGACAACAAATGAAGGCATCTATGTTACCCTGAAGAAAGGGAGCATCACTGACGAAAAGGTACAAGCCAGAAGGTTGATGAGCCTTGCACTGCCGTGTTTACACGAAAACACCAGGCCTATTTACGCTTCTTATATTATCCTATACATAAAGTTCAAGTAGAACCCCCCTCCAAAGTATAAATATATCAATCAAAAACGAAACTCAATACTGACAATATAGATTGATCAAGGCAATACATAACTGTACACTCACTTTATCATTCTGGTTTGGGGATTATTTTAGGCAACCCCCGGAAAATTTTCCCGTCATAACTGGGGCCTAATGACCACCTGTCTAAAATTTTAGAAGCCTTTCATGCCCGTTTTTTTTTAAATTTGAATCTATAGTAATTACTTGCTTATTGTATTAAATTATTCAATTTATAATTATTTTTTCTGTAATCATTTTCAGGCTGATGTGATTGTGAACACAGCGGGCAGTGACTTGAATCTTGATTTCGGTCTTGTGTCTCGGGCAATACTGCAAGCTGCGGGGGATGCTCTCCAACAAGAATGTGACAAGGCAATTGCAGTCCGTGGCAAGGTACCCTCGGGTTCCTTCGTAGAAACTGGGGCAGGCAAAATGACCAACTGCAAGAAAATCTTTCATTGTGTCATCGCCCGATATCACTCGAATGCATCTGAAAAGGTAAGGCCACAGAACAAAACCACCCTGGTGGTTAACAGTTTTGCTTAGCTGGACTTAGACCCACCCGTCGCGGGGGATAATGCCCAACCATTTTGCCTGTGACTTGACACGGCTTAGCGCAGAGAAAGTCTGAACCCTCACTGTTCATCGAATGCCAGTCCTTTTTTCTTCGTCACACGAGGGCGCTGTTCATTGCGAAGCGATTTATGATCATTTTTGTGTTTGCATACAGGTAAATATAAAAAAATTTGTTTATTAATGATTTGAGGTCAAATGTGTCTTTATTTTCATGTTTACGTGTCCGGCGATCGATATGACGTGCACAAGAATGTCTTGCAAAACGTGTGTCGATACGGGAAACGGTCTGTTGAATACGTCTCATTTTTACAATTGAGAACAGGTAACTTTACCAGGAGCATGGGCGTCGCGAGGGGGGGGGGCAAGGGGGGGCACTTGCCCCCCCCTGGAAAAGCAAAAAAAAAAAAAAAAAAAAAGGAAGAAAAAAAGAAAAAAAGAAAAAAAAGAAAAGAAAAAGAGGCGCGAAGACAAAGTGGTGTAAATTTAATAAGTGGGGGGGGGGGGGGGGCAAAATGTCCCTGCCCCCCTCTAAAACTGATAAATCGGGAATGTGTTGAGAACTACAAGCATTTTTTGGCAAAACATTTTTTTGCCCCCCTCTAGAAAAAATCCTGGCGACGCCCATGACCAGGAGGTAAGCATTCAGTGGCCTTTGCACTCCTGCAATATATCGACTTGTTTTTCATCCTTGCTCGCCAGGGTAGTCTTATCTCTTGTAATAAGAAAGCCCCGATAAAGTAAGTCCACTAATTTACTTTTTTGACACTCGTCGTCAGCCAATAAAAATTGCATATAATATTTTGTGACGTTTCCTCACGCAGTGAATATTCATGATTCTTGGCATTATTAGCCAATATGAGAGCGCGTTACATTAGCCTTTTCGAGGCAAGTCTTCAGGCAACAAAACTACTGCGGTCGTTGCGTACTACACCAGAGAATTTCCATTCAGTGCCTGTTCACTGGTGTTTGGCCGTGTTTTTGTTGAAGTGAGGACTGATGGAGGCAAGAGCCCGTGCTATCTACATGGCCTACCCAGTGGTTGCAAAAATCCTACCAGTAGCGCGAGGTAGGGACGGTTGTCCGACCGTACCATAGATGAGTTCGCAAGTTGGTCAGCTCCTGTAACAAGTGATCTGATTGGACAGAAATTGTGTGAATAATTAATCACGCGAGGTCAAAATAGCAAATATTTGGACTGGGTTTGCCAAGGAGCCGTATATACGACTTACACGAGTAAGACTACCATGGCTACTTGGCTAGCGAGGATGGGTGTGTTTGATAAAAGTTTGTCACTGAATTGACAGCTGAATAGAGGGAACACTTTTTGACGATGAAACATAAATGGCGTAAAATCATGTTTGGCTTTGGTGTATTTTTTTACACTGCATGGTATCTAAATCGCACCAGTGGTCTAATGTGGATTGCAAATGTTCGTGGTCGAATTCAACTTTGGTAGAAGATTCAATCTTGCATCATACATTTTTGTAGACTAATGGAGATTGTTTTTCTCGTTCCAGTCTTTGGGTACCCTTGTTGATAGTTTACTGCAGCAAGCCGACATCATAAAAGCGTGTTCCCTGGCAATACCAGCCCTGGGCACGGGCAGCCTGGATTACCCAGCTGACGTCACTGCTCGGGTCATGTACGAAGCTGTGGCAGCATTCAGCAGCAAGCACCCCACCGGTGTTCTGAAAGACATTCGATTCGTGGTGTACGACAAGGATGTGAAAACTATTAAGGTGCATTTAAGGAGGCGGCCTGCAATGGCTTACTTGCTTTGAAAACAATAACTGGCTGAATACATTCGCAATTTAAGGCGGCCTCCGTCAATTTATAGTGATACATGTAGGGTGCGCTGGATGGTCTTTGCCATCATAATTGTTCATAATGCTTTCCATGAAACACACTACATTATTTTATTAACCCTTCGAATCTGTTTCTATACCATAGGGCTTCGAGGCTGAAATCGAACGCCTGACAAATGTGGCTTCTGGAGGAGCTGCACCAGCCTTCACTCGAAGGAAATTGAGAAAATCAATCTTGACATCAGCTGGTAAGCCCTGGGAAGTTCTAAATTGAAACATTTGTAGAATTTTTGTCAAGACCGAACGGAGACACCCTTGTCCCGATACTGCTGAAAAAGGATGTTCTTCTATTAACTTGTACCCCTTGTTATTTATGACGCCCATGTTACCCTTGAACATACATCTTTAGCCCCGTTGTTATAATGTCGTATTTACGTGGTATATTTAGTTAATCTATTTTGATTTCAGCCGCACACCGACACTCTTACTCGCAGACGCAAAAAGACATGGATGGGACGTTGCATTCGAAAATCGGTGAAAATCCAGTGCGTCTGCAAATCTGCCAGGGGGATCTCGTGAAAGAAAAAGGCAGTGCCATCGTGAACATTGTGGGAGAGAAGTTGGATCTGCAAGGTTTGTTAGTAAACGAACAAAAAAAACCGTATTAAATGATGCAGCGTCAGTATGGGTAGCTAGAACAGCAATGCATGGCAGACAACTAACATTGCCTTTGATGTCATACCAAAGAGCAACCGACAGTTAACCCACACATTTACAGCCGTGCGGTTGCGAAGGGCGTTTTCTAAAGGCAACGTAACACCATGGGAGTCGCCAGGATTTTTCAAGAGGGGGGCAAAACATATTTTTCCCAAACAATTCCTGTATTTCTCATGATATTCTCGATTTCTCAAATTTAGAGGGTGCAGGGACATTTTGCCCCCCCCAACTCATTAACTCATTAAATTTACACCACTATGACTTCGCGCCTCTTTTTCTTTTCTCTTTCTCTCTCTCTCTCTCTCCCTCTCTTTTTTTGGGGGGCTTTTCCGGGGGGGGGGGGCAAACGCCCCCCTTAACCCCCCCCCCCTTCGCGACGCCCATGCGTAATACTTTATTTTTAATGAAACTACATGCAGTCAGACAAGTTCACGTTGGCGGGCAAAATCTTTGAAAATTAATTTCTCCCGCTTGGAAGATCGTATCTTCATGCAACTTTCAGGATTAACGATCCAAGTATGTGCTAAAAATCGTTGTGATATGTTCATTACTGTTCATTATTGCATTTTTAACAGTTGTAACACTAACGTTTGAAATATGTGCGAATCTTTCAAACCTCCTATCCATTGTGGTGTTCAGTAATTATTTACAGAAAAGCCTCCTTCACGAGTTATTAATTAATAAATATCACCCTATTTGCAGGCTTCATTAGGTCGATACTGAGACCCGCGCCAAGCAATGCCGAGTGACGCTAATAAATATGCTATTATGCGATCGTCCATTGTGTTGCAGGGCCGAAATCGGTCAACCATAGGCGCTAAAGAATCTTTGCTGAAAACCATGCACGTGGCTTGGTCGGAAAACAATCCTCGTCGAAATTTTCCTTGGATATAATTTAAGGTATAACACTAGCGTTTGCAACAACAGATTAAGCTGCAATTCGGTTTATACTGAGATTATATAGGTGTTAAACTACTCGTGAATAACAACTTTCGGTAATTCCTAATAATTTATATAAAAACATAGATTTTTGGGACGTTTTCGAACGATTTCTGCCCGACCTGAAGGTCAGCTTTACCAGTAACCAGTTTTGAGGTTTCGGCATCGATGACGGCAATTTTTTTCACTGACATGAAGTTTAGAATTTCTTCTTCCGTTATAATTTAACATTTCAATCATACTACGCATATTTTCTGAGAAACACAACGTTCAAAAGGCCATGTTTTTTTGGGTTCACGAATTTCACTGCTCTGTTACAGCGTCTAAGTACGTAATCGGATTAGCTCTGCTGACAACCGGTGTAGCATGAATTTAGGGTTTATGAAGTACAAACTCATTGGTGGTATTGCGCATGTTCATTCAAAGATAATTATGAGAGGGACCGGACACGTGAGAGGCCTATAAAAGGGAAAAAGAGTCCGGTTTTCATAGAGTCGGCTTTTCATATGACACTGGCACGCTTTCGCCTTCGCAACCATATGGCTGTTGAAGCATCTTCTCACGTTCTTTTGACCGCGTTAGAATGTAACCGCTTTTACACCAATCACATTTCAAAAGATACACATGCAGTGCAGAAAAAAACAGTTCGCTGAAAGTTACTATTACGAGACCATAACATCCAACTTGTAAACAAGTGTATCATGGGCTTTACATATTACATTGTGCAACATTTTTATAGCGATTTTCACCGCAGACAAAAAGCAAAAGCTGCTCAAAGGGCACCAAAAGATTTGTTGCACATCAAAGTCAATGTATAAGTACGATAACGATTTTCAACGAATTCTGAGTATGGTGTTGACAGTGTTCCAGTTTGCCAAAGTTGACCCTGTTCCTACTGTATTTTTTGTATTATTGTATTTATTGACAGGTTCTTTGTCTGGCGCACTTCTGGCTAAAGGTGGAAAGACAATTCGGAAACAATGCGATGTTCTCCGTAAAAAAAGTGAATAATTATTTAATTTGTTTCAGATCTGTTTGTTATTTTGTTATGTGTACAATATTTCTGTCTATACGCACATAAAGATTTCTGCTTATTATTGAAAGCAGATTTTTGAGTCATACACGTTTTCATGTCTGCACAACACAAACGGACTAAAGAATACGTTTGGTCAACCATTCCTGTACAATTAAATAAAATACTAACATCAATTTGTGTTGATGATAAACACCAAATAAACTCAGCGATCACTACTTGACTAAACTCTTTATTTCAATGCAAGTTTAAGTGGTTTTCATATTTGCACATTGGTATACATGTACCAAGCATATCAAACGTAGTTGCTGAAGTTAAATTGTACTATCGTTATTATATTATGTTTCTTTCTGTTTTCAAAAGATCCAACGAAGTTGGTGTATGTCACAAAGGCCGGGAAATTGCAATGCGACTTCATTTTCCATGTAATCACTCCCAAGACCACCGAGGAGATTAAGATTATAGTGACCAAGACTCTCCTGGAAGCAGAAGGAAAACAAGTCCAATCCATCTCCTTCCCCGCGCTCGGAACAGGTATCCACTTAATGACCTTCAGCTTTCCAAGTAATTGTCTCAAAATATTGATTAAAGATGATATTGTATTTGTTGTCGTGCACAAACAAAAAAGCTTGTTGTGAATTTACAACAGACGACACACACACCGTTGCATATTTGGTTTGTTCCATTCATAACATTAATATGATAAAGTATTTAGATACAAATTCAAAAAAGATATCTGCCGAATTTCGTGCATTGGTTATTGGATTATGTTTTACAATATAATCACCAAACAATCATATAGTTCAACCTTACCTGAACTTGCCTAAATATTCCCAAACTATAAAAAGTCAGTATCGTTCCCATTTTAAATCGTTTCCAATTACTAAGGCCAACAAGGAAGAATAGCAGTTTGTCCTTCGGCCAGCGCCATGTTGGCCGCCATTGGAGAGTTCGTATGTCGAGAGAAGCCTCGTCACACGCTCCTCGTTCGCCTTGTCATCTTCAAACCAGAAATGCTGCCTGACTTCGAGACTGCTTTGAGACAAGCAGAGGGTCGCTCGTATAAGAAGCAAGCTAGTTTGCTCTCCAGAAGCTCAGGTGAAAACAAACGTGTGTTACAAATGTCCGTGTGTCATTCTTTTAGGTGAATTTGATGTAACACGAGACAATTTTCACAGATGATCTGGAGGCCACTGAATGCACTGAACGCTGAAAGAATTCCCAAAATAGTTTAACGGCAATTCCTCAGAAAATTGCTTTGAACTGAAAGCTTGTCTATCGTCTTGATATTACTTTGAAGCAAGTTGCCCTATATAAATGGGCTTTTAAAACATGTCGTGACTCCTGAGTAAGCGTATTCCAATCTCTTTGCATGCCCTTTTCATGAAATGTTTTGCCATCTTACTCAATGAAGTGAAGACAAATCACTTCTTAACTTATTGTCATCTATTGGAATCCATAAGGTCGGGCGAAATCTTTCCTGCCTGGGGCCGCTGCTGAGACCCAACAAGAAACAATCCCTCTTCACATCTTTGCCATGAATGACGCCACCATACAGAGAGCAACAGACAAGATCGATAGATATCAAGACGAGGAGTTCACATCGGAGGTAGGATTTCGATCACCGCTGCGTCCTTACTCTTGACTTGTTGATCACTTCAATAGTGGTGGCAGTGATGAATCAATTCACTCTACATTCCGAGACTAATTCACTAGTTCTGCTAAATGTGAAGTGAACTTTTAGTCGAAGATGTATTTAGTTTTAATATAAATATACCGGACATGAATCGCTTTGGTTTGACTTGTAACTAACTTAATTATCAGGCAAGGGTGGGGATGCTGAAGATGGAAGTGATGATAACTCTGATACTAATTTACCACTGGTTAGTGGATCAAACAGTTATCACATCCCATCCCATGGTGCATGTCACATGATCTACCTATACCTCCATGTCATGGATAATTATGCAAGATAAGGCTCCTGCCCAGGGACAGTAGAAGCAGTGGGATGAATTGAACACAAACGTCATTCAGTATATGTGCAGCTTTTAATGGTTTCTCCTTACCTTCATACAGGTTGAGGCAAAAGAAAGTGGTCGAGTTAGAGTAAAAATATTTTAGAATGTGTAGCTCGCTCCATTTAATAAAAATAATATTGGAGTTAAATACATGTTATTGACTTGTACCTGTGACAATTTCGCGTAATTTGCATACTTCGATCACAAGTTATTTCTATTTTAATAGAAATGCCACAAAATTCATGTGTCAATAGTTTATCGATCCGCATTTACCTTGTAAATACAATGAACCACTAGGGTTTGCACACCTCAATAAATGAACGAAAACTGGCAAAGGAAATCAAACAAAAATCAACATCATCAATTCAGAAAAAAACTTTGTTCCTCAAATACAAAACACAAAAGCCGACAAAAATAATATTTAAACATTGTTGACTCAAATTATTAAATTCTCATTTGTATTTGAATGCTTGTGTGTAGAATCCCTGGTTCACACTTAATAACTTCAAAGCATTTTGCACTCCATGGACAGCTGTAAAAATGGCGTCTTTTAGTAAAACATGCATTACGTGCTTTTATTGGTGTACCAAATTGTATTAATCCAAGTCACTTTCGTTTTGACTCGCCCTGTATTATAATTGCACATCATCGACGTGAACATGGTTACAAAGGTTAAGGTTTAAAAAGGCTGCAAAAGATACTTTGACGTTTGTTTTCTTTTTTTTATGCGGTTTTCTCCTATAGGATATGCCCGATTCCCTTGGAATAATTGCGAAAATGAACGAAGAGCACCATGATGAACTCCGAAACATTGAACGGGAGTACAATGTATGTCAACGTTTTCTTTTCAAAATAAGACTGCGATTTTTTTTTTTTACTATAAGCCTAAATATGTTTCCGTAACTTCACTAAATATTCGAATGCTTACGCACTCGACACATATGCAAGTAAACAAATGTCAGTTGGATATTTCCAAGTTTAGAAGTGAAAGGTGGGGAATGTTTACTTGTTGAGTCAATGATGTTTTCTTTGTTGACTAATATTTCTTCTATCCCTCCCTTTCATTTATCCCTATTTTGTCAATGTTGTTTATTACTACCTCTATATGGCTGATGGCTCATCAAAGTTTGCTTTATGCTTTTTATTCTCAAAGGTGCACATAGAATATTTTAAAGGTCATGCCAAGTTCCTCCGTGTACAGGGCCGTACAATCAATGTGAAAGATGCGATATTCAGCATTCAGGAGTGGTTCACGAGAATGCAGGTCCAGGAGACGGACAAACAACGAAGTGAACATCTGACAAAAGAAGTGAGTTTTCAGCAGATTGCAGTTCCTTGACAATTTGTGGTTTGAAACTGTCGTGAATGTGCGAATTATGTTTGCCGAATAATGTGTAACGAACAAAATCAAAGCTAGAAATGACTTCATGCCACGTTTTCACAGGTGCTGTGGCAGTACAACACCCCGACTGGTGTGGAAGACTATGAAGCCGACATCAATGCCATCATAGAGGACGCCTACCAAAGGAAACAGCCGTCGGTTGTCCTCGATCTGGAAGACGGGTGGTTTACCATTGACTTTCGTAAAATGGAGGAACAGTCAACGGCCGGTGCTTTCAGCGTAAATCGTGTTGACCTTCAGCAAGGTAAAAAGTAATAACCTGGCCTAATCACCCGCACACAGAGTAGGTAAATCCCAACTCGTTTCCTGGATTTCGAGCAGTATGCTTCCACAACCCTGGTATTGGATCACGTGCATATACACAGAGTTTGGATACGATATGCAAATGAGGAATAGTTTGGTACCTGCCTATGCTTCACCTGGGCATTTGTATTTGTATATGGTATCTGCATGGGGTAAAAACATTATCACAATTCGTCGCGGCGACAGTTACGAACACACGTTTTTTCAAAGTTAAAATGTTAAAATCACATCTAGCCTATATGCAGTACATGTGTCACATTTTTTTCGGGGGGGGGGGGACGTGTTGACGTCATAAATGTTAACGATGTTGAAAAAAGAAAGCCCTTGGACGAGGTTGGGTAAATCTCAATTTGGGGGATTGTTGGTGCCATTTTAGAGGCCTTCCTGTTGACTTGAAAATCAATCGGCTGAAATCGCTGTATTTCGCCTTTTCGCTTTTTCCTTCATGTTAACAATTACAATCGAATACATTTTGTCAAACATATATAAGTACATGTATATCTACCCTTAGCTTGCTTTGGATTGACTGTTGAGCATCAATTCTGACAATATAGGCATTGATCGACGTACTCATTGAGCTGACAAAGTGTGTTACATAATGTTGATAACAGTATGACTATCACCTATTCAATTCAACCTCTTATCAAACTCATGCATGTTACAGATGCTACATTACCGACCAGCTGGATACCCATGAGAAAGGGCGAGCACTTCCAGCTAGTGAAACTAGCTGTGGGATCCAAGGAATACACGGATGTCGAAAAACGATTCCGATCCTCCATGGGTCCCAAGGCCCCAGTCAACCAAATCGACGAGGTAACATTTTGTAATCCACATAATTAGCGAGACTGAATTTTCAGGGTGACCACATAATGACTAAAGTACCCATAAAAAGTCCCGATTTAAAGACTTAAACGTTGCTAAAAGTGAAGATAGGACTCGTACCAATACCCTGTGAAATAAGTTCGCTTGAAATACTGAAGAAAATTAACATATAAGTTGGTTTCAAAATAGGGTACTAATGGGCACACTTTTTAACTGCCTTAAAAACCGAATCCAAGTACGGTACTCCGGCAATTGTGCGTACGTGGTCTCTGTTTTCTCAAAAAGTGTAATATCCACTGAGCTGAACAGGTTTGTTATGCACCAATTTGAGCAATTGTTTTGCTTCAATTAAAAAACATATCCCAAAAAATACTGCAAGTGAAACTTGCGCAATCCCCCTCGCATGCTGGTAGTTTTTATACAGTCGTTTATAGTACGGATACTTTGACCGGTCGGCCCCAAAAGCAAGAGGCTTTTAAAGACTTCCTAGAGCAACCCACAAACCAAATGTCAAGTTGCCAAGTAAGGTATTCCTCAAGTTATCACGCTGACAACCTTTGTATTGTTTTATCAATAGTGACCTTAACCTTTTATCTGTCGGCCCTAAAAGCTTCTTATGACTACCAAGAGAAATTCACAAACCAAATTTCAAGTTCCTAAGTAAAGTACTTCCTAAGTTATCGTGCTGACATGTTTCTATTGCTTTAGCTATTTAGCAAGTGACATTTGACCTGTCGGGCCGAAATGCAATAGGCTTCTTAAGAATATTAAGAACAACCCACCCCTTTCAAAAATGTCCCATGGACATTCAATGGGATTCCCATGGGGTATCATGGGAATCCCATGGGAAACCCATGGAGTCATCAAGTACACCATGTAAGTTTAAATGATCACCATGGGAGATTTTATACAGTCAGTCTATGTGCAGTCAGTCTATACAGCAATGCCTGCAAGCGCCCGCGACACGAACTTCGTATATCGCGGTCTGAAAAATTGTCCATAGTTATTACATGGGAGATTTTTGTAAGGGACACGCCAAATTTTAAGTTCATAAGTAAAGTATTTCTCAAGTTATCGCGTTAACAAGATTTCTATCGTTTTAGCAATAGTGACCTTATGCTTTCACCTGTCGTCCCCAAAAGCAATAGCCCTCTTTAGAATACCAAGAACAACCCACAAACCAAATTTTAACTTCCTAAGTAAAGAATTTTTGTTATCGTGCTGACAAGAGTTAACCTAACCAAAACATAACAAACACACCCATGTACACACAGTGTTTACGTTACATACCTATAGTAGTGTGGACATTCCTTTGCTTTCGTGTAGTTAAAGGGAATATACAACATTTGCTGTTGCCGCAATTTTTAGAAATAAATGGATTTGGAGGATAGTATGTTATAGCAAATATTGTTAAACTGACTTGTTTCACATTTGGGTTCGGAGATGCTGGGAAATCCAAGAAAACCAGCCATGTCCTTGTAGTCTGGTTCCCTGACCCCACTTAAGATGAAACGGAGCAATTTATATACTTTGGGGAATTGTAAGGTCAGAGAATCAGTCTAGCAGGCTTATACCCCTACACAGGTGTGTAATCCATTGCAAAGAAAATGCGGAATAACTAAATATGGAAAACTAGGAGCAGGTTTTGAAGAAAAAAAAACAGTTTTCCCCAACACTGGTCGGCCGACCAGCGTTGGAAAAATACAAGTTTTCTTGAAAAATGTCAGCACACCAGGAGCAACGATTTTACAGGATACTTTTGACTGTCATTCCCTCACAATCCAGGAAATTATTTTGTGATAATTTGATCATTTTGTTTTTTTTTGATGTCTGCAAATGTTGTACATTCCCTTTAAGAAAAACCTGTGACAAAAACTCATTTTACTCACACTGTGAAAACTGTTTCAACCCAATTTTTTTCTATGATTCCCTTGAGTGTTTCTCTTCATTTGGCGACGGATATACCGAAACCCCAAAATGCCTCTAAACCTGTTTTCAAGAAAGGGGGAAACCTTGTGTGGACGTGGGCAAGTCCAGTATCTGAAGTCCACATAGTGAATGTAATGCTTGTACACACACGCACTCATATACACAGACACGTTTGTTTATGGTATAAATCGAGGATTTTCTTTTGTTCCTCTTCCCTTTTCGTTTGTTTGTACTTTTTCGCAACAGCTCTCATTGGTTTTGTACACGTTTTCTAATCGAGGTCGTCCTTTATTTGGTTCCTGTCCTCGATTCACCGATGATCACGGTTGCACGTGTGTGTCCTCGATTTACACCGTAAAGAAACTCACCCATACACAGAGAAGGAATACGTGATCACAATATTACCCTATGGCTTTATACAGCCAAGAGGATAAAAAAAGTAAATGATCCAACATACCTATAAAGGAAGATTAAAAATCAAACGGTTCTTTCCAAGTCCACCATCTCCATCTAATTACTATCTCCGTCTGGTGTGAAGCATTGAGTCCCTATTCAGTAATAATAATAAAATAAACACGGAGTTGAACTGCAACTGTTTGCACCGTTTTGAGCAATTGTTTTGCTTCAAACGAAAAACTAATCACAAAAAAGCAAACGATCCAACGTACATAAAGATTAAAAATCGAACGGTTCTTTTCAAGTCCACTATCCCCGTAGTCACCAGCTCCGTCTAGTGTGTCGGAAGCATCAAGTTCCAATTCAGTTCTACAATTTCATTCTACGTAATTGGTCTTGTATTTCAGATACTGCGAATCCAGAATAAAGATCTGATGATGATATATCAGGCGCGCAAGGCAGCGATGGAGGCTCGTCTTGATCGTACCGACATTGAAAAGACGTTGTACCATGGGACCGACGAGCAAACGTGTGACAAGATCAACAGGTTTGGATTCGACCGCGGCTTCAGCGGTAAAAATGGTAAGATTAAGAATAGACGAGGGCGCCCGTGTATACCGATGACATTTTCTGGGTAAATTTGGGCGTTATGTAATATTTGTGACTGAGCTTTTAAGAGCTCAACTATACATCCACATGAGATTACAGACTAGGAATTGTGGATCATATCTCTGAATCATTAATTATATATCATGGTTCATTGGCTCCATCATAGACGCGTTATTCCCTCTCATAACCGCTACACTCAAAGAATACTGATGTAAATTTACCTTAGTGTTGCGGCATAGCCCCAATATGCTAAAGGATTGTGCAAATTGTGATAAAAGCATGAAACTTCGCATGTTGGTTCTTCATGCCACGAAGAAAATTTTCATTCAGATATGAAGGCATTTCGTTTTTGACCTCTGGGGACCTTTTAGGTCAATGAACTTTACATACTCTACTCATAACTTTTGTTCTCAAAACTTACTTTCCTTTGGCCTAGGTCTATGTCATAGGTCTTTATACAATGAAATTATTGATCAGATGTAGGAACATTTTTCACGATTCATGTCTAAATAAAAGGTGTTCATGCAACCTTTGTAAAACAATAACCTAGTCTAATGACCCAAGTCTATAACTTAGCTCTCTGTGCCGTGGAAAGAATTTTCAGATTTGGTGACATCATATTTGACGTAGTGATACCCTTGGAGACGTCAATGAACTTTGTATATCTTAGTTGCCGTGATTTATCAAATTTATTCGTCAAAACGCCATTTGTTTTCGTGACCCAAGCCTCAATTGTGCCAAAGAACGGTATTTTACCCCTTAGTTTACAGTCATGTTATGAATTCAGACCCACAAACAATTTTGAGATGACTTCTGACCTCGTTTCTCGTTGTTTTATTGGCAGACGCAATATGATGAGATTGGAATGGAAATTTGTGGGTCTGCTTTTGTAATGGACTATGTACATATGTCAAGCAATATTCACTCTTGTGTACTTATTACACCCTGCTGTATCAAGATGGACTTGGATAGCCACGTTTTTAACCTTTTTACCAAGCCCAATTGTCGCTGTTCAAGAATGATGCTTGTCCGATGTGCCGCTTATATTTTTTTTTGCGTCTGCGTCTGCCCTTATAAAAAGGAAAATTGAGATCACAGGTTGTGTTTGTTGTAGAATAATTATCAAAAAATACTTCTTTTGCTCAAATAAGACATTAGTCACGAAAAAATGGCATTTGGAAGATTAAACATGATAAACAATTGCAATCAGAGTACAACAAGTTCATTGACCTCGCAGAAGTCGTCAAAGGTCAAATATAAAATGTCTAAATCGTATAAAAAACTATAAAAAGAGTAAATGCACTTAATACAAAGGTCATTGACCTCTGGAAGGCCATCAAAGGTCAATTGTGAAATTTTCCCGCATTTGGTCGTTCAATACATTGTATGAAGACTTACATAGACTTAGGTCATAGGAAAGTGATGTTTTCAGCAATAGGTATTAAAAGAGTATTTAAAGGTCATTGACCCCTAAAAGGTCACCAGGGGTCAGATATGAAGTGCCTCCATATCTGATTTTTTTTGTCATGGAATGAAGACCTCACATACCAAGTTTCATGCTGTTATCACAAAATGCACAATTCTGTCCCTATGCCGCACCACTACCTGTTGTTTTTAAACAACAAAATTTTGCTCGGAGTTATGCTTACGAAGAACCACAACATTCCTTCTGTCGGATCCAAAAAATGACGTCGTTCGCTGAAAATTCGAAGTCTATACAGCGTATATTGAATCGGAACCAGAACCCTATGTCTCAATGATGCTGCATATATTTTTGAATTCTATCATTTTAGGATCACGTTTTGGTGTAACATTAGAAATGATTGATTCTACTTAGAAGTGGACATAGATGTCTTTCGTTTCAAATCTTTGTTTCAATTACTTATAACTTATTTGCAAGTTTAAAATTCCACATTTGCTTATGTTGAATTTTTTTGGAGCACATGCCCTTTACACTGATATTTCACCCTTGATCCTTTTATCTGTGATACAATGAGAGTATATGTCTCTCGAAAAGTATCAAGACTAACACGTTTGTCATGACGAGAATGCCTAATCATAAATCCTGGGAGATTAATAAAAAATCAACCACTGTGCTAGAGTTGCGTTATTCCTTTATCGTCCTATCCCTGATTTTGTAATTTCTTTTAGCAACCGTGCACGGCAACGGGACCTATTTCGCGGCCGAAGCTAGCTTCTCGGCCAGATCTTTCTACGCTGAACCGAACGCAAGCAACACAAAGCACATCTACGCCACCAAAGTCCTAGTGGGAGATTTTACCACTGGTGCCAAGGGTATGGTGATGCCTCCGAATAAACCAAACAACTCAGATCAGCTATACGACAGTGTGGTGGACAACGTGGGCAAGCCCAGCATATACGTCATCTTTAACGATGCCCAGGCTTATCCGGAACACCTCATCAAATACAAGTAGAAGGAACTTAAGACAGCCGACAGAAATTCTTTTGCATTTTCGATAGAATTAGGAGAGAAAATGTCAGACGATTGGTGTCAGACGATTGATTTACGTGTGTAGACCTGTAAATTGACTCCCGTAGACTTCCGAAAATTATTACAAATACTCACAATTCTCCAAGGTGTTTAAGACACCCATCAAATTAAAGCTTCTTTCATAATCTTTCAATTTTTTCAATCATCCCATGACTTATGGGATAAAATTCCATCCAAAGATGATCACCCCGAAAACTAGTCCTCTGGTCCATCGCCATTTTGAGATAAAGATGCCTGTGATCCATTGCACAATAAGACAATTTTATTTAGGGCCCTTGAATTTCATGTGAATTTCACAGAAATACAAGCTCACACTACTGTGCATGGCTAATTCCAACCATCTTTTTTTCTTCCAACGTTCAAGTTCATGGCCCACAAAATGCTAATATCAAACAATTTGAGGGCATACAAGTTGTGATTTGGCCCGCGTAGGCAATTCTGGGCCCGTAAATTAACATGTCTACACCCTTACCAGATCCTCTAATACTCAGTTGGCACAGGTCTCCCTCACGAGTTATGAATTTTACGGGTGAAAGCATCACTTAAAAGTGTTGTCAGACTTCTAACCGTTATTCACTTATTGGCAAGGTATGTTCAAAACTAAGACCAACTTCTTACCGTACAACGTCAGGTTTGGTAAGGTTATCAATGAAGTAATCTGTCAGATATAATGTTCGTGTCCTAATCTTGAAATATTGATATTTCGGTCTATATTCCCACGGAATAATTATTCAGATACAAATAAATGTAATTAAACACAAAATGTAGCAAGATGACGCCATACAAACCACTGTTCCAAACATATGTCTCTAAGAATGGGAAAGCAGTCTTATGATTACACGTACTACTCTTAAATGCATTTACATTGGAACTTCGGGTTACGTTACCTTTGGGTTACGTTACCTTGGTAAAAATTACCAAAAATGTATATCAAGTTATGATTTGTCTGCTCACAAATATTTGAAGGCTGTGCGTCATTTGATTGAGGAGAGATGTTGTAAAATATTCAATTTAAGGCCACTGTATTCCAGATGACGACATCATTACGTCACTGTGAATTGGCATGAATAATTGTCTGAGCTACTGGCCCTTAAAAAGTTCATGAGGGTCTCGTGAGTGCAAGTCTGAATTATGTGATGGCTTGATTTTGACCATCCGGTGACCACAAAAGGAAAGGTCTAATAAAAAAAATCTTAATTTTAATTGATAATCATTGTCTGTGTATATATGTGACGATATTTTCACGCTTGATATGTTAGTATTGAAGTGACACTAATACGTTAATGGAATTTGCTTAACTATTATCATTAGTGACTGCTTAAATGGCCTTGAATGGAAAAGAAACTGATTTCCAGTGTCCTAGTCATTTTGTGTTTAGAATGTGTATACTTAGTATATAGAGATTTAATTTGCCGACATCCTAAGATAGTCGAGTATAATTACATGTAAACATTATTCGTATTTAAACAATAAATTCGTCAATCTAACCCTATTTTTAAAAAATAATTCATGGGTTAAGGGTAGGCCTTCAGTTAGTTAATATTATATTTCAATTGTTTTTGGTGGGATCGAATTGTATGTTTTGTGCTTCAAGTTGACTTTCCTTTGACATGAAATTATTTGCCAATTTGGTTTAGGCCAAATTTGTTAACCACAATAGAGGACCTATTGTTACTAATTTAAAAATATATTGGATTGGTTTCGTTTATACTTCTATTGTGAAAGAATAAAGTGTGCGAAAAATATGACAGGTACTTTAAATTTATTTTTAAGTATTCTTCAACATATTCGTTGAAAGTATCTTTGCTTTGTTTGACAATGAATCGGTTTTTGTATAATTTTTGATTAATTATGATATACAGTACAGTATGCTTATATTAATTATGAATACATGTCATATAAACAGAGCTATCAGTTGTAGTCAGCCGTGTGTCTTCTCATGCTTTTCCCAGCTGGGGAAACTGTCCTAATATAATTTAAAAGACTTGTATTGTAGAGTAGAGGGTTTTTATGGTCGAAATTCGGCGTCACGTTATTAAATATAAATAAACATCATTTGCTTTAGTTGTAATTTTTTTTTTAGAAATGGATGGACTTGGTGGTTAATAAAATGTTGTGTTCATATTTGCTGAAAATGAAAAACAAGAAAAACGCTGTAGCCTGTTCTTGTCTGGCTCCCGGACCCTACTTTCGACGAATCACTAATTTGTAGACGTCGGGGAATTGTCGGGTCAAGGAACTAGACTAGCTGGCTTGCACCCATTTACGTAACCGATTGCTAACTAAATTTGGTAAATTGGGGGGCAGCATTTTGAGGAAAAAAATTAGTTTTGTTTCCATCGATGGTCGGCCGACCATTGTTGGAAATTGATACAAAATACCACAATTCTTAAAAACAACAACACTATAGGTCTCAGATTTCAAAAGATTCTTGAGACTATTGGTATTTCATAATAATATAGTAGTTTTGTATGTGATGTTAGAAAAAGCTGTGTTTTACTTTTAACAATAAATTGATTTTCTTTCTGTTAAATGTTATCATGTTTAACATAACCTTAAAATTAATGAATTGTTTTCATTTCTCAATGAGATATCTGACAAAACATGTACTTGCATACCTCGATTATTAACAATGATGAACCTCGAATGCATCTTGCTTTGATGAGAGGTCTCAATTTTGCATGATTATTTACCAACAATTAGGTACTCAAGGCTCTGGAAATTATGTTTATTATTAAAAAAGGTAAATAAAGTTGATGAGAAATTATGAGAGCCATTATTTAATCTTTAGATATCAGTTAAACAAATAACATGTATTTTGAGATGAATTTGTAAGCGAATTTTATTTCGTTGTGGTTGTGTGAAATCGGAGATGGTATGCATGAGACTTCAGTACGTATAGGAATAAAAGTTAATAAGCGAGTTTCAGTGCTCGGCCATTCCAAATTTGTTCACCAAAAACATGTCTGCTGTTTTCTGTTTCTTATTGGTATTCTTTCACATTGGGTAGATATAGAAAAGAAAATAATTTTCTGACAAAGGAACGAGAATGAAAGTTGTGATTAATACTATAACAGCCGTCGAAAGTGTTTTTGGGCAGCTAGGAAAAAACAGGATGCTAAACGGGAACAAGAGGACGTATATCGCGTTTTGGAAATTACTCAATTGTACTTACATCCCCATTAGAAAAAGAATTCTGTTAAATGTATACCGTTTAGAATGCTTCGGTGAAATCAAGACAGACATTTACAAGAATATGGACTAATTATGCCACCACCATATGAAATGTGTCACTGTCCCTAAACTGGGAAGGTTGTCCACAAAAAGTGGTTATGCAAAATGTAAATCTACACGCGAATATTTCATTTACTGGAAAAGGTGAAAATAATTTGACTCTCTTTGGTCTTTGGTTTTAAGCCTCCCGCTTTTTTAAAAAGGCGCCCCCCAAAATGAAAAAAATGCATCGTTATTTTACATTAGCATACAATTATAGTTTGAACATTGTACATAAGGTCATGGACTATGATACAGAGCCTCGGTTGTAGGCAATCGTGCCTTACACCTCGGTTTAGACTTCAATACAGTACTTTGGGAATTCCCGTTGTACACAATAACCAAATATTAGTTTGCGGTGCGTTTCATATTCGGCATATAAATACAGGTGTTCAGTCAACTAGTGTGGTCTTGCTGTACATAATGTCACCATAACCTTTTTGATTACCGTGTAACCGTTTTGTGCCTTTACGACAGTCCCTTTACAACTGGACACATGAAAGGCTATTATGGCTGCATTAAACCAACCCCAGAGTACATCCGTTTACGTTCGCGCTCCCCCCATCGGATCTGATGCTCAGCAGCAGTCCTCCTTCTGTGACAAATTATGCATCTATTTCCAGAAGAAACGAGTGAGCAGGGACAGCGACGTACTGGACGTTTGTATCCTGGCCTCTGACGATGAGGAACTGTGGCTGAAGGTTACTTTCAACGAGCCGTCTGGTGAGTTGAATTTTTGTTCGTGAGTTTAATTACTTTCCGGGCCTAAGGCTTGGCCCAAGACGCTAGTGATCGATAGGTAGAAGAACAAAAAATGGCAGCCATTTTGAAAATTGCTTGCTTTTGGTAACTTGCCGGAAACAGCCTTTGTTTTGGTTGAAATTCATTTTTCTATTTTTTTTCTTTTTCAGACTCTGTCCATGCCATTTGTAAATGTTTCCATTTTGCCCAGGAATTTTGACACTTTGTTACATCCGATTGACTTTTATACTTGGCACACAAAGTACCTGCAGATGTGTGCCGAACACATACGTCAGCGTGACGTCATCACGTGTGACGTGACGTCACATTAAAGATGCATATTTTGGAGGCCTATATCTACCAAGCCCGCTGGAACAAACGTTTGCCAGGGGGTGCTGGAATTTCTAAAGAAGGACAAAATTAATGCGAGCGCGGAGCGCGAAGCCCTTACGGCGAGGGTTCCGGGCCCCGCTTATTGAAGCGCCCCGAAAAAAATTGATTTTGGATGCTCTGTGGTGCAATCTGAGGCGATTCCTTGGCCACTTTCATAGACTTTTTTTTTTTAGCAAACTTTATGCTTAGATTATCAGGACTATTTATCCATTATTTTAATTAGAATAGACTGTTGGTCCTATAACGTTTCTACTGTACTGAAAAGTCGAAAATCTTGTATTTTTATCTCCATTTTTTTGTTCCATTGTAATCTGAAAAAGGAATTGTATCATTATGTATGACATCGCTTGTAAATATTATTGTTGCAAAAGCTGCTTTCTTACATAATTCCTTCCTTTATGTTTATCAAACTTGAACCCTTAGTTTCCGAGCATTTACGGAACCCGCTTAAGGGCCCCGGAAAATTTTGGATTCTGGATGAACTGTAATGCAATCTGAGTAGTCCTGTAGCCAGAGGGGTAAACCATGTTTTGTTGGATATATAATGTTTTTTTTGCCATTTCCATAAAAGAATTTGCATTATGAAATCTTCGCAATTTATAATATCGATAATTTATTGAGTGATCAAGCATAAATGGATCACTTTTGAGAATTGTTCGAATCAATCCTTTTTTCTGTAGTATAATTCTCCTTATGTTTTCTCCTCGAGTCAATGATTAATGTGACGTCTTATGACGTTATCACATGTAATGTGGCATCACATTAAAGGTGCAGATTTTTCGGACCAAAATCTGCTGAATTAATTGTCCGATTTGGTTATGCATGTGGGTTGCCGTTCGATTGTCATAATTGCTGTGTTAACTACTGTTCATTTTGTTATTTTTACATCAAAATCCAAAGAATCCTTGGGCGCATAGCACCCTCAGTTTCGCGGTCTTCGTCTCGGGTGCTATGCGCCCTTGGGTGTTTCAAAATATCATATCCCACATCACATCAGTCAACAAATGTAGCATGTTTTGTTCAGAAGATTTGGAGATGACCCGACGATGATGACGACATCCCGCTAATTGTTCATACCAAGTTTCAACTGAATCGGTCTTGTAGTTCTCTAGATATATGCCCTGGAAATGCACTTTTATGATGACGTGACATGACACGTGATGACGTCGTCATGACATCATGATCCGGCATGCATCTTCAATTAATGGTAGTCTTGGTGTGTGCCAGGTTTAAAGTCGATCGGATACGAAAAAGGTCCCAAAGTGCCGTTCAGAACAAAACATGCGTTATCCAATGGAAAAAAGGGTGGAAATTGATTACATGAATAGATAAAGTAATATCAAGAAGATAATTTTGTCACAAACATGTTTAATATGTTGAATGTTTTGTTATTCTGCATGATATTAGATAAAACAAGTTTTAAATGAATGAGATCAGCATGCGACCGAAAAGATAGAGAAGCTTATTCTCACTAACATTTCAAATGAATTAAATTTTGGTATTTAGGATGTTCTTCCTTCTCATGAACGTTGATATAAATATAAGTGTTTTGATGAAACTAATACACACATTTTGGAATAAAAGGCAACTAAATGTGTTACGTGAGTAACTATTTTAACGTTAGCAACTATTGGAACGTGATTCACGTGATTTTGTAATGGTGCAAATTGGTCTTTGAGACAACAAGAACTGACATACCTCTAAGTAGTATGTGAGGAGCTGTTGTGACCCCATTTTGTGGTTCTCCCTTTGAGGATGGGTGCAGTGGGTGTCGGTGGTGCAGCCGGTGCTGAATGGTGCAGAGGGTGGTTGTGATGGGGGCTCATACGGAGCAACTTTAGTTGCGACTTTCAGCTCATGCTAATTGAGCTCATGCTAATGAACCCAAACGAGGTGGGTATGAGGCGCTTAGATTGGAGACTTGTCTCAAGGCTTGCGTGGGAGCAATGAAGTCGCGAGCAGGGTTCATACGGAGTCAGGGCAGTTGGGCTTTAGGACCTATTTTGGCTCAAGGATTGAGTGGTCAATGGGGAATATACGATATACAACAAATATCCTGTACAACAAATGAAAAGAAAACAGCCATTACAAAAGTAATAACAATTATAATATTAATAACATAAAAGAAACAGATATATATAAATAAACCCAAAAACACGTCTACCTACGATTAAATTCACAGAAAATCAAAATGATTAGCAACCTACCTCAAAAATTGTAACTATTACAAAATGTAATAGTTACAATTTTTGAGGTGTTGAGAACATGTAATTTAATTGCTACAGTCAAAGAAGACGTTGCGAGCCAGGTCAAATCCTATGATGTTGTTGAAATCGGCGTATAGATATGGTGATGTCGATGGTTGCTTCAAGTAGTCTGGCAAAGTCTGTATCGACTCTCAGGTTGCCGCACGTTACTGGAAGTTACAGGAGACGTCATGTAAAAGGTATTGGCCTGATGAAAGACGGCTTTAGACCAGTAAGAAACAGGAAACGACGCAATGTGCATGTCCTTAACCGGACGGATTTATAAAAATCACAAAGGGAAACAAGCGTTCGTTAGAGCATGCTATTGAGTTGTCGCAGGACACAGTCCTATTCGGCAAACTTAAATTCACGAGCCCGGCGGTAAGCGAACGAGGAGGGAGATGATGAGCATCTTCCTAAAATAATTTGCTTTCAGAGATCTTCGATAAAGAAGATCAAGAATTGAAGATGTTTTTCCAGTGATGAGACACAGATTCAGTTAGTGACATGGTTGAAGATATCGTCGGATGCCAAGAAATATGGAATTTCATGAAGGAAAAGTTCGATGCTCGTGACGTGCAGAGAGATTTCGTGGATAGCACGTAGCTTCAAAGCAGCCGCCTCAGTCTCCTGGATCCCGTTGCCATCCGTTTCTAGGGAGTCTGTTTCTGTGGGTGTGTAATTCTGTGAATGTAATTCTTCAAAATGAGTCTAAAACGGCGGTTGTCACTGTAATACCCCGCCCATGTGCGGCCTGCTTGTGTGCTCGAACTTTTAAGTACGATTTTGTTAGCTTCTCGAAGCACGGATTCCGCAATCATGCCAATCAGTTATGGTAAGCCTCTTTCAAGTCCACTGTTTCTTTCTGTTGCGGGGACAGCGTTGCAAGTTTCACCTCAGGCGAGACTTTCCTGTGCTTCCTTCAAACTCCCGCAACTATTGTTTTCCTCTTTGTTGCAGTGAAAGATAAATGTCTCCAAGAATTCTCCCCGCACGTCACGGGCATCGCAGTTTTCGTGCATGGAATTCCATATTTCGTGGAATCCGACTGTATCTTTAACCATGTCACTAACTGAATCTGGAGGCACTAGATCTGCCTTTCTTCGCCTTTTTTTCTTTGTTTTCTACCACAGGGACACTGACCCCACGGGCATTACAGAACTTCAACGCATCTAAGATCCCATTGATCCAAGAGTTGCTTGAAATCTTGTCCTCGCTTCAGGCAGCATCATTCCTTTAAGGTGATTCCGTAGATTCTTCTAATAATCTGACATCAGTTGTGATTTTCCTGGACAGATGGAGTCGAGACAGTATTTCTCCAGTACTCCTTGGTCATTATTTTTAATGTTACTCCCTCCCTCTGGCTTGAAATCTTCATAATCTTCTACCTTGTCTGTCTCATCACCGGAACAAATCTTCAATTCTTGAACTTCTCCTGTAACGAAGATATCGTTCCTTAAGGGCAAATCATTTTGGGAAAGCTGCTCATCATCTCTCTCCTCGTTGTCGCTCAGCACCGGTCGTTTGGGTCGTGTCCTGCTTCTTACTGGTCGGAAGCCGTCTTTCATTAGGCCAATACCTTTTAGGTTTTAACTTGAGCAGCAACCTAATTTTGTTTATTCGTGAATTTTATAGTAGGTAGGCATTTTTTTTTATATATAGTATTCGTTACTTTGATGTTAATATAACTATAATCAATTTCGTAATGGCTGTTTTCTTTTCAACAATTTTACATGATAGTTTACAGCGTATATTGCCCATTGACCACTCAATCCTTGAGCCAAAAGAGGTCCCAGAGCCCTGCTTGCGGCTTCATCGCTCGCACGCAAGCCTCAAGACAAAAGTCTCAAGACTAAGCACCTCATACCCACTCTGTTCGGGTTCAGTAGCGTATTAAGCAGATGTCGCAACTGCCCTGGATCCATAAGGGGCCCTGCTCCCGACTTCATCGCTATCACGAAAGTTTCGAGACAAGTCTTGAGACTAAGCTCATCATACCCACCCCGTTCGGGTTCATTAGCGTGACCAAATATCGCCTCTTACATGCCTCCGTTGGGCCGTGCTCACGACTTCGTCACTTCCACGCAAGTTTGAGATGATGCTTGCGCCTCATGACCACTCCGTTCAAATTCACTAGCGTCATGAGCTCAACGTCGCCACTAACGCACCCTCAGAGGGAGCACCACCAAACGGGGTCGAAACAGCTCCTCAAATACTACTGACATACTACTCCTTTTGGGACGTCGCCTGCGAGGGCATTTATCATTGTACACATCGTAGGCCTACTTCAGGTAGTTATTTGGGCATGCTGAACTTGTTTTCGCCATCAATCACGTAATCGCACATGACTACGATTTTATTTCTGACCAGTTTAAGGATACCGTTCTGGTTGGTCCACCTTTTTGGGATCAATTTTATTCCGCTAACGTCAGGTTCATTTTCAAAGTGTCTTGGGTTCAATTATATAGAGGCAACCAGACTTTTGCATTTCGCTGGCCGCTTATCGGCGCTTATTTGCGGGGTTTTTCTCTCCGGGATTTTGACTCTTCAATTTTGAGATCAGAAATAGTGTGTTTGCTTTGCGATAGATTGGTAAGACTATATAGCCGTGGAACAGAAATCGGAAACTCACTCCAAAGTGGTTGGGCCTGTCTGGGTCTCTATTACTATTATGCGCATACGCAGAAGTCGTGGGAGCGTGCTTGTTGTGAGGCGAACCGCATGGCTTTTCAGAATGAAGGCGCAAGGCCAAAGTGCTTGAACACCCGCGCTCGGGGGTGCCGCTCGGGTGTTCGTGTCTTCTTCGTAGGTTGCGTTTCAAGCGATTGGTATTTGTTTCGTGCCGAATAAGAAGTCAAACACCCAATCTTGTTTAGATATGGGATTTAATGTGAATGGACGTTTTGCTTATACAGTACATCTAAAGTTTCATGTGCTAGAGAAATCATTTTGAAATGTAACAATAACGCCGTGATGATGTGCCACATGCACACGCCCTATTTCATATACCGTACCTGGGATTTTGTAACAAAAAAACCCGTTGACATTTCACACGGGCCATACCAGCCGAAAGTTTCAGCGGTTTGAATGATTAATTATTAATCCTAGCATAACTAATTTATTGGCCTTTATGGTCTACGGTTTTACTGAGGCGATTCCAATGGAGTATACACAGTATAACAGCTACGGTGTTGCGTTATTTTATGACTGTTTGTGTGAATAGTAGTTATTGGTATCACTGTCTTTATACATGTATAATGGTTATTGTTATCACTGAGATTTATCGAACAAAGTGCCAAATGCGCTGGCATGTTTCTGTTTGGTCCCCCTTGACCTTTGGGTTATGCATGGCGGATTCATCGATCCGCACTTTGACAATTGAAAACAAACAGCGTTTTCATACTGTCTAGCACCAGTGGACAGTTAAACAGATCAGTGTTACGATGTCTGCTATGAACTATAAATGTACATCGTCCTGAAATCGTCAAAAATGTTATGGTGTAGATTACTTAGTATTTCAAAGGGCTGATTGAAGGAAAACCAACTTAATATGTCTCACTGTTTTTGAGAAAATAAGAAAAATGCACGGTTTTTTTTACCTCTTATATAAGCGGACAATTTATGGCATTTAATTATTCAATGAGCCAATGGCCGAATTGTGACTTATTGGTACCATCTCAAGGCAGGCGCGGTTGTGGAGCAAATATGTTAAGGGGCTAGACATTGTTTTTTTTTTGGAGGGGGTGGGGTGGGGGGGGGGGGGGGGGCTAAAGCCCCTAGCTCCCCGTAGAACAGTGCCTGCCTCAAGTGAGTAATTTCTATTGTGATTTGTAGGTTCGTATTATGTATTATGCGCCCAGCAACAGTAAACCTACGCGCGCGCGGCCTTGTTCAATCAGGTGGAATACATTGTATATTAAGGCCTACATAAATCGGCGCGCGGTATGCACATGCAATCTTATAGTTAAGGCAGACTTGACAAGGCCTGGGCTCTGTTTAAGTGTGACTTTTCTACCGTGGACTTAGTAATTGTTTTGTATGATTTACAATCAGTTCAACTATGTTTTTCGTGTTTTGTTCCGTTTCACAGGAGTTAATGCTGTTTTAGCTACAGAGCACCACGAGCTAAGTTTCGAGAAAGAAACTATTTCTCTTCATGTTCAGTCATTCTTCCCAGGTCCAGGGTTCACAGCACCACCCGTCGATTCTGATTCCGACATTGAGATTCTAAATTTGGTGGGTCTCATTCTTACTTTATAGCAGCCGGAATTATAGACAATTCGGTATAATTGTTTTTGTTGTTGGTTTAATTCAATTTGAGCTATTAATAATTTAATATTTTTAATAAGATAATATTGCAAGCCAGGACTATTAGCAATTTCGTTGATAGTGTTGACGTACTTTCTGTTTTCCACGAGTTATATTTTGCAAGTTGACTACATATCTGTTTCAGTCTCTGTGTTATAACACTTGATTTTTAAAAATGGTTTAGAAAGCAGGATAGTTCACACATACATGACGATGAATCTGGTGCAAGTACGGGCGAAGCTTTGCGTGCCGCGGATAGAACCAGTCGCTGCCCGTCATCTCGGCACGAAGGCAAGCCATGCGGCCGGACAACGCATCTGTCCGGCTCCCATGAAACAGCGACCCATGCGCCTCTTGATGCAGGAGACTCCTTTGAACTGGTTTCCATTCCTACATATTTAGGAATGAAAAACCAGTTCAGCGCATTCTTTATTGGCACCTCTGGCGCCTATTACCAAAAGTCATCTACTTCAAAGACGCAGTCACCTGCAACGTCTCAACTGACACCTCCAATACCTTCAAAAGCGTCCCCTGCTGTGCCTTCGACTACACCCAGTGAACCTCGTACAGTGTCCCTAACAACGCATCTTAATTTATCATCTACCAATACTATGGTTGATCTGAGTATCACCCGTTCTCCACGGAGCCTGCCTCTTTGGTCGAGCGTCTGATATCTAAGCATGCAAATTTATGCAACCCCGCGCGCCAACCAAAGCGGAGTCGACTTTACTAAATCGTGACGTTATTTTATTCCAAAATTTTGGCTAAAGTTTTGATTGGTCGATTCGAATGCAGTGTTTTTGTGCAATACAACAACGGCCGGACATATACCTAGACAAAATTGACGCGACGTACGCGCACGTTTATCATGACACAGAGCGCGTAACCGCTGTTTGCTCAATTTTCAGCGTATTGTCTTGTATAGGTTTTATTTATTTATTTATTTCGGGTGAATGACCGAAGATCCGATATAGAAAGCCCCCGCTGATTGATCAAAATCTGGTTGTCTTGCATAATTAATCAGCGAATCTACTCACATATCATAAACTACGCGATGGTATGTCCAATGGCATAATTTCTAAAAACAAAATAAAAACTAGAGCCATGTGTGTTTGATAAGCAGAACACAGTTTTTTTTCGCACTTCCGCTGCTTCTGCTGTTGTTGTTGTTAAGTACAATCTAGCCACATGGTTAAAAGATAGTTCACATCTCTTTCCACTTTCAGAATTATAAGGCACTCCCACTTGGGACCGGAAGGAAGGTTCAAGTAATTTTGCACGTATTATCATAAATGAAAACTCTGGATTACTGTATCAATTCTAGTAAAAAGCAAAATTAAATCTTTCACGGTTGATGTTATATTTATTTTCAAAGATTAATCACGTGGTCTCAACATATATGCACACCTAGGCTACCGTATTGTAAACTTATCAAGTAGGCCTACAATCGTAAAACAATCATATCTCTAAAAGTAGTGTTCGCACACCATTAGCGCAATGCAAAATATTACTCGCCATTCCCCCTTTAGTGTGTGCATGCTTTTATGCGCATGCTTTTTGCGCATGTTGTGCGCACTTTTTTCAGGCTCAAATGAAGTCATCAAAAAATCAAAAAATCCCTCCGTTAAGAATTGGTCATATAAATGTGTAAAGACCACTAATCAAAAAATACATTGGTCCATTAAACAGCCAATAAGTTATGTACCGCCCTCTCAGTGTGGCGAGCATGAACTCTGGGGATATCCCCTTGGATGACATGCAATATGCGCGGGAATTTCCATTTCAATTGTAAGTACGCAGAATATAATTCACTGACGTGCCGTGCAATGAACGTTTTAAAGCCTCGGGATTTCGAGTCTCAAATTTCGAGGGTGCCAAAGAGCATGTCCAAGTTCACTTTTTACCAAGAGACGCAGGGAAATTTGAGACCTACTTTTACGTTGACATTTAAAGCCAAATTTAAAATTAAATCTGCCAGGGTTGATTTTTTAAGGAATTTTCAAAGGAAAAGAGGTATTTTCATTATAACTTTCGGTCTGATGACGTCATCATTTTTTCTCTCACAGGTCTTGTGTGCATAAAGGTCAACACATTTATTTTGAAGCGATAACCGCAAACATTGCCACACACATTATAATTTAAACTTCACTTTTGATATTTTCCACTCTGCCGCGAGAAGGCGCTTTAACATTTAATGACGTCACTGGTATTTTTCGGGAAAAGTACAATCTAGCCAGAGACTAACATCGTTGAAAGCAAGTTTTTCACATTCCTTCCGGTTTCGTCACGTGATTTGGCACACACAAGATAAAGTATCGATTTCTGCAAACGTTGATGTCATGTTTTACACGATTAATTTATATTAAGTTTCAAAGATTAAATCTAGAATTTCTTTTTAGTCTGCATTCAGTATTGCCTCATCATGCTTGGGTGTCAGTTCGTGAAAACGAACAACTCCCTATTTTGCGTCAGTGTCCGATGTGCGCGCGCAATACCGGGTTTCAGTTTGCGAAACCGAAACTGTTGATTACGTGTTTTTACGAACTGATATCCTCTGATCTTGCGTGTGAGTGTCAGTTTGATGACAAATTATTAAAACATGTTTATGATCGATGGTGCTTTTGTCTTAGGATGACCAAGGCGAGGAAGAGGAGGGGTTTCAGTTAGTTGAAGTGACCGGTTTCAAATCAACCACATCGGAGGAAATGCTGCGGCTGTATTTTGAGAGTCCTCGTATATCTAAAGGCGGTGAAATAGAAACGTGGGAGATGGACGCCAAAACCAGGACCATCCGAATTAAATACAGTGATCCATCAGGTAAACTCTGTTGTTGTGTGTTTTCTTTGTGTGATGTCTGTCCTTAATCATGAGTCAAAAATATTTCAAAGAATTTGAAGATTAACGAAAACAATGGGGAAGATGTGGAAGTAATTGCTTGTGCTGCACTTAAATGGTCATTTTGCAAAGTTAAAAAGGAAATGTAAAATAGTTCCTTTCCCGTAATAGTTTTAGGCAGATTTTGTGATACATATTTAATGTATAGGTAGACTTATTTCCAATTGTTTTGACCAAAGGAGTTGGCATAAGCATTTCTTTTTAGACACCTTCACAGGACCTTTTCCTTTCGTTCGTGTCAGGATTTTACTAAACGTCATACCTCATTTAGTCTGTCTTACGATTGCCGTCTTCAAGAAAACCATTATCTGTCGTCTTCTGGGGGATATATACCTAAATAAATCATGAATGACTTGCAAACAAGTTGTTTGCGGCAAAAGCTTGTGAAGTGACTATGTATGAAAAGTAGTCCCCGAAAAGAGGCTTTAACTCGACGTTTCGGTTGATATACTCCAGCTTTCATTTGGAGTTTCTTCTGACGACGCAGAGCATGCACACAAGCCAAGACGTCAAGTTGCTCCCAAAATGAAATTGGTGTATTTGAAAAAATCAACTTATTGTAAGTGATCTCTCTACTAGGCAACACCTCATATCACTTTTAAAGTGACTTGATCGTCAATACTGGGATTTGGTATGTTTTGTTCGTAGTTGCAAGAGCAGTGACGGAGAAAAATCACCAACTAGAAGGCGTAATGTTGACGGTGCGGCTTATTGTCAAGAGAAACACCCTCCCCCGTCCGGTTAAGAGGCGATGCTTGCTTATCAGAGGGATCCCGGATGGGTGCCCTTTGGAGCATGTGCAACTTTACATTGAGAATTGCTCTGGCATGGAGGAGCCAATTATTAAGTACGGAGAGAAACCCGGAACAGCATTGTGTACATTCACACAAGATATCCCAGGTAAGTGGTAGTGTCATTACTCGGATGTTATAATAACCATACACAGTTACACATGTTCATTTATTATCAGTAAGGCGGTAATTTTTTTAGGTTTGCACGAATAACATACAATATCTGGCTCAAACCGGTATTTTGTTTATTAAAAACATGAAACAATCCAGTTGTTGACTAATTATGTTTTCCCCTCAACGCAAAAGAACGTGTTTTTGTATTTGTTTTTGGTCATTTCTATATTAGTTTGAATGAAATCGATATGTTTGCTTTTAAAAATCCTTGTCTATGGGTTAATTCATTAAAGAACGCAACGTAAGCAAGGGTGCTATCCAAGCATCCTTATTAAAAATTGACAGGTTGCAGATATAAAATATTAACGTGTCGATGTTACGTGTATGTCTTTGATTGTTACATATATAGATTTGCAGACAGTTATACAGAAGATTTGCTCAAAGAAGCTAGGGAGAGCCCAGGTGACAGCGGAGGTGGTGCATGAGCCTGATTGCATCCTTGTGCAAGGTTTGCTTATATTAACGAAAAGCATTAATGAAAAGCCTGGGTCTATATAAACTCAAATGTAGTTTAATTTAACTCGAAGCTGAGAATGTTGTTTTATTTTCAAACAATGATTACCTTTAATTGAATGATGCATGCTCTTTCAGGATTGCCAAACAACATGTCATTGAAGGTTATCGAGCTGTATTTTGACATTAAAAAGAAGAGTGGTGGCGGCGGTGTGAGAAAAGTATTGCCGGGAAATGCAAAGGACCAGGCAATTGTTTACTTTACGGACTGGAAAGGTATTGAGATAAAGATATAATTAATGAATTATCACTTTCATTTGCTTGCAAATCAAAAATTTGAAACAGCGCTTTAATCTTATGATGATACCGCAGTGCTGTTTTGAGGCAATGTATAAAAAGGCCGCCTAATGTTATATTAGGTTGCTTATGTTATTCAACACATTGAAATTGTCAAAATGCTTCTTGTTTTCATGATGATTGCTTAATTGCCCTCCGTTAAATGTTTCCCATTCGTAGTTGTTGCTGATGTATTGTCCAAGAAAGGACCTCACAAGGTGGGCAGCGCTGAAGTGTCGGTGGAAGAATACCATGACTGTCTCGGAAAACTGAATGAATTAGATTTCCCAACTCAACACTTCCCTGAGGAGTTGCGAACAAAGGCTCATCCTGATGCCCAAAGAACAAAGGAGGCGATCGCCATGACAACAAACAGGCTTGAGCTTTTCACCCAGTGCAGTATTCGACGTAAAATGGAAAAGATGTTTCCAGACCTGAAAATCACTGTTGCGTCTTTTCAAGGGCAAACGGGACTAAGCCTAATCCTTGAGGGAACGAGGAAGGAAGTCATTGAAGCAGAGTTATGGATGAGAAGAAAAATGGATGGCTTGAACAGTGTGGAGTTTAAAACTGGGAGGGGCAAAACGGCGTTCATTCGCGATGTTTCCGACAAAATTCACGAGATATTAGGGTCAAGGGATATCAACGCTGCGTGCAACATTTCTGCAGATGGCAAGATCAAAATATATGGGTGCACCAAAGGGGATACATCCCTGGCTAAATTGTATATTGATCAGGAAATAGACGAAGATATCATCCGTATCAACGGGCCTGCCGTGTCAGATGTTCTGAAAAGCCAAAAAGGAATCCTGCTAGTTGCAGATATCAACAAAAAGAAATTTGCCAAGGCTGCCATCAATTATGAGTCAGGTAACAAACAAAAATGCATATTTCAAGGACTTACAAATATCATGTTTTATAAAGTCAATGTTTTAATTTGTGCCTTATTAATGATTTTGCCTTTAATTGTGTTTATTTCTGCAGGAAACATAGAGCTTGTTGGATTCCGGAACGAATTGAAAGAAACCAAGCAGCACATTCTAGCGTTCCTGAAGGATACTGTCAGAGTAAATGATACCATTTGCACTAACAGAAGCAAAGTCCGTCTGATCACCTCATTCCACGGCCAGGAACTGGCGGGTTTTACAGCCAAACACAAGAGAAACCACGTCATCATTCAGCCACAAATGAGCGAACGCAACGCGGGGTTTCTTGTCGAGGGAAACGAAAAAGGCCTGGATGCTGCCACGCTTTTCGTCAGCCAGCTCGTGGCTAGAATCAAGGAGAAACTGTATCCTGTCTCAAAGATCGGCATGGTTCAGCTCTTCCGTGAAACCAAAGGAAAGAAGTTTCTGGAATTCGTTGAGGAGGAGCTCGAGTGTGTGATCGACGTGATTGGAGAAAACGAAAACAATGATGAGGATGTAGAAGGTGCAGAAGGTGCTACCGCAAGTCCACCCCAGACCGGAGCCACAGAGGTGCTTTGTAGAATCAGTCTTTTAAATGGCTGCACTTTGAGGGTGTGCAAAGGAGACTTGACTAAACAGAAGGTTGATTGCATTGTAAATGCTGCAAACGTGGATCTGAAACACGGCGGAGGATTAGCAGCTGCTATCCTTCAGGCTGGTATGTTGAAATACATGTATTTACGAAAACTGAAAATTAATATTTTTAATTTGTCATTTTAACTTTTTAAGTAATTGTAGGTAACTACTTTAGCAAATTTGGAGGATTTGCTGTGAAAAAGGAAGGTGTTTAGACAACGATAATGTTTAGAAATGACAAATATTTGTATTCATGTTTGCTCTCCCATATACTCCAAATACCAGACCTTTAATATTTGTGGCGTGCCTTACCTTTCTTCTATTTTTTTTTTATTTCAGGCGGGCAAATAATTCAGACCGAGTGTGATGAGATACTTAAGAAGAAGCCGGGTCGGCAGTTACAAATCGGAGAGCCCGTTTGCACTTCTGGTGGCAGCCTACCCTGCAAGAAAGTCATTCACGTTGCTGGACCGCGGTGGCCGTCTTGGAAAAGAAAGAAGCGCGACGAAGATCATCTCCTCTTTAACAGTGTTTTCCGTTGCCTTCAGCTGGCAAATCAGCTGAAGATGCAGTCAATCGCCATCCCTGCCATCAGCACGGGTTTGTTCGGCTTCCCCACCAAACGTGCCGCAGTCCAGATTGTGAACGCGGTGGTTGAGTTTAATCAAAAAGTATCTGACACTAGTCTGACGGAGATAGGTCTGACTAACCACGACCAACAGACCTGTGATGTTATCAAACAAGTCGCAATGGATCAGCTGGGACATCTTATAGCGGCAGAAGCTTGCATCGATGATACAGCAGGTAATAATGCCACATAACCCTACGAGATTTACACTTAGGAACCGGAAACTAAGAGCTTGTCAACATAGGGCTCGACGGTATAATTTCGAAACACTGGTACGGTTTTTTTTAAGTTCAAATCCTACTCTATCGATTTGCCTGTTCTTCCCAAATCGCAGATCGTATTGCAGTTGTCGACTGGCCTCGTTTAGATAAAATGAAAGCAATCTAACGCCATTGTGCGCTTCATTTCAGTACTGAAACACATTAAGGACAATTTGAGACTGGCAGCAAATGCCAGATGTGTTTGATATTGCCGTCATGTTATTGTAATGTTTTCACTGTTCATTTTGATTTCCTTTGTTGCACCAACAACATGACAGGTGCGCCTGGAAACAGGATGCCACTGGCATTTACCTCTTCTGGGCCAAACATCATGACAACGAATGAAGGCATTAATGTAACCTTGAAGAAAGGGAGCGTCACTGTAGAAAAGGTACAAACCAGATGGGCGATTAGCATTGACGTTTAAATTTCTTGAAAACACCAGGTCTTTGCGGTCTTAAACTTATTTTCATCTAGATTGTATTTGGCAATTCCAGGGAAGAAATTAACATGTAGAAGCCTTTTATATCTTATTAGATATTTTATTTGGTTTAAAGTACTTACTTACTCTCGATTACTGAATTTGCATTCAATCATTCAATGTATGACTCAATTTCTTTTCTCTAAAATCTTCAGGTTGATGTGATCGTGAACACATCGAACAGTGACTTGAATTTGAAAATGGGCTTGGTGTCCCAAGCAATTCTGAAAGCTGCGGGGCCCGCTCTCCAGCAAGAATGTGACACGGCGATTGCAGCCTGTGGCCATGTTCCCTTGGGTTCCTTCAGAGAAACCGGGGCAGCCGGTATGACCAACTGCAAGAAAATCTTTCACTGCGTCATCGACCGGTATCACCCGATTGCGTCCGAAAAGGTGAGATCAATGAAACAACCACCCTTGTGGTGAACAGTTTTGATAGGTTGAATTTAAGCCCATCATCTCGGGGGTCAATACCCAACCGTTTTGCTTGTTAATTGAAACAAGGAACTTCACTGGGAGGTGAAAACTTAGTGGTTTGTGTTACTACTGCAGTAGACTTGTTCCACATACTTTGTTTTGATTTCCAACAGCCCCAACCCTCTTTTGACGAATATCTCTGTTGGGGTACCAAGCACACTTCTTGGATCTTGTCCCCATTCCCCTCTGTGTTCGATGTAAGCTGTGGGTATACTGTTCATCTGTTGACAGATGTAAAAGTTTCAATGTCTATTAATCAAGGATTTGCGTGAATCAAGTATTGTTTGAATAACAACGAATGCTCAGTCATGTGAGGCCGAAGAAACACAATCAAGGTATCATTGAAAGAAGACACATTGGTGTTTCACATGATCTTTAACTTTGATTTTTATTTTTTTATATTTTTTATAATTTACATTTACATCCGGGTTTCCTTTTTTTGATGCACTCTGTATTAAGGAGACAAAATATAATGGAGATTTTTTTTTTCTTGTTCCAGCCTTTGGGTGCTCTTGTCGAAAATTTACTGCAACAAGCCGAAATCGCAAGAGCGCTTTCCCTGGCAATACCTGCCCTGGGCACGGGCAACCTGGGTTACCCAGCTAACGTCACTGCTCGGGTCATGTACGAAGCTGTGGCAGCATTCAGCAGCAAACACCCCACCGGTGTTCTGAAAGACATTCGATTCGTGGTGTATGACAAGGATATGAAAACTATTAAGGTATACATGTATTCCATTGCGAGCATGCTATCGCTGAATATTCACAGAGGCCTCTTTCAATGGCTGTTCAGATAATCCAATCATTCAATAAGCGTTTGGTGTTTTTTAAGACACAGCGCGCACACATTTTGGAGCCCATGAAAGTTGTGTTTTCGAATAATTATCCTGAAATTAGTGTCTTAAAACATGTAATCATGCGTAACCGCATACGTGTTGCGTTAGTTCGATACGAATGCTCATATATTTTTTTCTGGAAACATACTATATTGAATAGGTAATGTTTTTTTTATTTTCTATTCAAAAGGGCTTCGAGGACGAAATCGAACGCCTGACAACAATGACTTACGGAGGAGCTGCACCAACTTTCACGCAAAGGAAATTGAGACAATCAACCTCGACTGCAGCTGGTAAACCTTAGAACTTAGTTGCCAGTGTTGTACACAGAACGAAGAGACCCCTTGCCCAATACTTCTGAAAATATGTTCCTCGATGTATTTGCCCGCTTACTATTTATGAAAATACACCGAGGCTGCTACAGGGAGGCTGCATACACGAAGGCTGCTACCGGTACTTCATTACATCCTCTGACGTTCCAGTACAGTAGGCGTGTCATTCCGAAATCAAAATTGCTGTTTCTTTGGGACTTTTAGACAGCAAGCAGGACGCACAAAAAAAAACATTCGTACGGAAAACATGGATTTTTTCATGATCAGCTTTTGCTCTGTCAAAAAACAAAATGCTGCATTTGTAAAGTCATGTTTATAACTATACCCCACATACGAGCCGCGCTAGCGAGCGCGGGCTGCGATCCTAGCAGTCTATTTTTTTTATAAGTTCAAATCACACTCTGTCAATTTGTCTGTTCTTTCTGAATCAAACATTGTCTGGCATTCTGAATAAAAACACCCGAGTTGTCGACTGGCCCTTTTTATATAATGAAGCCATTCGAGACGCTATTGTGCGCTTCTTATCGGTACTGAATACACATTGTTTGAGTCAATTTAGATGGTCAGCAAATGCTGGTCGGATATTGCAAGCATCTTATTATAATGCTTTACTTTTTATTGTAATATCGACAGGTGCGACTGGAGTCTGGATGCCTGATGATGAACCGGCTGTAGTGCCAATAACATTTATCTCTTCTGGGCCAAACATCCTGACAACAAATGAAGGCATTAATGTAACCTTGAAGAAAGGGAGCGTCACTGAAGAACAGGTACAAGCTCGAGTGGCCATTAGTCTGCCCTCTTGAAAATACCATCCTTAGATACACTGTAAACTTCTTTTCATCTGGATTGTATTTGTCAACTCCAGGGATGCCATTACAAGTAAGAGGCCTGGTCATTTGCCGTCTGTCTGCAAGTAATATATGGATGGACCGTAACAGCAGTATATAGAAGCCTTTTATATCCATTTAGATTTTTTTTTCAAATTTGATTTGAAGTAATTACTCTCTGTTCTAAGCTTTGTATTCAATAATCCAATTGATAACTCATTTACTTTTCTGTAAACTCTTCAGGCTGATGTGATCGTGAACGCATCGAACATTGACTTGAAACTGAGTATCGGCCTGGTGTCAAAAGCAATACTGCAAGCTGCTGGGCCCGCTCTCCAGCAAGAATGTGACACGGCGATTGCAGCCCGTGGCAAGGTACCCTTGGGTTCCTTCGTAGAAACTGGGGCAGCCGGTATGACCAACTGCAAAAAAATCTTTCACTGCGTCATCGACCGGTATCACCCGAATGCGTCGGAAAAGGTGAGATAAAAAAACCCAACCAATGCATGGGTGAACAGTTTTGCTAGGCTGAATTTAAACCAATTATCGTTGAGATAAATGACCAACCATTTGACTTGTGAATTGAAAACAGGTAAATCCACTGGGAAGTGAATACTCATAACTTGTTGCACATACATGTACTAATTGTTTTGACTTAGGCCTACTCCAAGCTTGGTTATACTTGCTCACTAGGATTTTAGACTGATCTTAGACTGATCATTAGCAGCTCAGTCTCGGGAGACCATGATTGATACGACCCTGCAGTGCTGCCTATTGGTAGGGTCTTGACATTGTCTGCTGTGGCTGTGCAAACCAATGCGCAAGTGACAGTCCCTGTTGCACTTGGTGCAGACGTACGCCAGGGTTGCAAGGGTTGCTGCAGCATGCTCCTTCTGGTCCCTCTTCTCTGCTGCGAGCTGACCTCTCCTCACATCTACATATGCGATGCCCTTGCGGGACAATCTGATGCCAGGCAGCTCCATACTCGGCCTGTATTTCCCAACTGTCTGAGGAAATATTGCAGGCTTTCAGGTCTCTCTTGCAGGCGTCCTAGAATCGGAAAGAGGAGCGACCGACTCGTCAGGTGCTAGTGGCTAGCTGTCCGTACAGGATGTCTTTTGGCAGCCTCACATCCTCCATGTGTCGACATGTCGCAGCCATCGAAGGAATAAACAAGGAATACATGCTGGGAATTTTGGCGCGCTGCAGGATGTCACTGTGTGGAATATGGCCCTGCCAGCTGATTTCGAAGATGCGGTTGGGGCACCGCATGTGGAAGGCGTTGAGCCGACGCCCTTGTGGAGAATTGGGTGCTGAGAACGCAAACCTGGTAGACTTGGATCTTGGTGAGCTGTCAGCGCTTTGTTCTGCAACACTCTCTTAGTCAGTCTAACAAATTATGGTGTTTTGACTTCCGTAGCCGTCTGTCAAGTTCGGCGTCGAGCGAGAGGTCGTTGATGATTGTCGCAGGTAAGTGAAATCGTCTAGATCTGATGAATCGTCGATTCTGATGTTTGGTATGCTGAATTGCTGACACAGGATGCTAGTTTTCTTCAGGCTTATTATTCCCAGTCTCTGGAGGGCATCCTTGATGTGGGTCACATGGGCTGTGTCGTCAGTAAAGAGCATCTCCCTGATAAACACTTTCTTCACCTTGTTCTTTTAGCGCAGTCGTGGCAGGCTAAACAGCTTGAGACTTAGTGTGCAGATAGACACCGTCTGTGCACGAGTCAAAGGCGTAGGACAGGATCAGGAAAAAGAAGATCCTGGAAGGGCCGGCATCAGTTCACCATTGCTTGACACCATTATTGATGGGGAAGCTAGATCAGTGTTGTAGTACTCGTATTCGGTGCTGGTGCTCGAGTACTATTCGAACACTTTTTTTTAAACTCGAACTCGTACTCGAATGTCGAAGTACTCGTACTCGAATGTCGAAGTACTCGTACTCGATATGCCGAAATTGTACTCGATCATCAAAGTACTCGTACTCAAAAAGCAGTGCTCGAGACAAAAAATGGTATAGCTTGAAATGACCACGGCCTTATTTTATCGATTCTTTCAGTTTAAAATAAAATGCTAAGTTAGCTTGGGGAGAAATCGAAGTTTCATGATATTCCTCTTTGCACGTCCGGACAAACACATTTAACAGCTAGCCTTGAGTGCGTGTGTATATCAGTCTGACTGGGCCTGGGCCAATTACGCACTATGAATCATTTGCTGCATGGCCGTATGCGGAAATAGAAAGTACTCGTACTCGGAATACTCGTATTCGTACCGTACTCGGAAATACAAGTACTCATATTCGTACTCGGAAGTACAAGTACTCGTACTCGGTAAGTGCTGGGCAGTACTCGGTACTCAGAAAAAAATACCGACTACAACACCGGGAAGGACTCCGAGGAGGATCCACCATACAGGACTGTTCTATTCATGCCTGCATCGACGGAGATCACCCATTTTCCAGAGATATATTTTTTTGAAGGGGGGGGGGGCAGCCGATCTGGTCGAGAAGTTTGAATAGGCCTTTCCTGCTGACCAGATCAGAACGTAAGGGAGAGCGGCTGGCCTTGCTCTCTGCTCTTCTCTTGGAGCTGGCGGAGAGAATGTCATGTCGGTTGTCAACTTGCCGTGCTCTGAAGTCACATTAGGATTCTGAATAGATGTGATCCGCGTGTAACTGCAGCCTGTTGAGGAGAGTGCGAATAATCCAGAGGGATATCCCTCTGTAGTTGTTGCAGTCACTGCGGTCACCCTTGTTCATGTAAAGTGTCACAAAAGGTGGCGTAACACGTGCCTTGGGGCTGCACCCTCATCCCAATAGAGGCAGAGTAGCTGGTACAGCAGCATCTTCAACTATTGTAGACAGGCCCGTCGCTTGCCCTGAACATCCAGGGGAGGACCATAGTACCAACTATAGGGGGACCCACTACCATCCAAAATACAAACATTCGTATTTATAACTTTTGCCGGTTTTTTTTTTTTTTTTTGGGGGGGGGGGGCAATTGCTTGCCAAGGGGCCTACCAGCGCTCTCCCTTTTGGCGACGGGCGTAATTGCTGACCATAATGGAGACTTGTATGTATAATGAAAATTGTATGTTTTTGTCGTTCCAGACTTTGAGTGCTCTTGTCGAAAGTTTGGTGGAGCAGGCCGAAATCATACAAATGCATTCCCTGGCGATACCAGCCCTGGGCACGGGCAACATGGGTTACCCAGCTGACGTCACTGCTCGAGTCATGTACGATGCTGTGGCAGCATTCAGCAGTAAGCACCCCACCGGTGTTCTGAAGGACATTCGATTCGTGGTATATGACAAGGATATGAAAACCATTAAGGTAAACACATGTATTTCATTGCTACCATACTATCGCTGCACATTCGCAGAGGCCCCCAATGGTGAAAGCATGTGCCAGCTATTGTTAAGATAATCCGTCACGGACAGTCACGTGCTTAGAGAACAATAGCTGCCACAATACATTCACAACATAAAGTAATAGTGATAGTGATAGCGTGCTCATGATGGTCAACAAAAAATATCGATCTGTAAATAGTTTTCTACCTACCCAAGTTAAAATTCAATAAGCGGTTTGTGTTATCTTTCACACAAGTTGTGTAAACAACAGTGTTTACACAACAGGTTGCTAGGTTCATATTTTTACACAACCGAAATAACAGTGGTCTTGGTCTGCCTTTGTATGATGTAACACGGCGGTGTTCAAAGTACGTAACATCAACCTGATCGTTCGTTGCTAGGGAAGATGATATAGCTGAGTTCAGTTTTGATGACGAGAGGCACGATCTAGGGAATCTTGTTCGTTCGTATGTCAGTTAGATGTAGGTACAATTCAATAATGCCATCAGTGATGGCCTCGTCTGATTGCCTATACTTTAAGGTCTAATGATCAATAGTTCATTGTGTGGAACTGTCATCACCATTTTGTAGTGGGTGTACCTGTTTTGCTTCAGCTGACAAAAACAGCGAACTACTGATGCGGTGAAGCTTATCGGTGCTTAGATTGTCTGTCATCTGCTTTTTATTACGAGTAATGAATGAATGACAGTTAAAATATACGGGCGGCAATCTACCACTTTGAAGAATGATGTGTTGGCCATTTCTGAAGACGGACCGGAGCAAATGTATCTTGAATTTAAATGTACTGCCATTTCTTTCTTACAAAAACATGCACTTTGAAAGGGGTACGTTACAGATGTTGATTTGATAATGTTGGTACATTATAATGTTGTCCATGAATGATTGATCATTCCATACAGAGACTGTGTCTATCATCACAAAGCCAAACACCTAATTTTTCAAAATTTACCTGATTCGGAGGCACATTGAGTTGCCCAAAATGTGCACAATCGCAGGACTTTGATTATGTGTTGAAATGGGAGGAGAAAGACGTTGATTTTGAAGGAGTATAATGGAGTATCAAATTTCATGATTAAATCACAGATGTCAAAGATGCTTTGTTTACTCATTAAAATGATAACTACCTATTGCAAAAATGTACTCAAAACGTAGTATGAGTGTTGGCCCAATACTTTGCATGGCTTTGGCCATGCTCATTGCAAGCTATGTTTTAAAGATGTTTGAAATGGCATAAGGTACCATTTTAAGCAACAACACCTCTAACATAACCCTTTAACACACTGTCCACAGCTGCAACAGCGCATTCTTGCGACATCCTAACTCGCCACTCATTCAGCAAATTTGGAAAAATACTTTTTTGCCTTTGTTTTGCAATCAATGGTGCTCAGACACGTGTGACTGAAGAGGTGCAATTAAGGCACCAATTGAAAACTAATGGGCTACCCTTTAAGATGGACCTTTTACATTGTACAGTTTACTTACTAGTACACACGGGCCCACGGTTTTTAGATTACCTTGTTTATACACCATGTAGAGCGGCATAGTGACGGAATTGTGCACTTGCAAAATAACGCATGAAACTGTGCACGTCGGGTCTTAATGCCATTAAGACAATTTTCAGATATGGAGGCGTTTCCAATCTGTAATCCCTAGTGACTTTTGAAAGGTCAATGACCTTTATGTACTTTATGTATACCTATTCTTACAAACTCAACTTTCCTGTTACCCAAGTCAACGTCAAAGGTATTCATTAATGAAGATAATGAGCTTTGTTTACCCTATTTATAGCAATTTACAAGATTAACTCTTTAAATCCAAACATTTTAAGCCTCAAGTCTTAACTCAGGGCATTTCACATCTGACCTCTGGTGAACTTCAAGAGGTCAATGGACGTTTCTCCTATTTATAGATATTTAAAAGATGTAATATTCCAACCCTCTGCCGTTTCATGGCCAATATCTAAAATGCTGGTATTCTTGCCATGATATGATTTGTCAGATGTGTTGATATTTCATATCTGACCTCTGGTGCTTTTGCGATGTCAATGAACGTTGTATAACCTAATTTCCGCTAGCTTATTTAAGTTTCCCAATGACCCTTTTTCATTACCGAAGACAAAATAATTCAAAAGAAGTATATTACTCTCCAGCATATCATGAATTCAGACCCTAATGACAATTTTGTCATTACCCCTGATCTCCACTTTCTTATTATAAGGGCAGACGCAAGCGCAACAAAATATAAGAGGCACCAAATCACAGTCTAACAACTAGTGATCAGAGGGCTTGGTAAAAAAAGTTCTAAATGTGGTAAGTCAAGCCCATCTGGATACAACACATGTAATAAATGCACACTAATAAATGCTGCTTGACATTTTTGCATTTTCCATTGCAAAAGAAATTCTTACAGACTTCTGTTCCAGTCGCATGCCAATAAAAAAAGGTCAGAGGTCAACCCAAAACTGTTTGTGGTTTCGGAATTCATAGCATGACTGTACAATAATAGAAATGCAGGTACAATACCTTTCTTTTGCACCATCGAGTCTTTGGTCACCAAAAAGTGGCGTTTTGAATAATAACTTATTATGAAAATAAGCGACAAACAAGGTACAGAGTTCTGAACCTCTCCAGGGGTACTAAACGTCAAATATGATTGCCCTAACATCTTAAAGATCTTTTCATGGCACAAAGAGCTAACGTTTTGACATCCCTTACAGAAATGTCCCATGAGCATCCCATGGGATTCCCATGGGGTAAACCCATGGGGTCATCAAGAACACCATGTAAGTTAAAATGATCACCGTGGGAGATTTTATGCTCATCATGGGAAACCCATGGGAACACCATGGATATTTTATGTGGGAACACCATGGGGATTTTATGGACACCATGGGAACACCATGGGAATTTCATGGACATCATGGGAACACCATGTGGAATTTATGAACACTATGGGAACACCATGGGGATTTTATGGACACCATGGGAACACCATGGGGATTTTATGTCACCATGGGAACACCATGGGGATTTACTGGACACCATGGGAACATCACTGGGAATTTAAACACATGGGTACACCATATACGCCGGGTTATACTGGAGAACATGTATATAACCATATGCGTCATGAAAAAGTGCATTTACAAAAAGAAAACGTTATAAATATCTATAGGCTTTACAAAGGTCATGACCCTCGAAGGTCACCCCCGGTTAAATATGAAATATCATATATTACTATTATATCATGGAACACCTAATATTTAGACTTGGATCTTGAAAAAGGTGGGGTTTTAAGAGTAAACTTATAAATAACTATAAATAAGTTTAACAAAGGTCATTGACTCCTGAAAGGTGACCAGAGGTAAGATATGAACTGTTCCCACATCTGATCAGTATCAGTCACTTAGTCAAAGTCAATCAGTCAGTTAGTCAAAGTCGGGGAGTCAGTCAGTCAGTCGGGGGGGGGGGAGTCCGTCAGTCAGTCAGTTAGTTAGTTGATTTGTTAGTAACCATTGCTTCTACATATTTTGACCGATTTCAACCAAACTTCGTGAAAAGTATCAGTAGCCCAGCCCTAACATGTCACATGAATAAACTGGGGTCAAAGGTCATCATGGGGTCACTGAGATCAAACGCCTGATTTTGGTTCCTCCAAATTCTACTTCTTCCAGAAATGACATGGCACAATCACGTGACGTATGCATGAGCACGAATTCGTCGGCCCACAGCTTCCGAGATCCAATTGAGCTTGTTTCATACTACATTTCATATCCCATGGAATCTTTTTACACAACAATAGGGTTTCGAGGATGAAATCGAACGCCTGACAACTTCTGGAGGACCTCCACCAGCTGTCACTCAAAGGAAACTGAGACAATCAACCTCGACTACAGCTGATGAACCTAAAGGTGCCACACAGAACGAAGAAACCCCTGGCCCAATATTGATGAAAAGAATGTTCCTCCGTTAATTTTGCACCCCCTATTATTTTTGAGAACCACGTTACCCTTGAGTTTAAATCATTTTTTTATTACAAGCAGCTGTATGCATCTTTATTATATTAAGCTGACTCGGTGAACATTTTGTGGGTTTGAGAGTATCTAAACTATGATATTTAATTGTTGGTATAAATCACTTTGTTTTGGATGAAGTTCACTTATAAGTCGGACTCGCTATTGGCGAAAGTATTAAAAATCCATGTGCCTTCGCAGATGTCAATAATGTATAAAGGGCCCCGATTTTTATACAACAGCCCTGCTTTTATTTTGTCATATATTTGAACAGTGTATATGGAAGTCATATTTATGTCATTCCATTTCGATTTTAGTTGCGAACCGACACCCGTTCTCACAGGTGCATAGAGACCCGGCTGGGACGTTGCAGGCCAAAATTGGTCAAGTGTGTCTGCAGATCTGCCAGGGGGATCTTGTGACAGAAAAAAGCAGTGCCGTCGTGAACAGTGCGGGAAAGAAGTTAGATCTGCAAGGTTTGTTAGTAAACGAACATGATTGGTTTCTAATGAAACACCATATTGAATGATGCAGCATCACCATGGGCAGCTGCAACACAAATAGCAGATAAATAACATTCCATTCGAAACAAGTGGAATCAGCAAGTATAGACCATGGTACTTTTACGTCATGCCAGTGGACAACCGACAGACGAATATTTAAGCATCTTTTGCACGTTTTGTTTTGCCCGCATTAGATAACTATAATTTCGCCGCTTTTACACCAATCACAATTCACGAGATACACATGCAGTGCAGGAAAAAGCAGCTCGCTGAAAGTTAGCACCTCATGACCACAACGTCCAGTTTGTAAACAAATATATTATGTTAGAGAGGTCTTCACCGCAAACAGAGAGTACAAACTGGTCATAGGGCACCAAATGTTCGTTGTACACTATGCAACAATCACGGGTTTCAACCGAATTCTTAATATGGCTTTTACAGTTCAGTTTAGGCCTTTGCCAAAGTTTACCATGCTCCTGCTGTAGCTTGTTTTGTCCCCTGGCTTTTAAGCCAAAAGGAGGATAGTGCAATCACTGTGTATTCCTTCTGTTTGTGCGTGAGTTTGATTCTGCATTCAACGTTAAACAATTGAGGAACACAGGGTCCCCATTCCCGAGGGTCCACAATTCAGGACGATCGTGTACAAAACATATGGGAGGTCTTCCTGAAAAAAAGTTTTAAGTACAAACAAAAGAGGAACAATAGGGGTTCACGTTTGTAGGTACGTACCCCATAAACCCCATGTGTGGGTGCGTTTGTTTATGGTGTAAATAAAGGACACACAACGACACGCACCTCGCTTTACACCATACTTCAGTCTTGGTGACCATAAACTTGGTGACCATAATCTTTGTATAGGGGGACTTCCGAAGACTTGAAACATTTGAGGTCAAAGGTCATGTTGGGTTAAATGAGGTAATTGTTGATTTGGGTTAGATAAACTTAAAAGTGCTGTCATATAAAAAGTATGACTTTACTCTCAACCAAGCATTGGCAACAATAATCTTTGGTTAGGGGGTCTTTAGATGACTTCAGTCATTAGAGGTCAAAGGTCATCTAGTGGTCAAATGAGGTAACTGTTTATTTTGGTAAGGTAAACTGAAAAGTGTGCTTACTAACTAACTGTAAAAAAACTGCCAGCATGCCAGGGGGTCGCGAAAGTTTCAATTGCAGTATTGTTATTGTATACATTAAACAGGTCCTTTGTCTTGTGCACTCCTGGAAAAGGGTGGAAAGAAAATCAAGAAGGAATTTGATTCTTTCCGTAAAAAGGGTAAATATTGAATTTGTTTATTGTATTTTGTTATTCTTGAGATGTTTTTCTATGCACATTAATGAATCCTGCTTATTTATGACAGTAAATATTTCAAATTTAAGGTTTAAGTTAGTTATACGTATATTTTCATGTCCGCACATCACAAATACATTTCACGACACGTTTTATCAAACGTTTTGTAGAGTTCAAAAATTATACACATCAATCGGTGTTGATGATAAAACAAAAATATAAACATAGCCATCATATTCTTCTCTCAACTCTTTATCTCAATGTTTTCTTCGTTAAATGTTTATTTTTTTCAAAAGATCCGACGAAGTCGGTGTATGTCACAACTGCTGGGAAACTGTCCTGCAACTTCATTTTCCATGTTGTCACGCCCAAGACCTCCGAGGAGACTAAGATTATCGTGACCAAGACTCTTCTAGAGGCAGAAAGCAAGCAGGTCAAATCCATATCCTTCCCCGCGCTTGGAACAGGTACATGTTATTCGGTATAATAACTATGATACAGCAGTCACTAACCCTTGTAAAAAAGCACTCTTGCAATGAATTTACGTCATACGAAAACACCATTGCAAATTTGGTACTTAAAGTAAAATATATCCGATATGATATGTAAAATTTATCCGATAGGATATGTCCGCCCTTGCGCTTGGTGATCTCAGTGCCGGTTTTATTTGGACTGGCAGTTTAACCTGTTCAAGGGCGGATCCAGGGGGGGGGGGGGCCAAAGGGGGCCATGGCCCCCCCCCCCAAAAACGAAATCAATTTTTTATTTTTTTATGTGACATCGCAATAACGGCAGGCAATGAGTACACCACCATCTTTTCCTCAAAAAAAAAAATTGGTTAAAGTGGTCAGAAATTGCCTTAGATCGCACCACAGAGCATCTAGAATCCAAAAATTTTTCGGGGCCCTTAAGCGGGCCCCGAACCCCACGCCGTAATTTTTTTGACCCACTTTTTGACATAGCAATAAAGGCTGGGCAATGAGTACACCACCATCTTTTCCTCAAAAAAAACATTGGTTAAAGTGGTCAGAAATTGCCTCAGATCGCACCACAGAGCATCTAGAATCCAAAAATTTTTCGGGGCCCTTAAGCGGGCCCCGAACCCTACGCCGTAATTTGTTTGACCCACTTTTTGACATAGCAATAAAGGCTGGGCAATGAGTACACCACCATCTTTTCCTCAAAAAAAAACATTGGTTAAAGTGGTCAGAAATCGACTCAGATCACACCACAGAACATCTAGAATCAAAAATTTTTTCGGGGCCCTTAAGCGGGCCCCGAACCCTACGCCGTAATTTTTTTGACCCACTTTTTGGGGGGAACCAAAATTTTTTTTGGCCCCCCCAAAAATTGTGTTCTGGATCCGCCCTTGAACCTGTTGTACGTTATGGGCATAAACAGAATCATAATCGTTCTCAAATGTCCTCGTACTATCACTATCGTTTTGGAATATCAATTATTCAGGCCCACAGGCAGGACAAGCTGTTGGTCCTTCGGCCAGCGCCATGTTGGCTGCCATTGGAGAGTTCGTATGTCGAGAGAAGCCTCGTAACCTGCAACTGGTTCGCCTTATCATCTTTAAAGCAGACATGCTCCATGGCTTCGAGGCTGCTTTAAAGCAGAATGAGGATCGCTCGTATAAGAAGCAAGCTAGTTTTCCCTCCGCAGGATTAGGTAAAATCAAACTTGTCTTGTTTGCATGGGTGTATTAGTATGGGCGTGTGCCATGAGCCGAGGGCAAGATCGAACGAGGCACTTTTTACGGATAATGTGGAGGCAACTGAATGCACTGAAAGCTTAAAAGAACCATCCGAATGACCCCTGTGCATTTTCCCAAATAGTTTACGACAACTCTTCAGATAATTACTTTGAACTGACCTTGCCTATTGTTTACTTAAACCAAGTTGCCATTAAAGTTACCTTTTAATACATTTTGTGACCCCTGAATAAAACGTATTCCAATCTCTTTGCATGCCCTTTTCGGACCAAGTTTTGCCATCTAAGGCCCTCTTTAAACGTCAAATTCTGTCGTTTCTAATTCAAATAATTATTAGAATTAGACACGGCATTTAGAAAGTCGACGTTTGAAGTAACTGCCGGCTTTCTGCCAAAACTCGACAGGTCGTGCCGCTCTGTGCAGCAGAAGAGCGGCACGGCTTCACACGGCGATTTTTTTCCGTGTCTATAATTCAATTGGCACGTCCCGAATCATCACAGTGGTACTAATTTAAACTGCACATAGCATGCACCTGCCAGCTGTTTACGGTTCGGCTTCAAAACCAAATGGCGCAGATGGACATATTTCAAAGGTTGCCCTGAAAACAGCTTTCTGAAATAGTCAGGTGGCTTAGATCAAATTTTCGTCAAGATCGTGACCGACTGGTCCAAAGCACCAAACTTGGCAGATAGATTCTTACAGACCTAGAGAAGATATTTAGAAGGGGTGACACCTGAAATTCTTTTGGGAAGGGTGCCTAATTTGCATAAATCGTTAATCCCTGTCGTGTAATATATTTATTCCCATATTTGGGTATTTTTTATTTTTTTGAAAAGTGTATTTTGGGGATTCTACTTACATATCTTTACTTAAATAACATTTTCCAAAGCATATAAGTGACTGAATAATTATGAGGACATAGTAACGATCCAAAATGGCTACTATTATGCCCTAAAATTGTGCGCATTTACCTTGTCTCCAGATATCATCAACTAGTCTTGCCAAACATCAGCATTGATGAACTTCAAATTCACCAAGTAGCTTACTGGTACAGTTACCATATTAAAACCTTATGCAAAATCCTGTGAACAATGATAACATTGTGATATTTAGCCCAGAAAAGAAAAACTGGGAAAAACGAGGTGTCCATAAATTGGGCTAACAAGTAGGTGAAGGGTTCCCTAACAAGGAACACTGTAACAAGTTCAAGGAAATTCCCAAAATTATGGTTGAGAAAACGTTTTGGCGTAGACAAAATGATTGTAAACAACAATAATCTCTTTTTTAGGGGGATTTCGTTGAACTTGTTCAAGTCCCCACGTTACCCTTCCCGTACTAGCCCAATTTACAGACACCACATTTTCTCCCCTTTTTTGGTCTTTTGGGCTAAACATCAAGATGTTATCAATTTTCACTTGATTTCCCACTTATTTTTGTTAGGGTAACTATGCCAGTAAGTAACTTTGTGAAGCTCATCAATTTGAAACTCATCAATACCCACGTTTGGCGAGACTAGTTGATTATATCTGAAGAAAAGGTAAATGCGCGTAACTTTAGGGTAAAATAGTAGCAATTTTGGTTCTTTACTATGTCCTCCTAATTATTCAGTCACTTATATGTTTTACAAAATGTTATCGAGGTAAGAATATGCAAGTAGAATCACCAAAATACACTTTTCGAAAAAATAAAAAAATAGAAATATACCCAAATATGGGAATAAATGTATTACACGGCAGGGATTAACGATTTATGCAAATTAGGCACCCTTCGCAAAAGAATTTCAGGTGTCACCCCTTCTAAATATCTTCTCTAGGGCTATAAGAATCTATCTGCCAAGATTGGTGCTTTTGACCAGTCGGTCACGATTCCGACCATATGCCACCTGACTAAAACCGGATGCGTATCATTAAACATCATCCAGCCAACCGGTATTCTTGATTAAACGCACAGGGTCGGGATGTTGTGACAATGATTTTCTCGAGAAAGGAGGAGCAACAGTATTATGAACAAGCAATGAAAATTGTCCTTGTTGAAATCACCTCCAATAAATGGACTGTTCTCGCAGAATGAATTTGTCACAGTATCATATTACGTTTAACAGAAAATCGACGTTCGAAGCAACTGCAGAAGTTTTGCGCTATTTTGCCGACTGCAATGTGTTAAATTAGATACCGCAAAGGTTCGACGTTTGAAGCGGCCTTACTAATCGAAGTGAAGAAACATTACTTGTTATTAGTACTTCTTGAGTTTAGTATCTGTTGGAATACATAAGGTTTGGCAAAGTCTGTCCTTCCTTCGGCCACTGTTGAGGACACGTCAAACAACGAGTCCCAACGAGAAACGATCCTCCTTCACATCTGCGCCATGGATGACGTCACCATACAGAGAGCAACAGGCAAGATCGATAGATATCAAGACGAGGAGTTCACATTGGAGGTAGGATTTAGAGGACCGTTGCGTCCTTCCTGTATGGTAACGATTAGGAGCGGGCTGTGCTTCTGGTGTATCAGAGTTGATCACAACTGTTCACTGCTGCGCCAAAAGAGGTTAGAGACGGCATATTCCACATCAAATCAGCTAACACCTGTATTGTTGTTTCGTGCAAATAGCTCAAAAAGATAAATGATTGGACCTTGTGTGAGAAATAAATTAAATCACGGCGATGTAGCCTTTGATAACTGAAGGTGTTCATGTCCTACCTAACATAAGACTGAGCGTTTGACGTTGCAGGGCCCAATTTCATGGCTCTGCTAAGCACAAAGGCCCGTGCTTACCATGATCAACATTTGCGCCAGCAGAAACATCATTGCTAACCCGGTTACCACAGAATACCTAGTTACGGGATGTACATGTACATTTCTTCGCTAACCCGTAACATATGCTGCAGTAAGCAGAGATTTGTCACTAGCATGACAGATGAAATGTTCCATTCCACTCGGCTTCGCCATGTCACCTCATGAAATCACTCTTACCATTGTACTCATACACATTCATTGTTTGTATAATAAAACACGTTCGGTGCGCGAAGGCTACACATCTAGCATGCAAAAGATCAAAATGGATGGGACGAAAATGCACGGTGAATTGAAATAAAATGAAAGGTTTATGACGTAGCCATGCAATGGTTTGATCAATGAATGCCGCCTGACTTACAATCCTCCAATCAAATGACAATGATCCGACAAGGATTGTTATATAACAGGCTATGAAATTGTGTACGTTCAATTTCGTTGGTCTCAGATTTTGCGCGTTTCGCGTCCCTTTATATAACATGTAATTGGACAACATTTCAAAAGCTGCGTTTGACTTGTGACTAACTTCAATGTCAAGCAATGGCGGTGATGCTGAAAATTGAAGTAATGATAACCCAGACAATATTTTATCACTGGCCAGTGGATTAATGTTGTGATCCTGTTGCATGCTACTTACCTCGATATCCTTGTCATGGTCATGTAAGCTGAGTCTTCTGCTGAGGGACAGTCGAAACAATGAGATGAAGTGCAGACACGTACACAAACGTCATTCTCTATATGTGCAGCCTTTAAAGGCAGATATCTATTAGGTGACTACTATTGATAATAGTGAAAATTGTTCACAAAGACTTTATTATATAAAACGTTTGTTTTTCATTTTACATGCGGTTTTTTCCTTTAGGATATGCCAGATTCCCATGGAATGATTGCAAAAATGAAGAAAGAGCACCGTGCTGAACTCCGAACCATTGAACGGAAGTACAATGTATGTTGTTGTTTTCTTTGCAAAAAAAGAACGCGAAATTGTGGCCTTAACTTAAATAATTAAGGGAGTGCTTCATGGAACGCTCGCCGCATAAGCAAGCCAGATGTGAAAGATGGGAAGTGGTTACTTTTTGAGTGAGAGCGATGTTTTCTTTATTGTTGAATATTATTCCTTCCTTTCATTTCTCCCTATTTTCTCTCAGTGGCTCATCAAAGTTTGCTTTATTTATTTTATTATCACAGGTGGGGATAGAAGTTTCAAAAGGTCCTGCCAAGTTCCGAGTGCAGGGCCTTAAAATGAATGTGAAAGATGCGAGATTCAGCATCCAGGAGATGTTCACGACAATGCAAGTCCAGGAGACCGAAAAGCAACGTAGGACTTCTTTCAGATCCATGGCAACCGAAGGCTCATTTCTTTGGTAGGCGTCCTCTATGATAGCATTGCTTTTGACGTCGTAGACTTCCAGACCAGTCGGTCTGCTGTACTTCCATTGCACCTGTGGACAGGTGGATGAAGCCAGTTGTAGTTTCGAATTTTTTTCTTCGTTACTTTCGACTCATTGTTTGATCTTCACCAAACGTGCATTTGCACATTCACACTATTTCCACATTCACACTATTGACGATTCACACATTTGACGAAGAGAGTGAGTTTTTAGCAGATTAAAACTGACAATTTTCCCCTCCTTATTAGAGTGATTACCTTTTTCCAAGATCTGTCTCTGTATCAACGATTGCTATTGCCTATTGTGTTTATATATTCTGATGGGACTGTCTCTACTAGTACTTGGACAAGTATTTAACAGTTTGCCTCGGTTTCAAAATAGGCTTTCCATGAAACGATTGTTCTTTGGTACTATAGTGTAAATGTGCGAATGCACGTTTGGTGAAGATTAAATAATGAGTCTAAAGTAACGAAGAAAAAAAGTCGAAACTTCAACTGGCTTCATCCACCTGTCCACAGGTGCAGTGGAAGTACAGCACACTGACTGGTGTGGGAGTCTACGACGCCAAAAGCAATGCTGTCATAGAGGACGCCTACCAAAGAAAAGAGCCTTCGGTTGCCATGGATCTGAAAGAAGTCCGGGTCACCATTGACTTCAATAAAATGCAGGAACTGTCAGAGGATGGTCCTGTCAGCCTAAATCGTGTTGACCTTCAGGAAGGTATAAGTAACAAGCCTTGAACGGAAGACAAGACATTGGCTGAACCAATTAACACTTAAGCGTCTGGCTTTCCCCTTCGTGTGAACTCTTACAATCGAATACACGTTCAAATAAGGTCGTATTTGCTTTGGATTAGCTTTTTAGCATTCATTTTGACAATGTAGGCATTGATTGACTTGCTCATTAAGTGACAAAATGTGTATCACATTTCATATAATATACTATATATGGTTAAGGGAAATTTTTCAAAATACAAGCCTTTTAATTTACCCCTTCATCAAAATCATGAATGTTTCAGTTGCTAAACTCGAGACACCGAGCTGCTGGAAACCCATGAAAAAGGGCGAGCACTTCAAGCTAGTCAAACTAATTGAAGCAAGTGAGGAATACACGGATGTTGAAAGACGATTCCGATCATCCATGGGTATAAACCCCACAGTGAACCAAATCGTAGAGGTAACTTTTTGTATTCCACGTAATTACTGAATTGTGAGGGTTAGCACATGATACGTGTTATAGGATCATTTGCGTTATCGTTTGCGAACAAGTATTTATACCGATTTGATGACTAAAACGTTTCTCAAAAGAAGATAGGACTGGAACCGGTCCGCTTAATGATGAAGAAAAATTAGACCACTGAAAAGCAGGGTGTGTGCGTACGTGTGCACTGTTATTTCGGTTGTGTACTATAAGAACCCAGCAACCAGTTGTGTAAAATAATTGAACAAGTTGTGTAATATTTTACACAAGTTGTGTAAACAACAGTTTACACAACGGGTTGCTAGGTTCATATAGTACGCAGCCGTTTGATTTTTACACAACTGAAATAACAGTGTGTGTTTATACGTATACAGACTCATGTGGTACCGGGAACAAAGGGCAACAATAGGGACAATGGTACCCTACAACTCGGTCTTTAGAAATCTCAGCACGGTATGTTAAACGCTATGGGGTTTGAGATTTCAATAGGAACAAATGAGAACTAGAAATGTGTTTGTGGACAAACACAAGCTGTTTCGGATATTTGAAATACTCTGAGCACGGGATGAACAATCAGGGACGTCACTATAAATGTCATCTATAACAGCACATTATAATATGTACATGTCAAGTTACAACCAAATCGAAAATTTTAGTTCTGTAGATATAGACCTATAAAAGAATAAAATGCCCCTTTAAGGGACTTCACATGACATTTAATGATGATGCCACTTCAATTTCCATCTATAACACATCCAGGTGTATATGCATACCAAGTTTTAACCCAATCAGACTTGTACTTCCGAAGTTCAGTTTGAAGAAAAACGTGTACAAAACCAATAGGGAAACAATGCATCTTTAATGTGATGTAACCTGACACCTCATGACGCCACAATGACGAATATCTTCTAGGACCATCTATGGGTAGTGGTCTAGGTGTGTACCAAGTATATAGTCGATCAAATTTACGAAAGTGCCCAAAGTGGAGTGTTTTTAAATGCGTACAAAACCTATGAAGAAAAATGCATTTTTAATGTAACGTAACCAGACACCTGATGACGTCACGATCACGAATTTCTTACGGGACCATCAGTGGGTGGTGGTCAAAATATGTACCACGTCTGAAGTTTATCAAATTTACGAAAGTGCCAAAGTGGAGTGTTTTTAAACGTGTACAAAACCTATGGGGAAAAATGCATCTTTAATGTGACGTAACCTGACACCTGATGACGTCACGATCACAAATTTCTTCTAGGATCATCTGTGGGTGGTGGTCTAAGTGTGTACCAAGTCTAACGTCGATCAGATTTACGAAAGTGCCAAAGTAGAGTGTATTTTTAAAACGTGTACAAACCCTATGGGGAAAAATGCATCTTTAATGTGACGTTACCTGACAACTAATAACGTTACGATCACAAATTTCATCCAGGACCTACTGTGGGTGGTGGTTTAAGTATGTATCAAGTCTCAAGTCGATCGGATTTACGAAGGTGCCAAACTGGAGTGTTTTAAAACGTGTACAAAACATATGGGGAAAAATGCATCTTTAATGTGACGTAACCCGACACTTGATGACGTCACGATCACGAATTTCTTCTAGGACCATCTGTGGGTGGTGGTCTAAGTATGTACCAAGTCTAAAATCAATCGGATTTAAAAAAGTGCTAAAGTGGATTGGTAGAAGAAACGTGTGCTAAACCTATGGAGAAAAAGTCTGAAAAAGGAGAAAAAAAATAAGAACAAAGAAAAACTAGATGTGGTTGTAACTGAACAACCACAGAGCTGTTCCCAACTTGTTTTTGATTGTCTATTGGATAGTAGAAAATAATGTAATGATTTTTGCAAAAATCTCTAACTTTTAAAATTGAAATTATTATCTTATATAATTGCACTTCCGGTAAAAACCGGAAGTAAAGGTCACGAGACCTTGACATATACATTTTCATTTATAACCCTTCCCTGTCTATATATTTACCAAGTTTGAGATCAATCGGTGGAATAGTTTTATAGTTAAAGGACTATAAAGATTGCCTCATTAAATAGTCATGACGTCATAACATGAAAACATTAAACTGCCCATTAATAATAATGCTACATATTTATCCTTTAATGTTGCTTAATACTAATACATGTATAAGGTGTCAACCCAATTAAATTTCTAATTCATTAGATATGATAATTAGGGTCTTAAATTAACACTTCCGGTAACACCGGAAGTAGTGGTCACATGACCCGGATATACCAATATTTATCTGTAACACTTCCCAGTCTGTATACCTGCCAGGTTTGAGATCAATCGGTCGAATGGTTCTATAGTTATAGGACTGTAAAGATTGCCTCATTAAATATTCATGACGTCATAACATGACAATAATTATGTGCACAGTATAAATAATAATGCAATATAATTATCTGTCAATATAGCTTTGTATCAATGTGAAGTTTCAACCCAATCAGATTAATAATTCATGAGATATGATATAGGGGTCTAAAATAACCACTTCCGGTAAAACCGGAAGTGAAGGTAACGTGACCTTGACATATGAATTCTCATTTATAACACTTCCCTGTCTGTATACCTACCAAATTTGAGATCAATTGGTCAAATAGTTCTATAGTTATAAGGCTGTAAAAATTGAATCTATAAATAGATGTCACGTGGCCCCTGATGACGTCACGATGACGATAAGTTTCGGCATACATCTTCAGATGATGGTTAATGACTATGCTGAGTTTAAAGTTGATCAGATTTAAAATAGTTCCCAAAGTGGCTTGTAGAATAAAAACGTGTGATATATATTTGAAAATGCATGTGTCAAACTTCCCCTAAAGCAGAACAAAAATCACTGAGACAAGTCTACTGATAGGCGAATGGGGGCGCCATTCAGTTTATACGGTGTGCCGTTATATTTTTTTGGTGACGCGCAGCTTTCCTTATTTTGATCCCATGAAACTTAAGCTCTGTGCCTTAAGTACAACCGTAAAAGTTATGTGCTGCCCTCTTTTGGCGAGAATGAAGGGACGTAATGTACATTGAACGACGTTTCAAAGCCACGTGTACGTGCTATACACATTGTGGAAGTCCTGCGCATGTTTTAAAGCTCTCTACCGCAACTTGGGCGAGGGTATTTTTTGCCGACGTCGCGTCAACTGTGTGAACAATTTGACAAACTGGGAACTTGGCACTGTTGAGGCAAATGTTGATGCTATCATTTAATGGGCGATTCAAGATTATATCTGTACGGATTGATTTTTCAGGAATTTTCTAAGGAAAAAGAGTCTTTTCATTATAACTTCCGGTCTGATGACGTCATACGCCTAAAACTTTTCACACGTCTTCAGTGGGTCAAGGTCATCATATACACCAATATTTAGGCGATTCCAACAAACTTCGCCACAGACATCTATTCAAAATACATTTTTGAAAATTTTCAACCTGTCGCTAGAGGGCGCTCGAAGATTGCATGACGTCATCGGTAGATGATTTGAAGAATACTATCAGCCAAGAGACTAACACCGTTGAAAGCAAGTTCATATCTATTACCACTTTTAAATAATAAGCCACTTCCGGTTTTGGCCTTTTTCGACCGGAAGCAAAGGTCACGTGATTTCACGCACACTGAATGAAATAAAGACCTTAACCTGTTCTACCACTTGCTGGCAACAGAATGCTGCGGACGCGTACGGTTGATTTCTTATGCATTTTTAAATATTAAAATTGTCACAATTTAATTGCCTATAAATAAACACCGGATGACGTCATCATGACGTCATCATTACACAATGTTGTTTGAATTAGGGTCTTTGCTTGGACAAAGATTGGTGTAAATGAATAACTGGCAAAGAGTCGAAAATGCCCTCTGAAAATTGACATTTTTTTTTTAATTTCTGTGTACAAAGTCTATGGGAAAAATTAAATATTCAAAATTCTATAACAAATCACGTGATGACGTCACGATGACGAAAAGTTTCGGCATACATCCTCAGATGATGGTTAATAACTATGCTGAGTTTAAAGTTGATCGGATTTAAAATAATTGCCAAAGTGGCTTGTAGAATAAAAACGTGTACAAAACCTATGGGAAAAGTGGAAAAAGAAAAAAAAAAATAAAAAAAAAAAAAAAAAGGAAAAAAAAAAACTATAACGAAAACAAGAGCTGTTCCCAATTGAAATTGGGAACAGCTAAAAAAATCTTAACGAAAACAAGAGCTGTTTCGGTGTGTACACCGAAACAGCTAATAAAAGAAAAGAAGTCAATTGGACAATAGTGGTACCCCATAGCTACCTAAAAACACGGTCGTGTGCATGCGCGTGTTCTTAATTGTGCAGTACATACGGGATCTCAATTTGTCCGGGTCAATGATTCAAGTTCATTTACTGTCTCTCTTGATTTTTGGGCTACCTCAAGGATCAGTCCTAGGGCCCGTCTTGTTCTCTTTGTATACAATGCCACTTGGTGAAATCATTCGAAAGCATAGTCTATCCTATCATTGTTATGCAGATGATACCCAATTATATATGTCAAAAGACCCTCAACAACATAAGGTCGATTCAGCAATCCAGCAGATGGAAACATGCCTTGATGACGTACGTTCTTGGATGACTCATAACTGGCTCAAATTCAACGATGAAAAGACCGAATTTATCATTGTAGGTTCTAAGCAGCAATCGTGTAAAGTTCATGTTCCATCCATAAGGGTTGGTGATTCAAACATCCTGCCATCTAATCAAGTCAGAAATCTGGGCAATATCTTTGATTCATCTCTATCCATGGAACCTCACCTTACATCAATTTCTAGATCAGTCTGCATGCCGATCCGTAACATCGGACACATACGAAAATATCTCGACAAACACACAACTGAAATACTTTTTCAGGCTTTCATCACATCCAAAATTGACATGGGCAATTCACTATTGTATGGCATTAACCTAAATCAACTAAACCGTTTGCGGCGACTACAAAACATCAGTGCCAGACTAATCTCTCTCACTAGTAAACATTCTCACATCACTCCTGTACTAGCAGATCTCCACTGGCTTCCAGTATCATACAGAATCAAATACAAACTTGGCCTATTCGTGTACAAAATCCTCCACAACAATGCCGGCGGATACCGTCGCTTTACAAATGTTCTTTATTTATTTATTTATCTACATGTTGTGAATCATTCTATTATCGCCCAAACCGCCCAAACCTGAAGGGACACGTGATTTTGTACGTTATACAAAAACAGGAAGACCTTAGCTTATTTTATCAATTCCCGTCAAAAGCAAAATCTGATCTCTCGCAGTTGATTTTATATTGATTCCAAAGATTGAATCTATGGACACCTTTGTTGATTAAATCTAGACATACTTGATTACGCCATCTTGACGTCATAACCAGTAAATTTGCAAGCTATGTTAACTGTGCTACTTAACGCAAAAATGAAGATTAAAGATTATATCTCTCAGGATTGATTTTTCAGGTTTTTTTGAAGGTTTTGAGGTCTTTTTATGGTAACGTCCGGTCTTGTGACGTCATCAATATTTCTCCCTCTCAACTTGCTCTTAGCATAAAGCCAAATATAAACATTCATTATAAAGTGTTTTAAACAAACTTCACAACACATTTTCAACTGATTACTCATTTTCAACATTTTCCAACCTGCCGCTAGAGGGCGCGCTAATATTTATGACATGATCGGATTTTTTTGGGAGAAAATACAACCTAGGCACAGACTAACATCGTCGAAGGCAAGTTCACATCTTTTTCCACTTTTAAATTATAAGGCACTTCCGGTTTCAACCGGAAGGGTCACGGAATTTGGCGCACAAGAGATAAAATGGAGATCCTGGATTATTCTTTCAATTCCCGCAAAAGGCAAGACTAATAGATATATTCTTTGAAAATCAATATTAAATCAACTGTCAGATACCGGTATCTGACAGTTGATTTAATATTGATTTTCAAAGACTATATCTATTAGTCTTTAACGTGACGTCACGTGATGATGATGACGTCATCGTGACGTGAGTCTTTAGGACACATTTATGCTATAAGGACTATACCTATATGCTGACTTTGAATGATGTTTGAGAAAAATAAATGCCAAAAGAGGAGGCCGGAAACGACGTGTACAGTGTCTATGGGATTTTGAGGTAAAAAAGAAGGAAAGGCAAAAAACTCACAACAAAAAGAAAAGCCTTTCTGCAACTATGCGGAAAGCAATGAAAAAAAGTACACTTGAAACAAACGCTTTTCCAACTGATGAAAATTATATCAGTCGGTGCAAACGGCTGATATATTGTGGGCATTCTGTATCTTCGTCTTCTTCGTTTCGTAGGTACCGTAATTGAGCCGTTTCCTCCTCCTCCTCTTCTTATATCAGCCTGTGCAACCGGCTGATACAATCAGCCGTGCAATATTAATATTGTTATCCTTCGCAATATCTTCTTTCTCTTTCTTTCCTTGAGCTTTAAATTTTCATCATAATTTTCATTGCTTTAACTTCCAAACGCTTTGGCCAATTTCGACCAAACTTAACCCTTTGGACCACTGACCCAAGCATGATATGTGGCGCTCTCTTACTGGGGTCAAAGGTCATCAAGCGGTCATAGTGGTCACTTTATTGAAATTTACAAAATGTTTCTTTCACAGTCTTCATCCGATGACGGCCAAACTGGGTAAGCTGCATCCCTGGATTGAGCCTCACATTGGGTGTACCTAGAATGTGGCCAATGGTCTGGCACCTAGTGGTCACAAGCGGTCATTTGGTGAAAATCAAAAAGCTGCTTTTTCTGCCGCATTCTTCAGGCGATTTTAGCAGTTCGTGGTCAAATGTTTACTTGTCCGAAGCCCTACATAAGTCATAACAGATTTGGGTCAAAGGTCATTCAGTGGTTAGTTGTGGTCATTCTCTGGAAAACGGACAAATGGCAATGTGTCATCGCTTTTTGTTAAGCAAATTCAGCCCATTAAAATTATCTTATGCAATTCGCGAAGCCCTGCTTGTTTACCACTTCCATTCAAGGTGATCACAATTAATATGGAATACAGCCCAACATAGTCTGACTTAACAAAATGAGAAAATGATGGTAGGGTGAACAAGTTAATTCGCACCTATCCACCGCAATTAAAGCCTTTATTAGTATCAGGTTGCTTTATGGAAATGCGTGTGCCCGATCAAGCATAGAGTTTTCGATTCAGTGCAATATCTTTCTCCATGATTGGTCTTGAATTTCAGATACTAAGAATCCAGAATACAGAATTAATGATGCAGTATCAGGCTCGTAAGGCAGCGCTACAGGCTCGTCTTGACCGTACAGACATCGAGGAGACGTTGTACCATGGTACCGATGAGCAATCGTGTGACCAGATCAACAACTTTGGATTCAACCGCGTCTTCAGCGGTAAAAATGGTAAGATTAAGAATAGAATAGAGCACCGTTTACCTACGGATGTCATTTTTTGGGTAAAGCAGATCTGACTTAAAAGATAGTGACGTAAATATACACATTGTTTCAATACCCAAAAACCCTACTGTTTAGAGATTGAAGTTTTCTTTTCGAATTTATCTAAGACCCATATGACATTCCAAATTGTTGGTAGCTCTACGGGGAGCTAGTAACCAACCAGGTTAGGTTGTATGAACGGACGTTGAATTCGGCGTTCTTAACTCATCAACAACTAAACCTTCCTCATGCCGCAACTCTAAGATAACTCCTGCCGGTCTGCGTATCTGCGATCCCAAACGCAACAACCGATTGGATGACTTTCTTAGAGCTTAAGCACTCTCCTGAAAACAGTCACAGCATACTGACCAGAACGTCGAGTTTATTCTTTTCAGAACCATTCTCTTAGTTGAGGAATTTTTGCACATGATGTTTCCGAAAACCTTTCATTATTTAATTAAGACGACGTTACCGCGCCTTTTATTCACTGAAAAACATAGTTTACATCATTCATTGTTCTTGTTTTTTTTTTTTTACTCTATGGATAAGCACCCTATTTCCCTGTAATGCCTTCTTTCAAATTGTATATTTCTGGCTCACTTTTAGTGTTTATACCTAACAAATAAATTGATTCTATTTAGAATTCTTTCAATTTCTTTGTTCCAATATCTTATTTTTGTCTGGTGAGATTAGAATTCCACGTTTGTTTTATATCAAGTTGGAGTAAGTCCACATATTACATTTTTGGAGCACATGCCCATTGCACTGAGATGTCACCCCTTATCCTAAAGCCCTCTCCGTGTAACGAGAGAACTGTGTGATACAATACTAGAAGCCTTATCTCGAAAAGTATAAAGAAACATAATGCCACGTATGCCTAACAATACACTTGGGAGATTTGAATAATAAACCACTATTATCATACAGTTGCATAAATCATCCGTGGTTAAGGACACTGAATTCGTGGTCTGCTGGTAATTCTGCGGGTTGTGGGTTCGAGTGCAGCCTGGGCTTATGGTGCGTTTGCTCTTGGACCAAGCACTTTAATTGTCCCTCATTGCTTATCTCCACCCAGGAGTAAATGGGCACCTTTGAGGGCAGAGATGGTTATTGTGATTTAATTAGCTTCCTTGCACCTAATAGGCAACATCGATCTGTATACTCCGCAGGGAGTTGAGATGGTATTTGGAATGTTTAATTGGCCCAATGATCAGGGGTAATAATAATACTCTAAGCGCTGTGAGTTAGTTTACTAATAAGAGCGTTCTCCGATCATCATCGTCATCATCCCCATCACCGTCATCCCCGTCATTCCCATCACTGTCATCACCGTCATCATCGTCATCATCCTCATCATATAAATCAATGTACTGTACCATTATTACTCTATGAACCATTAGGGAGAATTTTTTTCGATAATAGGGAGACACCGGCTTTTAGGGAGACAAATAACTGTCTCCCTAATGGCGCAGCCAACCTGAGGCAAAAAATTATTGTCGCAATTTGTTGCTCGTGCAGGTCTAATTAATAAAAAAAATACTGAAATTGGTGGAAAGGAACAAGGGAAAATTTGGTTAGGGCACATTTAAGGGTAAGTTTAAGTGCACAAGTCTATGGGAAAGTCTCCCTAATCACCCATTCCCTTATTATTATTATTATTATTACTACATGTATTATCATTATTATTTATCGTTATAATTTTTTAGCAGCCTTGTACGGCAACGGGACCTATTTCGCGGCCAAAGCTAGCTTCTCGGCCAGATACGCTAAACCGAACGCCAACAACACAAAGCACATCTACGCCACCAAAGTCCTAGTGGGAGATTTCACCAAGGGTGCCCAGGATATGAAGGTGCCCCCAAACAAACCCAACACGACAGATCAGCAATACGACAGTGTGGTGGACAACGTGGGCACGCCCAGCATATACGTCATCTTTCACGATGCCCAGGCGTATCCAGAACACCTCATTAAATTCAAGTAGATGGAACAGCCGCCAGAAATTCTTTTGCATTTTCGATAGATGGGTGAAAATCTTATACGATTGGTGTCAACGGCCTACCAGTCCTTACCAGATCCTCTTAAACTCAGTAGGCACAGGGAGCCCTTATGAGTCATGTCGTCACCAAAGTTATAGAACTTTATGGGTGAAGGCAACACTTAAACTGTTGTGGAACTTCTACCCGTTGTTCAATTACCATTTGCATTTCTTACCGTACAACTTCCGGTTTGGTGACGTCATCACTGAGTAGTCTCTCAGATATAATCTGCATGTCCTAATCTTCAAATAGTTGGTCTATATTCCCACGGAATGATAATTATTCAAATAAAAATACATGTAAATGTAATTAAACACAAAAAGGACGCAAGAGGGCGCTGTTATAAGTGATAACGCCATAAAAACCACAGTTCTAAACATAATGACATATTTAAGAATTGGAAAGCAGTTTTATGATTAGTAAATACTCGTAAAGACATTTAAATTTGAATTTCAGGTTACCCTTAAGATAAAGGTTCTAACAGCCGAGAAAAAAAAAGGAATTTAACCATAAAATGTACATCAAGTTTAAGATCTGTCTGTTCACAAAAACATGAAAGCTGTGCTTCATTTGATTGAGAAGAGGTGTTGTAAAACATTCAATTTTAGGCCACTGTATTCCAGATGACGACATTATTGATTTCAGTGTGACTGAACATGTGTTTGCATGCATGATTGTCCGTGCTACTGGCATTTGAAAAGTTCATGAGGGTCTCATGTGAATTGAGTGGAATTTTGCGATTGCTTGATTTCGACCATCTGGTCAAAATGGTCATCAATGAAATTAGTTTAACAACCATTATTGTCAGTGACTGCTTCAATATATTGGCCTTTGAATAAAACAGAAAATTATTTTCAGTGTTCTAGTTATTTTGCGTTTAGCATGTATGTACACTCAGCATATAGGGATTTAATTTGCCGATTATCCTAATGAATAATGGTAGTCAAGTATAGTTTGATGTAAACATTCATCTTATTTGAACAATTAACTCTTCTGAAGCAATGAACAGCGAACTTTGAGAAAATGATCTTTACAGTTCTAATCCTATTTTTAAAACATTATTCATTGGTTAAGGGTAGGCCTTTACTTAGTTAATATTGTCTTTAAATTGTTTTTAGTGGGATTGAATAAACTATTTTGTGCTTCAAGATGACTTGAATTTGACAATCAATGATTTGCCGAATATTTTAGACAAAAATTGTTAACTACACACGGCATGTACACTAGAGCACCAATTTTGAATAAATTGAGCAATATTTTTGATTGGTTTTGTAAATACTTATATTGTGAACGACTATTTTAAGTGTGATTCAATATATTCGTTAAAAGATTCTTTGCTTCGTTAGCCAATAAATCAGTTTGTGTTCGTACATTATATTTCAATTAATTATGATTATAGAGAGCCATCACTTGCAGCCAGCCGTGTGTGTTTTCATGCTTTTTCACTTCCGTATGCTGTCTTCCTGTAATTTGAGTAATTTTCAGAAATTGATGGTTCGTATTTATGCTTACACTGACAATTTATAGACGTCGGGGACTTATCAAGTCAGGGAGACTAGTTGGCTTGCTCCAATTCACGAATGTGTAACCGATTCCAAACAAAAAGGTGGACTAATTAAATTTAGTAAATTGGGGGCAGTACTTGAAAAAAAGTCAGGTTTTTCCAACGATGGTCGGCCGACTATTGTTGGAAATTGTTTAAAAAAAATTCACCTTTCTTGAAAATGACAGCACACTAGGTCCGATGAACTCACAAGATGCATGACACTATTATTCACTTAAAGTCATGTGAGGTTTTTCTTAAAAATATAGTAGATTTGTATTTGGATAAACGCTGTATGTTACCTTTAAACAAGACATTGATTTTGTTTAATGTAATCATGTTTAACCATTACGTTAAAATTAATGAAAGGTTCTCGAGCTCTGAATTTTGTCGACGAGACATCTGATATTATTAACAATAAACATTCTGGAATGAATCTTGCTTTGAAAGTCTCAATTTACATGATTGTCTTTCTCAAACAACCTGAATAAAATAAACTATTTTCAACAAAGTAAATGTACACAAACTAAACATTCTCAGCAACATCAACTCCTTATAGTACACGATGGTAAAAAGTCAATTAAAAATATAAAAAAAATGTCACAACCTGTGGCTACCGCCAACAAAAATATCTTATAGCCAAAAAAAGGTCCTTTTTTTATAATACGATATACTAATTTACATAAATATAAGTCATTTTAAAGAAACCCTGCTGTTTCCATGTATTTCATGAGTTTGGTTCAAAGTTTATGGATTCTTGCAGACAGAGCCCGAGTGGGGCTAGCGGGTTGTACTCCGATGTAAAAACAGTGTATATTGCCAATTGGTTTTAATTTATGACATACATGAACACACAAGTGCATTTCTATACATACTTTTTCTTCACTATTGGACAGCAATTTTCACGTTTATCAGACTACGGGCACGATGGACACATGTGGTCTAGCGGTACGGTATGGCGTAGGATTCATGATCGTGGGATTGTGGGTTTGAGCCCTGCCGCGGCCATGCGTGTTGTGCCCTTAAGTAAGGCGCTTTACCTCAATTACTCCTCACAACCGAGGTGTTAAATGGGTACCGGCATTATTCAATTAATGCTGGGACGGTAACGGACTCGCTGTGGAGGAGGTGTGGCAATCCCCTAATACCAGCATTTCATGGACTTGAGTCTGGCCCAATCGCTCCGAAAGAGCTGGAGATGGGCACTCCTTTCCTGTTACCACAGGTGCGTCCCCTTTACTTTTTATCAGACTATGTAGAGTGTTCGAGCTTTCATTTCCTAACGCTGTGTAAAACGTACAGATTGTTATATATCCTTAACGCCACAGAGGTCATCCATGTTTCCCTGTAAACTTCTCTCTCTTACCAACGACGAATAGTACTGTTTCCATAAGTCTCTATTTCAAGTCTGTGGTTGTTATGTGCACGGTCCGGCGTGCATCTTTAGTACACCGCTCATATGCAAACGGTACAGAACGTCAAATTCCCAGTTAAAGTTGTGGACACCTTTGGAGATTTTGAGCCTGTCGTAGTAATGGTAGGTTACTGGACGGTGATTGGGGCCTTTGGCAAACGGCCAAAAGCCGTAGAGATCGGTGGAATCGCAAACAGACAGTGCCACCGACGCGAGGTAAAAACCTGCAGGTGGGGAAAATATGACGTACAATTCGGTCAATGATTAAACAAAACCACCCAAATCAACTGTGAAACCGATTCGCCACATAGAGGTATCTAAACTCAGGCTTAGTCTGACAGACGTAGATATTTGGCAGTTTAATCGTGAAAACGAAAACGTCGGACAATGGCGCAGACGGGACTTAAATATCAGTTACCGCGAGTCGTCTATACAGAAATCTACCTTAAAAAGATCGTAAAGCGGCTATATCGTTCTGTATGTATTGATTCTCAGGTTCACTACTACAGGTTAATACCACCATTCGGCTTCTGGAAACGAAATCTTTTGAAAAACAGCGGTACTGGTTGGAATCAACACTTCCAAACGTCAAGGTGGAAGCTGTTCGGCCAAAAACATTCAGTAAGCTCATGTGCCTAAGAACATATCCGGCGTTGACGAGCTATACATCGCGTGACTCCATGATAACCGTGTCTGTTAAGTGGATTGCAAAATTCTGCGCTACGCAACTTCATTGAATTATTTATAAGATGGAATTTGCATCAGGGTGATGTATATTCATTTTAGGGTTTTCTGCTATATCAGATTCGAACCAGCCAGCCAATCCCAGTGGCGAGACGTCTGCACTTGTAAGCAGCAGGTCGTGGTTTCGAGTCTCACCCACCCAAGTGATTTTCCTCAAAATCACTCGGGACAAGACTGAGTAACAGTGTTTTCTAACATACGTCGGTGAAGTGCAAATCCAATATTGAATCAATGGAATTGGGTACCGTCTGTAAGGCTAAACATTGGCGTGACAAAAGACTTCATGTAAAGCAGTCTTCAAGATGAGGGGCTAACATTAAGTTCAATGACAATGAATAGATGTACAAAAAGGTCAACTCCTGCATACGTCCAGCGCAGAAAACTACTGCTATCTCGGAGGGCCATGCCTGCCTAAGGGTGTACATGTATAACGGCTGGGAAATGGTAAAAACGATGCTCACCTGTTGTCATTCGACTTTGAAGGCCCATCTCCCTCCACATGTCTTGAAGACCTCTGAAGTGGTCCGGATTGATGATGAGTCCCCGTGTGGTGGAGTCTTTCTGGCGGAGCAGCCGCAGGGCCAGCATGCTCGTCCTATATGCGTTCATGTTGACGCCATAGACTGGTATGAGAAGATCTCCGTAGGCCTTCATATCTCTCAGGAATCGGTTCCTATACCCTATGTCTCGTAACCGTCTGTATCTGTTTAATGAATGAAGATGACGAGTTAATGGACATCATGTCCGCTGATAGGAAATGAGCTTTTCATGCTTAAGACAACGACAGGATTTTTGTTTAAAAAGTTGTGATTTAAATAATTCAGCCTGGACTGCTCAAACTGTGACGAGTAACCACGTGAGTAAACACGTATGGTAACTATACCAGACTCAGAGTGTTAGGCCAAAACAAAATAGACTATAGTTCTGCTTCCGATTACATGGACTCGAAAATGGGGTAGGTACGTAGGGATTTTGGGGGGCAAATTTGTTTTGTGTACGATCATATGGAGGCATCAGCGTGTAGTCAAAAAGAAAATAGAGTACGGGCTGTCAGAAAGGGTAGGTAGGTTAACCGGAAGACATAATTTCTACTGCGTATCGGTTCAAAATAGGTAGGTTAACCGGAAGCAGAACTATTTTTTTTGGACCGAAGCCACTTTCATTTTCAACCTCGTCTACACATTTTGTGACAAAATATGGCCTTTATTTGAATATCCACAATGGTCAAGTCTACAAGAGCGAGTACAAATGATGCATACTTGATGTCGATGACACCGCCTGGATTAATGGAAGTCAAGTTGGACTTAGTCCCTGCATGCTTTTGATATCCCTTCAACGGAGGTGTGTTGCATCTAAGGGCAAACAAACAACAAGGGAAAACTGTTCACCGTTAACAGATAAAGCTAGACTCAAAACACAACCGTAGCCTGCCCGAACCGTCAATCAAAATGTAATATACCTCACATTTGTCTTATATGCACGTATGATGCAGTCCTTCATTCAATTACGTACATTTCTTTGTTCGCGCACCCACAGCTTCCCAGCGGCGTGCCAAGTTTGTTTTGGTTGGGGCCTAAATGGCTGATTTTTCAGAAAAGGTACCAGTAAGCCTAGTCTATTTGTCTCATAGATTGTTCAAAGTAGCAGGGTTACTTTCACTGGGGGTGGACTGCTATGATTTCTTTCTTTCTCTCTCGAAAGGTGCGCATGTCATAGGAGCGGGGGAAGGTCCCCCCTCCGCCACGCTGGATGCGGCACTGCAACATCCTTAATACATGTATTCATAAATGATCAGGATTTCAGTCCACTTCCAAGATGTCATGTAATTAAGTCAGTGGATCGAAGGGATCTCATAATAATTAAATTGGCGATCTTACCTGAATACGAAGTCAGAACTGTCAATCTCCTTCCCACAGTAACTACTTGCAAGAATACCACCGTTCCCAACAACACTACATCGTTTCAATTTCGAAGTTGTGAATGGTGATTGCTGAAAAAACAATTCAAGAGTGCAAAATTCTTATGAGGTCACTTAAGGTGAGCATTTGAAATATTTATTCCTTTGGCCCAGTTTGACATTACAACTAAGCAAATTAACCATCCTATGCAACATACATTGTGTGCCCAGTTGTTAATTCTTTTAGTCAAAATCATCAAGTGACTATAGTTACGAGCCTATCCTACATAAGCAGGATTGACTATCTGTGACTTATGTAACTTGATACATTAATATTCGCTGTAACTTGATACAGCTATGCTTTGACTGCAGGTGATTGATAAGCCAGCTGTGCATTCCACTTGCCTGCTTTTGTCTGTTGACTGAATTAGACTAAGTTGCATGAAAAATGATCTGACTGTTGGTGACTAGCAAAAGGCATGGCAGTGGAAGAGTTGATTGTTTGACTGTCTGTGACTGTTCACATAGTAGGAGAGTTAATATAGACCGAGAGAAAGGTCACGTTTTTCCTTGTGGTACCGTGCCGTGCGTTCTTCGTTCATCGTACGCAGTGGCGGATCCTAGATTATCCCAGGGTGAGGATAAGGCATTGAAGGCCTTAAGCAAAAGCCTTACTCAATGAATCTCGATTTCCAATATCGAAGGACAACATTGCTCATGGAACCCAAGGACAATTGATATACGTTCTATAATAACTAACTTTTTTTTCATTCGGAGAGATGAATATTACCTAATCATCTCCATTGGACCCACGCACCCTTGTTGCATGTGTTCTGAGGCCGGGTTTTATGTTTTAGTGTCCAACTGGGAACACATCAAAATACGGATCATACAAAACAAGATTAATAAAGTTTCTGAGAATTGTGTTCATACCTCTGGAAGCATTCGATATACTTCATCCGTCAGGTTATGGACTACACTTGGGTTTATGGCAAAGGTTAAATTTTGCCCGAGAACCGCGAAATTCTTTGTTAGGACGGTGAATTCCGTGGCATTCAAAACGCTGTTGAACTTACGTCTGGATTGAAAGAAACGAAAACATGCAAATAGCGATGTTGCACGCGTTGTTTACTGTGAGCAATTCATGAATGATGGCAACACGTTTATAATTTTGTTTGGTGCTAATTTGAAGCAACCGTAATTCAGTTCAGGCAATTTGAACTGGACAGTAGTACACGTTAATGTTACACATAAATACATGATTTGTAAAACAGCATAGTGTGTGACCAAAATGGTTTAAACGTTTCGATTACACAAGCTATAACAATTTTTGTTGAACGGATAACCGATCCGGTGCTCTACCAACTGAGCTATCCAGCCCTATGTTGGCGGTTCCGCATTATTAGTCACTCAGGTAACGGTGTTTTAATACACATTCCCTAATGAACCGCAAAGGAAAACTAATTAGGTGAATTATAACAGTTTTTGAAAAATTGAACAAAGAAATTGACTGGTATGGAGCGGGGTTTGAATGATTACATAACATTGTTGCCTTGTACAGAATCCGTTGCATATGTAGCATGCATTTCAAGCACACGCGACAAAGAGAAAACAAAAGGTGTAGCATGTACATGTACTATACGTTCTCCCTGCATCCTGCAGAACTGAATGGACTCGGAGAGGGGATTTGTCAGGTGAAAAATAAAAGATGTGTTGAGATAAGAATGGTCTTTATGTACATGTGTAATTTAAGAGATAGTTGGAGAAAGCGTCATTGGGAATTCCACCCGGAACTCCATCGGGGCTTTCAATCCATACGATGTTGTAAGGTTCGTTATAATTTACAGTTACGTACCTAATACCGGCTTTGCGTGTCTCGTTTACCGCCCAAGGCTTAGACAAATTGGCAATAACCTCTTCCAGATTGTAGCTAGATGTGTCGTTGGATCGTGCGCCTCCCTCCGATTCTGTCTGATTGTTGGTTGGCGCATGCGTGGTCCCATGTTGAGGCTTCAAGCTTATATCAAGAAGTAAAATGGACTTCGAGTAATATCAATGTTGGTACGAACTTTCGTAGGGCCTATATGTCATGGGAATTTAAACCTACGTTTTGCTCCTGGATCCTGCTCCAACCAGAGTTTCCTCTTGAAGAAGATCCTTGTTAGTTTCCTTGGATCCGGCAAAGGCAACTAGCAGCAGTTCAACCACACACACCGCGGCCAATACCAAGGCTATCAGTGCCCGCAGACGGGAGAATCGTCGCATCGCTCACTAATACCATGGGGGAAAAACAATAAGCCTATTTTCATTAGCAATCAATGCGAGTGTATCGTCGAGTTTTATTTTGCAATGACTGTGTACACTCCCATCCGAAAGGTCTGCAACAAACACCACACACGATTTGCTTGTCCAGAGCTAGCTCGGATATCTAGATCAGCGACAGCTTGGTGCGAAAGCGTAAAGGTATAGGCCTACAGTCGAACACCCTTTAAGGGTCCTTGGGACTTAACAACTTACCTTGTTATAAAAGGTACCTTGAATTTACAGTAATGGAAAAGAAAAGCATAGACTCTGAACCTAAAAATTGTGCTTGTTATAAAGCAGGACGTTGCACGTGATCTTCTTATTTTCAGGGTTCGACTGCATGTACATGTTTGTATTTTTTTATTATTATTTAATTTCCTTGGTTTTTGTTCACCCCTGATTGATCTCGTATGGTTAGTATTTTTTTTTTTTAACATCTTTCGTCTTTCTTTTAGGTTCTGTGCAATACCCCATTCTTCTTACAATTGATTACAAATATTTTGGAGAATGTCATAATCTGTAATTTTTGTTTATTGTTATTGAGTCTTGTGGTGTACTTATTTTCGCTCTTTGTTGTATATTGACGTATAGGTCTAGGCCTAACGAAGACATTTGGGAAGTTGATTATCTTTTAATTCTTTAGTTTATATTGAGTTATTGCTATTTAAGTGTCCAGTTAGTTGTTTTTATCGCCTGTTAGCTACCAACTTTAGATTTGTTTTATTTTGAAAGTTTGAAACTTATGTCTCGATTTCTATTTTTCTTGCATGGATAATTTTGATCTGTCTCAGGGCTTCTTTGAAAAGCAGAGCTGCCATGGACTGCCCTCACTGAAGATTATAATTATGGAAAGGAAGGACGCGGGAAAAAAATATTAAATTCAGCTTTTGCCCTCTAGCTTTATAATTGACGTTTTCCACAGTACAGGGTGAATAAAACAAAAACCCCGAAACCCAAATGTCAGGACTATTGTTTTTGTGAAGTTCTACATGTAGCACTTTCAAAATCTAGGATATGAAAGCCCAATTCATAACCTTTTTTTAGTACAAGAATCGTTCAAATCACTCATGCACTTTTCAAGTTAAGGAATTTTAAACACAACCACCGTTTTAAAGTTATGTCCATAGATCACAAAAAACTGTACGTTCTTTCAGCAAAAACGAAAACAACTCACACACATCCCTATGTGATTTGTTTTCGTTTTGCTGAAAGAACACTTACCTTTTTGTGATTCGTGGACAGAACTGCCCAGGATTGACGCGCCTTAATTTACAACAAAATCATTGGCATCAATAAGTGAGACTATACAACTTATGTGGTTAATATGTCCATGATCAAGCCATCTGCATATAAAGATTGCTAATGTTCCAGAGACGTTTTGCAGAATGGAATAACAATCTTCAAGTCCAAACTCGAAACTCTATTATCAAACATATTGTAGATGTCATCAGCCTCGTGCCTATTCATGTATGTAAGCGTCATAATAGGCCCTAGGCCTAGAGGCCTAGAATGTATGCCTAGGTTGCAATAGCTAACTCAGTTTGCAATAATACTATCCTCTATGAGTACAGTATAACCAGAGTGAAATTTTGATGTCAAACCTCCAGGGAACACGGGTTCAAAATTTGACTTAAGCAGTGAGTTAATAGGCATGGGTGCATGTTTATCATTGTTAGTATGCTACTGAAGGCAACAGAGGGTATGCACGGCCGTTTTCCCACATAAACATATATGCGAGAACTCAGTGAAGTCAGGGAGGTAGAGTTAGAATTCGACGTCCATGCATGAAGTCAAGGTGTGCAAATCTATTATAGGACTGACTCAGTCGTATAGGACGACCACGTCCTACGCATGGACCATATGGATTCTATAACATTACAGTTGCTTTGACACATCGAGATTTCACTATTTGAATGCGCAACACCGTTGTCTCAGTACCAAACGATGTCCGAAAATTTACCTTTAACTCTAGCCACATCTTCAACTTTACGCCACGCAAGATGCTGCATCTGTGTTCCGGTACTATCTCCCACATGTACATAGAGAGAGCAATGCGGAGGCTGTGTTCAGGGCGACATGGAGAGTCAGGTGAAGGTTCGATGGCTGCTCATCTGGGTTCCCGGTTCTCGTTCTGCACGGTTGGAATAATATGAATGAAGTCGGTCTATTGTGCAGCTGTTATTATGGGCAAGGCCTTTTGTAAAACCGCAAGGCCTACACTGTACTGCAGTGAGCACCGAATACACTGTATGAATCATTTATTACGGGGCCAACCAGCCGTTTGCCTGCGCCATATTGTACAAGAACTCCATGCGTTCAAAGGTCGGTGGCATTGTTTAATCACGCGCATGCCTATACATGTAGTATAGACTGGCCCAGGTGCTACATTCTGTGAATATGGAAATGCAACAACACACGAGTGCATTGTATACATGAGGTAGACAGGCTGACAGCCCTTCCAAAGGCATCGCGCGTCTAGTTGCTAGTGTCTTGGCAGGCGCGTAGCACGGTCATTTTTACTGGGGGGTAAAATTTTTTGAAAAGGGCACTAGCACATCCGTTGTGAAATGTAGACAGGTTTTTTTCTCCGGACACTTGGCCTCCGTAAAATCAAAAAGCGGACCACTTGTCGATGGGGCCGCTGTTCAAAACCGACAATTATGCAAAGGCCAATATATGGTGCTTTTCAGGGCGATACATGCGCGAAATTCTGAAAAAGGCACCCAAAACGGCAGATACCACAAAAAAGGGCACCACTTCTTTTTTAAAAAGGGCACTTGTTCATAAAGAAGGCACTTCGTTAAAAAGGGCACTCTTTACAAATTATTGGGGGGGGGGGTAAATCCGTTGAAAAAAGGGCATCTGATTTGAAAAAAGGCAGTCTTTACGAAATATTGGGGGGGGGGGGGATACCTCCCATGTAGTGCACCTATCACTGGCGCACTTCAAAGTTTCCCTCGACTTTTGCCAAACATCTTTGTTGAGGAATTCGTTAGGTTAAATCTTTTACCTTACTGCTTGTTGCAACCCTTCACGGTGAGCAATTTTCGTGTCATGAAATTTAGTCCGAAATTCAAAGTCGGTGCCATCTGAAAATCGGGCACTAAAAGTACATGCATGACTGAGTAATAACAATGGTGTGACGTCATTGTTATTTTCTTATGAATAAATATCGAACACGCTGAATAATCATGATCACTGACGATGTGTGCTGCAGATAAAAACACCATCTTCATCATCTTACGACAGTTCTGAAATGAATATTAGGTCAAAGAACGCCATTTTCGTATCATGCATATTGCGGCTTTTCTTTTTATGAACAAACACGTGCGACAACCGCAAATTCAATATTATAAACAAAGAAAGTGACTTTGTTTAATAACCCAGTTTTGTTTATGGATTGGAAACACCATTTATGATCATACAAATATAAACGATAGAAAACCACACACACTTAAATAAAGTTGATATACATGTATTTACTTAATATATCCCGACATTCTAATGCAATTAGCGGTGTCAATTACTTTTAAGGAATTACTGGATAAAGTGTAAAGGAAGTAGTAGCATTACGAAAATATGAGTATAAAAGTTGAGAATACAGTAAAGTGATCTATGAAAATTCAGCTGAACGAGAAATTTCGAAAGGAAACGGTGGGAAAGTGACAGGTTTTAATGCGGAATGTATTACGCTTGTATTAAAGAGTTCAAAACCCTTTCAAATTCACCACTGTTTACATTCTTCCAAAACTGAAAGTACTGCAATTTTCTGGAATGTGTGTCTTCTACGCTTCAGATCGTATAACAGAAGACCCTTGTGTAAACAATTATTCTCCATATTACTGGTAAGCACACTGAGCACATTTTTTTTTCTGAAGTGTGAGAGAGCACCCTTTAATTACAAGGATCGGGATGGTTATTCCATGTATTTTAGAAGTTTGGAAAAATAATTTAATTCGAAAGAATGTTCATCCCGTCCGGAGAAATGGATTCAAGAATGAATTGTTCATTTTAGCAATGTATTTTTAAAAACAAATGAAGGAAGTACTTCTTATGGGGAACATGAAAGGAAAAGCTACATGCATTTATAAACGGGAAAAAATACCTCATTGTCATTAATAATACTGTTTAGGGAATGTAAGCCTCATAACGCACACACAAATTCGAAAATGCTATTTCTCAGAAGAAAATCAAACTCCCAATTCTTCAGCCATAATAGTGTTTGCGATTGCTTCTGTTGCAATATTCAAAAACACAATGCAACATTTAAGGTCAAAATGCTGTTAACAGGTGTGCAAAAAATTCATTCAAACTTAACCCTCACCTCCCAAATCCTCGAAAATCCACCTTGCATATAAAGTGGAGGATTTCAAAGGATTGAGGTTATATGGCAAAAAAATGTATAGCTGATTTTGAAGGGTGTACTATGTCAAGGTCTTAGGTCTGACCTTGTGTTGTTTACGCTCAGCCGTGTATAAGTTTAAGCCTAGATTATACTTGAAATCCGCTGCACTGCTCCGGGATGTCACTGGCTCTGCCTCAACATATTGACAGTGATTGCTGGAGGATTTTGCAGGATTGAGGCGGTGGTCACCCCTCCAAGGAACACATTCAAGAAATAACGGATGATTTTGGAGGATTGAGGCTGTTTGTACACGGAAGCAGTAAAAGGATTTTGCAGGATTAAGGTTGCATCCTAACAAAAATGCCTAGGGGGTTAGCGTTAAGTCAAATGCATTTCAAATTTTCCTGACTTTTTCAAAACTGAAACCATAGACAGGATGAGGAGAGAAAATGGACAAAACAATTGACAGAAAGAAAACAAACCAGAATCATATTACATGGTGTTCAATAAAATAATTTACATGCTTTAAAAAAAACTAACAATTATATCTAAAAAAAAAAATTTAGGCTGTTTTATTTTGTTCAGCAGTTAGGAAAAAATACACAAAGAAATAATTGTGCTCGTATATGGTACGGAATATATTGCAAATCATTAACTTTTTAAGTTACATATAAAGTATAAATTAAATTGTTAGCATTTTGTAAAAATGATGTTATTTTCATATAAATGATGTTATTTTCAATATCTTTCTTGCAGTTTATTTCTAATTTTGTTCAGGTGTAAAATACTTTTTTAAAGTAGGGGGTACAAAATATACAAAAACAAAAACGCATTGGTATACAAAAAGCAATCAACACAGCTGACAAAAAAAAGAAGGTATTCACAGACAATGCATGGAACAAGAAGACTAACAAATAAAATATTTTAACTCCCCCCCCCCAAAAAAAAACCGTTGTTGCTTCAGAACATGGCAGTAAGCCAATGAGCACATTTTTCGCACAAATGTTTTCAGTGAACACATTTTTCGGGTTTACAATTTGCATAGAAAACACCTAGAATGAACAGTGTCTTCCTGAAATGACATCACAGCAATAGCGCCCTCAGTTCTCCGAAAGAGCATGGACATTTTTTAATGCTTAGAGAGCACTTTTTAATAATATTAACCAAAAAGGGATGTCAAATAGTTTTGATTCATTTAAGAGGCTTAGAAAATTGGGCAAAATATGTTCCTATAAAAAATATTCACTTCACGGTCCCTTTAAGCTGTTAATGTGTTCAGCAAGAGATTGTACATTCCAACCAAGAAGAAAACAAAACTTCAGTTGATACAGTTGTATAGAGTACTGATAATAGGTGATTGGGGCAGGAGGTTTACAGCATCTAGCTGTGTTAAAGTAAATATTAATGTAAACCTAACCCCAAGTGAGAGCTCACCAACCTAGAAGCTGCTCGCATGTCTCTGACTTCCATCCAGAGAACAAGACAGGGATATGAATACACAAGAGTCTTAGCAGCTTAGGTTTAGGTTAACGGAATGTATTATGTCATGGGACAGAGAATCCACAAAGAATTGGTTCAGGATATTCTAGAGGACCATCTCCCTAATTGTGGCAGTTCAACCAGGACAGAGGGGCTCTTTTGCCACCATGAAATTCTATGGCACTCCCTCCCCTTAATAAAATGGTAAAAAATATCCTTGAGTATTAAATCCACGTCACTGATTCTAGTTTTCTAGAGAACTCATATTAGTGACATTTAAATGATAGCATTGAATAAATAAGATATGATTTGAGTAATAAGTACTGAAGCTGCAATTTTATGATGTTGGAAGTTTACCACTGCCATCTCACTGGAAACAATTACAGCAGGGAGAGCTGCTTTCCTCCTCCCAGAATTTATCGGGAACAGAGCGGGCGAACTCTCTGGCCGTGCGACTGTTTCTTCGCCTGCACAGGAGAATACCAAGAAGAAACTCAGCATTAGCTACGGGATGCTTCAGATGTGGATGGGGTTTGTCAGATGGCTTCCCTGTCCGGAATTGGGACCTCTCCTCCCCGGACCCAGTGGATCTTGTGAAGTCTCCAGAAACACTGTAGAAGAGCAGGTCATCGACGTCGCAGAAGTAGTAGAAGTGCTGGGTGTCTGCGGCAAACAGATGCCGTGACTCCGGTGGCTTGGTCTGCCTGGAGGGCAGGGAGGAAGACTCTTGCTTACTGGAGGACGATGAGGAAGAAGGAGATGGTTGGACGTTGTTGGTCCTTGAGAAGGCACCTCTCAGGAGCTTCCTTGATAGAGGAGTCTTAGGCTGGGACTGGGGTGGTGAAGTCCATCTTGGATGCTTCTGCTCACCTGGGCTAGCATCTCTTCCAGAGTCTTGAGAATGCAGCTGGCTAGACGATGTGAGAGCATCCTGCTTGACGGCATCATCTGAGTCGACTGTGGCAGACACGTGGACGTCAGCTTTCAGCACGATGGTCCTCCGGAACCCCTCCTCTGACTTGGAGGTGGAGCTGTCATCGCTGGACTCCATCTCCTCCGAGTAGAAGTCTGAGATCCTGCGTTTGGTGTGCCGGCGTCGCTCCTGCATCATGGCTGAGGCTTCCAGGCTGTCCTCAGAGCTGTCGTTGGCCAGGTCTTGGCTGTGACGCCGGCTGATGGAGGTCTTAGGAACGCTGTCGATTGTGACAACTGGGTAAGGAGTTGTGTCTGTCACACTTGTGTCCGAGGAAAACCCAATGTCATCGTGGAGTACATCTGTGAATATGCAGAATGAAAACTCAATATGAACGTTTTACTTTTAGAAAAGCTTTAAAGACCAACATGACCATCAAACTTTGAATTCAGTGATGCTATTTTCAATATTACACTCCCACATGATTTTTTTAAAATGTCATCGTGGAGTACGTCTGTGAATATGCAGAATGAAAACTCAACAATATGAACAGTTTGCTTTAAGACAAGCTTTTAAGACCAACTTGATCCTTAAATTTTGATTTCAATAATCAGGCATGCAATTGGGGATTTAGAAAAAAACGAGAAAATTCTAAACCATACAAGACTTTGTACATTGTTTTTCAATTTGTAATGGCATTCATGAGAAGTAAAAAATGAGGAAATCAGCGGATCCGCGGAAAAGTTGCATGCCTGAATAATACTATATTAACCATGATTTTTTTTTGCAAAAGTGTCCACACATCAATTTCAATAAAACGCCATTGTATTAGTGTGACGATACAATGCCACGAGATTTGGTGAATAGACAATGGGAATATGGTGCAACGTAGATTGGTGTAATTTTTAGAGCTGTCGAAATCTACCATTTCATCACACTTTGCACCCTTCCTACTTTTGGGAATGTCCCATGTTAAATTTGAACACTGCTGTGAAGAGCATCCTGACCTAGGACTGACCTGATATAGGATGGCTACGTGATGCCACATGCTGGATGAAGCTTTGATCCAGCAGGTTCTGCGCCACCTGTTGCGCCTTGTGTTTATATTTTATCCTTTTGCTTGCTGGCTGTTCTGCTCGAGAAAAACAAAACTGACGTTCGTCTATTTGTATTCATCATCAACAAACACCGACCTCTTAGAGTGGTGAAGTAAAAACAAGGGACAATTACAGTCAAACAACTTTATAACAAGGTCCTTGGGACTTCACACATTACCTTGTTATAACAGGTACCTTTTTTTAACAGTAATGGAAAACAAAGAAAAACAAAGACTTGGGACCTAAAATTGTGCTAGTGATAAGCAGGATGTTGTATTAACAATACTTGTGTCAGACCTCGTACACACGAGAACCTGCCTACTTTTTGTCAAATAAATAAACCCAACAAAAAAATGAACAATGTGCTTGTGCCTCAGTTTAAAATTGATTGAGATCCCTCACATTTTGATTAAATTTCGTCTGATAGAATGTTGTATCAGACATGTTTGTGCTTGAAAAGCCATTTGCACTGAAACGGCAACTTATAAGGAGACATTTTTTTCGTCATTTGTTTTACATGTACCTTAGGGAGACACCCGACATTAGGGAGACAATTCAATGTCTCTCTAATGTCACAACTCCAATTTGGAGTCAACATTTTACAGTCGCAACTAGGCTAGATCGATTGCTCGTGGTCCAAAACATAAATATACAAACATTTGTGGGGTAGGATAAGGGAAAATTGGGGTTAGGAGTCATAACAGTTGGGAAAATGTTGTGCACAACCATATGGGAATGTCTCCCTAAGGTACAATTTCCCGTAATATTAATACATGTTATTATAACTATTAAAGTAGCAATAGTAGCACTTGGCTTACCAACAATGAAATCACAAACACTTCACTATTGACCAATGTTTTTGTTTCTGTTTCTGAAAAATAACTGCAGTAAAGTGTCCAGCATAAGGACATAAACCCCTCAACCCCTGCCAAGTGAACAAGTAAAAAGTAAAGTCTGTCACGAGCCAATGTGGCCCATCAGGCCGGCGTTTATCTCTAGTTTCAGTAGCATGAAACAACTAAGAATATTTCTATCCCCCCCCCTAGATGGGATGCTAGTCAATCGCAGGTTACTCCCCAGGTACACATTTATACTCCTGGGTAGAGAGAGGCAAGCAGGGCTGAACTGGCTTGCCCAAGGATACAGCATATGGCCAGCAGCTGGATTTGAACCCCTGACCCTCTGACCGTGAGTCAAAAACACTAACCACTGGGCCAAGGAGACAATTTCAGAGGAGATCCTAAATACTGTGAACCAATGGGCTACACCCTTGCCTTGTAGCAGTACATACCTTGGGCTTTGAAGTAATGCACCATGAGCCACATGACCATGTGATGCCCAGTGAAGCATTTCCGCTGCTTATGGAGGGCCTGGTACATGGTCTGCAGGACTGCTGGAGGTAAGGGGTCGGAGCTAGCCTCCGCACCAATCTCCTGTGGACAGATACACACATTCTAGGAATGATAATAAGCCTCTTGCAAGTCAAAAGGGTTATGCAAAGCTCCGCTCCGACTTCAGCTGTAGGACATTTCTTAAGACTTCTGCCTTGGGGAGGGGGGGGGGGGGTTGGGTTCTCCATATCCATGCAGATCCATGTGGTGCTTAACCATTTGTACATTGTATTATATTGTATTCAACCTTTGACAGATATGTAAACACTGCCACATGCTCAGCAAGCTCAGTGACCTTTTGGACTCGACAATTCCATCTGAAAAGGTGGATCAAGCGTCAGTGGGAAAGCGACTTGTGGTTTCATTGTGGTAAGATAACGATCACACCAAAACGCTAGATGTTGATCCATCTTCTCCCAATTCAAGTGGGAGCATGGTTTTGGACTAACCTGGATAATGGTGACAACAATGATTACACACTAAATGACAAATAGGGCTATTGTGCTTACCCTGTTCAGCTGCTTTTGGTAGAGGCGGATCAGATTTTTACTGGATAAGCTGTGAAGTTGGAGCATGTTCAGAACAAGTTCCTGCAACATTAAACACAAGGATTCATTCATCTATCATTCACAGACAGTCAAAATTTCGTCCATTTCCCCTGGCATGCATTTGTATATAGGCTAATAAAAAAAAATCTGATCACATTCGTGTAACACTGTGACAAGGAAAATTCCACCAACACACAAAAGAGGCAACAGGTAGATGGTTACATGTACTTTATTGACTTTGGCTGCTGTGATGGTGTAGCTGAATTTGCCAGCTAGATTCCTATAATGAACACAAATATTTTTAAAACCCTACATGTAAGTTCACCTAAAGCTACAAAATACTACTAGTAGTAAACTGTAGTATGCAGTATTAGCATACATAATTTTTTTTGTAATCTACTTGTTTAAATAACGGGTCCCAATTACTTACTGCGGGCTTAACTAGCTGGTCGATCCCCAGACCCTCTCCCTTGGCATGCAGGAACTCAATCAAGTGCTGAAAACGTTGGAAAAAAAAGAAAGAAAGTATGATCAAACCATTTTTGTAACGACCCAGGAATTAGCTTTCGACTCGTCGAGCAATCCATTCGCTTGAGGCTGTGTTGCATGATGAGGCATTCACCACCCAATTCGGGTGTCCGCACATGTGCAACGAGACGCATAATCTCAGGTGTAATATAAATATTCATATTCTCCTGATTCTTAGCCAATCAGAGTGCTCTGTCCAACTTTGGTAGCACTTTCAATGCCTTGTGAACAAACATGTGTGCAGATTATTCAAGTCGGTAATTGCAAATCGATGTACACGCATATGAGGCATATGTAGGTTTTAAAGGTTTAATTGCAAGGCCTGCTACACCTACCGAGATGGACCTCGACAGCAGCAGGGCCTGGCTGTCAGCTTGCTCCCTCAGTGATCTCAATCCTTCCACTTCCTGCTCAAAGTCCCTCACTAGGCACAGCCAGAGCCGCTGCATGAACAGCGCCAGGCAGGGCGGGGTCAGCCATCGGCCTAGGGCCTCACGGTGGTCGAACAGGCAGCTGGTCAGCGGTTGAAGCCTGTCCGCGATGGCCAGGTCGTCGAACTCCGGGCTGAGGAGGACATGCAGCGCCTGCTGCAAGACTAGATTCAGCTATAGGAGGAAGAGGACGATAACAGTTAAAAAACAAACTCCATTGATAAATGGAAAATGTGAGAAGGGGATGTGATTGATAATATACATCTAAGAAAAGGTCTGAAAATATAAGATTTCGTGATTTATGTCACTCTGTAATATACACAAAAGGTTTTAGAAGTCTGAAAAATCTGGTAAGAGAACAATCCCCAATGGAAAATCTAAGAGCTTTTATCTACTAAGTACCAAGTTCATAATCTGAAAAGGAAAGAAGGCAGTGATTTGAGACAATCCAGCCGAGAGCAAGTTCAAGTGATGAAGACCAAAGTTGAATAGTAGTTGATTTGTGACATACCTTACAGCAATGCACATACGCCTGCGCACTAATACCAGGTAGCAATGTGCATATGCCTCTGGTATAACGATAGTCTAAAAGTCATCACAAAACTTATTGGTACTGGCTCCCTGCTGTGCTTTAGCATGTGCAAGGTTATCGGTTACCAACAATCCAACTGTACATTGTGGTCCGGTTCCAAATAAACCATCCTTCGTTCGAGTAAAATCAGTTGAACTATGGTTAATTGCATATAATAAAAATAATAATAATACTGGAGTCTTAGATAGCGCAGCGCATGTATCTACCAACAATTAGGTACTCAAGGCGCTGGAAATTATGTCTATTATTAGAGACAGGTGAATGAAGTACATGAGAAATATGAGACCCATTATGTAGCACCTTTATAAGGGTTTACAAGGTGCTGCAGCGCATTAAGCAGCCACTGGCAGAAACACCGGGGCAAACCCCTTCTCTTAACGATAAGTGTTACTGGGTTCTTTAACGTGCATTACACAACACACAGGACCTACGGCTTAACGTCCCACCCGAAGGACGGAGCAATAATGGTAAAGTGCCTTGCTCAAGAGCACAAGCACTATGTTCCCACGGTCAGGATTCGAACCCATGTACCAAGGCACACGAGTCGAACACCGTAACCATTGGACCACAGCACCCCATTTCCTGCCCAAAGTTGCTCCTCAATATACCTTGTATGCCAACAGCTCTATCTGCGCCTGAAGGATGCTGTTCAATTGGTATTTGTGCTCTCCTTCAGCCAGAGTAGATCCCTCGATGTCGGCATGCTCTATGGGCTCATCGTAGATCCTGTTCTGGAGATCATCGTCCGAGGGAATGGGTGATGGAGGCCGTCCTCGAAGGCCTGATTTATTAAAAGAAGATCACTGTGTCACTGCCCACAGACAAACAGCATAGCAGGATGACACATTATCTTCAAGCCAAACTCAATGCTCGATGCTGATTGAACACTGCATGTTGCACTTTCTTAGAAACTGTGGGTACCCATCGCGTTCAAACTTTCGAACATAACAATACAAACATGAAGCAGCTTTGTTGACTAATTGGGAGAGCACAATGGTAAACATCAAACAAATGCATGTACTCCAGAACGCCTTTGGCTATTAAATGTAGTTAGTAAGAACACCAAAAAAAAAAAAAATTACTCACGTGATTGCAACATGCTTGCCAGCTGGGGTAAAAGACACAGTATGCTCCATGTGTTGTTGATTCTCACACACATCTAGTATTAACAAAAGAAGTGATTATAAAAAACAACATTTTTTTAAGTACTATTTGGTGCACAAGACACTACATCTTAATTTTTTTCCTGTAAACTGGGCCCATAAAACATTCCAAAAATCTGCTCATATTCCCATTAAGTTTTGAGGACGTACATGTAGGAACGCTCCCCCCCCCCCCTAAAAAAAAAAATAATAATAAATAAAGCAAGGCTAGTAAAGCTGATCCAAGCTGTGTTGTGCCAAGTTGGAGAAACAAAGATCTCGGCCATCGAGTGACGAACAATTTGGAAACTCGGTACATGCATAGAGCAACTCATCGCGACAAAAGTTGAAGGGCCCCCTCCCCCCCGGCCCTTTTAGGGTTAATGAACCCTCTAAACTTGCGCGGTTATCTTTATCTACCTTTCTTGTTATGGGTTCATGTTTGTCACACAGCAATGCGGTGTCTCTGTTCGTGTAATAATCACATGGTAGGTTACTCTCTTTCTCATGTCGACACCGACTCAGCATTGACTCCTGGCGATTCAGCAGAACACCGTGAAGCACCTGCAGAAAAAAAAAACACCGTTGGCAAAACTTGTAAGATTCTTGCTAAGAGTCAAGTCTCAAAAGTAACAGTTTCGCTATTTGCTTACAAGCAAAGCACACACTGCGGGTGAATTTGAAACCCAAATATTGAATCGAAATCAACCTGATGTAAATTCCATCTTTTGAACAGTTTTTAAAAAAATGGCTTCACCTTTGATTCCACAAGCTTGTCCACTTGGTCCTTTTCGGTAGCACACAAATCCATGGCCAGCAAGTTGTTTGCATACAGACTCAACAATTTGATGATAGCCTGGGGAAAAATAGGGAAGCAGTATGAAAATCAGTTCCTCGCTACAATTCCATACAGGTGCATGTATGTATCCCAAAAGGCGTTTCTGACGGTCCATCTGGCCCAAGCCCGTAATTCAACCTTGGGCAATATTTTATGGAGCAATCAAACAAAGAATATTATTTGCTTTTATAGCAAGAATGTCATGTGATAAACAACAGCTGTTTTTTTGATAAGCAAATAAAAAGATGTTTCTCCTAACAATTGGTCCAAGTTGGGATCAGAAAAGTTTAAAGGTAATATACAACATTTCCAAACATCCAAAAACAAAATTACCAAATTACCACGAAAAATTGACTCTACGTGACTAATAGTCTCAGGCATCCTGTGAAATCATGGCACTGGGGTGTGCGGTCATTTTCACAAAAAGTGGAATTTTTGCATCAATTTCAGCTGCACCACGTTGGAAAAAAACTAACTTTTTATTCAAATACTGCCCCCAATTTACCAGATGTATAGTCCTCATTTTGTTTAGTCCTCAATTCCCTAACATCTATAAATTGCTCCATTTTGTAATAACAGTAATAACATTTTTTGCTACTTGCAATTGGTCCAAGTTGGGAGCAGAAAAGTTTAACTCAAAGCAGCAAACTGTGTCTACTTTATGCAAGGTAGTGTTGAATCTTTTATTCTAATCCTGAGACTCACTACTTATGATCCTTACAAAACTTATGGAAACTTCTACTTTCTTAGAGAAACGTCCTTCCTGAAGTGACAGATTTGCAACTCTTAGCTCACCTCCTCTGTTATCTCTTTCAGCTCTGTCTTCATAGCTCCCACTCGTACAAAGAAGGACCTGACACTGAACGACCCCGTGAAGTCTCCGTCCGGGCCCAGGGGAATCTCAACATCGGCGGGGCACAGGATGCCAATCAGCTTCTGCATGAAGCCGATGATTCGCTGCGTCATGAACATGACGTCCACAAGGCTGGAGGAGAAACCGGCCGGCCGGCTGTCCTCCGGCTTCACGGAGTCCCTCTTGAAGGACACCGAGGCGGCACGGGAGGTAGCCCTCGGGTCAGAGGATGATCGACTGACTGGTGCAGATGACGGGGCGGACAAGAAGGCCGGTGACGATGGGGAACTGGAATGTGGAGTGGTTATTACGGCCGGACTAGTCGACTCTTCTCTTTGCTGGACCCCACTGCTGTCTTTCTTGGAAGAATCTGTGCAAGACTCTGATAGTACCTCAATTTCTAAACGTTCTGTGGTCACCACATTCGTTGGAAACACCGGATGTGGGCTGGCGTCCGCATCAGGACTTGTCTCTGAGGGCTGTATTCTGTCTGGACTAGGGCTTGTCTCCACACTAGGAGTGCTCTCTGGAATGGGACTACTCCTAGTCTCCGTTCCAGAACATCTCTCTGGACCAGGACTAGTTTCAGTTCTAGAAGTACTGTCTTGCTCAGAAGTGATATCTGCAACATGACTAGGCTCTGAACTAAGACTAGTTATTACATTCGCCTCCTCTACAGTGATATCTGGACTGGGAGAACTTCCATTTTTGTCTTCATCATTACTGTTATTATTCAAGCTATCCATGGAGGTTTTGGTTTTGTCTTTCTGTGTTTCATCCAATACTTCATCACTGTTAGTCCTTGTTGTAACTTGGACGTCCCGTGCAGAGATAGATGATTCCATCTCTGATATTTTCCCGTTTTTCGATGGTACATCTTCATCAGACCCGGAGGTACATACATCAGCCTCTTTTGGGTGAGAAACTCCCGCGACTGTCGAGGACGTGTTTCCCTGATCTTGAGTTTTCGGTTCCAGCTGCCTGCTGGGCGAGTAGCTCACAACTCCAGCTTCTACGTTTTGGAATCGTATCTCGCTGCCATTATCGGCCTGTTGTAAGTCATCCGCGGTTGCGTTCCTGCGCAGCCCGGAAGCCCGACTCAGCGACTCGTGGTGGGCAATCTCTGGCATGGATGTGGTGCGTTTCAAACTGCTACCAGCGTTCATGTATAGGACAGATCCTGAAAAGTATGAAATACATGTATGAGGTCCACATTTTGAAAGCCTTGTGAGTTTTCAGAAGACCAGTTCAGGCAAAATCCATACCACAGAAATTAAGTGTGTACTGTATTTGCACACAAACATGACAAAAACCATCAAAACAATCAGTGGTAACTTGCAAAAAAGTTGACTTTATACTTATTTCTTCATATGGCTAGGAAGGAGGTACCCTATTCAATAGTTCACAAGTACTAGACATAACCAGAAGCCCCCCCCCCAAAAAATCCCCAAACAAACAAACACAAAAACCAGCACGTTTGTTTATGGTGTAAATCAAGGATTTCTGTTGTTCCTCTTCCCTTTTCCTTTGTTTATACTTTAATTTTACCTTTTTTTGCAACAGCTCTCATTGGTTTTGTACACAATTTCCAACCGAGAAGTCCTCGATTTGGTTTCTGTCCTTGATTCATAGATGATGTTGCATATTTGTATCCTCAATTTACACCATAAACAAATGCACACAAATGCAAACAAACAAAAAACAATTCGACAAAGATACTGACAAAGTGGGGAACCCCCAACATAGGGCACGAGTTGGAAGAGCGCTGGTACCAGAGGTTGCAGGCTCGAACCTCACTCCAGTCAATTTCTTTGTCCAAATGTTGGGCCTGCCCAGATGTGCACAGACCTCCTTTGAGCTGAACAAACTTACCTCGTTTACTGGTGCCGTCTCCAGCCCCTGGTTTTGTAATACTGACGTCTTTAGCCTGTTTAGTTGCCTTCCTAGATTTGTGCTTTGTGTTGGCTTGACTGGACTGAATATAAAAGTAGACCACAAACAAAAAAATAATTGACATGGTTGTAGTTTGGATGAGTTGACTCAGGCAAAATTGGAATAGAGAAAAACTGTATGTTTAAAAAACTTGCAAAATTATAAACAAAGGAAAAATAGTGTTGTCAATGCAAAAAAATAAACATCTTTCAGCGAGTAAAAATAATCCAGCCCTTACACTCTTGAACCCTAACAAGGTTCAAGAGTGAGAAATGAAACCCCAGAATTCCAAACAATTAGCATTATGACGTGTGTGTTACTTTGTGTTCTTACGTGAACGTGTGAATACATTTAGGCAAATCTCTCCATTGCTTTGATTTAGCCTCCCTTTCTGGCTGGCAAGTTTAACAAAGCCATCCCAGCAATCAAAATCAATCAAGTGACTCTTTTTAACAGTTTTTGGTTCCTGCCTAGGTAAAGCAGCTTGGCAGGCTATGACTGTTTATAAGTTGATACAACCATGCTTTGACTATAAGAGATTGATAAGCCAGCTGTACCCACCAGTTAATTGATTCTGTTTGTTGATGAAATTTGAGTATAAGCTGTGGGATGGGAGTGGATTTAATTTTTGTCTGCCTGTGACAGATCAAAGGTAGCCGAGTTAAAACACGGATCCTCTACACAAGGATAAACGACTCATTTGAGATTGTGTACAAAATGTACGGTACAGATTGTCTACATAGATTGTCTACATGCATGATATGCCGCATCTGTGCATAGAACAATCCTTAGAACATGAAGAACAAAGCGCGTGCCCGTGTCCCACAGCTAGCTGGCGCCCTACAAAATTGACTGTGCAGTAAGCGTGCATGCGCATCTCACGCATGCACGACGCCCAAGTACCGTATCACGCATGTAACCAGAAATTTTGGGAAGTCATTTATCCTTGTGTAGAGGATCCCTGGGTAAACACATGGATAAACTGAATACAACATGCAATCTGTATCTGTATCTGTTCAGCCACGTACAAACACCATCTTCTGGTTGTTGCATACGTTGGTCATATCGTGTGCAAGTCCCAATGGAGTACATGTATGTATATACATGTAGTAAATGTAGTAAAAAAACAACAACTGACACTTGGGCAACAAAGCCTACGAGGTGCCATCTGTTTTAAAGCCTGCCGATGAAAATCCTTTCAGAAGGTCTTTTAAAAACCTTAACAACTGTGCTCCACCTATTGCTTTAGCTTGTCTCCAATACTGACAAAAAAATTCAAAGCGTGGCCTTATTAATGCAGCGACTGACCTTAGGACCTCTGACCCTATCAGGTGACCTTTCGACAGAGGAGCTGACAGCAGTGAATGCAGAGAAAGGCGAGTGCCGCAAAATGCTGGTTTGACGGGACACTGGCTTGGGGTCACTGGTCTCTGGGTCAGACGGTGTGTCTTGGCTGAAGTCTGATGTAAACTACGAAAGAAAAAAAAGAGCATTTCAAAATTCACGAAGCATGAACGCCTCAAGAGTACTGCTGTAAATTTAAGAATTGCCTTTCTATTAGGGATGCCGTTTATTTTTACTACAGCTTCAAAATGCAATTTGCACATTTTCACAAAGACAAAATGGGATAAAAACCATGCATGATTTTGAAAGATCTGTAACTTTTTTTTAAATTATGTACATCTTACAAAACAAATTTTGTGCGTGTGCGTTTGTTTATGGTGTAACATGTGCAACATCATTGATGAATTGAGGACAGTAACCAGGTCGAGGACGACCTCAATTAGAAAACATGTACAAAACCAATGAGAGCTGTTGCAAAATGGTTAGTGTACAAACAAAGGAAAAGGGAAGAGGAACAAAAGAAAATCCTTGATTTACACCATAAACAAACGTAGGTGTGTGTATGGTGTTTGCATACAATTTTGGAAAATGGGACTTGTAAGAGCATATAAACTTTAATGTATTTTTTTTTAATGCAGTCCTTGTAAATGCACCTTTCTGTCCCATTTAACCTTATTTTCAATTCTCATCTGCCATTTTCAAGGGTATTTTGGTGCCCTGTTGGTTTTTCTACTAATGTAAATTTGCATATTCATGATGAAATGTGTGATGTCATTTAGGTATCAACCTTAATGTTACAGCTATTTCAGCACAAATATTTGCAAGAATTTTGGATATTTTGCTGGGTTTTTTGTTGTTCTTTGGTGATTTGTTCTTGTTTCAGTACATGACAGCAGGCCAAGTTTTCTCATAAATGTTTTCAATGAGCACATTTTTGGTTCACAATTTTAGCAGAAATCCCCTAAACTGAACAGTGGCTTCCTGAAATGACATCACAGCAACAGCGACCTCATTTGTCAGGAAAAGCATGGGAAATTTTTTAATGGTTTAAAGAAGTGCACTTTTCAATATTATTAACCAAAAAGGGATGTCAAATAGTTTGCATACATTTAAGAGGAGTAGAAAGTTGCACAAAATATGTTCCCATGTAAAATTCATGTCATGGGCCCTTTCATTTATTTCTCAATACCCATATCAGGCTGCAGGTAAAGCACAAGGAGGATATTACATTATCTAAAAATGTATTTCCCAGAAGCTCAATAAATTCAACATTGAAAACCAAAATTCCCCATCCTTTCCAACTTTTACGACTTACGAAACCAATACCCACTCGAAAAAATGTTCATGGACAAACATCGTGTAACTGGGACATAGGCTATAACTGGGACACTACGAGACTCTATAAAAAGTCCTTCTGAACCCAGACAATGTGCAAACACTGTCCAGCCCAAAAGCCTCTTTCCTTGAAACACTGTAAAAGTCAATAGTCAGACAACAATGGTTGCTATGTTTGGACAGGGAAAACAAACAAACAAACACCCCAACAGCCCAACACAGTCACATTGGAAAATAGTCAACATCATCGGTGAATCGAGGACAGGTGCCAAATCCAGGACGACCTCGATTAGAAAACGTGTACAAAACCAAGGAGAGCTGTTGCGAAAGAGTTAGTGTACAAACAAAGAAACACTCCTAGAAACACTGTTACAGTGGCCATCAATAGTCAGACAACAATGGTTGCTATATCTGGACAGGGAAAACAAACAAAAAGCCCAACACAGTGACATTGAAAAATAGTCAACATCATCGGTGAATCGAGGACAGGAACCAAATCGAGGACGACCTCGATTAGAAAACGTGTATAAAACAGGTATTAAAGATTTTTTTTTTTTCATTGTTGAATTTATTGAGCTTCTGGGAAATATATTTTAAAATGAAATATCAAACAAACAAACAAACACCCCAACACAGTCACATTGAAAAATTGTCGAAGCGATATTTCAAAAAAGGGCTCGTTTACATGTAGGGCATTTTGGTAACATAGCTTTTTTACCTAATTTTGGGGTGTTGAATCCGAAAATGATGGTTACCAAGCTGGATTTTTGGTGGACTCTACCTTATTTACATAAATCTTTAATACCTGTTGTGTAATATATTTCTTCCCATATTTTGGTATATTTTTTGTTATTTTATTTTTTGAAAAGTTTATTTTTGGTGATTATACTTACACTTCCTTACTTCAATCAATAACATTTTCTAAAGCATATTTGTGACTGAATAATTATGAGGACATTGAAACAATCCAAAATGGCTACTATTATATCCTCTAGGGGCTAGATGTTGTCATGGTTTGATATACGCGACAACCTGCTACTTATATCACAACCAACCGTGTATATCATCCACGAACCATCAGTAACAATGTCTAGGCCAATTTGTATTGGTCGTGTAAAGGCGCGCGCACCTGTTTGGCCTAATATATGCAGCGCGCAAAAATGGACCGTAATTTCCTGCAGAAGTTGCGCATGCGCACTAGTTTCCCCCATTTTTTTTAAGGGGGGGGGGAGATTTTACGAATTGCCCTAGACGTTCTTACTGACGGTTCGTGGATGATATGGTTGGTCCTGATAACACCATCTCTCCGCGGTGGGTAATTGCAGTGGTGGGGTTTGTGGCCCTTGCATTTAAGGGTTTGTAGAACATGTAAGGATCTACATGTATAAGCTCTGAAGTGAACTTAGAGCTTGTACTTAGAGAAAATTTGCGAGACAATTTGCAAGACAATGTACCAGAAAGTTGTTCTCTTTTGCAATAGGGTGAAGGGATCATTTTTCAAAATAGCGATGGGCTTCATATCAGGACTACAAGTACGTGTTTGGAAGGGGAAAAAAAAATCACCGGAAAGCTTTAATTTAATAGTAGTAATAATTTGGGAGGCTAATCATCCTTACTCACAGCTGAGAAGTTGAGCCGCAGGCATGTAAAGGCGCCTTTGGCAGCCAGCCGTGCGACCAGCCACGGAGTACAGCCAGGGATCAAAAGTGTTTGATTTTTTTCAGGGGGAGGAAAACCCTCGTGGCACAGGAGAGAACCAACGTACAACTCTACTCACATAATGGTCCTAGCTGGGAACAGACCAGGGCCACAGTGGTGAGAGGCGAGCGCTTTACGCACTAGCCACCCATAATGAATGCATCTTGGACGTCTAGGAAAATTGTGAATTTTTGTATGCTGAATTGGAAGGTAAAAACACCACTGGTGTCTATGGCAATTTGGTTTGCATGCATTCTTGGGGATAAAAGAGCTCGTTGACTAACCTTATCTGTGTCTACAACTCTGACCACGAGAAGGGTGAGTTGTTTTGTCATCGTCTTCAGCCAGGATTTGGCCTGGACCAGCATGGGCTGCCTCCACTGCTGTGCTCTAAAATCAGACAAGACAAGAATTACAAGCGGTTGGTCAAAATGTCTATAATCAGAGGGAGGTCAGCTGGCAATAAACCACTAGCCTTTAAATGGCTTCACAGACTTTAAAGCAACCAAACACAAAGGACTTCATTATGCACAATTCTAAAAACCTTGAACTATATTTAGTTTGGGAAATATCTTTAGTCAGAGTTAGCATGAAAAATATATTCTGGAAAAATAACTGTGGCTTACTGGCGTGGTATGTAGTCTTTCCATGCTGCGTCTAGCTCACTGAGCCTCTGGGCTAAAGCCAACAGTTCCTGATCAATACAGTGCAGTTCCTGTAGAGTGAAAGATGTTTTGGGCCGGTTAAAACTTTCTGTTAATGAGGTTGTCTCACCATACCAAAAGCACTTTCTGTTATTCCCTCCAGAAATGAGGTGTAACGATTGCACCTACATATTTGACATAACCGAGCACTAGAAATAAAACTTCCTGTTTTACTTAAAATGTTGTACCTGCTTTGTTCAGAATTTGTGGTCAATTAAAAGAACAATTTACAATCCCAAATTGGATCAAGATTTCACGATTATAGTTTGGGATGAACATGGTAGACAAATAAATATACACAAATCAACGATAACCAAATTTGTCATTTTTTATGTTTCATGTTATCAAAAATTTAAAATAGAACCTTAGTTTGCAAGTTAGTTTGAACACACAATATACTGCAAAACATGGAGCAAATCAACATTTTTAGAACTAGGTCCTTGCAGAAGGCTTTCTTCCATTTCAATTACTCCCTCTGCGATTTTGCACACATATACACCTTATGAGAGACTGTTTATCCCTAAATAAATGTCTTAAAATCTGTCTTTTAAAAATGTATTTAACACAAAGCAATGAAGGAATTTACAAGTGGCAATATATTTCAGACTAGTGAACCAAAGTATTCCAAAGTTTGACATCGCGTAGATGCAATCAGCTGAATGAGGTGCGTGTCCCGGATGCTGATTTCGGGCGCAACTCCAAACACGACTCTGCAACTTTTGGTTAAAAATCGACATCCTAGAATATTGTTTTCTCGGAACATATACAGCATTCTCTGAGCTTAAGAAGTTCATCAGGTTAGTTGTTAAGCACCCTTCTTTAGATTTTCAGCACTTTTGTCGCTTCAAACGGAAAACAATTGCACAAATGACATATGATATACTTTACCTATAAAGTTTTATGTTTAAAACATCTAGATGTACATGTAGGAATGACTACATGGATTGTTGCAGTCGTGTGGAAACACTCCTGGGTCTAGTCAATGGAAAATTAATACATAAAGTTCGCTTGTGTATTAAACCAAAACTTTGAAACCAAAACTTTAACTAAACTTGAGACACTGACAGTAAGTTTTGGTTTGGTGGGTCTCTTGCATGCCAGTTTTAATGGGCGTCTGAACCATACCTTATCAACGTCCGACATCTCGCAGACAATATTGACATCCGCCATGAGACTAGAGTAGAACGTGGCCGCTGCTAGCCTGACGATATTCTGCTTGTATCTGTTCCAAATAATAATTACATTACTTACTATTTTACATAAAACAATTTTTATTACTTCAAGTGTAAGGACTGGAAATCATATTGTCAGATGTAATGGGCCATTTAAAATTATCACTGTTTTTAAATTTTGTTTTCTGTTTAAATTTTGCTTGCTTCCAAAAAATAATATACCAAATAAAAAGTGAGATTTTAAAACATTGATAATTCTAAATGGCCCCTATGGACTCGACATTTTGTTTGAAATGTGAGGTTAACGTGTACATGTATGTACATGTACAGGCAAATTTACATGTACACACAAGCATGATACACAATGCGTTATTTTCTGTTGGAATAATTTCACAGAGTATTTGGTAGCAGTCCCGACTTCACTTAGAGCAGGGATTTTCTTAATAAATCAGTAGTAGTGCCTTTAACCCTAACCATGCTAAATGCAACATAAAGCAGCGGAGGTAAAAAAAAAATGTTGCATTCTGTTGCATTTTAGCAGCCAACTCAAGTCCCTGTGCTCTATTGCATCTTGTTGCATTTAGCAGGGTAACTGCTCATAGGTCCAAAGCGATAAAACATAATCCACTGTTGCATTTGGTTGCATTTAGCATGGTAACTGCTTGGTGCCAAGATGGGGAAGCGCTGGGTTCACTGCACAATGCAACAGAATCCACTGTTGCATTTTGTTGCATTTAGCATGGCTCTCATTTCAGCTATGCATTGTTAAGCATTGCACCGGCTAAAAACCTTATGGGGGTTAAGGTTAAGCAAGTGTCAGAGCTTTTGGTCACAAATGAACAAACGAATACCATAACGCTGTTGGTCAAATGGTCAGTTTTCTCACCTGTTAAACACATTGTGGTAATAGTCCAGACACCGTTGGACATCCTCCTGGGCACAGCCGACCAGCCTGGCCACCTGACAGCCAAATAAAAAAAAACAATCATGGCATGAAATCTTATTGACATTTCTCCAGTTTATCATACAGAACAATGCCATGACCTTTGAGCATATGCAGTATATGGCAGGTGGCAATGGATTATCTGCAGTTTCTGGCTTGTCAAATGAACAAGGGTGAAACATTTCAAAGTCCCATTCAGGTGAGAGGTCGGAATGCAGACCTTTTTTCTGTACAGGGTGGTCCATAAAAGGTTTACACTTTTTCAAATGCAGATTTCTCAAATTTGGGTACATATGTTGATATTTTTTAAAGATATTCCTAAACTACAATATCTCACTGGTATATGGTAAAAACGGCATTGAAATTAAAGCCTAAATTAAAAAAAGGCTGCCATTTACACAAAAATGGTCAAAAACCAGTTTCTCCACATGCATGTATCAGGTATGGTCATTGTTATTGTGGTTCTTTCTGCACGCAGGTCTATTGTTTTGACCATATCTCATGATAACACCCGTGTGGACAAACTGGCTTTTGACCATTTTTCCCTTAAATCATTCTCATGGCTAGATACTTCAGTAGTCACAACTAGTCTTTCCTATATACTCCTATGCACAGTTTTTCAATGGGTCACCAATGGTCACTTGACCGATTTTGACCCATGTAACAGCAAGGTTCAGAATGCGTGTTACAGGAGGGTTAATGAGGTTCTCGACTGCTGGAACACATCTGCGTCATTATCACTTATAAGTAACTTGAAGGAGTATTAAAATAAGAAAATGCAATATGTCTGCCACAAAAAAGTGAATTGAAAGAAAGAGGATATTAGCTGATCTGAGGACAAGTTGCTACAAGCAGACTGGCTCTCAGTCCCTTCATTATAGATACTGACTGCGGGACGGGAACCAGCCTACCTGGTAATAACGGGAATTATTGCCTGCCAGCCAATCGTAGGAAAATATAAAGTAATAATTCAATAACTACACATTTTTTTTCAGTGAAAAAGGAATCACTTTTGTACCACTAGAAAAATATAAATTTACAAAAAAAATACAATATTTTGGGATGAAACTCGAAAATAACAAGGGGAACAAACTTTGAACTTGTTGATAATTAAATGTATTCTACTCACTAGTTCGGCAGTGATGGGATTGACGTAAGTGTTAATATTCAGCTCTGTCTCCAATCTCAGCTTGTGTCTGTGGTAAGCCTGCTTTGCACTTTCCTGGTGTGAGAGAGGGGGAAATGATGGCTTCAAGGTTTGAAAATCTCAATCGCATGGGGGTTCTAGATCCCAATCTCGCCCATAATGTGTAATACGGCCACAAATACGGGCTGGGTGTTGGTTATTATCCATCTCTCATGCGGCACAACACGTGAATGAACTGCAAGAGTGAATTACTGATACAAATCATTAGTTAATAAGAAGGTCGCGTGAGATGCATGGCCTTATCCTATGTCGGTGGGTGACAGGCAAACAAATGTTATCTGAGATTGTTATTACAGACTAGATAAAAGCCAATCCAATTGTCATCCCAGGGATTGTCTATAAGGCCTTCAAAAAAAAAAAAAAATATGCCAAGGTCAATCACCCTTTACACATGGCTAGGTCCTACATGTACATGTAGTGAGGGTCAAGTATAAAAATAATGGTGAACAATTGTGGCGGAAAGACCATTTTTCACCTTTCATAAATCTTCTTTGCTTTCATGTTCACAAAGAACTATGTACATTTGGTACATATAAATGATATGTACCGGTCCTTTTCAAGCACTCATGCTTTCACAGTGACTATCAAGGACCCCTCGTCGCTTTCCTCCTCGATTACGAGGCTGCACTGGATCAGTCTTCTGTTCAATTAACAGTATCTGTCCTGACATTTCGAAGCCGTCTTTTTGCTTTTCTGAGAGTTCTTTTTCGTCTGATTATTTTGTACTTCACCCCAGTAGAATTTTTTTGTCACAATCACTAGAGACAACACTGAGTATACAGTGTTTATAAAATACGTCGGGGAAGGGCAAAACACAATACTGAAGATCTGATTTTGGAATTCTTGGGACCCTCGGAGTAGAAATGTCCCGAAAGAGTTTGAGATGCTAAATTTGAGGGTTAATTTTGTGACAGTCTCCTTACTTTGATGTAGCCTTCCAGGTAATGCTCCAGGGTGTTTCCCTTGCGGCCGGTCAGCTGAACCTTCAGGTTCAGAACGGAAGACAGGAGATTCACCAAAGCAACTGGCAACAACAAAATTTAGATAAATGAAAACAAAGAAATGTCTTAACAGTTTTCACGGTCACAAAAGTGCAATGTACTGTATGTATATAGACAGGCATTTAACAGCGTTGCAGTTGAGCCCAAATTTGGTAAGTGCTACAGTCTATACGGCTTTTCCCACTTTCAAAAATCTAAACCTTGGACCTGGGTCCTTTCAGTAAAAATTCACAGAAAATTAGACATGGATGGAAGGCTGGCTAGTTCGGCAACAACCTCCAGAAAGTTTTATTAAGTCCGTAGACCCAAAATGCTCGTGGAGAAACATGGCATATAACTTTCTGGCTGAGTTTCATTGTGTGTGTGTGTAAATCCCCGTACAGCTAGTTTGAATGCTGTTCATCTTTTACACAAGTAAAAAGCCAACGTGATTTCTCCAAGGGGGTGACACTCTACGCGGGTATTTCAACCAAACTTCAAACCTGGTCGGCGCGGGACCAGAGTTCACAGGCTCTATCCGGGTAGAAAATCCAGAATCTACAAACGCCCCCTGTACATACCAGTGTGACTGTGAACAGTATGCCTTGCCTACCCGTGTTCTATACGGGTAGACAAGATGATAGTGTTGATAGGCATTGTGAAAAACCCCACAACAAAAAGTTTATTGAGCTGAGATTTCATCAAGCTTAGACCTTTTTTTATGGGTAGGCATGCGAAAGGTTAACTGAATGGTTTACTAGAGATGTGCCAACAATTATAAACTACAACAAAGAGGACTTCACACCATTTCATCTGACCACATAGTTTTCTAGCCATAATAAAAAAAAATGTTCGGACCACATTATCTAGTTTCTCATGTGACCAGGATGATGTACATGTACATCTTGTCTGTTTACTTTGTCTCAAGGTCGAGCCATTACACAGCAGTAAATACAAAAGTAAATAGTGTGCAGGACAATGGGACATTTAATCCAAACAGGTGCTTATCTGTTGGGACCTGCATAACTTTTTACTTGGAAGTTAAACTGCTGGGTGAATGGCTACATAGACATCGTGAGCAAGTAACCCTTCAACGGTTACAAAGAGCGAGTAAGGTGGGTCTCTAATCTGGTTCCCAGACCAAAAGATTCTGACTATTCCTGATGAATCTTAGGTCAGGTAGCCATCAGTAATACATTGCATTACAAATAACGTCACGTGACTTAACGGGAGAATTCCTCTTTTTTTCCGAAAATGTCCGAAGTTTGCCGAATTCATTTCGTCGACAATCAGATAGCGCCCAAGTATTTCCGAGTATAATATAGGTTTTAATAACTGCTAATTGCTTATTAAAAACTTTAAAAACTTTTAAAGACGAGGCAATAATTAATATTCATTTCTTTTGGTTAGAAAATTTGAAATTCAACGACGAATATGTATCTTATACGAGGGGCAAACTCTTTTCTGCGTCATGTAATATTTTGAATTTGACGACCGTAAGCGGCATTTTCCAAAACTCGGCGTGATCTTCATCCGGCTCCGCCTGCTTACAGTGCTATTTAGGTGCCTAACTTTGGAGATTCCAGGTCAACATTAGTCAATGTTTTCTTACAGAAATATCAAACTGTATTACCGGTATCATAACTGTATGATATTATGAAGCAAATGATTTATTTAAAAATTTGATTGGAACATTAAAAGTTATAAGTGATAAAGCGAATTCTGAATCGAAGCCCAGTTTTTAAAAAGGGCCGTCAAAGTTGTCATGATTATTTTTAGCAGTGCCCTTCAAGATGGCTGCTATATGCACAAGGACTGTTGAACACACCTGCTTTATAGCTGGAGTCTTGGGGGCTCTGGAGCAAGCCTTGCAGCCCGTGTTTACTGTGCTCATGGAGCTTGCTTAGCACGTCTTGCAGAAGTTCAAACTGTGGAAATCAGGACAAAAAGCCAACTCATGCAAGTAACAAATTGCAAGATATTAATGGGGTCATATACTTTATTTCACAGCAACACTATATACCATATGTAGCAAGATATGTGACAGATGGAACACCCCCCCCCTCTTTTATGTTGGTCACTGTGTTACCAGAATCTCAGGAATAGTTTTGAGATATCTCGGGGGAGAGGTGGGGGTGCTAGGTAGCAATAGTCTAGGGTGAGTCATAGAGATATGGGGAGGGGGGTAACCACTCTATCACAAATTGTGCTGGGTGTACTATATACATAAGTACAACATTACGTACAGAGAGTCAACAACTTCTATAAGCTCTTGCGCGGGTCCCCTTCATTTTATACATGAGAGAATGATACATGCACAAAAAAGACCAAGAACTGAAACCAGCAAATGCAAGAAGTTTAACCATCTCGTGTGTTCAAGCCGGTGTAAGACTCAAACTTCAGCCTACGACGACACAAATATTTCGTTAACTAAACAGACTTATCTATGTGGGCATAAAACAACACAAACCTGAAACCCTAGCTCGGAAATGGCAATACAAATACTGAAAATAAACTGGACACAAAAGAGCATTTGAAAAAAAAAAAAAAAAGGTTAAAGAAAAAAAAGTGCAGAGCATGGGCCTGTTCATGTACCTCTTGTCTAACCATCACAAAGCGAGCTTGGAAGGAGGCCAAGGGAAGTTGCATGGAAAGCCTGCTCAACTCCTTCAAGTTCATCTCCATGTACCACACCTCGTATTCAAAATGACTGCAAAGAAAATAAAAAACAACATTATGTCTGGTAGAGTAGTTAAGCATCTGGGCTTTACCACCATTACGGACGTAACATTTCGAGCCAAAAACCAATTTCAAACAACAAAGTAAATTATTTTCAGTGAAATAATTTTTTTTTTTATATATTTGGTGCAACTGTAACGCAGGCCTCAATGTACAACACAACCTGGTTAATGTAATGTTTGCTGAATTAATTAATGCGATATAAGTGCTGTAAATAACATTTACGGATGTTACGCTTTGAGATATAGATTTGTGATTTTCAGTATCCACGTGAATACTTGATCTTCATACTATAGAGTGGCTGGGAACCCTGGGAAATTGGTTGTACTTTATGGAAAATAGTCAGTTGGAACTTACTCGTCAGTAGCGATGTACTCGAGGAATACAATCCTTCTGTACAATTCGCCCTGTAAAAAAAAGTGATAAATTATGATTTAACTGAACTCTCCGTCTACAGCAACTACAATGTAACTTATGGGCTCTATACTTGGCCCAAATAAAAAAAAGGAAATCTGACGATTGATTCATATATTGTTTTCTTCATTATGGGCCACATTTTTTGTGTAAGCTCTTAGTGAATGGAACCTGATGGTTGCAGTGGAGTACCTAAAAGGGGGGGGGGGGGGCTCCCCGCTTGGGGGGTTTGCGCCCCCCCCCCTTTGTTTGAGGGTCAATTTTTTTTAGTCTTACGATTTGACCGTGATGATATGTATTTGGCCTATTTTCGAGTAGTATAATAGGGGTGTAAATGGCGCCACCAACATCAAAATAGCCCCTCCCCCCTAAAAAAAGATAATTTCTGCGGCCAAAACTTCTAGGCCAACATTTTTGCAAAAATTCAAACTTCTAAAAATTGAAAAACAAATTGTGAGTCCCCCCCCTCCCCCAGCCAAAGCCTGGGTGTGCCACTGGATGTTTGGGGCAATATAAAAATGAAGTGGCTCTACAGACATGGTTGAATAAGGTGGACTTGTCTGTTTGAAATTCTTCCATACAATACAAGAGGTGACATCAGCGAAATCAATTATCAATCTTCACAAAACCATGGTTAACACCCAAACCCCAACAAATGTCTCTTACCACACCGTAGCGAAGTCCAAATTCTTTGAGCAACCTCCTTGATGTTGAGGTTAACATGGAGGCGGAGTAGCTGTTGACTCCTTGCCTCTTGTCAAGCCTACAACAACAAAAATCAAGAGATCAAACACTGGACCCCTAACCCGCATACAGTCTTCTACACTTCGAAACCCTTCAAGTTTTGCAAAACCACTTTTGCTTGTCGAGTTACAGCACACCCACACTTCAAAATCTTTTGAGGAAATCTTCTGTGATAGCGATAACACCTCAAATCCCTGTACACGAAAAATGAACATGTATGATGTTAAGCTCGGGGCAAGCAGGCAGATTACATACATGTACGTCACGCTTCACAGCTCTCCACAATATTTTTTGTTTGTTTTTGTTTTTGGTGTGCGGTTACTCTAGTATTGCAGAAAGGTGATGGGATTGACACAAACATGGCACTTGGCACACAGTCAGAGTATGTCATGAGGAAGATATTTGGCTATAGGGCCATCGCAGATTTGTCCTTTGAAAAAAAAATATAGGTAGAATAACAAGCAATGACAGCCATTTTGAAAATTTTGAAAATTGCTTGTTATTCTACCTATATTGTTTCAAAGGGCAAATCTGCGATGGCCCAATAGCCAAATATCTTTCTTAATACATACTCCGACCGTGTGGCAGATGCCATGTTTGTATCATCAGAGGCACAATTCCCCCAAAATATTTCCCCTATCTACCCCACTACTCTGTTTCGTTACTTTTACATTTCTTATCCCTTCACCTCAAACCGACTTTGTTTTAAAAAATCAACTGCTCTGAATCAATTTCCCATAAGGAGGGTTAATAAACATGAACATTGCAAAAATGCACCAAAAATGTACTTCTATATGCTTTTATACTCAGTCAAGATAATTATTTTAATGATAAAGCAAACATTTTTTTTAACCAAAGGGATGGCTGTTTTGGTCACAAAATCATCTAATGGCAAATGGAGATTTACATCACAAAACCACAGAACAGTTAAACTGTCTGATTTCTCGATTTGCCCCTGGTAACATCAGGTTAACAACTTTCCGTACAAAACCCTCACACCAAAAAAAAAAAAGGAAACGCCATACTGTAACTCGTTTGGAACATGCGTGAATGCAGCGTGCATGGTGCCTGTTTCACGATATTGCATTTATTGTTGAGCATGTTTAGCAACACAGGACGAATCAATACAGACTATTATCATATCAATTGATCAGGAATTACAACCGGTACAGCAGACACTGGGTGTCTTATCTCAGGATGGATTTCCTGTGGCAAAGGCCTGCCACCCTAACCTTACTTGACCTAACATTGTAGTTTCCGTTTTAAAGAAGAAAAAAAAAGTGAAAGTCTTCTATGCCATCAAAGGTTTTTTCTGGTCCTGAACAATTTCACTAATCACTGACTAAAGGGGCATTACGAGCTGAAATCCGAAAATTGTGTGGCATATGCATGTACACCCATTCTTGTTCCGTAATTGTGGGGACTTACACTTGTCGCCACGAGGTATTTGTGGGGACCGAAAATGCTATGGGGACAGCAGAAAGTCCAAATAACTCGGGTCCTAATTTGCCTAACAATAAAAAACTTCCCCATAATGCGGTGTATGCCTACCCCGTATATCCAGCCGTGTTCAATAAAGCTACACGTTGTGTGTGTCACATAATACACACAGCACCAATACACAAATGTTGTTTCTTGCACGTCCGCAGAATGCGATATGCACTGTGTGGCAGGATTCCCAACTAGCACTCAACAGCTCAATTTTTGAGAGTCAAAATGTTGACCCCTGTCATGCCTGTGTCGGTCAAGTTCAAGTTCAAAACACAACGTGTACCAAACACAGGGAACCACTGGCATGTATACATGTCCATCGCTGGAGACCCAGGAAAAGCTTGACGATTTTACCTGTCACCAGCCCTAGCGAATATACATTGCCAGAACATGTTTAAAATACATCCTCCAGCATTAACTGATTAACATGGGGGGGGGGGAGCATATACAGTGAAATCTCTATAAGGCAAAACCCGTTAACTCAAAAACCCTTCTAACTCAAAGTAAAAAATTATTTCTGTTAATTGTTGTTAAATAGAAAATCCATTGGATAACTCTGCTTAACTCAAAATCTGAGCCAATTCCCCTGAGGTTTGACTTACCGAGATTACACTGTATCTCAGAACAACTTATTTCTGGTGATGTTTTACCTTATCAGTCTGACCATGAGGTCCCTGTATTCTTCATGTACACTCTGCCAGTAACTGGGCTTGACCATGCTGGTGGCCGGGGAAGGCAGTGAGAATTGCCAGAAGCTCTCGATCAGCTCTCCGATGTGCCGACGTTCACCTTGCTGCCAGATGTCGTACGCTCTTGGCTGAAGACAATTTTAAAAAAATAAAAAAATTAAAAAAGGAAGAGAAAATTGAGAGCTGAGATATACAGGGATGAACATAAAAGTGGACGCTGACATTTTTGCTTGAAATTTGCGGTATGAATGTACATGTATAGACAAATCCAGCAGGGGCAATTTTCTGCGGTGGCACCAGGCTCGTGCAAGTTGCATTCAGATCATACACACGCACTCCGAGTTCTTCCAACCAATAGGAATACCAAAATGCTCGCACCTCATCTTTAAGGAATGCGTACAGCATGCGCGTGATCATAACACCACCGCAGTATCAAAGCTTCTAAATCTTGTCGCCAGATTCCACTATGTACATGTATGCACATTTAAGGGCAAATTTACAATTCCATGTAAAAAAAAAAGACTCAAGTCAGGAATTCACGGGATGACTTGTATTCCCAGATAGCATTAGCCCTTTGTACCAAAGTTCCAAATGAAACTATCAAGCTCTATAGACTTAAGTCTGTGTCATACTTCGAGCAAAAGTGAACGAGGCAAACTTCATGACATATACAACATCAGTTTCATTGTAACATTCGCTGTTAAACCCAAATGAATTGGTTTCGCACTGACATTTGTGTGAATTACATGTACACGTGCTTTTCACACTCATTGCAGAAGCAAATATATTTGTGACACCACAGCTTGTTTCCCCAATGCAAATTTGCCAAGTTGTTAGCGAATGTCACTGTGATTATTTCGTGCATCAAATTCACTTTGCATTCACATGATGTATGAAGAATTAGCTACCCTACACTGTAGATGTACCTTTAAAAATCTAAAAAATGGGCAAATCATTAGAAAATGGACATGGCTGAAAAATGGAACATGCATGAAATCTTCAGAACTACAGGCACTATAACCTCAAATGAGATATCAAATTAACATGATTAAAGGGGACAACAAGACCTTTCATTTGGGTGATGTGGCAGTGAGATGGAATTGGTTGAGTGTATATTTTTTTGTCAAAAAACTGGGGTTTAGGTTGGCTAACATTTTGGATTTTAGGTAGTCAATTTTGGCACCTTGTTTTTATGCAAAATGCAAGTGGAAATTGAGGCAGAGCTAGAGAGGGCCACATTTTTCTGTGAACATTTTTTTGTTTGATTATTAGTGTCTTACATGTATACCGGGTATGTTTTTACTTATACCAAAGATTGGTCGACAAACTGTAACATAAGTTACAGCAAGTATAACGTGAGTTACCAAAACATATCCCTATTTTATGATTTATTATTTAGTACCTGAAATGGTAGCATATCACTTACAATGATGTAACAGCACAAAAAGATTTTTCCATCAACACAGAATGAGGAACTTTCAAATTCAGGGTATTTAAAATTGTTGCATACATGTCCTTTTTTGGTAAGGAAAAGGTTACCGATAAAAAGTTAGTGCCAAAACAGTAGAAGTATATTTTGAAAGCGGTGAATAGTGATGATTCTTAGATAACCAGCAATGGTAACTGCAAAGCCACAGTATAAAGTTTGAAAACAATAAGTTTTACTACTTTTGCTTATAAACAACTGAGCAAGATCAACATTCAAAGTTCATCTCACAATTTAAATGCTGCAACTACAAATCTGTGTATCATGTGTATTGGGCAAGTTTTCAGAAAGTGAAACTACTTAATTTTTTTCGGAAAAAGGTTGTTTATGTGATGTAATACAAATGATTACTGTTAAACAAAGTGTTGCTAGAAAGTAAAGATGCAGATTTCTTCAGAGGGTTTCATAAGTTACGGTAGTCTTTCCATGCATATAAAATGTCACACAAGTGACAGATCAAAATGTCACACATGTGACCACAGAACAATTCCCATTTAATAAACCTAAAGCAGAGGGTGCACATTGCAAATTGTATGTCTCAAAAGACTAGTCTTACTCCAAAATACATGTAAGTCTGGATGTGTCCATTTTTACATCTGATGTCACACACGTGACCAAACTTTGATGACCCCTCCTCATATTTTGACACAATTTGTGAAGGTAGAAACTGTACACTGAGGTAGGGAGTAAGAAGTACCACCTGATGTATTATTGAAAGTAATATGTCAGATGTACAAAATGTGGATACATGACAAGAGATAAAGCTTCAAAAATCAAACAAGCCCAACTTTATGTCGCACAGTGACAAAAGAATGGCCCTATTCCATGTATTCAGTACATTTGTGCTACTGCATGTGCAAACGTACATGTACATGACATACCGGTACATGTACACTGTACTTTAAATAAATGTACATGTATGAGTACACAATATCCGCAACACATTTAGTACATAGGACATTGCAGGATGTTAAGGTGTGAAATGTACAACTTGGTTCATGTACATGTAAAGTTGTTTGCCCTGGGTCAGGTGGGTACTTGGGCTGATAAAACGAAAAGAATTCAACTTTGGCATTTCAACCGATGTACATGTGTGTAAAAGCGCCCCATATGACAACCTCAGCACCAAAATCAACAGCTTACATGCATATGTCCAAAGTATGCTTACTTTACTTTGCCCAAAGATGATTTTGCACAAAAATATAACAATGGCAATATGTTCAAGAGGCCAACAAACAAGGCGATAAGGATGGTTCACCCAAAATTAGGTTAAAGTTGAAGTACTATTGAAATTACCGTACCTGTTGTCCTATAAATACATCTTTCTTCCAATATCCACCTCAGCTTTATATTTTTAACTTTTGGCAATGTAAAAAACAGCAATAATCAGTCACTTTTAAAATACACAAAAGGTAAATAGACAAATTGTTTCTTGATACAAATGTTATACAGCATGTACAGGTACACCGTATATTACATGATCCTATTTACATACATGTATGTGTTCATTGTAATAGTCAGACAAACAATCTTCCTTTACATACATGTATCTACATGTACCCTTGTACACTATGCACCATGCATGTACATGTACTTACATTAATATGCATGTAATTAGTACAATACATGTACAAATGTTATACAGCATGTACAGGTACACCGTATATTACATGATCCTATTTACATACATGTATGTGTTCATTGTAATAGTCAGACAAACAATCTTCCTTTACATACATGTATCTACATGTACCCTTGTACACTATGCACCATGCATGTACATGTACTTACATTAATATGCATGTAATTAGTACAATACATGTACCATATGTTCATGCATATTTATACATAAAAGCTGTATTAATTAATTAATTCAAAGGTTTCTAAATTAAATTCATCAAATTTGTGTCCCCGCATTATGCCAAAACTGAAACATATATTGCCCACGATGTAATCGAGCAAAAAAACAAGTAGTGATGACATTGAAGGAAATAAAAGCATCTGGGAAAAATTTTAAAGGTAGAGTGCATCGTTTGTCATTTGTGAATTTTTTGTTTGTTTGAAGAAACAAAAGTGCTCAAAATCTAAAGATGGGTGCATAACAACTAACCTGATAAACTTTTAGCTCAGTGAATGCTGTACATTCCGAGGATAACAATATTCTAGGATTTTGATTTCATGTTTTGAATTGCGCCCAAAACTAGCCTATGTATGATACACAGTTTTCAATCGCGATGTCATATCTTGGCATTTCAGAATCGCTATTACATGTATTGATGCACTGGTGAATTGTTTCATCCCTCTAGAGTCACGCTAGTAGCGACACATGTTCAATAATTTGTTTTTCTCCAAATTAACCCATAACACATAACATTAACTAACTCACTGGCATGATTTACTGGGAACCAAACCTGGCTAATTCCAACACCGTATAGGCAACAGCACACACGTTTCTGACTTTGAATCTGGAAGTGTGCCAACCCAATGTAAAAGACTGTCAGTTTAGGGGTACTGTACCCATCCCGACAGATTCCAACAAAACATGCCGTTGGGGTTTGATGGGTTGAGTTATGTTAGGGTTAACAATCTCCGGAGTTTTTAAGTTGAAATTTTTTCAAGCATGTGTTTATGTTATGCGTGAAAGTGAGATGTGTTGTGTGAAATTACAGTTCCAACCGGGCCTTGCCTTGCTTTCGGCAAAAGACGTGTATTTTATGAAAAGATGCCAGTATTTAAAAGTAAAAACTCAACTGCTGAATCACTTTTCCTCCCCGCCCCCATTTTTTTTTTGGGGGGGGGGGTTTAAAAGTCCATGGAAAATGCCATGTCTGAACCTGGACGTCATTTGAATGACACTACCGGTACAGTTGAATCTGGGCACGTGCATGGCCGCATGAGTTTAATGTATACTTCAAATAAAAGGATAATTTTTTCAGGTCCTAACTCACTGCCCCAATTTGCTTGCAGATAACACAAGCGATGAGCAAATCTTTTCAAAGATAAAGGACTTTGTTATCAGCACAAAAAATAACAAGTTTGGATGGTGCACGTAGCATGCATTCACAAAAGTGAACGACAGCTTTCACATGCTTCGGAACTGTCGCACTTGTTTCCTTTTAAAATAAGAACAATAAACATGTACACACTTACATGTATCTTTACTGATTTATCTAAATCAAGCAATATCACAATGTTGGAAAGGGTTGGCTTTTGTTGGATTTAGGCAAAAAATCAATCTAAATGTAACAATGTAACAAACTGAGGGTCCGAAATGCGAATTTCACGGACAGCAACGCATCTTACACGTACCTCAAAAGCTTGTGGATGGTAGAAGGGATGCTTATTGTTCTCCACAACGCTCAGCCGGCTGACCAGTTCCTCAATCAGAATCTGTTGTTAATATCAATTGAACGATGCAAAATTATATGATTAAACTCTTTGTGGAGTTTCAAACTAGTCATACCTACATACAAACTGAGATGTATTGTATAAGGTATCAATAAAAGAATACAGCGAATGGTGTTCCTTGGCAGATACAGAAGAGTGAGCTTAGGGGACCAAACCCTCGCCCTTACCTACCAACGTGTGCTCAGTTCGACCCCCCTCCTCCCCCCCCCTTCCCTCCAAGCATACCCAATCCTCATCTTTGGATTTCTGTTCACTGTCTTGACATTCTATTTAACTCCTCCTTCCCCCTTGACACAGTGCATCCTCCAAAATCAACCACACTTTTTCGCCATATTAATATTTTAGCCTCAATCCTGCAAAATCCTCCATTTTGCAAAGAGGATTTGGGAGGACTTTGAAAGGTCAGGGTTAATGTGAAGGATCCTTACCCTTGCCGGTGCTTTGCGACTCAACCCCTCCGTGATGACCTCATCGTAGTACCGGTGTCGCTCCTCGTTCAGTTGGAACGCCTTCCTGACCAGGCCGGCCAGCATCTCGTTCTGAACCAGTACCTCCTCCTCGCTCTCCTCGTCGCTCCGCCCATCCATCCCACAATCCCCGGCCATTGAGACCTTGTTGTCCGATGTCAGCCTCGCCTGGGAGCTGCGGGAGGCCCGGAAGGGGAATGCTGAGGGTCCGGCGTAGCTGTGGGGGCGCATGGGCGGGGAGAGTGGGTAGGCATAGGGGGACGGCGGGTTTGAGGACTGTGACGTAGGCTGGGGCGCACTCAGGACGGGGAATTGCGCGCACAGAAGGGCGCGCTTGTACACCATGAACTCCTGTAATAAATTTTCATTTTATCAAACTTATCATAATTAATTTAATCTTATTATCATCAATAAGAAAAAAATACACTGAATAAACAGCCTACATGTGTGTGCATAGCATGGCATACAATACATGTACATACCTGTACTGTATATTGGTTACACTCAAGAGTGGATCACATTTACAAAAATTTAAATCTCGGGTTATAATTGATTTATTCCAAGTCAAATGCAAGTCTATCTCAAATCAATCAACAATTTACCCAGTCAAAACAGAAGTTACAGTACGTGTACAGGGCGAGTAAAAAAATATTTCATATTTTAAAACGTATATGTAGCACCAAAAACAATGACTGGAATGCCAATTTTAGAAACTACCAGTACTATTAGATAAGGTGTCTGAAATTGCTCAATCCAGTGAACAGAATCACCTAAAACCTGAAAACATGTTTCGTCCAACAAAAGAAAAGAAGCTATTAATTGTGTGCTCTGTTTGGCACAACCAACAAAATGACACAAAATACTTGTTTCAAAAACTGTCCACAACTGTAGTACTTTACACAATATGTTTGTTAACAACCCTGCTCAGGCAAACAAAATGATTTCTTAAATCCACTTTTTCTTTCAAAAGACGAGCCTTCAAAAGCACCTTGTTGAATATTTCTAACTTTTAAACTGAGGTTTTATCGCTGGTGACGTTTGAAGACAATTGTGATGACGATTCTTGAAATCACATTTTTTGATGAAAGAGGTTTAGGGGTCATTGTGTATAAATGGTGATATAATTTGAAAAGATTGAGTAATTTCACTAATTTTTTTAATCTAAAAGTAGTTAATTAAATTGGCTTACCAATCATAATATTGGTGCTACGTACTTAATATGAAATATATTTCATGAGGTTTAAGGTTCTTTTTTTTTTAACTCACCCTGTACATGTATAATACTTTACTAGTGCATGTAATTGACTTGTGAAGGGTTTGTAATTGATTTGAGATAAACTTGTGATTTGACTTGCAATTTGACTTGTGATTTAAGTTGTTATTGACTTGTGAATGGTTTGTGGTCAACATGTGTTTAACTTGCTGTTTGACTTGTGTTTTGACGTTTTGATTGATTTGTCATTGATTGACTTGTGGTTTCACTTGTACATTTATTTGACTTTTAACTGTGATTGATTTCAGATTGACTGCTTGATATGGCTTGTACATGTAACTGACTTGCGATTTGATGTGAGATATGACTTGTGAATGACTTGAGAATTCTTTGTGATTGACTTGAGACTGACTTGTGATTGACTTGTGATTTGATTTGTGATTCGTCTTGTGAAGCAAATTGCGACTGAATTGCAACTGACATGCGACTGACTTGTGATTGACTTGTGATTAACTTATGATTGGATTTGTGATTGACTTGTGAATCGGCTTGTGATTGGACTTGTGATTCAACTTGTAATTGACTTGTGACTGACTTGTGATTCGACTTAATGACCCCATTGGGAATGTTTTAAGATTGACTTGTGATTGTTTCGAGATTGACGAGTCCTTGATTGATTTGTGCTGTCATAAATTTGAAGCAAAAAAAAAGCTGTTCAAACCTTTTTATTCAGGGTGGTTTTTGTCCCCAAATCCCCACTGCCGGGGCTGCCGGGGCTCGCCATCCCTAGGTCCTCCACGCCTGAGTCCTGACCATCGCTACGGACAACCGGTATCCTTTGTTCGACGCGCAGGGTGTGAGCTGGTCCCACGGAACTTGTGCGACATTGCCGAGACCTGCGACGAAGTGGAAATATGCGCGGCCTCTTTACTTACCTACATGTACATGATATTTTTTTTCACTACAGTTTATATTATTTTTTTCCATTGACTTTTATCTTTATAATTCAAACACTGATAAGACATGTTACATTTTTTTCAAACAAAATCTGTGAATTATAACAGTCCCCATCCAATCAAACTCCAACACCAGGGTTTGGTGGAATCTGTTAGAGGGAGTACTAATACTGTACTAGTAAACTGATTATGCTTTACATGGGATTAGGCATACCATCAAAAACATGATAAATGGAGTCAAACAGTTTCCAAGTACAATTTACCATACATGTATTGTTGGAATTTGCAAGAGTAAGGAGGGTTTCTAGTAAATCACTTTATATACACATACATTGTGTACATGTACATATAGACTGGCAATGAGGTCACTAGTGCACGTCTATATGTATGTGCCCTGAGAAACTGTGAGTAACCATTAGAGGGTCCTACGTGTATTTCACGGGCCAATATGTGGATTGAGTTTTCTGTTCCTGCCTGATTTCATGAGTTTTCTCTAGAATATATCATTCTGGGGTTTTCCTCCCATCCATTTTGCCATCTCCAAAACTGTAATTTCCTTCCACATCTTCTACCAAGGGACCCCTCTGGAAATAAGTCCATCCATCCTGTTCTGGGCTTGCGCTGTTGTGTGATGTTGAAATAAATAAATAAATAATCACTCATGCAGATAACAATTGGGTAAATTCTAACATCTCTCTCTTGTCTTTTTTTTTTTTATAAGGTTAAAGCTTCAATTGAATACAGGTCAATTACCGCCAATTTCCAATTGTTACCAATGTTTTGGTCTGGAAATAAAAGTTTTAGAAAAAAAAAAAAACATGCTAAAACCTGAATTAACACAGGACCTGCAATTCATTTTTTTTTTCAGTAATAAGGCCTACAGGATGAGCCTATAGGTTATCAACAAAACTATATAATTCATCCCGACAATTCTAAAAATTGTGTAATTACCGGATGGCTTTGAAAATTTGTAGGTACCAGCACTTTATTTTCTGCCTTCTACCTTGCTTAACTTCCGGAACGTGCCAGTGCACTGAAAAAAATATAACTGCACTTGAAATTGGAAAATGACTAAGAAACAAGAACTCTGATAAGAACTATTTTCTTAATTTGTTAAATATCAAAATTTTAAGAAAATGTTTCTTGCCTACCGGTACTGGGGTAAACAAGGTTTTTTTTACATTTCTTAGAACAAAATTTATCATTTTTAGCAGTATAAACACATGTAACATCCCAACAATACTAGAAATTGTGTACGAAATACATGTTAAGTACCGGATGGCTTTGAACATTTGTTGGTACCAGCATTTTAATTTTTGGCCTAAAGTTAACTATACATTGTGCATTTTAGAAGGTGTCAGTACCAGTTCATTGAAAAACTAAATTTATACTTCGGCAGTAAATTTGCTTTTTATACAGCATGAAATGTGTTCATTGTAAAACTGCATGGCTTATTTAACATTTTTGTTTACAAGCATGACAAGTAAAATGTGTGCACAATAAGCTCTGGCCGTCTTCCAAGAAAGTCTATAACGTTGACCGGAGATTGTGCGTACAAGCCCGGGCCGCCTACCCACGCGCCGTCCCACGTACGGCATCCCACGCACCGTCCCATGCACCCTCAAGGCATTCCACGTTTTGTGTCAAGACTTTTTGTTTAAGTTACCAACTCAGTCATATTTTCAACTTTAACTTTACGTTACATACAATATGAATACTCAGTGAAAAGAGTGGTTGAGGGATGGTTAAAAGACATCTCTTATTTTCTTGTTTAACAACAGGTTCCTTACGGTCTGTGAGAACAATCGTGCTTGCACAATGTTGAAAAATAGGTTGAACTGCTACGCAAACTAAATGCAGACTTGGCTAAACGGATTTTAACATGCGAGCCTTGTTTTTTTTCTCACAAATTTGATTGCTTGACTCTAGTTGCATACACCATTCAAGTGTTCTGTAGGCCCTGCACTAGGTAATCTGGTATTAGTACACGAGTACTACAGTGCTATCACATGTCAGTATGGAAGCTGTCAAATTGATAAAGTTTACTTTTGGTTGGTACATTTCAAATTCCGAAGTTCAGACTTCAGAACAATTTAAACACATCTGGTGTGTAAACACAAGTGGTTGTACCTGTGGTCAAAACAGAGGCCTGGGCTTACACACGGCACGTTTTCATTTTTTTTTTTATTTACATGTACCGTACTGAACACAATTGTAATTTATAAACTAACTTTCATTGTTAAGTTTTTTTTTCTCAATACAATCCTCATACTCACTCCAACGTCTTGAAGTAGGTCTGGACGTCCCTAGACACGTGAAGAGGAGAACCCACCCTGAAAAAGAAAGCAAATAACACACACAGTTTACAGAGATGACTGTGCAGATTTCCAGACAGTATTATCAAATGCTGCCCTGCAGGCTATGTACATGTACGTCATGTACAAGTATATCAGCAAACATTGTGACAACATACTAGTGAAGAAATCTCAATCCAGAAAGAAGACTGTTACATGTACGTGTACCACACTGTTGTTCACAAATACAGATGCTGAATGTCATGTGATCGACAATGACATACCTGAAATCCATTGCACAAAGTGTGCACAACCTGTTTTTTTCCATATGAAATTTAAGCAACTGCAGGTCAAATGTGATTGAAAACGAAATTCACCTTGTCGCTGATGAACAGATGGTGAGCCGTCACCTCTGACAGTGCTCGTGATGTTGTAACTTAAATTACTGCCGTTGTGGGTCACTTTCTTCAATCGTGCCAATTAAAAACTAATAATGTACGTGTCGACACGCACAACGTATCATACATGTATGTGTGTGCAGAAAGGATTTGTGTCCTCATAAATTAAGGCATGTTAAGCACAATTCCTGGTAACTTTCACAGTACCAAAAGACAGAAAAGCTTCCGACAGGAAAACAGGTTTCAGGTATCAAGGACCCCTTCCTTCCAAATTGTAGACAGATATCAGTTGAAGACCTTATGCCCAAGTTCACAGGAGTAGGCCCTATCTGGTTAGTCAGGAAATTCTGGTCAGGATTTTAAATTTCAGCACAGACACCTACTGTAATAACCTTTTTAGATTCATGACTACCGTACATTCATTTCCTGTACATGCAGGATACAGGAACAGAGGGCCCAATTCACAATTTTCAAATTTTCGAGACTGCAACTAGAAAACTACACGTATTTTAATATCTAAGAAATCAGTTGAAAATATTCAAATTGCAAAAAAATCCTCCAAATCCACTGATTCCAAAGGGAAGAACATGAAATCTACTTAAATAAAAAGAACAATTTGATTAAAAACCAAAAGTTATGAAATCTATTTTAAAAAAGGAAATTAAAAAATTGAGCACGTGGAAGGGGTTCAACCCAGGGTCCCCAGATCACTGAGCTACGTAACGTCCGCACCAATCAAGCTACTGAAGCATTCTGGTTCGATACATTCGCATTGTGTTTTTACCATGCCATAATGATAGTAATTGAAAAGTGCGTTGCGGCCCTACGTTACTTGAAAATTTGAAGTATTGACAAACAATTCGATCTAAAAACATCTGGTCTACAGAAAACACATCTACAAATGATGCATGATGATATTTTTCTTGCCAGTGCCTCTTTTAGATTTTAGCCCTAAAGCCCCCAAGATGCTGCTACGCGTAAATCTATTAATATCCAACAGAGAAATTCCTCTCCCACTAAAATTGAGATGCATACAATGTACATTGTATTCTGTCCCAGCTTTTACGACTGGATTGAGGAAGTTTCACACTTGACATTTAGATATTTTTAACAGTAGGACAATGTTGGCTTCAGCAGGGGCCAAGTTAAATATTTGGAGCAGAAATTGTTTAAAAAAAAATTCACCTACATTGTACAATGTACATTAAAAAGAAAATCTAGCTGCACAGGAATGCAACACCAATCAGGCACTTAGCACTCCAAGGAAGCCATAATAAATTCGATTAAATTTCACAGCATCATACCGGTACTGGTACCGTTAGGAGTTGCAACCCTCCTCTGAGCCAAGTTATCCTTTCAGTAAAATTCAATCAAAAAAGTGACTGTTTTCAATAGTCATTGGTAAATGTAAGATCTCCCAGCCTATCCCCCGGTACATGCTGGTAGTACAGCAGGATTGATAGGCTGTGACTAAATTAATACAGAGATACCGGTAAGCTTTGAGTGTAGATGATTGTTTTGCCTACCACTTGCCTGTTTTTGTCTGATTGGAGTTGACTAGTCACAGTGCTTATTTGAAGTATGATCCGACTGTTGGTGACTTGACTGTGTAAAAGGCATGGCAGTGGAAGAGAAACTGATGTTTTGACTGTCTGTGACTGTTCAGATAGCAGAAGGGCTAAATACCCAGTACCTATAAAATACCGTACACCTTTTTTCTGAATTTTTATGCACAAATACTAACAATGAAAAAGTGTTTGTAATACCCAAGGCACATTGGTCCTGAATGGTCGTAATTAAAAAAGGAAAAACTTGTCTTAAAGGGAATATACAACATTTGCAAACATCGAAAAATACAGCTACCAAGTTTTAACAAAATACCTCACTAGGATGTTGGTAAATGACAGTCTAAAGCACCCGTAAAATTATGGCACCTGGTGTGAAGTCATTTTCAAGAAAAGGGTATTTTGTATAAATTTCCAATGGTGGCCAGCCGACCACCGTTGGAAAAACCTAACTATTTTTCAACTACTGCTCCAAATTCACCATTTTTCCACTCCAAATTTTGTTTGCTATTGGTTACATGTTCATGAACGGGTGCAGGCCAGCTAGACTGGTTCCCTTACAACATGTACCTTACAATTTTCCGGCATCTATAAATTGATCCATTTTATCTTAAGTGGAGTCAGGGAACCAGACTACTCCACCACTTGTGTGTTTCTTGGTTTTCCCAGCATTTTCGAACACAAAACTTCAAACATGTCAGTGTAACAATGTTTGATCTATAATAGTAACCCCTCAAATAGTTCATTTCTGAAAATTACAGCAAAAGCCAATGATGTATGTATGTATATTCCCTTTAAGGTTTTTATACCGACAAATGATAGACTGTGTAAGTTTACCTAAAAAACATGCAAGATTTTGTGAGAATATTTACCACATGTACAGTACATAGTTTTCACGGTTTACAATGCTTGAAGATACATGTACATTGTATACTGAAGCCAAGCCACTATTTGCTAACATGAGGCTTGTGAAGACTGTGTCGTAGGTGCATATTATGTACCCTATCCCGCAAGGTGTTGTGGGGAAGTTCATGTTTGTACTACAGACCAGCATGATCTACTATCCCAAAAACATCTTTCCCCATAATAACTGTCAATATCAGATGGGTTGAAACAAGTACTGGACATACAGGGTGAGTCAAAAAGAAAGTGACCTGTATATATTTTTTTAATACTGAGGATTATACAATTTAACATTGAGGCAGTTGGAGGATTGTGCAGGATTGGGGTTGCATCCCAGCAAAAATGCCTAGGGAGTTAGGGTTAATGTATGGTCATGTGAAAGTCCTAATAAAATGAAGTACCGGTAATGGTAAAAAAAAAATGTACTGCCAAGTACATGCATCATGTTGAATAGATTGGGTGGTGGGGGGGGGGGGGCTGGAAACATTCCTCAATCAGTGCACACATCTGTTACTGTGTGCACTGAGTGCAAACTAAACTTTTTTCCCAAATATTTTGTTAGTGACCTTTAGAACTGCCGACAAGTTTGTGAAAAAGTCAGCCAGCCACGTGCCCTGCACTTTGCTCTGCAATTCAAGGATGAAAGCGATACGTACACAATTTATGCCAACTGTGCAAACAAGAAATCGTGAATGCAAGCATGTGACAAGCACAATCAGTGTCATCGCAAAAAGTGTTTTGCGGTTTTTAAGTCAAGTCAAATATTTAGCCAGTTAATTTGAGTCATCAATTGAACATAATAACAAGGACAAGAGAGAAAGTTGTTTATTTAAACACTAAACAAGAAGTGAAACTCCGGTCTTATAGGCTACATGGTTTTGCTTTGGGTCTAGAATATTTTCATTGATCACTGAAATCAAAACAAATTGCGATAAATACAAAACTCTCTCTATAATAAATTTTTTTTCAAAGGTGGGCATAAATTTAGCTGGCGCTCGAATCCAAAGGCTTAAAAAGAAATCCTCTGTTACTTCTTGAATGTGGTCCTTGGAGTGGTGACAATCTCTGCCTCCATCCTGCAAAATCCTCCAGCAATCACTGCCAATATATTGAGGCAGAGCCTGTGACATCCTGGAGCAGTGCGGAGGATTTCAAATACAATCTAAACCTAAACTTATGCACGGTTGAGCATAAACAATTAAGGTCTTGCCCAGCTGACACAGTGCATCCTCCTAAATCAGCCACATGTTTTTGCCACCTACATGTAGCCTCAATCCTGCAAAATATCCATTTTGCAAAGAGGATTTCGGAGGACTCTTGGGAATTTTAGGGTAAATAATACTAAAGGCCCTGTCACACTGTCACGTCCATGTAATTCTTAAAAATGTAACAAAACGTCATGAAGACGCAGGATTCATGGTACCAGTGGCTTGCAATGCGTCTCTGTGAAGTCCACAGAAAGTCTAAGACGTCCCTGTGGCGTTCTATATTGCCCTTGCGTCGTTCTCTATGAGTTTCATTGAAGACCAATGAGAAATCTGCGCGGCGTCCTCTGCATCCTCGCTGCGTCCTCATGGTGTCCAATAAGTTGGTGGAGTCCTTATCGCGCGCTTGATGCAACCTTAAAACATACGTGTGACGTCAGCAACTAGAAGCGCGGCATGTATACTCGGGCCAAAACAGGACGATAGTCATCATGAGTCTTCACATTTTTAACGGCATAGACGAAGGAGACGTAGGAGACGCATAGTTCTGATGCATGCACGTCCCTGGAGTTCTCACGATGTCGCTCCCATCTGCCTGCGCATTGCCACTACGTCACGGCCGTTCGCGAAGAGTTTGCGCAGAGTACTTAACGCGTTCTGGTCAAAACACCAAGGCGCGGCGTTTGTTTTGTGCATGTTTTAAACGAATATGGTAGTTTGGCGTTCAGAAAGTCCTTGGAGTCCCTCTGAAGTCCTCAACTACCGGTAGTATCAATGAGTCCCCACGCCGTCATCAGCATTCCCGCCGTGCTTTAGTCAATTTTCTTGGTCACGGTAGGAGCTCCATACCAGAACGTGATAGTGTGACAGGCCCTTTACAGAGAACAGGTCTCCAGCTCTGCTGGCTGCATTTGTTGCATGTATACGATTGTTGCAGCGGTTTACATTAATTAATACAGCCAAACATGTGAAATTCAATTCAATCTAACTTCAGTAGTTCTTCAAAAATGTACCTTTAAAATGGAAAATGTCTGCATCCAGGGAGCTTCGAAAGTACTCTGTACAAGGGAATGAGGAGTTTTGGCTTTTTTGCAGTATGCTAGTAAAATTGAATAAAGCTGCAATTGTGTACAATCGGGTCAATTATTGTGCAGTACTCCGTGACAGAAAATACTTTGGTTGCAGATTCTTTGGCATTTACCGGATGCTTGTTCAAAGCAAAAGCCCTGGATTTTCAGTCAACCGGTTTAACCACACAACAGTAGAGTGTCTGAATCCAGAACAAAAAGGGGGTCATATGGAGGTTGCAGGCGCGGATCCAGAGGGGGGTTTTGGGGGTAAAAAACCTCCCCCCCCCCCCAGCTCTGTTGAATTTTTTTTTCCCATACAAATTCCAAAAAAATAAGTCGAACCCCCCCCCCCCCTTGCTGGACACCCCCAAAAAAATTATAGTGGTATAATGTCTGCCTGTTTAAAATACGGTGCACCATTCTGTAATCTAGTGTTAATAATCGTCAAATTTGAATAGTGCCCCCTGTTGAAATATGGTAGAATACTATATTCTAGGATCTCAATTTCAATTCAAAAGTTGCCAGTCACATTTTGAATGCGCCCAAAATGATTATTCGGAACACATTCTCATTCAGCCGATTGCAGCTACCGATGTCACGCACTGAATGGACGAATACTAGCAACTGCGTGTGTCAACACTTGCCATGCTTGCATGCACCCATTCACAGATTTGCATACAACCAACAATTAGGCCTACATACGTGTACATACAAACCAACTACTAACGGAAGTTTCCAAAAATGTGTAAATTGACTCATCTTTGGAAAAGACCTTTTATTGTTATACTTCAAAATGACAGCAATTTTCAAATGACCATACATGTATCTCCTTAACCTGTGGGCCAATTTTTTTTTGAAAGGTTAAAAAATCAGAAAAAAATCCAAATTTACCATTATTTTTCATGTCGGAGTAATTTGAAGTATGATGACCTTATGACCTTTACTTTGACCTTGAGTTTGACCTTGTGGGTCACGTGACATTTAAAAATTATAACCCACTATGTTTTCTACAAAATATCTAAAAATTTGGGGGAATAGGCCTACTGTAGCCTATAGTTTGTTGTTTGTTTTCTAGCCCATCTCAAAGTTGGCATACATGTTTTATAGTAGGCTACATGTAAGGGAAATGTACTGGTATGCTTGGAACTTGGAAGGTGTTAAACACTACATGTACAATGTATGTACATGTACCGGTATGTTTAAGACTGAATGGAGTCTGGATGCTAATAATTACCGGAGCCAAAGACGAGGGTAATTATCAGCCTCCAGACTCCAATCAGTCTTAAACAACCAGTCTTATTTACGGAGGCAGTCCAGTAAAGTGGCCACATTTACGGGCTAACATTATACGTATACATTCTCACCTGTTCATGAATAGAACGTACAGTTTCTAGCAAGGATAGAAGTACCACACCTCCACCGCAGTATCTCGTGTGAATAATGTCCAAGCTAAGTTACCTACATGTACATGTACATCTACCAGTACTCTACCTTCTGCATCTAACATGACTAGACATCAGTGAACACTCACAGGCTTTCACACAAGGTATTAAATGAATAAGAATAGGCTTTCAAGGGGGCCAACAAAAGAAAATCCAGACCTTTTGTGTATCCATCCAACCCCATACACTGTACATTTTACATCTCAATCCATTTTTGCATCAGTGAAAGTGAAAAGATTATAAGGATGGGTGTGTTTATCGGGTCACAGAGGGTGTAATTCTTTTGGTTCTGCAGTGGTGTGTGACTGGGGCTGGGATTCAAGCTTATTTGAACATTTATTGGCAGTATTGTGCACTGACATAAGATTTGCAATGGTTTAGAGACAGCTTTTACCTACATTATATTAGAGCCAGACATGTTGTTGCAGGATGCATCATGTACGCATATATGTGCATGCACATTGTACAGTAAAGGGCATTTGTCTCCTGACTAATTCCCGGATGTAAATTTAAGTATAACAGCATGTACACTATTATTGGATTCCATCACGTTGATAAGAAATATTCAAATACCTTTTTGGAATCAAAAATATTGCAGCGACGTGGCTTTCGATGTCATCGCGACATCTTCATTGTGCCTAGTGACTTAAACCACTCCGGTCAAAAGGTGGTCACATGACCGGAGTGGTTCAAGTCACTACGCTGAATGAAGATGTCGCGATGACATCGAAAGCATATGTCGTTGCAATATTTTTGATTCCAAAAAGGTATCTAAATATTTCTTAAAAATAAGTAATGTATAAATATCTCACATAAGTATGATGAAACTTTTTGAGTCCAGCTACTACTCAATCTTAGTCTTGCTTAGCCATCTCAGGAAGGGGGGGGGGGCAAAAAGTTTGTAATGGGAGGGATTTTAAAACTTTTGGTTCAACAGTAGAACTACACCTTATACTATACTGGTGTCTAAGAGAATGTTCAAATTTAGCAACAATAATTTATGCATGAAATTTACTCAAGGCTATCCCAGCAATACAAACAATTACCCTCTATGGTAGCTCCGCCTTTTGATCATTGTCATTTGAGCATTTTTTTTTGAAGTAACAAAAAAGCTAAAAATCTAAAGACAGGCGCTTAACAACTAACTTGATGAAGGTTTGCTGTATATTCCGGTAAAACAATTATTCCAGGATCTCGGTTTCAATTCAAAAGTTGCAGAGTCATCTTTCGAATTGCGCCAGAAATCAGTGCCGGGGCACGTTGTCATGCAGCCTATTGCAACTGCGCGATGTCAGGCACTGAACTGACGAATAATAGCAAATGGGCGCGCCTGTGAATCACTTGATGCATCTTTGGAAATGGCCTTCTTTGATTGTTTTCTTCAAAGTGACAGCATGCCAGAAAGAATAATTTCACAGGGAGTTTAGTGCCATTAATCTTTATTAACCAAGTAAGCTTACCTAACAGTAGGCCTATCGTTCATCGTCCCCACTGTACTATGACGATCCTCTATCCCCGTTGTCACGGTTACTGGGCGATCCACACCATCCACATAGTGCTTGCGTCCGCTGTTGCCGGGTACCAGCCAGGAATCTAAGGCTGCGTGCTGGATGGGTACCGACCTGTCACTGGGGTCACTACTCTGCTCCGAGGAATAACTTATTCTTGTCTGCCAATCCATTTATCCGGTATGTTTTTGTGTACATATTCCCCTCAGAATTGTTTACAAATCTACAATAAAAAAAAATACAAGATCCTCCATTAGGCCAAAAAAAAAAGTCTCCGGTTTCTGGTATGGAGCTTGCCCAAAAAGTGGTGCGGCGACGCGGTTTTTTTTTTTTTTTACCTGATTTTTTTGCTTCAAATGTGTGCTGATGACTGCAAATGGTGCCCGACTAAACTTAGTGCAAATATATGGGAGTCCAGAGAGGTCACATAAAGGTTATTCTCGACCATAACTCAATCTAACAACACGTTAAAATTGTGCAGCAGCAGGATTCCAGTCAAACCAGTGAGTTTGGCGGTTTTGAGACATCATCTTTCATTGAAAAAAAACCTTTTTCATTTTGCCGACGCGCATGGCTACGGTGACGTGCGCGCAAACCAGAAACCGGAGATTTTTTTTTGGCCTTATAGAGCCACTTGACCGAGCCCACTATGGGCAAGTTCAATGAAAGGTCAAAGGTCAAATGAGGGTTGACTTATGACATACAATAATTGTATTGCTCTATAGGCTCCTTGCGCGAACAAGAGATGGCACTTTTATTACCACTTTCGAGAGTGCAGTGGATGGGATAACACTGCGGGTTTCAACTGCATGGTACGCGTCAACTCAGTTGCACGCGTATAATGCGAAGTACGCCGAACTTATTTTATTATGAATGTGGACCTCATTCGTCGATAGGGGCACCCTTTTCTATGGTTTTTAATGTCTTTTTGTGTCACACACTTTTATCACCCCCATGTTTTTCACCCTCACCATGGCAACTGCAGTGTTATGTACGCCTTCCCGATGATCGAAAGCCATCATTCGATCCCGTTATTTCTGTTGTCGGACAGCTTATTCTAATACCCTTGCAATATAATTATACCGGTAGGCCTGCATGCGGTCAACCATGCAGCGTAGCAAATAATTATTTAGTTCATGACCTCGTGTTAATTAATGTATGGCCAGCCGCGCCACGCGCCCGACAAACGTCATAAACTATGATGCATATTCATTATCTTGCCCAAGCACGTCCGCATAATGCATACATTACAACGCGGCCGCCATTTTGAAATCGCATGGAGGACATTTTCAGGACGATATTTGTGGAAGATGATGACTGAAAGTCGTCTTTTGGCCAGATGGATGAAAATATTGGGACCAAAGCACGTTTTTTTCAGAAAGGTATGAGTCTCTATGACTAGGAACCTCAACTTTGGATATTTCTGTCCTGGACGAGAAGATAATCTCGATCAAAATCTGTAGCAAAATCGCTACATCAGAGCGAAAAAAAATTCAGTCTGTGGGGAAGCATTGAGCATCTGGCCGTACTACAGAGCTTGCGATAGTACTGTACGGCCAGACGCAGTTGGGCTAGGGAAACCCCAGCTGGAAAGATTCCCATATCTGGCCATCACTGGTCTGAAAATTTTCAAGTGTTTTCTCAGTAAATAGGCTATTTTCCCTGCTAAATTTGACTTTTTAGGACATACTACCACTTTATGAGTGATACTCACTGAAGGGAAAAATTCGGTCCTACAACTACAAGGTACTAAACTGCGTCAAGAAGCGTCAGTAAGCGTCAACAAATTTTGTTGATGCTTTTGAACATTAAAAGTAGCTTTATTTGGTAGAAAAAGCAATAAAGAACATCTTCTGCATATATTATTTTAAATTTTTTTTTTTAACATGAAATGTACGACGAATTTGTCGGTTACTAAGTTCTTTTAGTGTTGGCCGCCATCTTGTTTACGTGTAGCTTAGCCCTACTACGCATGCGTGAAGTGTACAGAGCCATACTATGCATGCGCGAAGTGTACAGGGCCATCCAAACAAGATGGCGGCCAACACTAATCGACAAATTCATCATACATTTCGCGTTAAAAAAACAAGTTTTTGAATAATTTTAACTTTAATTGATATGCAGAAGATGTTCTTTTGCTTTTTCTACCATATAAAGCTACATGTTCAAAAGCATATACAAAATTTGTTGATGCTCGTTGACGACCGTTGAGGCTTGTTGAGGCTTGTTGAGGCTTGTTGACGCACTTTAGTAGGACCGATTTCTGAGTGATAGGTCACTAAAGGGAACAAAAACTAGTGATGGTCAGATAGGCCTATGCCATGGGAATTCTTTCCCCCAGCTCTCCAAGGGCTAGGCTCCTCCATGGCTCCAGTACTCAGTGCCAGTACTTTTAGGCAGAACATCGATCACGCACATGACTCACTTGTCTGCAGTTGCAGAATTCCACAATGTCGCAATAAATCCAAGGGGATTCCCACTTGTCTCGAGTCAGTAGCAGTTCAACTGTCATTGACAAGCATGAGAAGTGTTACTGTTCTGCTGTTAGTGTAATAACAATGTTGCTTTTTTTAGCGTACAAAACAACGGCCGATGGAAAAGGCAAACTAGTATAGTACAAACGCGACAAGTTCACGTTTACACCCACTGATCGGGCTTACTTTAATTACTTATCATGGGTCATCGACAGTGGACTTCTCTAGATAATACTTCGAAAGTCTTACCAATGCAGTCTAGATTGCAATCGTTTTGTCACGGGTTGTTTACCGCGCGGCGATCCTTCCAGCGGCTGTTCATCTCTGATCTGTCATGTTTTTTTTAATAGGCTGCCCTCTCGTGTGGCCACGGTCAAACTAAATCATTATTGCGTTCGAGTAGCTCACCCGGATCGACTCGGGTAAAGGCAGATGAGTCAGATCATGTCCGTAGCAACGGCCGTAGCAACTGCACTGACAAAACGCCCGTTTCCCACTCAAGGGTGGATCCGGGGGGGGGGGGGGGCAAAGGGGGCCTTCCCCCCCAAAAAAAACCCCCGAAACCCATATATTTTTTTTTTATATGACATCGCAATAAAGGCAGGCAATGAGTACACCACCATCTTTTCCTCAAAAAAACATTGGTTAAAGTGGTCAGAAATTGCCTCAGATCGCACCACAGAGCATCTAGAATCCAACAATTTTTCGGGGCCCGCTTCTACCCCACGCCGTAATTTTTTTGACCCACTTTTTGGGGGACCAACATTTTTTTTGCCCCCCCCCAAAAAAAAATTGACTGCTGGATCCGCCCTTGTTCGCACTGGGAATTTACTGCTTTTTCATCAATTTACAAAAATAACAAAGTTGGGCTGAATTATAGCCTCCACATCACCCAAGTTGGTCTAATAATATTATGTTTCCCTCGAACTCAATTCAATCAAGTTTATTTCTGAGTCCACTTTAGATTTCCGCTGTCTCCTGTCTGGCCGCCATTTTAGTCCGTTACTCATTGAATGAACAACACATGCGTGACTGCATGTGACGTATTTCCCCCAGAGACTCTGCTCCACTGACGAGCAGCAGGGTTTGTGGTGGCTGACCCGGTGTGGCAGGTAATTCTGTCCCCCCTGGTAAATGTGTCCCCCGGACAGATTCTTATTCCTCCATGGATTTACCGGGTCGTGACCCGGTAAATCTGTCCGGGGGGACACTTTTACCTAGGTAAACCTGTCCCCCTCTAGGTAAATCTGTCCCCCTGCACGACGTTAAGTGTGTCCCCCTGGTAAATGTGTCCCCGTGCAACGTCACAAGTCTAGCACCCAGACTGTATATTAGTAAAGTTATTAACTGTTTTTGCGCGGCGCCTTGCTAAATTCGGGAATGATGCTTACGTCAAAGCACAATTCCCGTTTTGATGACGACTTCGGGAGCGAGCGATTTGCATGGTGGGCAAAAAAGACTTGAAATGCACATTTATTTTAAGCCGCATGGTTGCAAAAATAAAGACAAAATGGAACTCGAACGAGCAAGGAACACGGACCAAGGAGTTCGTTCTTAATTATCCTCCATGAACACACACACACACACACACCCAGACTTACATTACATACCTAGTGTGGACATTGCTTTGTTTTCGTGTAGTTAAGAAAACTCGGTACAAAAAATAACTTTACTTAAACTGTGAAAACTCTTTTAACCCAATTTTTTTTCTATGATTCCCTATAGTGTTTCTCTTCATTCTGCTACAGATAAACCTAACCCAAAAATGCCTCTAAACCTGTTTTCCAGAAAGGGCAAAACCTTATGTTGACACGGCTTAGTCCACATAAGGTTAACACAACCTGCATTATGTGGACCTCTTTTGTTCACAAGTCCACATAGGGTATGTAACACAAACTCACCCATGCATGACGCTGGAAACACAAATCAGAATCATGGAATGCTTGCAAGGCCATGCGGGAAGTGTTACATAACACATTCTTGGATGTCCCTCACTGCGTTATTAATAGGCTTGGTAATACAGCCCGAGGAAAAGTAAGCTCCACGTATCGTGCTCATGTAACGTGCACTGTAACGTGCTCAACTGTCCGCCGAATCCTACGGAGGGCGTGCGCGCTAGCCGTATAGGTTGAGTATTACTACGCGTGCCTTTTCTGCTTTCTTGGAGAAACATAGATCGGTTGATTAACATCTAAACGTTAATTTCATTTTGATAACCATTGATGAAGGGTGGAAAAATCTAAAAATGTATACCCTGTGCGCTGAATTCATTATAATAACATCAATATAACAACTTATGCGTGCAAAACCAGGGGGGACAGAATTAACTGGAGGGGACAGAATTACCTGGAGGGGGACAGAATTAACGGGACAGGGGGGACACTTTTACCTAGGTAATTCTGTCCCCCCGGACACTTTTACCGGGGGGACAGAATTACCGTCCACACCGGCCCGCGGGTGAGCCCTGAGAATTAAAATGACGTCAGGCTAAGCGAACGGCACGGGCTAACCCGAATCCATCCGGGTGAGCTACTCGAACGCACCCAAAGGCAATCAGTATTAAAGCGCCCTCTTTCTCTCATATCAGAACCCCTTTCAAGAGCATTTTTTTTCGCTTTATAAAAGTTAGGCCTTAAGATGTATTCCCGATCCCCAGGCCAGCCGTATGGGACGGGTGGGGGGGGGGGGGGGGACCGGGGGCCAGGGGTTCGAACGAAACCCCACGCTCGGTGACGAGTTCCGCTCAGAAATAAAAAAATATGTATAATCAAAACAAAAAAAATTCGCCGACAACAAATTCCACCATGGTATTGTGCTCACAATGTTGCGCTGGACTTTTTCTCAAGAATTCAGGGGAAAGTGGCCAGTAAATGCCTCAAATAGCAGCACAGAGCGTCTAGAATCCAAAAATGTGTTTTGTTTTAGCGGCGAAAAAAACTTCAATTTCGGGTATCTGGAACCCTCCAAAAACAGGACTTTCATTTAGAGCCCATCAGGTGGACCTGCCCTAGGCCTGCGAGAGAGCTGAATTATTGTCCAGCAGCTAACAATAAGAAATAATTCAATAACCCAATGTCGGTGGATTTGTTCATTCGATGTCTCATTCAACAGTGAATAACTTTTCTATTGCTAGGAAAATAGCAAATGAATCAAAACAAACTTGTTGTAGCGTATATCGCATTTTCTCCACGAGATTTGGGTCTACGGACTCCCAATTTGCTGGAGGTTGTTGCTACACTATCAAGCTTTTCAGGGCGGGGTACGAGCGAAGTGGGATAGGCCTACATCTTTAAAACTCAGTTACCTCCGGATTACAATTTGAGACTTGCATGGTGAATCTGTGGTAGCATCGTCTGACAAGGGACCGGAGTTTTTGAGTGAAAATGGATGAGTAGACAATAGCATCGTTAAAAAAACCCAGTCGCCTTTACTTGCTCGCTCCGTGGTTAATTCGCCGGAATAGTCGTGGCGTCTCGCATCGTCTATCATCGTCTATAAATCATCATAAGAATATGGGATATGTCAGTTGCTGTCTGTAAGGTGATCGTGTGTGATAAAAGTACGTGAACTTTGTGGTGAACCGTTGACAAAGAAGTGCGCCTGACCTGGGGAGGAGGTGACGTCACACTAAAACTGCTTCCATTTTTCTTTGCGGAAGGAGGGGGCATATATCCGATGTGCCCCCCACGGATCCGCAAGTATCCCCATTAGCCCGTCTGCTGATCTGTTTCACTTTTTAAAAGTTCGAGTTCATGCATGCATGCAGTTGGCCCGTTCTATGGAATAGCGGCTTGCAAAACGCTAGCTGCGTCTATGATAAAACTATGCGTGCAGGTTCGGCGAATATGCACAAGACCATATAGCGTATTGACCTCCAGATTCTTGCCATTCATCGGGCGCCTTCTTTCTGTCATGTTTCGGTAGGCCTAGCCAATTATTGTTTTACAAAAACATGACAGCAAACTGACCAATCAACAGCTTAGGCTGAATTTCCGCTCTAAATGACGTCACAATTTCTAAAGTCGACTCCGATTGGCTGGCGCGTAGGGTCGCATAAACTGATCTGCATGCTCACATAATTAAACTAGATCGTTGTTGCGGAGCTTGCGCCGGGCTCCGTTGAACAACGGATGATACTCAGATTGTTGGCCCATTGGGTGTAAGAAATGATGTTGGACTTTGTTCTTATATGCCATGTCCAGCGGCTATGGCTACGTCGGAGTATTGTCAACTTGTGATCCAGGCCTAAATCAGGCCCTATAGGCGGGGGGGGGGGGGGGGGGGGTTCACAGGTCCACTTTTTCCTCGCGATTGACATTGAGTTTTACTCAAATGTGTATTTCCAGGCATAATGAACTGTTTAGATATAAAAAGGTCCCACTTCGTCGTAAAACGACCCTCCCCTTCCACCAGGCTGGCCACGGCTATTAACCCTAAAAGGGCCGGGTTATTTTGACCATCTCTCAGCCGGGGGCCGGGGGGGGGGATTCCGGGCCGCCCCCCTAAGATCTCGGCCATCGAGTGACGAAAAATTTTGAAACTCGCTATATGCATAGAGCAACTCATCATGAACATACACAAGAAACTTCATGACTATAGGTCAAAGGGTTTTAGAATTATGGCTAATTAATTATTCCTATGTATGAATGGTATAAATTCTGCTCTGTGTACACGAAGTCACCGACACCACGAAGTAACACTCTACCGTGTTAAAGCATATATTTTTTTCGATTTTCAGTTTTTGGATTTTTAAACATTATTCATTAAGGCCTACCATTGCACGAAGTTTTAAAGTTTCAAGAGCTTTTACTTTAATAATTTCGCTAAGTATCCATGACAACTTTTGCGCAAAAGTGACAATTTTCGTTTTCACGAAGTAACACTCAAGTTCCATTTTCCACTGCAATGCATGGTGCGCACTCTGCTCATAAGTGAGCAAAAACGTGTTCACGAAGTAACACTCTTTTTGTAACAAGTTGTATGAGCGCGCGCGCGCTGACCTGAAGTTGCACTTTCCTCGTGTTAAATACATTGAAGAGTGTTACTTCGTGAAAACGAACATTTACAGTTTCGCAGCTTTTTCGGTTTCACGAACTAACACACATCTTTTTTCTCTTATTTCTTGTTTATTTAATACACAAACGAGTGAAAAAACAGCATACATGTTTTTGTATTTAATAAATTCAATTCATCAAGTGTCCACAACGAGAAACCCAACTGAAAATACTCCGTCGTTTTGACTCAAAGTGTTGTTTTAGAAGGCGTTCAACTTTAGTTGCCGTTTTCTCTTATTGCTAGTTTTTACTGGTATGTAGATGGGTGTTACTTCGTAGTGTCGGTGACGTA